ATCCTCCATATGTATTGTTCGTTGTTATAGTAGGTCGTCCTTGAAGATATCATATTTTTATGTATTTTATTTAGGACTCTGGACCTCTTGAAGCTGTTTTCCCACACGTTTTTCAGGTTTCTAACTTCATGTCCCTATATCTCATTCATTTCTGGATGTTTTCTCACGTTCTTGGTATCATAAATTTTCATTTATTCCCACCTTTCCAATGGTACTAAGGTTGTGTCCTATTTCCTGGTATTCATTGAGTTAGCAAAAGTTCGCATGCACATTCGGTAATCACATGCGTCATTCCCATAGTCGTTCATTATGCGGGCGCCGTTTCCATTTAAATGTTCGGGATTTATGATATGCACGGGTTTTTATTTCTTTCATATGGGCTTCTGTGATTTATTTCAGATTTTTCCCTCATGATCTAAGGTTGTTTTGCACTTTCCGTGCTTTGTTTTGACCGGGCTCTTCCTTATTTGGACGGAAATTGGTCTTCACGATCTGCCAAAGTGCGGATCTCGGTTCCGACGGCCGGTTCCCTGCGCATCGCCACCCTCATGTGTCATTACACATGATGTGGATTTCTATATTCCTGTCATGGGTATAACTTCACAACGGCTGGACCGTTTGGGCTGAAAATTTGCATAACTATAGTTCCCCATTTTTAATAATTTCCGTGTAAATTTCGTTGTATGTTTTAATTATGGATCCTACGCAAACATCGTCTTTTCCCTGAGCTCGGACTTTTGATGTCGCTATTCCCGTTATTGGATATCTCATTAACGCATGATCCTTTTATTATGAAAATTTGGGAGGATTAAGATTAGATTCCTTCCTTTCTAATGGCCTATCAAGCTTGTCTCGGTCGTTACTGGTTAATTTTCGCGCTTGCCTTTTAGATATTGTCCTCGTTTTGCAGGAGTTTTAGTCATATCTCCGTCGTTTATGGGTAGTTTCCCCTGTAATTACTCTCATTGGGTCCGTTTGGGGGACATCTACATTTCCTATTATAAACACGACTTTGAATTTTGCATTAGTTCCTGAGGAATCCTTGTTCCGTGGTACTTCCATCCTTGGCTACGTGTGCGGACGTGGGAAAGTAGTTTCCATGGAGGTTCTCTGATTGTTTTTATAGTCAAATCTTGGTCAATTGTCCTAATTCTTGTTTTAATATTTGCTATAAATTCCCCTGGGAATTCCGTCTCGTTGATGGTAAGCTTGAAGTATTTTTGCTATTTTTCTTTCTTTCGATTTATCGCGTATAGTCATAATAATTCATAAAAATTCGTAAAAATTTGTGTCCTTCAGTTTTCTTATATCTACTTGTCGTATGAGGTTTTGTGATTTATCTGGCATATTTCCATAATGGGTTTCCATAGTGTGACCGTTATTTCTCCTACACCGTGCAGCTCAAACTGCTGGATCAGTTTGTCTACCGACTCATTCCCTTGTCGGAGTGAGGCAAGCTTTTGACAGGCTGTGGCTTGTCAGTTTGGGTCTGCAAACATAGAATTGAGTTCCTCTGCAAAGTCATCAAAGGAAATGGCTGGGGCTCCTGGGGCAAGGAGGGTGTTGATGCGTTGGGTGGCCCACGGTCCGGCAGTCCCTCCTTTCATGTATGACAGGACAAACAGGACTTGGCTGTGTTTGTCCAGAAACTCGGCATGGTGCATGCTCATGTAGAGTCCACACTCTGCCTTGAAGCAGTCTAGGTCATCTTGTGACCCAGAGAAGGGGGTAGGGGTGGCTACTTTGGGTGGCTTACGAGCCAGAGTGGGTGTAGGGACCAGGGCTGGGGCCGTGGGTCTGGTCTGGGTGGCCAGTTGGGCCTGGAGATCTTGGAGCTGGCGGGTCAGCTCTGCTATCTGATCTTCCAGCGACATCAGGGGGGATAGAAGTAGGTTGAACCCTTCTTCTGCTGTCAGGGCTCGGTCCTCAATCGGGGACAGCCCGACCTCAGGCCTACAGTGTAGGTAGATTATCCATGACAACTCCACAGCAAAAAATCCTACTAGTCAACTTTGTCTCAAATGAAAATTGTACTATAAAGAAAGCATATAATGCATTATTCTACAAGTTTTTGAAATTTGGCAAGACTGCCAATTTTTTTTCGGAAATCGATTTCCTTTTTTGGAAGGTGGAGGTAAGGAAGATTACTTGTCAAACAGAGTTGTCTATGAGATTTGTACTTCCAAACTCCTTTTCCTCAGCAGCTCAGCTTCTCAAAAACATCATAAAATGTCTCCAAGCTCCTTACATAGTCTTCCTCTTCAGATTCCTCAGAGCCCACATCAGTTGAGAGATCCCAATTTGTGGTGGAACATTCAGATATGGAGTCGGCCTCTGTCATATCCATCCCCGGCCATCGACTTCCGGTCCCTCCGATCCCTCTGTTCCAACTCCGCTCCTCCCTCACTAACCTCGGAGCCCCCGTTATTCCGCAATCCTCTCGGTACCCCTCGATGGTCACCACCCCCTCATTTCAATTTATTACCTACGCCTCCCTAAGTACGGAGCCCCGAAGACTTCCGGACAGCTCCGACGTCCGCTAGCGCACCCCCGCCTCCGCTGGGCAATACACTCGCCTGCCCTGCAGAGCCCACCTTCAGGCTTATCCCTCCTTTCCGTTTCTGGGTTATCGCCTGCCTTTCCGCTAACCCCGCGAACCGACTCGTCGGTAATATTCAGTCGGCTAATGTTTAAACCCCGTTAGCTCCGCTCCGTTCGGCTCCGCCAATTGCGGAACCGTCTCCGCTGTAACCATATATATATCCCACTTGTACATAGGTTACGCCCCAGTAGAAAAATCAACTAGAGTTACCCCCCTAGGTTCTAATTGCCAGTCAGTAAGTTAGGGCACGGACGTGTCACTAGGCACAGCGCTCTTGGCAGAAGTCGCTGAGGCCGAAGCCCTCCGCCACGGAGACATTCCTTCGTCTCGAATCTGGTCTCTGACAGCCTCAAAGTCTGAGCACTTAAGCTGCTTCCCAAATGTCCTTGAGCTTCCTGTTCTCTGTTCATGGGCTTGGCACTTGCGAACATTTAGGGCAGGCATTTCAGAGGGATGGCATTTGGGTGGCATGTGATCACATTCTAATTCACTGCCAATTTTTTTGAGCAAATTTTTTCGTTACTCAAAAGTACATAAAACTGCTCTGATACATCAATGAAGTATCCAAAAACACTGCTTTTCCGCTAGTTTACATGCAGTTTAGGTGTGTATTGCAAGCTGAGAAAGGAAAGTTCTTCGGAAGCAAAGTGAGATGTCAAAAATAATCTACCTACACTGTAGGTGTGTGCAGTGTTCCAGGTGGCTGGGCGCTAGACCCTGTCCTCAGCTCCTCAAACTCACTGAAGGGACTAAGCAGGGATTGAGTTGTCATGTATTACAGAGGGTAACTACAACTTGCCTAAGCAGGGATTGAGTTGAGAAGAAGGGTAAGTCTCCCTATTCCCCACTTGGCTACTATAAAAGGGAAGTTGTTAGAACGCGGGGATTCGGACGACTCCGGAGTGGAATCGGAGACTTAGCATGGAAGGACCTCGGCCTCAGCGACTCAGGCGGAGCGCTGTGCCATTGCTGGTTGTCCTAGGGGTCCCTAATTTCGGATCTAGCAGAGGGAAAGTCTCTTGGGGGGAATTCATGTCCATTTTGGACTGAGGTTACAAGTTACTATGTACATTGTATATAAGGAGGGGTCCGGAATCAAAAGGAGTGAGGGTAGGACAAAAGGAGACAAAGGGAGATGGAAAGAGGAACAACACCGAGGGTCAAGGGTTTGACTCAATGGTGTTTCTCAAAGGAGGAATGAAGGGCCAAGGCCCAAGGAGGAAGGAAGGAGGTTGGGAGTGGGGAATGGCTAGCTGACTGAATAGAAAGGAAGCAGCAGCCCAAATAGGAATGAGGGAGAATAGCGGAATTGAATAGGACAATGCAATAGTTGCAAGGTCCAAGGTAAGTCTGGAAAGTCCGAACTTGGAAGTTAAACTCCGGAATATTGGCAAACATAATTAAATGGAATGAGCTAACCAATACAATGGGTATAAGTGGAGGTGGGGTCAAAGTCCAAGGTTGGGGCTAAGACCAGAGGTTCCGGAGACAGAGATGCAAACAGGATTCCGGAGCGGAGGTCTGGAGTCAGGAGCGTAGGTGTTGCGTACTCATCTGGAAGGGGTTGAGGTCGGACCTGGAATGTTCCGGAATCGGACCGAAGGTGGTGTCAGAGCCGGAGGTGGGATAACCTCTTGGGAGTCGGCAAGGAGAAGGTGATGGAAGGGAAGTAGGGCTCCGGAGTCAGTTCCGGGAGCCCGGAGTGGAGGTCAGGATTGTATGGATATGACAGATGCGATGCCACACTAGAGCTGACATATTTCAAGACTGTGACATCATATGTTGAAATCATGGACTTAGCCTCCATCTGCACAGTGGTTGGCCGCATCCAGGTTGGTATGACAGAACCTCAAGGAGGTTTCTGACCAGGTGACTTTCACCTGACCTGTAAATGAATACTTTTCCCTTTTCTATTATCGCGGAATTACCCGCTACCGACTATATGGACATACCCGCTCTTTCTATTCATTTCCTTTTTCCCTCCACGCTATTCAGCTTGAGACTGAGTTAAACTATGCTAGTATTTTCACAAATAGTTGACCGGAGCGGTTCCTGGGCTTGCACTGTCTTTACAGATGACTCACTAGCCACAAACATGTCCCAGCAAGGCGAACTCTAGCTTTTGTACCAGTACTACCGCAATCTCACTCGGGTGCTATATGCGCGCAAACCAACGTCAAATTTCCATCATTAGAATTCCATCATATCATCATCCTCACCTCGGTAGACCTGGGATGTGCTTAGATACTCAATAAAAATCCCATTTGACTGCTAAGATTCCCGAAATGATAAAATCGTGCTCCAGCAAAGCCGTGGCAAGAGTCTGCCAAATGACATGACTAAAATCCTGTTCCACTCAACCTCCAGCACGCCTGAAGCGACAGTTTGTGAAATGATACGATAATTGACAAAATCCTGCTTCCAATAATCCTATGGTGATTTCTTACGGAATCTCAATGTATTACGTGATCTTATCATGAAATCACTTTCCTCAGTGTCTAGCGTGCATCCATACACTACTCACCCATTATGCCAGGGAGGTTACTCCATCCCTGATGGTTATTCCAACATGGACGTGTGTAAAGAGAAAAAAGATAAACCAATGTACCGATTGAGCAGCAGAAATCAGAAACAAGGACACAATTGCATACCAAAACTGAGGTACTGAAGCCAGCGCACACAAGTCCTATTTAATCTCGTGAATTTGAACCTGTCACAACTCGAGTAAATGACGCTTAAAAGCTTGAAGTTTGTCTTCATTGACGCCCTCAGTTCTCTTCGTGTTTACACTACATACATACCACGGTGGCTTTACGTAGTATCGAGTGTCGGGCACATGGCGGCACCTGCAGCAGCGGTGGTCGGTAGCCGAGCGAGCTTGAAAGAAAGAAAGAAAGAAAGCCAAAAGGTACAGAATCCGGGACAAGGGGAGGGGGGAGACTTTCGATCAACGTACCATTAATCCGATTCAATCTCCTTATCTCGATCGACAGACGGGCGGTCAAGTTGTTTTCTCGCGCGGCGTCGGCGTTGTTAGTCCCGTTCCTGATATGGGTACTATGTGGTATAGCCTGCAATTCTAAGCACTGTAATAGAGTGTTTAGAGTGCTTAAAGATGTAAGAATGTAGTTGATGGTGATGGTGATGAACGATATGATTATTGATATTCTATTCATGATTGTGGTTTGCAAATCGACTTGGTAGTAGTACAGTACCTATTGTTTACATTACCATACATGTAGTTAAGGGATCATGGACTGGGTGAGCCCGAAGAAGGGCGTGTTGTGGGGGAGCCGAGTTTGAAGGTGAATTATGTACACATCTTTGACGTACGGGCGTTACGTAGGGAGTAAGTTGTTGAGTGGCAGCGGCGATGCTGATGCTGAGATCCATGCACAGGGTGGAGTGACAGAGGCAAGAAAAGGAAAGGCGTGCATAACTAACATTCATATTGGGTTGACCGCTAATGGCAATGGCTAGCTCATGTAAAGATCGATGAATTGTGTTGTGTGGAGTTGGCGGTGGTCGTGGCGTTTGTTGAAATTGTGGTGGGGGGTTAATTTCACATTTGACATGAGGCACCACAGTGGTGCGGAGCGATGACTAGATTCGAGTTAACCCCCGGTGACCAAATCTGACGCGCGCCCGCGCCAGCATGAATCGTCACATGGACGCTCTGGCATGGAGGCGCTTAGGCTTTGAGCGGTTCTGCCAGTTGACAAGCTTCTGTACTAGCGCTGCCTCATGCGTACGGTGCGCAAGCTATCGCGGTGTGACACGCATACGTACGTACGTACGTACGTAACAGGAGACGAGTATGATGGGCTTGTTTTAGATTAGTTAAACGCAGAAGCTTAAAGATCGTTTAGCAATTTGGTTGGGTGATCGGATGATTCGCAGTGCAATGAGGCTGCGTTTGTTAGCCATGCATGGGAAGAGAGAATCGACGGTCAAGCAAGGGATCGGGAAGCAAGGGAGACCGACCGAGTTGTTGATTTTGAATGGCCAAGTGCTACTCGGAAGAGTCGGCTGAACTGCCGGGCTAGGACGGAATATCCCGCTTCAAATTTTTCAATCTAGTGCTCGTATTTGTAGCAGGGTAAGAGCCGGAATTATAGCTCGAGCATCAATGGGCATGGAACGTAGGCTGGACAGGAAGATTGATGAAAAAAAGTTACCCTTCTTGGTGATGAGAGAAGACACGAGAGCGAGCAAAACTAGAACGGTTAGAGATGACCCGAGAAACAAGAGAGAGAGAGAAGGGGGGAGGGGAGGAGGATATTTGGGATGAGTGAGAAATGCTATCACACACACACACACGCACGTTTTCGATATGGATGGAATGGCCGATGATGGGAGAGGGATCTTAACCAACCCTTTTTTATTTTCTTTTCCCTTTTCAGTCCGTTTTTAACCATTCGGTTACTCCCACTCCTATTTGAAATCGAGGAGAAAAAAAAAGGGAACGCGTCGACTGGAGGGATCGAGAAAAGTGACGAAACACGTGGAGTCAAATGATGCTTACGTAAAGAATGTCGTCATAGGGTGGAGAATGAATTTCTTGCATACATTTAAATTATGTATCGTTGTCTTGGTGTTTTTCGTTTCCCTTCTATCTTTTTCCTTGAGTATGTGGATCGTTGTTGGGGGGGTCACACATGCTGGAGACAAGGGACCGGGTATAAAAAGATAAAGCAAGAGTGTGTTTCCTATCACTTCACCCCTTTTAATTGAGCGCCTTTTCTGGGACTGAGTAGAAAGTGGAGTAACAAAGTAACTATCTCATTCATACTTGGTCATCAGCATCATCGTACATCATCCATCATTCCCTCTTCAACCCAGCTTTTCTTTTTTTTTTTTCTTCTGCTTTTCATTCACCCGTCTCCATCACCGACGCAACTTGAACTCACTTGTGTGTGCGCCCTCCGCGCCCGCCATCCATCACTGCAACTTGACCGCTCCCTCTTCACCGCAACCTCACCTACTACTGTCCCCAGTTCAAAATACGTCTTCAGTGCTTTATAAGCTCCACCCAACATCACACTCATCTCCCCCCCCCCCCCAATCCACAACTTTTCACTCTTGACTCCATCCCGTCTCTAAGCGCTCCACTTCACCGAGAAAATAATGGCTACAAGTTCAAGTTCGACTCCTTCACAGCAACCACCGCCACAACAACAGAGACATCCATGTCCCGTTTGCGGCTCTACCTTTACAAGATCACAACATGTCGTCAGACACCTTCGATCTCATACTGGAGAGAGGTTAGTGCACCTTGTTTTGGGCTGCTTCTTTTAACTTTTCTTTTCCGTAAACTGAAATGTCTTGCCTCCCCTCAAACTTATAACCTTGACCCTTTTTAACCTTTAACCTCGCTTTGGGTTTAGACCTTACAAGTGTAAGGAATGCGGAGACTCGTTCGCAAGAAGGTACGCCATGATCACTTGTCATTCGCCCTCCCATCCGAGTCATTCTAATCGTAAACCAACCCTAACCTAACTTACAACCTGCCTCCTTCCCCTCCTTGTCTTTTCACTTCTTCCCCTCTGCACAGCGACTTGCTCTCTCGTCATGTCAATAAATGCCATCCAGACGTCCCGCCTCATAGTGCAGGCGTTCCAACGAAATCGTCCTCCAAACGTAAACCATGCGATCAGTGTGTTCAAAATCGCACCAAATGCGACACGAGCATTCCATGTGGTAGGTTAAACTTCCACAAACTCTCCCTTCGACTTTCCTCACTGACCAATTTTTTTCCCTCTCAGGAAAATGCGTTTACCATAACCTTGCGTGTTCTCGAGTTCCTGATTCACTGGGTCGTGCGAATGGATCTGTAGGAGGACCGTCATACGTTCCTAGTAGTATTCCCTCAAGTCCATACTACAACCATCGAGGAGCGACCACGTCCGCTGCTTCACTACCGGATTTGTCCTCGGAAGGACATTATCACCACTATCGTTCAAGAAGGCTGAGTGATGCAGGATCGGCTTCTTCCCGTGCATCATACTCCACTTCAGGCTCTGTGGGCAACTTGGGGTTTGATAGTGGCCTCCAACTCAGTAAGTGTTTGTTCCTGCTGATGAAACAACATCATCTTTTGTGTCCACATTTGCGTCATCGATTGATTTCTGACCCGTATCTTTTTTTTTTTTCCTTTTCATTTCTTTTCCTTCCTCCCCTCGCATTTTTCTCGGTATCTCTTCGTCCCCTTCTCCCATTCACGACGATGAATTCGGGGTGATCCGAATTTTGAACCCTTTCATGATTGTGGCATACAGGTGAAACAGAGCCAAATATCTTCAATACCCTTGTTCCGGACCTTCCTTCTCTACACCCACCACCTTACACTGGTAGCGGTGGTCCAATAACACATTCATCTTCCCCCCATCATGAACGATCTTCCTCTTCTTCCTCCTTACCTTTTGTCGATCCCATTTCTTCGTTCCCTCCCCAACACCAACAAGGCGGAGGTGGATTTGCCGATCCCCTACCTTATGCGTTGACAGTGAGAGATTATGCACCCCGTCCTTCTTCATCCCTTACAGATCCGGCCACAACTAATGTCTCACATCAGAGTGGATACAACGTGACGGACGCTACGCCACTCGCTTCTCATCAAAGTCGAAACCCTCTTGAGACTTACGCAGCTGTGGCCGCGGCAACTGCAGCATCGGCACCTTCCAATCACCCCTATGCTAACCTTTTGAATCAACCCGGTGGCGTCGTTTCACCTGCTAATTCAGGAGGTGGTAAGAGGATCGATGCCATGTCGTGTTTAACATCCTCACCTTGGTTCGCTGCAAGTTATGGACATCAGCAGCAGCAACCTTCTCCCGTCACTAATACTTCTTTACCGGGTATCTCTTCGTTAGACGATGGTACTACGAGAGACCACTCGACAAGTTATGCAGGTGGTGGTAGTGGCGGTGCTCTGGGTGGGCATTCCCTTCCACCTCCCCCGCCTCCGCGACCACTCTATGCATATGGATCTAGGGATGGGACGAACACTGCTACGAGCGTGAGCAGCTCGACAAGGAGTGGCGCTTCTTCTGACTACGAGTACGATGGTGGCTTTGGTGGAGAAGGCGGAGATGAAGGAGGGTCGTCGAAGAGGAGCGGTTATGGTTTATATTCGAATTCAGGGGCTAATCAAAGCGCGGGGTCGTTGGGAGGAGGAGGGGATGGACTGAGTGGCCATGGAGTGGGTGGAATGTCGTCGTATGCTCAGCCTCATCATCATCAACAGCAACAACAACAACATCAGTTGCCTGCAATGAGGTTCGTTGATAGTGGTGGTCATGGACATGGCCATGGCCATCATCAGAATCTGTCATCCTCCTCCTCGTCTTCTCAGTCGAGTGCGAGTGCTTTGGAAGGAACTGGGGGGCGGATTGGAGGTGGAATGATGGTGGATTCGAATAGTCGAGAGTTACCGATTCCGAGTGGAATGGGAATGGGTGTTGGAATTTGGGTGCCCCCTCCCAGCGGTAGAATGGCCGCGACGTCTGGCACCGGATTCCCCCCTTTAATCGCCGCGAAAAATTCGTCTTCTCAACTTCCTTCACTTAACGCGCTTACTTCATCAGCACCATCCGCTGAGGATAGTGCTACCAGTGCATCGTCTGCTGGTCACCATTCTGGTGCCGGTACCAACAACTCGGATGAAGAGAAGGAGAGTCAGAGGCGACTGAAGGATTTATGGGCGAATTGGATGACTGTTCCGATGGACAGCACTGTGTCTGAGAAAGAGGCGTTTATCGGAGGGGGTACACCTGGTGCTGGTGGAAGTGGAAGTGGAGGGGCAGGAAACGTGTTGAAGACACCGGCGCCGGGGAGTGCCAGTGCGAGTATGTTCCAGCAGTTCTTCGGGGGTTCTACACCTAATGCTGGGCAGACTCCTGGTGCTGGGATGGGAAGTCTCTTGGGGAGCGGTTGGGTTGGAGGTGGTGCCGGAGGGGGGAGTAATGGGCTTGGGAGGGTGATGAGTATGCCCAGCATCCGGACGCCGACGAACGAGACCGGGAGGAGAGTGGGTCATGCCGGCGCTGGAGGGGATTCGTTGATTACGCCTCAGGCGCATGGGAACAACGCTGTTGATGGGTGAGTTTAAATCAATAAATTTGTGTGACCTTTTAATTTTAGAACTCTTCTTCGCGGCTGTCACTTTTCCTTCCGATTTCCTAATTAGAATTGATCGATTGAATATTTTTCCTTACGGCTTCTACGTCCGTTTTGTTTAACTCACAACTCTTCGGTGCCTGAATGATGATGGCGGCTGAAGACAACATTGTTTTTCAATTTTTTTTTCCCCCCCTTGTCTTCATTGTTTGTTGGTACCTGGCGGTTTTTCTTATCACATTCTTCTTTTTTCAAACAGATCTTCGTCGAAGCCGATGGCGGGGAATCATACCGACGATCTCCGGAAGTATCAAGAAGCTTGTTTGGCGAGGGAACCGCTTGCATTACGGCTTCAACCACCCGCCCGAACTTTGCTTCGAAAGTCCATCGTCCCGCATAGCCTGAATACTGTTGGCTCGGGTCGCGAGAGTAGGAGTGGGAGCGGGAGTGGGAGCGGTGGACATGGATCCTTGAACAGCCCTGATTCGAGTAATGCGGGTTCTCCGGGCGGTGAGACAAACGTTTCGAATGCTCCGACGCCTGCGAGTACCTATTCGACCTCGAGTCCGCACCCCCCGTTTAGGTCGACGTCTGTTACGGATGTTTCGACTTCAGTGTCTGACGCCGCTGCTGGTAGGAGTTCCTCGTTGTCGCCGTCATCGGCGAATGCTATCTCTGCGTTGAGCGCGACTGCTCCTCCTGGTCCGTTGGCGAAGAGCAATCTGACGGGACAGATTGGGGATCCTCGGCCGAGTTATAAGAGGCTTGCGAGTCATACACTCACGCAGGATACCAGTAAGCGTGCAACCTTGTTGCGTGGCGGTGAAGGCGGTCAGGGCAATACCAGCTCGGGCGCGGGCGCAGGCACGGGCGCGAGCGTGCCTGGATATGGGGTCCCGTCCAATACACGGGGTACTGGGGCGAGGAGTGCCGGTACTGCAATTTGTAACGTAGGGGTTGGAATGGGTATGGGTATGGGTATGGGTATGGGCATTGGCATGGGACTGCCCGGAATGTCGATGGAAGGGCTAGGGGGCGATGGGCGGGCGGTCTACAATGGTGATGATGATGAGGAAGATAGGAGGGAGGTTGGCGGACGAGTGCCTCGGCGGCTGGGGGGTGTGGGAGTCGGGAATTGGAGAGCGAGGAGTTTGAGTACTCCCAGCAACATTCAGAGGCCTAGTGTTAATGGTATGATGGGGTACCATGGAGAGGCATATCAGTAATAATTGCCGCATCCATTCCTCATTCTTCCAGCCGTTCGTCTGATCCCAACACGTCTGTCTTCTCACGCACTTTGTTCCTCCCACTTTCCATTTCTTTGCGCCGCTTGTGGTCCTCTGCTTCCCCCCCCCCCCCTGGTCTTTCGTCTGGCTACCCTCCTGTCGTGGGGACTCTGCCTCAAAATTTTTCTAAAAACAAACAAACAAGAACACATCCCGTTTGTGATGAAAATCCTGTTTTTCTTTTTAATTCTCCACATTATATACCCTCTTTGCCCGCCCCCCTGACCCCCTGACCCCCCTCGCGAAGATCGTGTTTAATGAACGACGTTGGTGACAGACAGCTTGTCGTTTTTTTTTTTCTTCCTTTCTTGCATTTTGGCTCGATTCTCATTGCAGGGCCGTATAGTTGGACTTTTATGTGATTGCGCGTTCTTATGCAAGTACACTGAGTACTGTACTGTGCGTATACATACACGTCTAGGAACGAACGCTTTTCTTTTTCTGTTTCTTGTCAAGCTACCTAGCACGCTCTCCCATATATGTATGGATGCGTTCCATGTCATGGCGTACACATGTGTTAGTGACCGGTGGACCGCCCGATCAATCGTGCAGGCGCGCATACTGTGGCCGGGCCAGTTTGTACTGTGCACAAAATATGCGAATATCAGTATTGCGTGCGCATGGCCGGTCGCGTCGGCCGTGTAATAATTGTTGGACAGGCTGGGGTCCTCATGGCTTACTAGCAGAATTCAGCATACTAGTAGGTACATCGATATATAGGGCCTGAAAAAAAGAAAAAGAAATAAACTTCGGGTCTAATCATGTATGCGCGCAGCTGTGGCATAGACAGCCCATGGGTGCCGTTCATTCCTAGGGCAAAAATGTACAGCTGAAAGTCTAAAGCTTTGCATGCAATGAGTGACCGATCATGGGGGAGTCGAAGTTGGGATGCAGGCCAAGGATCGAGTAGTTACGCAAATAAATCAAAGCTCATACCGAATTCTTCTTGTCGTACGTGTTTCCGAATCCTGGATAGATATTGTGACCCACGTACATCGCAATGACTTCAGGTTGCGGCTAGGTGAGCTGCCAGTTGATTTCCCTTGGAGTGAAAGGTGCGGTACTGTGGTACTGTTCATTACCATGTAGAATGCAATCACTTGTGTCAATGGCGAAAGGTGTCATCGGACGCTGGGCGTTCCGCTTATCGCGGCAACGATAAAAGGATGTAGTAATTGACTAATTTCATTGATGTCGGAATGCATGTCGGAAGCATGTTCGAATAATGTGAAGAGGGAAAATGAAAGAGAGATAAGAGAAGCCGGTTCGACTGTTTGGTTCTAAGACAATACTGGGACGAGTTGGGAAATGAACATTTGGAAACTCGAGGAGCTATGGTACGATTTAACTCACAAGATAGGTTCAAACATGTGTCGAATTGGGGCAAACGTTCTCAGACCAGGGTTCTGACGATCATTGACCCATTTCCTCCCTCACCCCACCCCAGCCTGAACAACCTCCAATCGAAGAAAGCAGCACCCTCTGGTCAGCTGGTTGTAGGTACAACATTCTCCTTCGCTGCCAAACCCCGAACCAGGTGTAACAAGACTCGTTCTTCGACTGCCAACTCTTTCATTTGCCTCTCGACGCTCTGCAGTTGGTTTCTGACGCGCTCGCGCGTCTCCTGAGCACGCTTGCACACTTCGCTCACTACGATCTGATTTTTGGAGACAGTGGCAGTTGTGGAGGCGCCAGTAGATGCGGGGGATCGCGCGGCGCGGGGCTTCGCTCGGGCACGGGGCGCCGGGCGAGATTTGCGTTTGGATGGTCTTGGAGGCTGGGATGCCGTTACGGGCGAAGGAACAGATGGAACAGGTATTTCTGGGCTTTCAGGAGGTGTGGGTGTGATTCCATCGTTGCTACCAAATTGAGCAATGAAACGTTCGAGTACGTCCAGGTCGAAATCTGGCACCGTAGGCTCACTTGCGTCAGCGGCTTCGTCTAGCATGTCCTGGCATGATGCTGTGTCCAAAAGAGAGGGATCGATCATTGAGTCAGGGACAGTAAGATTTGACAGAATCGAAGGGAGATCATGGCCATTGTCTGAAATAGATGGGCTGAGGGACGAGGATGGTGTTGGGAGGAAGGAAGGAGAGGATGAAGATGCTTCATTTGTCCCACCAAAAGCATCAACCTGGGAGAGGTTCGTCGTGGAGCTCGCCTCTGCCGGGTCCGTCAATGAAGGCAGCTCACCAACTGGGGGTGATAGATGAATTGAAAGCGTGTCAGTGTTGCTTGTACCCTGGCAGACCTGGCTGATGCATTGTCCAACAACTTCTTCAACAGCAGGGAGGTCCAATGGAGACTCCGTCAACAGTAAATGTGGAGTGACGCCAGACGAGTTGCCGGGGAGGTCGGGTAACTGCTCCAGATCGATTGCCATGAACTCCACCTGCCGTTGAAGCATTTTTCGGAGGCCTCGATGAATAGCATTTGCCACCCTTGAGAGCCTAACCTGGTCGTTAGCATCCTCTCCCCAACCCGCCAGAGCATCTAATTGAATCTCGGCTTGGCGCGCTGTCTCTGCCTTGAAGACAACATGCTTCACAGCCTGTTTGATGTCCTCAAGGAGAACTGCTCGGCGGTTTCCGTACCATTTCTGTATGTAGCCTTTTGGAGCTTGCCCTGGAGCAAACGGGAAAGGAATGTCCCACGCAGATGCCCCGGCAGGTATGCGACGAGCTTTCCAGGTTATGGAGAAAGGGGGATTTGTCGTAATCTTCCATGAGGGGATCAGATCAGCCAGAAGATGGATGTACGCCCGTACGGTGGTGATACAAGATGGGTCTGTCATGAATTTTGCCAAAACTTGACCTTCATAAGAAGATGTATCCGCCGGGGTTGGAGGTCTGTACTCCACTCGAGGGCGCTTCACTGGGGGAGGCGCAAATTGTCGCTGGGTTGAATAGACACCGGTGTGACAAGTTCCAGGTCGCAGTGCGGTAAGAGGGATAGGGGAAGCGCTGGGAGCTTTCGACATCACTGCGGATGGCATCGAGTCCACCTGTTGGCCTCTTCCACGCTTACGCAGGCTCGTTTTCCAACTGGAAACATCTGGTGTACCGCTAATTGAGGCAGAAATTGAGGATGGAGAGAATTTATGTTCAGCACGGTTCGTGAGGGACACAGGAAGTGCAATAGTCCCCACATTTTTAACACTGCGCGTCAGAACAGTTCCCTGGACTGTCTTAACATCTGAGCTCGTTGGCAAAGCCAATGTAGAGTGGAAGGCCGGAGCTATTCCCCCCGCAAGGGACTTACCGCCAGCGGCATCACCTGGAGAAAAAGAGCCATGGCTGCCACTCTGATTGGGAGCGTCACCATGCTCGGAAGCATCACTTCCATCGAACAACGGGTCATAGTCACTGCAACTGTCGGCCTCGTTGAGCGTGGTCATCGTGATTGTGAGGAGTCAAAAAAGTGTGCTCAAATGATCATGTGCTAATAAGGAATCCACACGTGATCATTCCCTATCATTGGTTAGTCGACTTCGAGCACCGCTCGCTTGTCGTATGAACTCCCTTCCTTGATGCCCCTCGCGTTCCCGGCCCCTGCACTCTTTTGGAGAGAGTCAGATAATGCGGAGGAAGAGGTCTACAGCCCCAGTCCAGCTCCGCCTGTGTCCCCAACTCTGGTAATTGATCCTGCCATTTTGAACGCCTATGACGAAACGCACGGTGCCGAGCAATATTCGTACCTTCCGAACAGCCGACAAGCTGTTACCAATGGTGTAGGTGTCGAGTTGTGTTGTGTTGTGTTAGAGTTTACTCGCGGATTCACATTATTTGTATTCCGACGCGTGCAGAATTTCGATCCTTCTTCAACCGAAGCACCCGACAATTACTTTCCCGAAAACTCAAATTATCATCCCGAATCCCTTCAACCACATCACCTGGATATCTATCACCGTGACGGCCCTCAAGGGCCTCCACCCGAACCTATTTTTGAGCCTGAAGAACCACCATTTGAAGACCCCCCCCGTCCACCACCCCCAAAGCGGCCAAAACGCGTTAAACGTCCCAAAAGAGAGCTTGAATGTGGTTTCTGTCAAGGAGATGACGAACGAAATAAGTTCGGAAAGCCCGAGTCAATGCTGAGCTGTGCCAAGTGTGGACGAAGTGGTGAGTGCAGGCGCCTGGAAGCAGCAGCGTATGTCATGAATGTCTTGTTAGGACACCCTACATGCGTTGACATCAAGCCTCATTCCGCAAGGATTGCGAGGGATTATCCATGGACCTGTATGGAATGTAAACCGTGCGAGATCTGTCAACAGAAAGGCGACGATGTAGGGAGCTTCTTTTGCTGCTTTCTCCGAAGCATTGACCGTTTCCGCAGACCAAACTATTGTTCTGTGACAATTGCGATCGGGGTGGGGGCTTATTTATCCCTCAAAACGTGTTCCTGCTTTCTCACATGTTTACAGGCTGGCACTATGACTGCCTCGATCCACCTTTCGACAACACTCCAGAGGGTGATTGGAACTGTCCCTTGTGTCCACCGATAGTACTGTCGGAGTATTCCGAGTCTTCACGCTCTGGAGGGTCACCAGAGGCCGAAGCCGACGAAGAGGCGCTTGAAGAGGAGCCCACCGATGAAACCCTCTCCATTGCAACCCCAGCAAGACGCCGAGGACGAATAACCAAGGCGAGACCTAGAAAAGCCAAGTTCTCTTTGAGGAGGAGTAAATCGTCTAGGAGCGTCAGAAAACCCCGTCCGAAGTTCAATGGCACATTAGTCCACTCCACCCGCGGTGAGAAGCTCACACTCAAGCTTCGACTGCAAATCAGAGAAGAGCAAGTGCCTTCCTCGCCCTTTGAGTCATTTCTGAAAGAAGAGGACCTTGATACGTCCAAAACTTCAATCACCAACGATGACAAAAACAAGTTCGAGAGAAGTCGCATTGCTGCTGAGGTGAGCGAGGAAAAGATCTTTGGTTACTATTCTGTCTCCTCAGCATTCCGCCTTTCAGTTAAGACTCGCACCTCCCCCTCTCCCTTTGCCTTTCGATACACCTTTAGGACCTGCGCACAATTCCATACGCCCCCTCCGTTCCCTTACTCAACTTCTTGTCCCCTCCACACCTCGACTCGAACAAACTGGTAGCCCAGTCCCTGGACCCTCTACCCCTCTTCCGTCTACCCCGGGTGGAATTTCATTGGAACCGCCGCCGCTTCGCATTCGAATATTGCGGTTTGGAAAATTCGATATTGATACTTGGTACGATGCGCCCTTCCCAGAAGAATACAATAATATTCCCGAAGGTCGACTTTGGATGTGTGAGTTCTGCTTGAAGTACATGAAGAGCGCTTTTGGGTTTGTTCGACACTTGGTACGCTTTCTCTACTTCATTAGCTGACAAGGCTCAAATGCAACCTTCAGAGGAAATGTAAGGCAAGGCATCCTCCGGGTGATGAAATATACAGAGATGGAAACATATCTGTTTTCGAAGTTGACGGACGGAAAAATAAGGTATGCATTAAATGTGGTACTCATGGTGTGCCAATGGACTGGCGAGTTTCAGATCTACTGCCAGAATCTATGCCTGCTCTCAAAAATGTTCCTTGACCACAAGAGTCTCTTCTACGATGTGGAGCCATTTCTGTTCTACGTCATGACTGAGGCGGATGACGGAGGTACCCGTTTTGTTGGTTACTTCAGCAAGGAGAAGCGGAGTCCAAAGGATTATAATGTGAGCTGTATCATGACTCTTCCAGTCCGGCAAAGGAAAGGTTGGGGCAACCTGTTAATTGACTTCAGTGAGTTTGTATCACATTGTGATGCCGCCCGCCGTGAGCTGATCTAGGGACTTAACACAGGCTTCCTGTTGTCGAAAAAAGAAGGGCGTGCCGGTTCCCCAGAGAAACCACTCTCCGCTCTGGGAGCGTTGAGCTACCGCAACTATTGGACCCTCGCGATCATGAGATACCTCCAAAATGCTCCTGATCATGTCACCATCGACAGTGAGTGTAGGAAGCGTGACGTGGGACAAGCTCTTATGTGTTCTGCAATCAGGCATAAGTATAGCCACAGCGATCAAACCAGAAGACGTTCTAGCCACTTTGCAAGACCGGCACATGATCCACATCTCAGATCGCAATTCAACTCCGACACCAAAGACTCCATTTTCTAGACATCGTAGACCACGTCCTTTGACCTTACCTCGCCGCAATTCACACCGAAAGACAGCCACAAAGGAAGAGGTTGTCACGGACTCTCGAATCCCGAATTCGTACAATATCCGGTGGGACAGAGACACAGTACGCGGGTACCTTGAGAAGTGGAATGCCAAAGGTTACCTCACCCTGAAGCCGGAGAATCTTAAGTGGACGCCGTACCTCCTATCTAGAGCCGCGAAATTCGACGTTCCCATTCAACCACTACAACCTATGTCAGGGGTCTCAAATCTCAAACCTTCCTCACCCGCCACAGCCTCACTTCCAGGAGATGAGTCGCTGTCTGCAGTCGAGCAAGCCAAAGATCCTAATCTCACACCCGAGGCAGGACCATCGCGTTTCAATGCTGCCCGTTCACCCAAGCCCGCATCTGCAGACATCCACGGCGAGGAGGAAGATGACGATTTCAGGGAGATAGAGGAGACACCATCTCGCGGACTCAGGATACGTTCTCATCCACAGCAACGACTTCTACGCTCAATAAAGTTGCGGCATTCCTCACTGCGCTCAGCTTCTCTTCCTGGGGAACCTCGGCGCCGCACGCGAAGCCAAGGAATGTTGAGGGAGGAGGGACCTGGTGGCACACCAATTCGCAATGGAAGAGGAAGGAGACGCTCAAGAGAAGCGTCCATCGAATCAGTGGTTAAAATGCAAACTCCGCCGCGCAAACGACGGCGCATCCAGACTTCCCCAGAGTCATCCATTCTTTCTTCCCCACCAACCAGGCATGGCAGTCCCCCACTGAGTGACGGAGAAAATAAACCCTCTCATCAACGCAAGCGCCCGAGCCACCGTCTTGGCAGAACCACCGCGAAGCTATTCACCAACGAGAACGGCCACTTTGAAGAGCTCAGTTTCACGCCGATGAATGGAAAGAGGACTTCTTTGCGATTAAACGGGGCCTCAAAAAATCCTCCGTTCACACCATTACTGGACGATCCCGAAGCCGCTCTACGACGGCACCACAAGCATCGCGGGAAAAATCCATCTGATGACCTTTCGCCCAACAACACAGAACTCGCTCCAAAACGAACGAACGGTGAAGACCATGATCAATATGAACATTCCAGCGCAGGTGAGACCTCGCCTGGGGCCCTACTTACAAATGGCCACCGTGCCAATGTCAAGATGGACAACGACAACTCTGATGCTGATGGGGAGGGTGAGGAGGAGATGGACACCATTCGCTTTGACCTAGGCGATGAAGATGCGGAAGGCGAAGACGACATCGATGCAGAGGGGGAGCCAGAGTAGAGACATTCGCACTTCAACACGTAACTTATTCCTTCTATGATTTCTTTGTTTCTCTGGTTTTAATACTGTTGTTTACGCTGCTCATATACATCATACTGTATAATTCACGGGTGATATTTCATCTCTTGTGTGAGATGACACGGTATTTTGTGATTGGAAATTACAATATGAGAAACCAAGGCACCGTCGGAGAAAGGGCCAAAAAAAAAAACAGGCTACAAGCCTCCAGACCTAGGCTGGGCAAAGAAAATAGGACCTCCACTGCGCTTTACAAACCGTGATTCAGGCGACGTGGGATAGAGCTACGCTTGTGGCGTGCGAGGTATTCACGCTTAGGCTCCTTCGTGCCACATCCGTCATGAGGATCAACAGACGTCGTGTTGGCTTGGGTCCCATTGTGATGATGATGATGGTGGTGATGGTGGTGGTGATGAGAAGAGGACGGAGTAGGCGTATGCATAGAATGGGAAGATTGCGATTTGCTTGAGGTCGGAGTAACCGCAGGCGTAGGGGTGAAGGAAGGAGTGGGCGTAGCGGATGATGGATTATGCATGCTGTGGGTCGCCGGCGAGCTTACCGGGGTGGAGGTCAAGGGGCTTGAGCGGCCGCTGGAAGGGACGGGCGTGGTGGATGTCGCATTCTGCGCGTTGACGAGTGCCGGTGGGCTCATCGAAGTGGATGAGGTGGAGGAAGAAGTGTGGGAAGATGCAGAAGATTTCATGGGGCTGGAGCTGCTGCTGGAAGGTGAGGATGGAATGGTACATCCTGGAGCGCGAGCCTCAGGATCGGCAGGATCTGGTCCATCCGTGGGGAGGACGCAGCCGGGAAGGAAGGGAAGAACATCAGCATCGACCCGCTCATACGATAAGGGATCCGAGCGAGGATAACATTGATTGAGCTCGTCATCAGGGAGAAGCCTTCCTTCGTCATTGAGAACAGAGCAGTCCTCGATCACTCCTGACATGTTCGTGCACTGTTGGACGACACGAGTGAGAACGGAACTGTCCCAGCCGTTCATGAAGTCTCCGTGTAGCCCAAAACCTACAGGCCAATCACTTTAGTGATCGTCATATGGACCTAGAAGATAACTTACCCGAACGATCACCGTTCGATAACAAGGGGCGACCACCTTGATTTAATTTGTAGAAACTATGAGTGTCAAAGTAAATCTCGAAGAAAATTGAGATGAGATGTATTGGATGGGAACTATTGCAGTGGCCATTGTCCATTCCATCAGGATATGCCATGTGGGATTTGTGGTCGGGGCTGTCTACGTTGACGTTGTCCCAGCAAGAAGGCATGAATACTTGGGCCCGAAGACCATCAGGGCAATCATTGGTGGAAGGGAAGCCGGGGGTTTGAGGGTGTGCATGATTGTAATCGATACTACACTAGTTGGTAAGTATAACTAACAGGGCTAAATTATGCTCGACACGCACCATAACCACGAAATTCCCCGGGATTCAAGAGTGCCCATGTCCCTGCGGACGTTGGGATCCCCCGCCACCATACGAAGACCATCAGGGAACCCAGCGAGCGTCTCGTTTGCTCCGGAACGCTGCAAATAATACCTTTACATGTATCATGAAGACGTCAAGTCAGGCACAGTCAGGGATACCGTCATTTGAGATTAACTCACACAAGCATTCCACCATGATTCACGGGAGAATACGTCATGTTGGGCCATTCCCAGTACTAGAACAAGCTCTAGCCCATCGTCTTAGATAGGAACAGAAGAATAAATTCACCAACTGTGGGATCCAGTAGGCAGACAGGTCGTCTTTCACTTTGCATGTGGTACAATTGGAGCCGCGCATGTCCTTAAAATCCGAGGAGAGCCCAATATCTGAATGGCACCATTAAATTCGCGATCGGTCTTTTTCTTCACCGAAATACGCACTGCTACCGCCCATGATGGTATGGGAATGGCTGCTAGGTTTCCCCGGACTGACAATAGCGTCGTACCTCCCATTAAGGATTGGTTTGGCACAAGGCATTCGGAAGAACGCGTTCGCACCAGCAGCGAGAAGTAAAAGAGCAGAAGAGACAGGACGAAGCATGACGGATGTTTAAAAGAATGAATGTGCGTCGGGCAACAAGGTATTTTTTGGGGAAGAGGTTCTCCATGCAGCACGGCCCTTTATGCGTTTGCGTCCAGCCGTGTCAAACCCGATCGAATATCAACAATTGATGGCACTCGATCGGAAGATGTCGGTCAGACGTTACCAGAGTGAATGCGAAGTCACAACAACGCTTTGCCACGTTTGATGTCACCAACTACTCGCCCGATGATAGTTCCTGGAGCTAGGAACCCATTTTCACCACGCATTGAGAAAAGTAGTTCCATGATTATATCGTGTCTGCCATGAGGTTTTACCATTAAAAAAATGATTTTTCCCTAGATATTCATCAGAGGTACGTCCGCTTTTTGCACCCGAATCCCGTTTGATTCAGCTCGCTCTTCAATATTTTTGACCCATAATCTGTAAATCCCATATTTTTGGCTTTGGACACCTATGTAGATACGGAATTGGAATCTTTGCAAGTGTATACACGATAAGAATCTTGTTCTATATATGTATTCGACGGCCTCCAGTTTAGAAGGCTGTGGTGGCACTTTGTGAATGACGTGATTAAAGCCGATTCCTCTCAGTTCTCACCAAGCCGGAGGTGATGGTCTATAAAATGACACCATAGTCGACATAATCCTGCGGTGGTGCAGGATATTTCATGATTTTATCATGGATCTACTTTCCTCAGCGTGCATGGTTTCGACTAAATTATCGAGAGCAATCGCAGTATCCCAGACCCACGGACTTCTGCCCAAAGTGATAGGTAATATCGGAAAGTGATGCAACCACTGAAGTGATCAAAGGAGAATCATCCAAACAGTAAAGGAAAAGAAAACAGAGCTCAGCTCAGTCTGAGCGTCATACAAAGCTCAAAGGCGACATAAACTGGCCATACTTGACAACGACCAATGCAAGAAATGACGCCGAACCCGCCGAACCCGCGCACGATGGCCTTTCAAAGATCGGTCATTTTATTCCCACAGCCGGAATCGATCGACATGCATGCATCACTTCGGTCACATATTTAGTTCTCGCCCCGTCCGCTATGGCAACGCTTCACAATATCTTAGCAATTTTCCTGGTTTACATTTTCGTTTCCCAGGGCCAGGATATTCCACAAGGCGGCACCTGTAATCCAAGTGCAAACCGCGTAGATCCTGCAACTCACCGCTGGGTGTCCGACTGCAACAGCAAAACATTTTGTGACGGAGAGCTATGCCAGCTCAAGGGCTGCCGTACTCATGAACTTGATAGCAGATACGACCAGGGCGATGTACTTATCCCGCCGCTCTGTCCACAAGGCCAGTTTTGCCCTGACGCCGAAAGCCACTGTCAGCCGGTCCGTGGCGCTGGAAACCATTGTGAGCTCAACCGTGATGGTATGCGATTTTGGAAATCGTCCCGTTGCTCCCTCCATCTTCCCTCCCAACAGATCAATGCATATCCCCTCCAAACTGGCAGCAGTCTCAAAGCAGTATGAACAATGGCGGCGCTATATGTCTCAATTTCCAATGCATGTGAGGCAATAATCAAGGTTTTCTCCTCACCCCCGATCGAACGGCCCACTAGGTTTGCGAATGTTTCTCTCGGTCAACCCTGCGTCATGGACACCACGTTATACCTGGCCCTCTCCTCGACGGGTCGTCAGCTGTCAAATACCATTTATAGGGATAACTGTATGGCCCCTGGGCTCTACTGCGATCTCAAGTCTTCTACGTGTGCATTTGCAAAGTTGGTCGGAGCTAGTTGTGCAAGAGATATCGAGTGTAGATCTGTATGGTGATGTCGTTGATCTAAGGGACATCACTGATTGATCTTCATATGCCGAAGTACAACTGTGGACTACGAGGACTCTGCGAAGTACCGCCGGGGAGTCCTGTAGAGCTTAGTCCTCTGACGGTGTGTACCAATAATTAGGATCCTAAAAGATGAAGTCTGGCCGACTGCAGCGTCTTCGTCGCCGTAGTATAGTGTTATTTTGACGCTTCTATTCTTGGGAATCGTATCGGTCATCGTGTCCCTATATTTCATCCATTCCCGTCAACGAATCAAACGCCAAAAGGAATTCAAAAAGTACTTCAGGGAACAAACTTCGTGAGTTCTCCAGTTTATATCACCATCGCACCTCCTACAGCCGGATTATTATGTTAGGTTTCGTGATTCCATCATTTCGTTGCATTCAGCTGCTCGCTTCCGACGAACGCGCCCCTCTAGCCAACCATCACCACCCGAGCATGTCCCTTTAGTTTCCGTTGCAGAAAATCGGCAACGACTCGGTGCTCCCCCAGCGATTCGGGTCCAGCCGTCTAGTAACAGTGGATCATCTTATACTCCCACCCTTCATTAGAACAATTCACGAAAGCAATAAAATATGTATTTTGTTCGTCTCCGGACACGGCGCTGCATTTCTCTTTCATATGTACGTCGTCACTCTTGCATTTTGAAGATAGTTGTGGCGACGCCATAAGGTAAGATGGCAGACAGTGACCGATAATCCAGTCAACTCAAATAGGTTAACCCTGAATACATATGCACTATGGCATCCAGTCCCCGAACGTACCCTTACTGAGTTGACGTCACCACTAACCCAGTCCCCACGCAACTGGTGAACGCCACCTGTCGCGTCAATTCTAAATGGCCGCTACCCTTTATTTTTGAGTGCTTGGGTCTAATATAATCATTTATCGTTTAAAAAGAACCAAAATATAACTCATAAGATGCGCATGATGTGATATGGTGGCGGGGGGCAGCCAATGCCGTACGAGTACGGGATCACTATAAAAGTAATACTTAAGTCATTGCAAAGCACGATGAACTTTTCTTGTCTGGTTGTTGAGGATCGTGCATTATTTGATTGTTCAAGAGCGAGGACCCACAAATACAATGTACACAAACTTTGGAAAGTCGGTAGGTAGTTGGACCGGTAGTGTGAGACGAAGGGCTGGAATCATCCTGAAGATGTATAATCCATGACTCAGCACGACATCTGGCTATGAGCCTTTTCAGAATGCTCGCAAAGTGTGACGGAAGTATGGTAATTCGGTAAAACCACTGCAGGCGAAAATCGGAGCGCTCAGGTTCCTGGCCAAATACCTGGCTCCTAGTGGGTTTATTGGAGCTGCAGGGTAATCTGGGGGTAACCACCAAGTATTCGACTTGATATTCATGCATCTTACCTCTACAATACCGGTTCCCCATCACAGCACTACAAGTGTTGTGGTCGACATATTGCACTAGTATACATCACACACATATCGAAAGATGCGATGTCATCCTACCGAGCACGAAACGATGCACCGTTGGACCCAATTGATCCCATAGTAAGTTATCAAATTATCAAGGTCACCGGTTAAAGTCATTGGACAACGACACGGCTAACAGAACTATGTGACAACGTTTGCTAGGAGACAAGTGGATGCCAGTTGAATTGATGGGAGTCCCTAAGGAGCGAAAAAAAAATGAATCGTGGTGAGCCAACTATCACATTAATGCAGATAACCCAAGGCGCAATGACAGAATCAGTGAAAAATGTATTCGTATCACGTTGGGATGCCAGTATGCAAGGCGTTTGCACACTTTGTAATGACATCCACCCTCAAACGCAACTTACTTGCAAATCATCATGGAAAGCCAAAAAAAAAAATGACACATTGCTCACATCGCATTCATAACGAAACAACACCATGTCCAAGAATATTCGAGGAAATGATTCGTGTCATCGTGGGTGAAAGGGATGAAGAATGAAGAGAAGTTTTCTACTGAATTCTAGTCTGAATTGGCCTTATATGGTCCCACAGCGGACCTTGCCGAATTCCGAAAAGGTGTTTGCCCCTTGCTCTGACACAAGACATACCAGTCCAACTAGCGTGAATGTGATGTAAGGGTTCCGAGATGAGGGGGACTCCACTCGGCCATGCGGCTATGTCGGGCTCCCCGAGCCTTTTGACTCATTGAAGGCAACGGCATCTGCACTGTCCCCTCTGCGCAGGACGATAGAGCTTCACACCAGGACACGATCGGTCGTGTAAGATAAGGATATTAGGCTATGACTTGAGAGCAGGTGGCAACTAGAACGGGAGTCCTTGACGAGGTACACATTAGAGTCACTGTTAGAACCGAGGCATGACTTACCTATCATAAACACCGAGGTCTGCATGTGAATCTGTGCAGAGTGTTAGCTGGATCTGTGGGTCTCAGTAGGGAACTCACGAAACAACACTCTTAAATCTTCTGCCACTTTGCGCCTTGACAATGATTGGGGAATCTCTTCCAATGGACCTTGATGTCAACGGTAGGCATGGTTCATTGGGGTCATTAAGGCATCCTTCCTTCTGGTATAATGGTTAAAATCGAAGCCCTGGGCCTTGTGGGATTTTAGGCAGAACAAGGATGGGACTGATCAGGGACTCGAAGCTTGGGGTACCGTTCTATTGCTTCCCGAGGGCATGCCTGGAGGATCTCCGCTGTTTTATGCAGGTGTTGTTGGTGTGCGAATGCACTTCCCTTCTTCTCTGACATATCGTGTTCACAGAAGATGCAGGAGGTTCTCTTTCTGTCCGAGTGTATGGTAATTACGGGCCATGCATTATGACCACGTTTCGAAGTGTGGACGTTCATTTGGGGGGATCTGGTTTCGGTGACGCCGTGCTTCTCGAAGATGGTGTAGTCGCAATAATCCGTATGGCGACTCTGGAACTTCCGCGTCTTCGGATAAATGTACATCCAGCCGTCTCCATCACATCGGCTGCGTCGTTGTCGGCAGAAACATCTGGAAGACCAAACCTCCGCAAATCATCTCAGTGCTGACTGTTTGCTTCCAGACCTTCGGCCACTGGAAATACAGTGGTTTCGCTTTCTATGGGCGTCCTGTTCGCCGGTACCATATCAGAGGCAACGGTGGCTCGCCTTGTGGCCAAATGGCAGTCAGAAAAGCACCAACGAATGCTCCAATTACTGAGGCATCTGCTGGAATGCATGGAACAGTGACACCGACCAAAGTGACGACCAATGGGGACAGCGCTGAACTTCAGCAGCGGTATGTCAGGACAGGGATGGGCGTTACTGCTCCAGGCAGTTTCTTTACACGAAAGGCAACAGCGCCATTTGCTACGTTGTCTTCACTGAATGACAACTTGAACAGCGAATAAAACGGATGAATCGCCTGGTTGATCATCACCCTCGCTGAGTGCTAATATGCAATGCATCGATTGGAATCGATCACACAGAGACCTTCATCGGGTAAGTTGCCAACTACGTTCCCTAAGAAACAGACATTGCCCCGACAAATCGCACCTATAGTGACAATGACGGGTGTAGTCCTGAACAGTTCCTATGAGACAGTTTTGCTCACGCGGGTTACGGGGCACCACTCTCTAGCTGGAATGATTCGCGAACGGAGCCTTGTTTTGCAGTTGACTAAGCCCTTCATGAGGAAGTTCATTAGAAGCATTTCTTCCGGTACATAACGGAGTTGCTGCGGGGAGCGTCAAACTGTCAAGCCCGGAGGGAGACGTGCCCGAATGTATTTCCGAAGCGTGGGATGCTCGTAGACAAAGGAGCTGCGATTAACGATTGGAAGCTACGAACAAGTGCTTATGGACCGTGATTTTGAATGTTGACAGATGGGACGGAGCACAGCAAGCCAGCAAACTCCCTAGTCCGTCGCCGTTTGGCAGTGATTCTGGTCTTTCCTGCAGTTCGTGGTTCCGATCATGCATCGAGCTGTAGCCCGTTTCATCAAACCCAGAGTTTGGATCACTTGCGCTAGAAAGTTGCTCTAATTCCAAAATGGTTATAACAGAGTAGCCGGCCGCCTCTTGCTAGCCAAGTCGCACGGGAGTGCAATGTGGAGTGCATTGGGAGTGGTGTCTCGAGCCTGATGACGTATCAACTTTGCTCCCAGTGTTTGGTCGGGGGGAATTCGCACACGAGCAAACCAGGGCTCATTACACGGCGTACGCATTCCAGGTCTCAGTACCTTATGGTGGGTTCAGCGACTTGAAAAGCGGGCCTAAGGTCCCGTGCGATCTCTGCTGTACCATTAGGTCCAAAAATTCCCGTTCACGCGTTCTTTTTATTTCCCGTTATCGTACCCCCCAAGGCTCGGTAAGTAGTATTTGGGTTGCCACAAGGGATGAAGTCAAGGAGTCTATTCGAGTTGTTGCAGATCGCCGCACTGCCTTGCAAACGTAACGCCGATGGAACAGGCGCCGCTCTGACGTCGAAGACAGTAGAGTGATCGGAATAACGGATCCCGACGGGGATGCCTGCCCCCCCTAAAACGGAGCAATACATACAATGAACTGGGAAATGCCACGCCTTGCCCGCAATGCTCCCTCGATCAGACAGCTTGTGAAGCTACTTCTCGCCTCTAACTGAAGGTATTTTGTGCTCTTGGTCCTCATCTTAGGAAACATCACTGTTCGCCAATGATTGTTCTGACAAGGCTTTCCACGAATTAAAAAATGACGTTTAATTCCTTTCAATGAGGAATCAAGACAATAAATTCAGAGGGTACTGCGGATGAAGATGGCTTGCGTACTCTGGTGACGCACAGCCAACCTGAAGCAACTTTTGAAGACGTCGACAATGAGTCAACGGGTCATCGGGGTACAAGGATGGGCCGCGGAATTGCTGGGGAGAGTTGCGCACAAGTAGATATGACCAATTCAACCCTGTAAGGTCCTTCGCCATGCTTGTAATGCCAATAACTGAGCTGGACCGGACGTATGAAAGGTCGGCCAGAGCTTGGATAACAAACGGCAAGTAACCTTTAACTCCTGTTGTTACCACACCGCAAAGCCATACCACAATGTACATACGCGCGAACGTATGGTGCATCACGTTTCCCATTCCTCCCACATGAGATCCGACTCGTTCCACGTTTGATCGGACAAGGCTGAAGTTTCCACGATCTCAATCAACTCATCAGATAAACCGAAATCATCGTCCTTCCCTCCTCTTCTCGCAACTAGGGTCGGTCCATCCCCTTTAGCCAATTTCTGAAGAAGGCGTACCTCCTTCCCTTCTATTAATTGTATTAGTCGACCAGTGGGGATGTGCCTCACTTCAATATCCGTGTGGCCGACGAGAAGTACGTGGGGCCCGCGAGCAACGAAAGAGTGTATGGGAGTCTCCCACCGAACAAAACCGTTCTTTCGTGTTGGGCTGCCATGCTTGGTGATGTAACATCCGAAAGCTATGAAAGAAATCAGCTGACAAAGCTGCAGGGGAACGAAGACGGCTTGCTTTCGTAAATGAGCATAAGTTCTACTTCGCTCGATTGGACCAACCCCAACACTCGGGAGTCGAGACAGCGGTCTCGAAGCATCTGTCTCGTTGTGGGGCTAGAGTCCTGTATAGGGGCACTCCAGTCGGGGATGACTTGGAGTTCGGGAGGGCGTATCCTGCATGGAACCCATTAGAGAGTAATATCTGCACGTTAAATACATACTGTGCTGGCTCAATAATGATGATCCCTCACTCGTAGCAATCGCCAAGGTTTTCCGGAGCATTGCCACACTGTAAGCGTCCTTTGGGACATAGAACTGCTGCAGGGATTGACAGATGAGTCACAGTCACGAGAATCCGGTAGTTCTTCCGTACAGAACCATATGGACGAAACGTGGAGACCGTGTCACCATCGTTCGGTCTCCGCGTGGCCTCTCCCTCACGCGGCCCTGGAACAGCTTCAAGAGCCTGCATTGTGTAGTGTCTGAACCCTTTCGCTGCGTAGACGACTGGAGACTATAAGATCTTCGGGTCAGAAAACTGAGAAGATACCTACCCAACGTCCGTCCAGACATCTCCCCTGCACCAAAGAAAGTGACATTAACGTCCCGATCAGTCAATCGTTCCATTGAATTGGCGAACGATTCTTGTGAAAACGTTCCTCCTATCAAGCCAGTCAGGATGTGGAGATTGTAAGATTGCAATGTTGAGCCATGCAGGAGAACAAGTATCCCAAACTTCGAAAGAGTTGTCATCGAAGTGACGCCTGAGAGTGGGAGAATCTTCTTGAAGGCTGAAATTCTTCAACTTTCAGACTATCTGAACAATTTGGATTCGACTCACGAGGGTTTGATCTCTGTTCTGAAGCATAAATGCCTTGTCCTGTAGCAACAATCAAGTGGCTTCGTCCGCTATGAACTAAGAAGAATGAGTCCTGAACTCAGAAAGACACTGACAGGTTCGCGCACCGAACGTTGCAGCACTCGTGATGCGTCCAGTGAAAGTTGCTTTGCTGTTAGACGGTACCTTGATGGTTGGTGACCGAAACGTGTTATCATCAATCGTCGTAGGGGCAAACCACTAAGTTTGGCGATGACGTGAGATCAAGGGACTGGAAGAGGCAATACTGATAACCCCAAAGCCTACCTTGTTCCCATCCTGATGCGCCTTCCGCACTCCGAGGGCATTGAAAATCGTTTCATACCATTGTATCCTTGAAGTCTCTGAATGGGTATAAAATGTGTACCTTCTTTGTACGTCGCATTTGTGAAATACGGTGAAAGGATAGACTGCTTTTGAGGGTGAACTGCTGAAAATCCGCAATGATGAGCCTCCTCCCTCCTCTTTACGGCTCTCCGGAGGATCTGCGAACTTTCCCAACCCCATACAATCTAAAGGCAATGGCTACGCTCCGTTTAAGTGCATGATCATCGACTACATAATTTAGGTGGGGTTCTCACGCGGCTGACAAGGATGTGAGCAACTACACCATTCCTTGCTTCTTCAGAAGTGATAACGACTGAAATATTTATTAGGCCATCGGAGAACCAGAGGTTGCTGAATAACTCACAGTAATTGTCCAACAATGCAATGTGCACATCGCTCCACCCGCTCCCGCCACCCAATTCATATTCGCCTCTGCTTCGACGAGCCACTTTTCCGGCCTTAACGAGGTGCCGTTGATTGTCATACAGATCCATGTCAATGATTTCCCCCGGCGATAGACCAGGCTTTCGCAGAGGCTCCAAAGTTTAACTTTGGCATCGGCCACTGCTATACCAGGCTGGGTGCTCCTATCCACGATGGTGAGCCCTGAGCAAGCGACAATAACCGAAAACATACTTCACGAAATCTTGAAGTATGTTCAGGGTAAGAGGCATAGCATCCTGGTCAGGATGCTGGGCATCAGTCAGCTTCAGTATGTGCTCAAGCTGAAGCTGTACTCTGGTAGACGTGTGACAGGCCGTGAAATCAAGGATATCAAATCTCGTTTTCGTAATAATGGATTACTTAGCGCCTGTTGGATAAATGATGCGTAGGCTTTATTGGATTTAAGTTCGCGTCGGTGTCGGCTCTCAGAAATAGGATATTGCTAGCGTGCCTAAATGAGAGATTCGTCTTGATGTTTCCAAGCGAATACCTACTTTGATGTAGACCTCGTAGTCCTGCTGGAGGCTCAGAGCAGCATCTAGTTCGATATCCGCGATACTCGATACGAGGGGGTGCTGGTCTGCTTGGCGCATATACAGTGCTTTGAGGCAAATCCTATGGCGAGAGAGGATGTCCGTGATGTTCTGAAAGACTTCATTCCGAAACGTCCGCAGCTGCAACTCGGGGCCGATGATTGGAGGATCCGCCGACATCAATGGATCTATAAAAACCTGCTCCGTCAACCTGGCGAGCGAGGAAGCAAGGCATCCAAGCTTACCTCGGATACGATCTCGAGCTGGCATGAAAAGCATGTTCAGTGACGACCAAAAGCGGATGACCAGCGCAGCAATTCTCACATCTCTAACGTAATCTTTCTCGCTCTTTATGACTTCAAAAATGACGGATTGACGTTGAACTTCGTTTTTTGGCAAAGTATCGCGAAACTCGACAGATACCAGCCTGTGCCATTCACAGTCTGACTCGGGTAATGACCCTTCCTGGAACCTTTTGATGCCGTCTTGCAAAAATTCTTGCTCTCGCCTTCCGTGGCCTTGTCAGCACACACACAATTTCTGGAACCACGTACATACTCTTGTTCAGTAAGTCCGGGCGTCCGAGCTCTTCCTGGGGTAGGGGGGCCAGCCGAGGGTGCGGCTCCCGGTAGGCGTCTCAGGGTAAGAGGTGACTCTTCGGCTGTTAGCCGGGATGAGCCAGAAGATGTCCTGAGTCCGAGAGGAGGCCTGTTAAGGGCTCCCACTTGTCGATTACCCCCACTCCGCGAAGGTACGAGTACGTCCTCATCAGACGGCATTGAGGTAATGACCACAGGGAGTGGAGACATCACTTGAGGCTCTGGATCCAGTATTAGCTGTTGTTGTTGAGGGATAAAAGGCTCAGGGAACCGCCACTGGTTGACAGTTGGAGTAGCTTCTCGCGTCGGAGTTGTGGCTCTCGAGATAGCACGGACTAATTGTGGCGGCTGTACCTGTGACGACACATAGGCAGGCTCATATATATTGACATAGTCATCGTAATACTGGATTCCGGAAGGATTCTGCTGCGGAGGCAGTGGCATGGGTGGTAGAGGCTCGGCACTTCGTGTCCTTGTTAATGGGGCACGCGGACGGGGCGATGGGCTAAGGAAATTAGAACGCCCATCAGGGGGCGGAGAATGCCACACGCTGTGATCAAGCGCATCGTGCTGAAAGCAGCGGTGAGTTCACGAACCATGCTCCAACCCGCGAGACTCATGCAACACACCTGTGCGACACGGGCTGGGTTTTCTGTTTGCCTAGTGTCTCGATTGTCCTTACGCACGGTTCGCGACTTGAACGTATGCATAATATCGGGAGGAGTCAGAGGTTTCCGATGTGGCACACGTGACAAACAGTGTGATTCAATTCGATGACCAGTGTGTCATCCTCTTCACCAGCAACGTCAACCTGCCCCGTTACCTTAATTTGGCAACGGTATCGAGAATACATTGTCATCGTAGGATCTGGCTATGGTTGTTCCCAAAGTAGAAATGAAGGATGACAGTCTTTAATGCAAGAGAACCCGACATACTTAAACGTACCATCCTCTGGTCGCGCACGCGTGCTAGTGCGATGGCGAGAAAAATCCATAATCCATGATCGCCGCATCCACCAAGCATGGTTCGCAGGAACAGGAACAGGCGCGAATAAGCAGGGATGAGAAATGTGGCGGAATCTGCTCACTGCCAGGCGAAATAACCGCACAGACCCGTGTCGTACCCAACGCATCCACAACACTGGGGTCTATTCAACATATGCACAACATAGTGATATGGGTAATGGGAAGACCCTGATCTGTTGTCAAATCGGACTTCCGAACTCGAGTTTGGAAGCCATTCCAATGCATTTCCCAGACATGACGGCAGGAAGCAACGCGTAAAATAGCTCCCTCCATTGGGAGTGGGTTTCAATCATAAATGACATCGCTAAATCTCATTCCTTAGACTACGAAGGCAGTAGAAGCATACAAGGCTCGTTTTACGAGAGGCCGTAGCCCCGATAGGCGTGAATGGTGAAATAGCCAAGGTGTGAATTCGGTATGCCAGGAGTAGGAAGCCTCGCGGCTTCGTGAAAAGCGAATTCGCGGCGAAAGCACTGGATCTGACGCCACGTGAGATCGCAGTTCGGGCAGAACCGTTCAGATTGTATCCAATTCTTTCTCGACTCCAGCAAAAACCGCTTAGCATTCCTTTCCTCCTTCACAGCGTTCAAACGCTCCCCTGCCCACAATACCTAGACCAAGGGATAGCGATCTTCGACTCCTGAGTCTTCAGTAAGTTGACACTTTTCTTCGTGACCGCTGGCTTCACTCATCTGCTTTTTCATCGAGGTGGTCTTCTGTCCGTGGTATGCCGGTGTATTATCTCGTTCAGCCTATTGCTTATCGATCCTATATTCCCTTAGGAGAGCCCCCCTAGCACCTACTAAGAGAAAAGTGAAGCCAGCCGATTTTTCGCCCCCTTTGCCGGCTCGCCTTCAAAATCTCTGCAGTCAAATTTTCCCTTTACTTTATCCTCGTCCAGGGAGCGAGGGACCCCCCTTCTTCTGACACCTCTACTTGGAATCCCTTTGCCCGCCCGGTTTATCCGTGGCGGTCAGAATCGCATCTGTAAAAAGTAATAATATCCACCTGTGGCCAGCGCACTTTCCGGCACTGAAGTCCCATCACCACGTGGGATGTCTCAGCTCTCTGTGCTCCTTGCGACATCCCCTCGAGAATTTCCAGGCGTGTTGCTCAGTGAATCCTATGGGATATCCCGATATGTTTCAATTGGTAATGTGGACGCGAAAATCGCGCACGATGATCTCGGTGCCTCCAGCCTCCCCATACTTCCTCCCGAACATGAACAATTGAAGGGGACATTTGTGACTCCTGAAGTCTATATCTCAGGTCTTCCTCCTCTAGCACGAGGCCATCGTTCTGACCTCCTTTGCTCGCTCTTGTTGCAAGCCACAATCGACGCCGAGGCAAACAAGCCCAACGCTGAAAGGGCATTTTTTGTTGCCGACTTAGGTCAAGTTTATAAACAGTACGTTCGGTGGAAACGATGTCTCCCTGGTATTGAGCCCTTCTACGGTGGGCAGCTTCCACTAAATATGCGGAGAAGCAATCATTAACCACTGAATCCTCAGCTGTCAAGTGTAACCCTGATCCTTATGTGTTACGCCTCCTCGGGGCGCTAGGGACAGGCTTTGATTGCGCTTCGCATGGGGAAATCAATTTGGTAACGGAGATTGGTGTAGACACCTCTCGGATAATCTATGCCAACCCTTGCAAGTCTCTTTCCTTCATCAGACATGCCGCCAGAGCCGCAGTTGACATGATGACCTTCGACAACACCGACGAACTGCTCAAAATTTCCAGTGTGTTCCCGACCGCAAAGCTTGTCGTGCGCATTTTGACGGATGACTCCAAAAGTCTTTGCCGACTGGGACTCAAATTCGGTGCACCACTTGCGACCGTTCCCGCCCTCCTGGAAGTCGCTCGTGAATTGGGGCTGGATGTTATTGGCGTGAGCTTCCATGTAGGCAGTGGCTGCTACGATTCCAATGCTTTTGCGGATGCGGTCAAGCGTGCACGCACAGCGTTTGACATGGGTGCGGAAGCTGGGTATCGTTTCACCCTTTTGGACGTCGGTGGAGGATTCGAGAGCTTCAATTTTGAAACCACTGCTGGGGTGCTTTCACGGGCTCTGGAAACCCACTTTCCCTTCGCAAAGAGGGACGGAGTGAGGGTCATCGCGGAACCAGGGCGTTACTTTGTCTCTTCTGCATTTGTACTCGCCACGAACATCATTGCTCGGCGCGTGAACCCAGCCCAACCACAGGTCGTGTGCGAAGCGGCGGCGGAAGTGATGGAGAGCGTGGAAGCACTGGAGGAGCTCATGGCGGATGAGGCAAATCAGCCAAAAGTAATGTGTAAGTATCATTGTCGTGACCAAACTGCTAAGCGTGGATGGGCTAGGAGTATGTGCTCACTGTAATTTCCCATTCCTTGCGGGACAGACTACATCAACGACGGGGTGTACGGCTCTTTCAACTGTATCATGTTCGATCATCAGAAAGTGACCCCCTATCCCCTCACTATTGATCGTTCAGTCCTCCCTATTATCCATCTCCAGGGGCCTGGACACTTGAATGACAAAGATGATCTCGTACTTTCGAGCGTGTGGGGACCTACGTGCGATTCCATCGACTGCGTTGCTCCCCTTGCAATGTTGCCTGGCAGACTGGCATCGGCGATTGGCTTGGTTTTGACGACATGGGTGCCTACACTCGTTGTGCTGCGAGTCGATTCAATGGGTTTGACGTGTCGGAGGTCCATTACACGTGTGGGGTGGGCAGGGAAAGCGCCGCTGTTCGTGCGGCGCTTGCGAAGTACAACGATGATGACGATGGCACTGATGAGGATAATGAGGGTGATGATTATGACACACCCCTTTAGATGAACTCTCCCCCTTAGAGTGGGGGATAGTCGCAAATAGGACGGACATCAACCATTCCCCTTCCCCCGGATAATCGTATAAATCGACCTGGATTCTGAATATCCAGCTTATCCAACTGCTTGTTTTCACTTCCCTTCAAGCCTGGGCAATGCCCGCTGAAAATGTCTAGCCTGACCTTATATCCAAAAATGTTTTCTTTTTGGTATCAATAATTTTTCCGTCTACACGCCGACCCCTCCTTCGATGTTTAGGACACATTCTTCTTTTGTTAATACTTTCCCGGCACTTCGACTGGGGTTTCCATTTTTTGCGAGATACGAAACTCTATTCCATTTCCACGTTACCTATCTTTCCCCGTTACTTTTGCCGAGAGGGTACCGCAATCGCTCAAAGCATCCGTTCTACTTCATCCTTCTTCCACCCAACTGCCACGATCACAATATTCTCGTCAGAACTTCGGCTGATCGCATTATCTTTCGCACCGGATATAAACAACTGCCCTCCGTTTGTTGCTAGTTAGACGTTGAAAGGTTGCAGTTTTGTCTCAAGCTCGCCTGCTGTGTGCCACCGGTTGCCCTTAGCCTGTTACCCTGCTGTCGTCCTATTGTCGGCAACGAAACTGATTCCTTAGCATGCATTGTACTCTGCAAAAATGTTCGTGTGTCAGTTCCTTCTGGACTGGATTAATGCATGGGTGTTAGAAATATTGTCAATCATCTTGACTCTCGCCTCGCCTACACATAGATTAATTACAGATCAGCAGGACAATCTTATTCGATACAACCGACCGATAAGCTCACTGATCTTGCCATCCCTCGTAAGAATGAGGCATCTACGGCTGTACCCCTACGCGGTTCGTGTTGTGATTCTTGCAGAGTGCTTGCACATCTATATCCGAACGGTCGAATTGATGAACACCGAGAATGACAGCCAAATTAGGGTGAGTGCGCCACTTGCACGAGCCGCGCCTGTCTGGCGTGCAATGCTTTATTTGCTCCGCGAAGGGGGGCAAAGATAAGCACGAGAGAAAGAGAGAGGCCGGATCAAGGTTGAACTACATCCTTTTCGGGTACAGTTCCAGAAACTACGATGTTCCTTATCATGCCACGCGGGACCTGCTGACAGTATGAACTCTCAGAATCATGTACTGACCATCGAAAATCGATACCGAAGCACATGATAACGACGGCAATCGCGCCTCTGGACCTCGGAATGGAGAAACACAGCGTAAGATTATTTGCCGTGGAGAGCAAAAAACTCTTTTCAAGTTTTTGGCTATTACTGCCGCTGCTGATGCTGCTGACACACGCATATGTAGCTCCCCGATCACATTCGAACTTGAAGATCCGCTGGACCGGGAAATTAAGTTAATACATCCCCCCAATTGGGAGTCAAGTAGAAGAACTGCTGACCAGTGGGAAGCTAGCTGGATTCTAGGTGAATTGGCCCGCTCCCCTGTGTGGCAGGAATCACCAAGATCCACGAAAGGACGAAAGGACGAAAGCAGGCAGGGTTTAAGCGGGTACTGTCTATCAAGTAATAGTAAGACAAACACACACACGTTAGTGTTAACATGCGCCGGGTCATTAGCTGCGCAGCGCGCGCACAGCACGCAGCCACATCTATATACTTTCATGCACCACCGGCCCTTCCTGGCCATGCAGGATCCAGAAAGAATATTGGTCAGCTTCTTGTTTCCTTAGCTTTGAAGTCATGGAGCTGTTGCGCATAATCTATGAGTTAAGCAACAACAATAGAACGGTCCAACCGTTAGCCGTCGCGGCTTATGTGATCGGGCTCGAGGGGGTAGCCGTAGCCGTTACATAGGAAGGTTTATCCCTCGAGAAGTGAGACATTTACCCGAGTATGATAAAAGTCGATATGTACCAATTGGAACCATCTGCATACCCACCGGATGTAGGTACCATAGTATCCATAGCGCTCGTCGGAAGAGTCCAGTAGCTTATTGTGGGATAGTATATCGGGTGCATGAGATAGGAGGGATCAGTGTGAATTACGTTGCCTGATACAGAAGACGGGTCAACGTTAGAATTCGTTTGTGCCAGGAATCAAACACGAGCCAACCAGCTGACAGGCCCTATAATCCCTGGCAAGCTATGTGGCATGGCATCTATTCTGTGTGGAGCCCATGCATCTAGAGCTACAGGCAAGTTGGCCGATCGCCCTTTGCATGGGATCGGTGTGAAAATCCGGATCAGAACCCATCGCAGTAGCTGCAAATCAACAGTCACCAAGTTACTATGTTCGTAACCAGCGGCGTCGACTAATAAGCACTCGCCTCGCACCCGATGACCAATCATATCATGTCACCTGGCCGCGCGTATATCATACCATTCCAACGCTAGTTGTTTTTATTACCACGCGTTCCTTCTTCCCCTCACACGCGTGCATTAATACGTGGGTCGGTTATTGGGGGGTGCTGTGCTCAAGCCCGAAACAGGTGAATGCGAAGCGAGAGCGAGAATCAAGGTGCCGCGCGGCGAGGTCCCCTAACAAATGCTGCCGACGTCGCGACGTCGGTTGGCGAGGCAACGACATGAGATGTTTGACTTGTTGCGGGGCCAAGGCACAACGAACGCAAATGCTTATAAATGGAAAGAAACCAGATTTTTGCCTCGATTTCATATTTGCAGACGTGCGCGCGCGCACGCGCGGTGCAGAGGTGATGCCATAAGGGAAAAACTAACTCATGTAAGTCGTTATTTGTCGCCACAACATCGCATCTTGCCGAAGATGCACAAATATCCACACAACCCAAACTGGTGGGTTAGGCGAGACCAAAAAAAAAAAGCAATCAGTTATGCTGCGCTGGCAGAATCCTTTTCCCGTTGGATAGACAGTTAAATATTACTGACCCAGAGACGGGTAGCTGAGCACGGATGGGGTTATGTTGAAATCAAGGGGCCCGACCCTTGCCCAAATCCGCCCCCGTCTGTATCCCATCAACAACGTACCAAAACCAAAAGGAGCAATGTTTTCTTTCCCCGAGGAACCCATTTGATGCCCAGGGTTGATTCTTTAAACGTTTACAGCAACTTTTCACGGGAAGTTCCGAAGCGTTCTTCATCCTTTTCGGTAGCATTGCCACGCGAACGGAGGAACCTGGCAACGGAAGTAATTCTATCGTGTAAATTACAATGCAATCTCGTAAACGGCAGCAACCCGAACTTTCCCGGAACAACTGCCCCTTCAATACAAAACGTCTTTGCTAATCCTGATTACATATGCCATTTAAAAATTTAATTAATGCCTTCGGGCGGGGCCCGGAAGCGGATCAGCTTATTCTCATCTGGTCAACTGCGCGATGATGCACAGAGAAGCTTCAACCAGGGCCAACAGCCAACAGTACTACTCGGATTTCCATTCGGAAAGTCATATTATCCTGTCAAACAATTCACCAGCGGTGGTCTACGCAACAGCTGTACAGCTGTAAGCCCTACTCTACATAAATGGGTTGTATCTTATCAAGCACACTTACCTAAACAGGCAAGTCACAAAGTCGAAGATGGCCTAGAAGTTAGGATAGCAATGTGTGGACGTGTGTAACAATGGATTGCAAATTGGCATTGTATTGATTGACACGAAAGAATGGACTTTCTTCTGTTTGGGAGACTGGTATTGTGAACAACTGGCTTGCAAGGGAAGGGGGAAAAGAGAATCTAACGTAGTGTGTCACCATCTCAAATCTATCTATCCTCAGAGTAATGGAAGTGAGAAGAAAAAAAAAAACAGGGCAAGGCAACATATCTTAATGAAATAGATTTGAATTAGATCCAACCATCGGATTATGATGCGGCTGCCAACCTGCCTTGCGACCCCGTATGACCTGGCTAGGAGATACGGTATACTGGCGTTACCAAGCAGTGTATCCACTGTGGAGATATCAAAGTAAGCATGGTTCATCCATAACCACAATGAACGTAACGATCCAACGACGAACGACGAGTAGACAACGTCAAGCCATCGCAACGATTCGAATTGCGAGTATGTAAAAAAAGAAACGGAATGATCAGCATGTTTATATTGAGAGAAGCGGGGAAGAGGGGCTCAGAACAAGGGGGATTCCGTTCCCCCCTCAGCCCAAAAAAGCCAGAAATACAAGAACAAACGGTCTGCTGACTGCGTGCAGTGCAGGGTGTTTGTATGTATAGGCGTGTGGGTAATGCGGAGCCGAGACCGTATACGTACCCATCAATTATGATGTCAGACCCGGTACAGAAAGCACTCGCGTCCCTGCAGTAACGAGTGAGCAGCATTCACGCGAAACGATGATGTAGTATGATGATGATACCAAAGACAATTAGAAGCTGGGGAGGGGATTGAAGATATCTTTCATACGTACGACGCAAGATATAGGGCAGCTCCGTTTAACTCGGTAACATGGCCCATCCGTCCGGAAGGCGTTCTTTCGTACCTATAAATGAGAAAGAATGTAAGTATGGACGAACGCCGGTGGAGATATAACAGCAGGCAGGGACGGAGCGAAAAAAATGAGGTGAGTCAGAGACGGAAGGCCTTTGGACGTGAACTAAAGACGGGGGCACCCAAGAGCAACATAGAAGCATGTAGGAAAGAAGGGTGTGTGGGTGGATCCGGACAGGTCGAGTTGATACACAGCCAGCAGAGAGAGAGAAAAAAGGAGTGGGATAGTGAAAGGAATAGAGAGATAGATAGATAGCCATCATAGAAAGGAGTCGATCGCGTGGACCGCACGTGGGTAATGAGCAGCAATAACACCTGAACACAATAAACTGGGATGCGTGGAAAAGGAAACTAACTAATGGGGGAAACCGTGGGTTCTTTTCGCAATATAGCTGGCGCAACAGGACGCTTCCTTCCAGGGAAGGAAGAAAAGAAGCGAGGGATTAAAGAAACAACGAACAAAGGAAAAAAGTGCACGCTAAGTACGAAAAGAGTTAGGTATATGAACGTACCAAGCTTTCTTCAAGAGAGGGTCGAACTATTTGATAGTAAAAAAAGAACCACCAAAAAAAAAATACCGCAATCACGCGGCGTCGCACCACGATACCGGCGTCGATTGGATAAATTGTTGTTCGAAGGTGAGGGATAAAGTTTGTAGCCAGAAAACGTGATTTTAGCGACACCGGTCCGAATCATGCGTGATGGGTTATTGAGTGATTCGTTGAGGATTTGGTGATGAGCCAAAAAGAAAAAGAGAGCACCCATGAATAGATGGTAACGTCTCAGGTGAGAAGGGTCATAGTTTGCTCACCTTCTCATTGAGAACGGTATTCCTATAAGATACGGGGAATTATACAAGGAAAAGTGCAGATTGGTTAGTAAGTCCGCAATGAAGGATTTCCAAACACAAGGCATCCCCGCGCATCCGCGTGCGAGGTCGAGGGTTAGAGGGAGAGAATTAACAACTCACATATATCCAGGACTTATCGTGTTGACGCGAACCTGTTGTTATGCATTTTGCCCCACATACCCAAGTGTTGGGGGGTTGAAGGGCCGATCGAAAATGAGGGTTTGAATTAATATTTGACCGTTCGCCCGCTTTCGAATTCAGAGGAAACGTGAACTATGGAAAGAAGCGAACCTTGTGTGGGGCCCTGAGACAAGAAGAACATGGGACACAAAAACGGATTGTTCAGTTACCATCACCCATCAGAAGGGGAGAAAAATTTAGAGGTTGATGGGAAGCGGGGGTGAAGGAAGAAAAAAATGGGGTTGGGGAAGGGATAGGGGTGGGCGGCAGGGGAATGAACTTACCATTCGGCAGCCAGGGATTTGGATAAGTGGATGACAGCGGCTTTCGCTGTGATTATAACATAATGTAACCAAACGGCGGTGATGGCAAAGAAGAGATGAAGGCGTGGAAAAAGCGTTAAAATTCAAGATGTAGAGAATGTATGTGAGTTGCCATCATGGCAGGGGAAGAGAGGGCCCTTCAGAAGCCGAGCCAATAATAATATACAGGTTCTTGTCAACCAAAGGGCCGTCGGCGCCAATGCGGGAATCCACAGGGGAGGAGGAAAATTGTACGTACAAGCATTGTATGCACACTGTGGTTGTGGATAATTCACTGCGCGATGATTTGGGAGAAATCAAAAGAGAACTTATGAGTAGATGATCTAAAGGAATGATACGCGCACGGAACCCCATTTGCGTGAAAGTGCTGAGCTACCCACCGATATGTCCAGACATAGAGGCAACATTGATAATTGAGCCGCCTTTCCCAGAAGCAATCATGTGCTTTCCAGCCTAGTAGTGGGGGAATTCATGCCGCAACAGCATTTGTATTCGGGCCGTTGTCCAAGAAAGAAGGACTTTACCGCTTGGGATGCGAAGAATACTCCATTCAAGTTGATATCAATCACCTATGCGCAACGAGAAGAGTATCAGGATTCCAATAGACTGCAGGAGAATAGATTAAAGGGGCCAAGAACGACTCACTCGCTTAAAGCCTGCCATGGATTTATGAAGAGCATTAGTTCGCCACAATTTTGTGATGGGAGTAGAGGGTGCAGGTAGCACGAGGTGGACTTACGGTCGGCAGGATATGATTCAGCTGGTAGGTTGTCCGCGACACCTGCCAAAGAAACGAACCGCGTCAATGAAGACTGATCTTTCTGGCAGATAAAGCAAGGGTGGACAGAAGGAGAAGATTTGTATTTGGTTTACCAACCAGCGGAACATAAAAGCACGTCAATTGCGCCAAAATCACGCACGATACCGTTGATAGCTTCTTCCACAGCAACATGGTCGCGCACGTCGACACGGTAAAACGAAGCAGGGATACCAAAGTCAGTGTTGAGCTCCTTGATAGCTTCCTCGCCATGCTCTAGTACGTATGGAGATGTCAGATTGCATGTGACCGTGGGGATCAGAGCGGGACAATTCGGGCCATCGGACATAAGGCGATCGATAAAACATACCTTGGAGGACGTCGAGAATAGCGGCACCAGCGGCACCGGCCTCGCAGAAGGCTCGGAGCATCTCAAAACCCAGGCCACGGGCACCTGTGGTGCCGTGCCGATTCAGGGGACGAAACCCGTCCATTGATGAACATTGTTTGCAGGGACATCGTTATGATGGATGCGGAAATCGAATATCGTACTCCGTGTCAGAGGTTGCGAACGACTTAACTCGGAAGGAGGGCGGTTGCCGATGTATCTTACCTCCAGTAATTGCGACTATTTTGCTACAAATGCGTGCGGAACAGCAATCAGTACGAGGACATTGCGTCGTGAAAAATAAAGTATCACACCCATCAAGACGGAATTTACTCATGACTCCCCGGGAAGGGGGAGCACTCAAGGCAGGTGGCAAAGTGGTTGGGGGGACGGTCTCGGCCATTGTCGTCGATGTAGGATATCGATAACACGGAAGTTTGATGATTTAGAGTTTTGGCAAAGATGAACAGAGATGCATCCGGTCCCGTGACGATGAAAAAAAATATGTACATAATGAAAATAAGCGGTAGTTTGCGCCGCTGTGGAAAAAGATTGGGTTGGTTATTATTTGTGATGAGTGAGTACGCGTGCGCATGTACGAGACTTAGATATCAAGACAAGAGTGCGAGATTCTCCTTCTGGAATTCATTTTCGCCGAACTGATGGATGCTGGTTGGCAAGGGCGGGGGTGAATTTGCGTCGCTCTCAGAAATGGAAAACATGACTTATCTGAATCTCACCTTATAGAATTACTTATACGAATATCAGGAAAAGATCTTGTATATATATTATATGTGCATATGGATGTGGATATTATTTCCTTCACTGAATGGTTGTTCTTGTTTGTTGGGAGAGATCTGTTGCCATCATTTATTATTTATATTTATTATCTCGAGCATTTTTCCCCCTATTCACACCTTTTCGGGGAAAAAAACTCGTATCGCTCGTCGACGCATCGTCCATCGACGAGGACAGGGAAGGAGCGAAGATGGACCGAGGAATGGTTTTTCTTGAGATGGAATTGACGGCGACGGTGTGAGATGTCGTTAGTCTAAACGTGTTTTTCGTGGCCCGATCGAGAAGCCCGGTAACGTGAATTGGGTGCCTGATCTTCCTCGGACTCGTGCAACCAGTTCCACGACGACAATCTTTCAAGTAGGCGACCAAGCCCGAACCTTGATCTCCCTCCCTCTTCTTTCCCCTCCAACTTCCTTGCCAACCTCAACCTCCTCTCATCGCAATCTAACCCACGCCTCCTTCCAGACCTATCTGACTCATCGCTGCTGACCCTTCCCTTGGTCCACTCATCCTTTCTCTTCCCTCGCTCGGAATGCAGACGCAACCCTCCACGTCTTCAGACCAAATCCCGCCTTCTCCCGCCTCCGGCCACTCACCTTTCATCCCGTACCACACCACCAAGCATCGCGTCACAAAAGGTATGCCTCCTGGCTCTCCGCTCTGGGCTCTTGGCTCATCCCTCTCTCTGGCGCGCTCGCCACACTCACTCTACAGGCCGCTATATCACATCCAATGACCCCAGAGGCTATATGTAAGCTATCCGTCCTTCCTATCTCCGTCATCGCCCCAGCGCTCAAGATACTCATCTCCGCCGCTCCCCAGCCCTGTGTAAGTCACCCTCATTAAACGGGCCGCCCCAAGCGCTATTCACTCATGCCTTCGTTCCTTCTCTAGCTACGAATACCCACTCAATAACCAATGGGTTATGATGGACGTGGATGATGGCTATGTCCTCTGGACAGGTATCTGGAAAGGTATGTCCATCGTTCGAGACGTTTCTTCGGTTCTTCTCTTTCTCATCTCTCTCAACCCCCTCTTCGGTTGGGCCCTCATCAAGCTCTCGGGAATGCTAAAGGTTGGCAACAGTTTCTATCCATTTCATCCGACTATGGTGCTCATATGCCTCATCCTTTACATTCCCAGCCGATATCGTAAAGATGATAGAATCGCAGCCAGAATTGGAATCTCAGCTGCGTCGTGTCCGTGGTGGGTACCTCAAAATACAAGGAACGTGGATGCCGTACGAGGTGTGTTCTCTCATATTGGACCTATGCATTTTTGCGTCAAATCTCTGACCGAACGCTCGGCAATTTTAATGGGAACTCTTTGCGATAAAGGTTGCATTACGCTTAGCAAGGAGGTGAGCATCTGGCAGTTTCTTTACGCACTCAACCGGTTCCGCACAATCACACACATGCCCGGTTTTGTATCGGCCCTGAACTGAAACGGATTCATTCATGCAGAGTTGCATGGCCAATCCGTGAAGATTTGGTGCCTCTCTTTGGGTAAGTGACGCTGCTCTTGTCATATGGTACGATCTTCCTTCTATCGCCCACATTCATTCCGAATTTCTCTGTTCTTCCACTGCACCTAGACCCACATTCCCGTCCACATGTTTATCGCCAGACCAGCCTGGTTATGGCCAGGTCCTCGAGAATTCTGGGCGACGTCGAAAACGGACCAATACCCAAGTCGCCAAATTGACTGCGAATCGAGACTTACATAACTCCGCTTTCCCTACGTATGCCCCTCGCTATCCAATACATGGGTTACCGCAGTATCGTCCGCCTACGCCAGACTACCCACCGTCGTCGTATTTACATCCTTACCCGTCTCATCCCCACCATCCTGCCTACGGCCATGGGGGCCGTGGTTATGAACATGGTATCCCTCCACACCCACCACCTTATGGAAACCGTATGCCGCTTCCTCCACCTCATCCGGGCAGTCCACACGGATACCCTATCTCTCCCAGGATGTCCATGTCCTCGCACGATGGAAGAGCGCGGCGCAACTCGGACAGTCGTCGTTATGCGCCTTATCCACATCGCCCTCCCTCTTCACATCATCAATATGGCCCGTCGTCGTCCGAGATGCCTACCCAAGGAGGGGGATTCAATCTTCCGCCCATCTCGGCCATTGGCTTCGGTCAGCCGGGATACCCGGCACACCCTGGACATCCCGGTGGGGAACCTGCACCCCGCCAAATGCTCGAGAGACCTCTTCCACCAATCGGTAACCTTCGAGAAGGATACACCCAAAGCATGGATACTGCGAGTGTGCTGCGGCGTCTGAAGATTGACGACGGTAATAACGCCGCCGTATCTCAGCAGAGCCAGGGCCCCATCGCTGGACCATCGCCGCTCACGCCACTAGGTTCAAGGCATGAGATGCCGTCCGATAAGTACATGGAGAGTCGAAGAAGGTCATTGAGCGCGCCACCGCCTCACCAATTTTACCCGTCACAACAGGATTACGGGGTTCACGAAAGCCATCACCCTCACCCGCATGCTCGAGAGCACGGGTATTCATTTTCGAGGCCAACGCATCATTATTCACGATCAGGAGAAACTCCCGGGTATCACGCAGATCATAACCCCTCTCTCGGACCTCACCGTCGGGAACGGCAACGATCGTTCCATGGTGCACCGTATGAACATCGTCGTCATAACCGAGAGCCTGTGTCAACACGTCCTTCGTCACCTTCATCATTTTGGACTCAGACTCCTAACATGCGCTCGCCTACTCACTCCACTGATCGTTCTCCCCCATCTCCCTTGTCTTCCCCTCATGGTCGTTGGTCACCACCTACTGCCGAACCGAAGATCTGGGAAGTAGGCGACGATGAGGTTGCAGCAAAGGCTGGTCACACTTCTGGCTTCGTTTCGACCGAGGGATTCCCCCCTTCCGTTCGTCTCCGTGCCCGTTCGCAGGAGGATGAGCTGATGTCGGACTCGGATGGTTCGCCTCGTGGCTCACCTCAACTGCCGATGCGTGAGGTTGACATGACCGACCCTGCGAACGAGTTCGAACGTCGACCGCATTTAATACCTGTGAGCGATGTCAGGAGGTCACCCGTTACGGGCGTTGCCCCCATTGCCGGTGGTGGCCCCGCCAGTGTTCCCGGATCACCTGTTCGGACGAGGTTATCGAAGACGGCTGATCGTAGCGGGGTTAGGACACCCGTGAGTCCTGTTACCAAGCGTCCATTATCAGCAACGACTTCGGCGAAGGGTTCGCCATCTGGGGATTCGAAGCTGACTGCTACTGCTGGCGCTGTTACCGGAGCTCCTGCTGCCACTTCGTCCGCCTCTGCTCCTACTTCAGTTGCTCATCTTGGTTCTCCCGAGTCATCGCCCAGAGTCCGAGTGCCTATACGGCCGTGGTAAGATTTTGTATCAGGCTCGTGCATCTAAAGGCAATCGATATTGGTTCTTTTCCCCCAGATTTTGCGCCTTGCTTCACCTTACATTCTTCCCGTCTTATTCTGTCATCCGATTGCTGCGAATACCCTGCGGTTGTGCCCGGCGTTCCAAAGGGTTTTTTGTTTGCTTGTTTTCATTTTCACTTTTCTTTATCCCCCTTATGCAATTTTTGACGAAACACTGATTTCATTGTCATCACCACCCCCTAGTCCAAAAACTTCCAAAGCTTGATGGCGCGCATTTTTTCATCGTTCCCCTTTGATCACCGTTTGTATCTTCTACTACTTACTGCTGCAACGATACTACCATTGACGCTATCACACCGCTGCTACAGCCGCTGCTACAGCTACAGCTACCACCACGACGTCACTAAAGCCCCTTTCTCTTCCTCTTCTTTTCTTTGTACCGGAACTGTTACCTTCTCCTCTCCAAGTTACTTGGCTATAACAACATCAATCGATGGCAGCTTCATCCCCCTTGATTTGCTTCTCTCTCATTTCATGGTACTGAGTTGTTTCTGCACTGTCGCACGACCAATACCCTCTTTGCTTGCAGCTTTCTCTTTTCGTTTCTTCCTGTTCCAAATGCATGTCCTCTTGAACATGCATGCATATATACCCTAGCTTCCTTAGTCTGGTTTTTCAACTTTCCTTTCGCATGCAGCCTCCGTATAATCTTTCTCTTTTTTTCCTGTCGTCGAGATCTTACTTGGCAGTGTCAGATTTCGTTTGTTGTCTATCTGTTGTTCGAAATTTAAAAAGGGTCCCGTTCGGCACCGTTACCTATGATTTTCGGGTGCCTCAATAATTTTATAATAGTCAAGTTCAAGATCTCTTCTATGTAAATCTTGTTGACTGATTCCATGACGTTACGTTGCCTTTGCGGAAGGCCAGCCAGTGCATCCATAGTTACGATACATTTTGAGGCGTTATTCACAGTCAGAGACAACGTTCGCACCCAAATCGCTGGTCATCTTTCGAGCTCTAATTGTTGGTCAGTGCGTAGTTGACTTCGAGGAATCAATTGAATCCCCAGACTGGCAATCCCGGCAAAACCCCTGAGCCCGCCTGGACACGAGCCAACAGTCCTCCCTCAGACATCAAACGCAACAACGCACAAGTCAAAACGAGGAATATATTGGGAAGTACGGCGCACGAGCTGTGACGCGTTATCTGTACGCTGGCGTGGTGGGGGGTTTGGAAGCATTTCGAATTCCTCAATCGTTATTCACGTTTCACTGGTGCGCCTTTTCGTGGCGTTGGGAGAAGGGAAGAGTATAACGAGTGCGAGAGCCTTGTTCCGTTAAGGGACATTAATCTTTCCGCTGCTGCTGCTCGTGTTCCAGAAGAGGGGGGCGAAAGAGCAAGGGAGGGATTTGTTACTGTTGTTACCCATAGAGCAACTGTTGATCGTGCAGTTGACCCGATGAAATTCAGGCGAGTGTTCTGGTTGAATTCGGTCATCATATTGATTTATGGGGCACGATGGACTAATATTTTGTTGGTGATTAGCAATTCGCTCAAGTTTAATGCGGTCGCGGAATGGTGGGACGAGTATATAGCGTATGTACACGACTCGAATTGGGTGGCTCTTCAAAGCTACATTCACCAGTTTTATTTCACAGATATGCGGCGCTTAAGAAGGTGATATACGATTTGGAAAGAGAGCAAACATACGATTTGGGTGGACTGGACCATGAACGTTCATCCCTGTTGGGGAATGGTCAACGAACTGAGGCTGTCCAGAAATTCGTTCCCCTCCTTGACCGCGAGTTAGAAAAGATCGTCACATTTTACATTTCACAGGAAGAAGAACTTCGATCGGAATTGGAGAATCTTACAACTGGTATTGAGGCTGCTGAGGATAGGGGCGTTGTGCAGGATGAACGAGACGAGGAGGATGATGGCGACTCGGATGAGACATCGATTTGGGGGACGAGTTCCACAAGAAGGAAAAGATCTGTCTCCACCAATGCCCGCCCTCCTCGGCAGACTATCTCGCTCGGTTAGTTTATTACCCGCCACTTTCGCGCACATTAAGTTGAAGCTTTTACCCTTTTGCTCTTTTCGATTCATGGTGGACAGAACGAAGTCAAGATCCTCCAGATGACATTGAGGCAAGCTACGGCCCCACGCAGGTGCTCCACGAGCCGCCCGGCCTCAAAGCGAAAGAGAAAGGAGACGTTCAGGAAGCTTAACCACAGCTCTCACAGCACCTCTGGCGAATCTATTCGCACACAAAGAGCCTGACACTATTTGGACGGCAAAAACTACGGCAGCGTGGGACGTACGGATGCTTTTCAAAAGGAGAATTACTACTCTTTATATCAGCGCCACCTCACTAAAGTCATATGTGGAACTCAACTACTCAGGATTTAGGAAAATCCTTAAAAAGTACGTTTTTTTGCACCCCTCTAGGCTTTAAGGCAATGAAAAGATGAAAAGATAACTCACGACCACTATGGAAGGTTTGACAAGATCACTGATAATTCTCTCAAAGAAATGTACATGCGTGAACGCGTGGATAAAGACTACCCTTTTGAGCCTGCGACCAAGTCACACTTGGACGAATTCATCAGCGAATTGGTCAATCACTACGCCAGATGCGTAACTAGGGGGAACCAGACCGCTGCCCTGAAACAGCTCAAGCTCTATCAGCGTGAACAAGTGCGTGTTCTTTTGCATCTTTCCATCGGCTCAGGCTCACGAATTTGTCATGGTTTATGGCCAATATGAACTGCGCATTTTATTCTATTGCCTCAGATCGTATGGGAACGAGATACTGTGTGGAGGCAGATGATCGGCAAGGAACGCAGGGGAGAGAACGATGGTCAAGTAAAGAGCTTGCTTTCGGCCAGTGTCCAGCACGAGGCCGCTCCACCACTCTTAGCCATTCCTACCCCATTGGGCGTCTTCAAAGTCACGGGAAGGCGGATATGGCTAGCGATAGCCCTCACTGCTTTCATTGCCTTGCTCAACACTCGTGTACTTGATGGGCGCGAAGCCAATCGGTGCTTCGCCGTTCTCATTTTTGCAACAATTCTATGGGCATCGGAGGTAAGCTGCCCATTTCTTCATCACACTCAACTCTCTCATGCCCTTCGCAAGGCTATTCCCCTATTCGTCACTTCTACATCCGTTCCGTTTATGGTCGTTGTTTTGCGCATCATACGGGACGAAAATGGGTGGGAATGACAGCCCGTGACGCCACTACGTAAGATCTCGTTCACTGGGTTCCCATTGTGTTGCGTCCTAACAAAGTATTGCTACTCTAGATGGATATTTTCTGTTATGTTTTCTCCCACCATCATGCTTCTTCTCGGCGGATTTACCCTGTCGAGTGCCCTTAGTAAAACCAATATCGACCGCATATTGATTACCCGAGTTCTGAGTTTAGCTGGGACTCGGCCTAGTACCGTCATATTGGCTTTCATGGGTGTGGCCTGTTTCGCCAGCATGTGGATTAGGTGAGCCGGATCTTATGCAGTACTTGCGGATGAATACTGATTGATTTCTCTGCAGTAATGTGGCTGCCCCTGCATTGTGCTTCGCGCTGATTCGGGTACGTTTGTATAACAACCTTTTGGGTAGTCTCCAGTTTTCAGTTTTACTTTTCACAATTCATTCCAGCCAATTCTTTCCTCTCTTCCCCCCAAATCAACGTTTGCACCATGCCTTATTGTAAGTGCAGACGCTCAATGTCCGCGGAAATACAATTTCGCTACAGTGACGCCCCCTTAACTCAGATGTCCATTGCACTTGCTGCTAACATTGGAGGCCAGAGCTCCCCTATTTCGTCCCCTCAGAACATCATTGCCCTGAATGAAATGGTCCCGCCTATCGACTGGTTGCAGTGGTTTGCAGTTGCGCTACCAGTCTCCGGGTTATCCATTGTACTAATCTGGCTCTTGCTCCTTTCGATCTATCGTCCGAGTACAACGGCGGATGGCAAGAAACTACAGGTTAAGCCAATACGTCCTACACGCGACAAATTCACTCCTCAACAATACTGGGTGACATTTGTATGTCTAGTAACTATAGCACTTTGGTGTGTCGCACACGAGATCGAAGTGTTTTTTGGCGACATGGGGACCATTGCCATCATTCCAATTGTCGCGTTCTTTGGTTCTGGTGTGTTAAAGAAGGTACGCCCCAAGGCCGACTATTTCCTTGACTGCGGGCCCGTTCACGTACAAACTGACGTGAAACAGGCTGATTTTGATCAATTTCTCTGGAGCATTGTCTTCTTGGCGATGGGCGGTATTGCTCTGGGCAAAGCCGTTGTCTCGAGTGGTTTACTTCAGCAAATGGATGTTGTCATTAGGGGCTTGGTTTTGGGGTTGCCGCTCTATTCGGTCGTGTTAGCGCTTTCTTGTGTTGTCATGGTAAGTGCAACACTCCACTGCACATTCACGCCAGACCACGTCCTCGTTGATGGATCATCCTGACAGATAGTGTCGACCTTCATCAGTCACACGATTGCCAGCGTTTTACTGGTTCCGATTGCTCGTGAAGTTGGTTCTAACCTCCCAGTACCACATCCGAGGTTCGTACTCACCTCCTGCACTTGATTGTCCCCCTCACTTGACAGTTCCTAGACTGCTGATATTTATCACTGGTCTGGTGTGTTCAACGGGGATGGGAATGCCCGTTTCAGGCTTCCCTAACCAAACAGCGTACGTGTGTTCTTTGATTCGATCCAATCATAAGTTGACAAGGGGTGAAAATAGTGCGACACAAGAGGACGATATGGGCGAGCTATATCTTAGCAACATTGACTTTCTAAAGTGCGGTGTGCCCGCTAGCATCATCGCCGCTCTCGTAGGGATCCCATTCTTGAGTTTTATCTCCCTTGACGCCTCCTTTTGAAGGTGGTCTCGACAGTTGGCTATTTACTGATGAGAGCTATAGGGTGCGTGTGGTGTCTATTCCCTGCCGTCTTACAATGATAACGACATTTTACTAGACTCTGACCATATATCATCACTCCGGGTCTGAATTCCATTGAAGTCAGTTAATTTTAGTTTCATACTATACTGGAACGCAGTGCGGGTTAAGGGTCGTAAATGCGACGTAATATCATGAACACCGTCTTGTACAACATAAATGCTTGAAGACAGATAAGCGAGCAAGATATAGAAAAGAACATCCAAACAGCCGTGGACTGAAGTGATAGGTTTAAGAACGTTTCACCATTAAGCGTTTGAATATCGTTTGTGCAATGACTACTACAATCCCGAGGCTCGCAGCTAAAACGTACTGTGAAAAATTCGACGGCAATTCGTCCGACGAATGAGGAATTGTTGGCGACTGCGCCTTGGGTGGTTTAGGGCGCCTTTGAGCTTCACATTGAGTGCCTTTGTCAGCAAAACGATATGGATTGACGGTTTGATTCTCTGCATCCGCAATGGGGCTTTCGCAGCTCCTCAGTCGGTGAAGGCTTCTGTTCTCGAGCAGCTTCACGGGCTTCTAAGTGGTCCAGTCTATGCTCAGCCGCTTCGAGTCTGACACGGAAGGATTCGATAAGCTCCAGCACCTCCAGAGAAGGAACGGGCTCCAATGGGACAGTTTCAACAGCCTTACTGTCATATGTGACAGGGGCTTTAACATCAAGAGTCTGAACTTTTTCAGAAGTCGACTCCAACACAATTGAGTCAAACAGATTTTCGAGCGGGGTCGAGGGTGTCTTGAGATGCCGATTCTTGCCTGAAATCCTAGAGGGGATGTGAACTGAAGCCGAGATTTTGTGGGCCGTTTGGCGAGCCAGGGTGCTCTCGAGCCAGTGATGAACGGCGGCGCTTTCGTCATCTTCATACGTCTCTGCGTTCTTCAATAACTCTCCATGGTCGGCTCCGGTACACCGGGGGCTGCAGAAGACGATGCCGAGCTCGTGGTGGGGGACGGAAGCGAGCGCTCCAAATGACCAGATTTATCTTCACCGAGATGTTGAAGTGGAGACGAGGGTCGATCGTGATGCTCCGGAAAGCTCGTGGATAAAGAGGCGGAATCAGGGGTGATATATCCAGACCTACTACTTGTGTTGGATTGAACGATTGAGTCTGGTGAATGACCTGATAACATCTGATCGTTCTCCACCCCAGTCGATACAACAAGGGTTGTGCTAGTGGCATCGTCCACAGTGCCCTTTGGTGAGATTTCAAGATAGGTGGTCAAACTACTTCCAAAGTCTCTCCCCTTATCGAAAAACTCGTCGTCAGCCTCGTCCCCCGTGTCAGAACAAGAGCTGGCGCTGTCAGAGCCAAGGCTGCGTTCATACGAAGCGACCATGCCGCGTACACGGGAGACACTGGACGACCCAAAAGACTGATTAAGCCGATACGATGGATTCGGCTCTCCACTGAGCCTCGAGCGAGTGGGACTTGGGGTACCCAATAAAGCACGACCGATCCAACCAGTTTCATCTTTAGTTCCTGTTGTGACTTGTTGCTGACGTTCCTGGTAGATCTTAGATCCACGTGGACTGGGAGTAGACTTCGAGCTACCCTTGCTTGTTTCACTCTTTGTGCATGGCGGGCTCGCACTAGGAGAACCGTCCTCATCGAAGCCAACAATCTGACCGCGCACAACCTTCTGACGCAGTCGATACGCTTGTGACAAGAACTTGGGCCGCCAGATAGGATTGATTCCAAGCCTAAATAGTGACTATGTCGGATAGCGATCATCAACGTTATAGGAATCAACGCACTTGACGAGATCTTCCTCAGTTAGATGCAAGAAAGACTTTCCATTCATTCTCTCACGAATTATGACTAGTTGAATATCTCGAACGACAGGGTCCGGGAACGTCCCTCCAGTTTTGTTGGACAAAACATGCCCTAGATACAAAGAGAGGCTTGTTGGAGACCAGTGTTTTGGGTTGGCGGGAATCTCAAGCTTTCGGACGATCTCTTCGTGGAAGTCCGTGGTCTTCGTGGGAGTGTTGTTGTTGTTGTTGTTGGAGATGCTGTCATCAGGTCTGACTAGAGAGGACGAGCACCTTTCTCTAAGACCTATGTCTGAGAAGATATCTTGATCATCCAAGACCTCAGACATTGACATGCTCCGCCTAGACGATCGAGAGGAGGATCGGGAAGGAGGATATGGCAAGAGAGGCGGAGCTTCGGACAGCGACTTGGCGTATCGATGCCTCCGACCTTCCAACTTGCTAGCGGGGGAGTTTTTCCAAGGTGGTGCAGGAGAGGTAAGTGGTGAGTAAGAATGAGAGATATTTGGAGTTGTTACGCAAGAATTCGAACGGGTGAGAATTCCCGTAGACGTAGTTTTAATTCCCTGGATCGACGGACAGGAAGGAATAAATTATTCGGGCTTGGATGTTGACATCACAGTTTAATTTTCAAGTTGCAACTTACATATGGATGGTGGTTCTCGCGTGAGGGCGAGGCCGGGGCTGTAGGGAATGGCAGAGCGATGTCGCTTTGACTGCTTTGGGAGTACGTTCGAACACGAGTCATGACGCTAGAAGACCTAGTGGCCTTCAACTTTTCTGATACATTGTTCTCCATATCTAACGAAAAAAAACCTATGGGAGAGACGTTAGCGCGCTTTTCAAGCAAGCTCCAACACTCGTATCATGCTCACGGCAAGGAGGTCAGTAAGAGATCGAATCAAGAGCAAAGGATCAGGACGGAGTGCCTTCAGAGAGGCTTGCAGGCAAAAACAAAAACAAACTAAAGAAATGGCGTCGATAGAAGGAGTGGACGTAGTTAAGGAACCGTGAGGCAATTGTGAACAGTTATTTACATCTATTTAGTAATGTTGGCGCGGCAGGTTGAAGTATCGGCTTTCCATAATAGGCATATAAGTCCGTTATGCAATATAATACTACAGTGTGTAAGTAATGATCCTCCTACCAATCAGCGGGACCATAAGTTCGGGGCGGAGCGGCCTTTGCGTAACCTAACACCATACAAACCTAACAAAGGGAATATCGTATCGGATTGTTGCTCACAATCAAACGCAAACACACCTCTCATTCAAATCCCATATCACGTCGTCCTTCTTTTCCGCACCATACCATGCAAAAGAAGAAAGATACTCCGCTCTTCTCACTTTATAACCACCCCATGCCTCCGATACCTGATCCATCCACCCTGACTCGATAGTGTTCCAAACTTCAACCCGCTTCAACCCATTCTGACGTGCAAAATGCCTTGCGGCAGAAACTAGAACGCTCAACGCACGAGCATTTTCTATCCGCATGCGAGTGATAACCAGGGTTGAATTCGGGTAGTGTTCGGGCACCCAGAGGATGTAAGACGGTGTCGACAAGTCATTGTTCCAATACCGAGCACCCCATCTTCCTTCCGTCTCCCAAGGAAGACACGGAGAAGGTTGTGACAGCGTATAACGAGCGTTCATAAATGAAGCATAGATAGAAGAGGGCTTAACGGCGACAAGCGTAAAATTTGAACCGTAACCACGCGCTTTCTCGCCATAGCACGACACATGTAATCCCACGCATCCGCTTGGATGCAATCCAGTATCATATTTTGGTCTTCGATCCAGGTGAGAGATTTACTGGTCGGTGGATTCTCGTCCACCTCTGACACATCGTAAAGGGTACTCCAAGGATCCCGCACCTCCCAACCCTCACGACCAGGCACAGGCCCACAAAGTTTGTAGAATTGCGGACCGACGTCACTGTATAGGACCGAAAAGGTGGCGTCACCCACCAGAATCCCTTCTGGTACAACGGGAGGTTGTCCCCACATCTCGGTCGGAAACGGGGGGAGGCTCGAAGGAGGTGCCAAGATTCGGTGAAGTAAACGCATCATATGGGCCGCATATCCATTCCTTCGATGTTCCGGGGGGGTGAACACGCTCGCAATACCATACGACACGATCGAAGAAGGTGTCTGTTCGCCAGGTCGTAATATGAGGGAGTCACGACGAAATCTATAAAAAATAAACCAGGGCTCGTGTGTTGTTGCTCCCCCTCTTAAATGCCAGTGGCGAAACGAGTATCCCACTCACGTCTCGCATGATGCGACGAAGAGGCCTGCTTTTCCATCCCTCGGGGCCAAAACCCTAGATAAGAAAGAATAATAATAGTAATAGTAAAGTAGTATAGTGAGCGGCCAAATTTATGCTCCAACTTACCAAGCGTTGAATCTGCCATTCGTTGCAGTCTCAAGCGTCTCCATCACTGATTGGAATTCGCAAGGGATACGGTTTTCCCAAAAAAACAAAAACAAAAACAACAAAGAGAGAGAGAGAGGAGAAATGGCAACGGAGAGAACCCAGATACAAAGCAAGCGTTAGGGAAGCCAACTCAGTTAACCCCTACCAACACACACCAGCATCCCGATTCAGATATCTTTCAAGCGTCATTCCCCTCCCCGAGGAATGAAACGAGCCTCTACTTGCTTTGATTTTCTCCTCTTGAGTAGCGAGACGAATGGTAAGAGATGCCAAAGAGTACGGAATCCCGGGCATTCTTTCTCTTTACGCTTGTGACAGTTGTCTTTATACGACTATTACTGTACTGGGGGGGGGGATGTTGAAGCAAGGAAGGTATTCTGATGGGTCCATATATACATATGCATGACAACTTCAAAATAATGGTTGTGCAAGCGGCGGTGGCTATGGATCCCTGATGTCACGTCACACGCGGACCTTCAAATTATCGACAAAATTCAGGAACCGTACTGCATCTGAAAATGGGTTTCTTTTGCCTGGAAGGTTACAAACAGTTCTCAAAGACGTGGGATCATAATCCTCGTCGTCGTCGTCGTCGTGGTGTTCTGGAAAGCGAGAGTGGCGGAAGAAGAGCTAAATTCACCACATCTTTCCTAACGCCACTGGGTGGGACGCGCTGAGCCCTCCATCGACGGCAATTGCTTGTCCATTGATATAGCTCGAATCGTCTTTCGTAATAAAAAAAAATTGTGTGTGTGTGTGTGTGCGTGTGTGCGTGTGCGTTGCGTGTGTGTTTTTGGTTTGTTTCGATGAAAAACGACTCAGGAATCCAACGTGCGATGCACGCCACAGCAAAGGTAACACTTACCGCTAGCCAGGAAGAGCGCAACTTGAGCAATCTCCATAGAAAAAAAAAAGATAAAAAAAAGGAGGACATTTCAGCATCGATTCATTGGAAGCCAAAAAAAAATTATTACCATACCTCTAAGTTAGGGCGGAAGAACAAACGTTTGGTTGTTAAGCCCCCATCATCATCACATTAACGCAACTACCCAGGGGTAGCACAAAAAACAAAAAACCAAAAAAAAGGACAAACGGGAGTTTTTTTTACACACCTTCAGACATGCCAAATCGACGTTGAGGATTCAACTGCCCAATCTTCCCAGCAACCCCCTTGGCACGAGCATAATCAAATGTACTCGTCGTCATCCCCGTCTAAACCGCGACGAACCATTTTAAAAACAAAACAAAAAACAAACAAACAAACACTAAAGGGACTCACCTCGATCAAACCGGGACATAAGGCATTGACGCGAATGTTGGTATCGGGAAGTTGGGATGCGCCTAGTTGAGCCAGAGATATGACACTATGAAAATATCATCGCATTTGTCGGGATAAATCAATTAATCAGGCAGGCCAAATCATTGAACTCACGCTGCTTTGCTAGAACTATCTATTGAAACAGTGAAAACGATACTCGATATAAAAAAAAATACGACGTACAATCTGCTGAGCCTGCACCAGCACGAAGTCCAGCAACTATAAAGTAAAGTGCAATAAGAACCCCAAATCCTTTTTTTCTGAAAAAAATATATCGATTCCTTCCCCTATTAACTCACCCGAAGCAGTCATGATGATACTCCCCCAACTATCTGATTTATCGTCACTAAGTTTCTTCATCGCCGCCGAACCATATTTTAGCGCAAGGAATGCTCTGTGTCAAAAACAAAATCAGACAACAACCAAAAAAAGAAAAGAAGAAAATTCAGTCGAAGCTCACGATAAAGCGTTAACCCTCATTGTATTTTCGAACGTCGCAGCATCTGTATCCCATATGTGGGTACCCGTAGCTATTCCTGCCTAGCCAGGGGGGACGTGTTGGGGAGAGTTAGATATAGTTGTGATAAGTTGTGCAAGCGAGTTGGGGAAGGGGGGATGGTGGCAGGGGCAGGGGGCGGGGGGAGTCGGGAAAATGCATCTTACGTTAGCGAAGAATACATCTAATCGACCTTCCTCAAGGATAGCTCTCGCACAGAGACTGGAGATCGCTTTGTCATCAGCAGCATCGGCTTGGATCGTCGTCACCTACGTAGGCAAATGGAAATAACAAATGTCAGTTTGGGAGAGCACACACACACTATATTTTTCTCAACCGACAAAGACGGACCTTTACGTCTGAGTACTTGGACTCGATAGTTTCTTTCAAATTCGGTAGGTTATCTTCAACGTAATCAATAAGGTATAGGTGTCTTGCTCCTATAATATAAGGTGGTTTGTGGGCGGGGGGAAAACTCGTCGGTTTTTTCTTTTCTTTCTTTCATCATACCTTGATGAGCAAACAATAAAGCAGCAGCACGACTAGTGATACATAAAAATGTCAGCCCTTCAACTGCGTGTGATAAAGAAAAGGGTTTCCCCACGCGTACCCAATCCCCTTTAAAGATCCAACACCTGTAATAATGGCTACTTTACCCTTCAACTTGTTGGCTCTAGGTGTATCGGCAATGTGTTGCTGTATCTTGTCGAGCCGGGTAAGAGTTCGCTTATAAGATGCCTCTGCAATACGTTGTGCAGAAGGCTTCCTTTGACTTGGAGTCGAAGAGTAACCGTCCGACATTGGGGTTTGCTTCTTCTTCTACTCGAGTGGTCGTATCGCGGGGAGGGGGGTTGTTTGTAATGATGAAGAGCGAGAAGAGAGTTGAACTTCGGTTATCCGCGAGTCCGAAGAGTTGTGAGGTGGCTGTTCATCATCACGGTGGGAAAAATCGAGTTCTTGGGCCGGAATTATACATCACATGCAATGCCATGCGTTATCCTGCCCGTTCCATCGCAGTACTATGCTTTTCTTCTTTTCTGAACAGCTTCCGGAAGCGAAACCAGTACTGGTTCAAAGTCGTCGAACCAGTCAACTAGGGTGCCGTCTATTTACTATCTGTATATTGCGATGACTTGACCCTGCAAGTGCCAATGCATCTGGAATCGGACCTGCTTTTATTGATTCTTACTCCCCTCAAACCCTGTATCAGAACCGGATCTTCCACGTTGGGCCCTATAGCTAATATAGCTCCTGCACTACTTACTCACTCTATGGCAAAACCCTCTAGTGTTGATATCCGCGGACTCATTTCATAGGGATGCTCATGAACTGTCACGGGACCCTATTGCTTGCCGGATTTTACATAAGGCCGGTTGTTCGGTGGGCTGTAAACGGTTTAGCCATGTCGGAATTGCCGTTGCGGCACGGAACGGATTTACAGAGGAGAGAGCGATCGACTCACACTGACGTATTTCCTGATCCGCACAAACTTGTAAATGACGATCTTAAACATCATGAAGTTATACATCATCGCTGTACATCATTTACAACGGAGGGTATCTTCCGAACTCCATGGGTTGAGGTTTATCACAAGCTTCCAATCTCTGATCACGCGGCCTCACCTCCGTCGCATTTCTTAGTTTCAGTTATTTTTATCCCTTTACCTTATTTCAAATTGGTGTGTGGGTCACGCGGCAACTCGAACATAGCTTGTTGCATGAACGATAGCATCCTTGCAATAATCACCACACCCTGCTCGTGCCCGAGACAACTCGGAGATCATGCCAAGACTTACGCTCAACACCTCCGCTTGCTTATACCCCACTAACTACGTAAAAACCATCAGGTGTTCCCGCACCCCCAGTTTGTACGTAAACGTAACCCCCCAGGCACTTGCCTAGCTATAAATCAAACAACGGAGAATGGACCCCTTCCCTCATCAACGCGATCCTCCCCACACACTCTGATCTTCCCCCTCATATGTACTTTACCTCCCTTTTCGTCTCTTGCATCCTCGCCAGCTTCTTCACAGGCTCAGCCTCTCCGCTCCTGCTACTTCCTCCCCAAATGTGTTACTTATCAAACCGGCTACCTCTCCACTCATGAGATCCTTAAAGATAACGGTTCCCCAACAGGTCAATATACTATCCTCCTCTGCCATATACTCGTTAGACTTATATAAATACATAGGAAAGCACAAATGGTTCGCGTTCAATTATAGGAACGAATTGGCCTTCTTCCACCAAACGCCCCATCCCAGGATCTATGCTCAATTCCAGGTAAGGATTTTTTGTTTTTTGTTTTTTGATTCGATAGTGAAATTTAACGCGTGTCGTTTCTTTCTAGCAATGCACTCCCAACTGGGCGAATTCCACCAACTTCTCGTTCACAAAGTGGGGTGCGTAACAAACAACCGCCGTATATATATATATTCTTAACATACTTCCCCGATCACACGTCTTAAGGTCGGATTTACATTCCTCAGTATAAGCAATGCCTAGCCGTCACGGTAGGTGTCCCCCCCCCCTCCCATTTCTTCTGAAACCAGTACTATTCATACTAACCCACCTTATTTATCTCACGTACTACCCATCGCACAGGAACCATACGGACCACAGCCTTACGTCGTCAAGCGTGTACCTTGCTTGAACAGCGCTGCTGGCGAAATGGCCACACCAAAGTCCATCCCACAAAACTGGGACGTCGATAGTAGAGGATTCATGACTTGGGTAACGTATCCCCCAGGGCCCAAACTCACACCATTCAATCAACTGATTTTTCTTTCTTCTTTTTTTTTTAAAAACCAAAATTTTCATACCTTGTGTGTGTGTGTGTGTCTCGCACAGACCGGAAAGACAAAAGAAGATGGTTCGCTCGTCCAGGGAGATGGTTCTTGCAAACCAGGTGCCTATGGTTACCTATCGGACAAACATCACGAGCCTATCACTGGTAAATCGGGAGAGTACAGAGCTTCGCTCGTTTGTATTTGGGATCAGGATGCCGCTGCTTTCTACATGACGCAGAACTAAAGGGGGCACAACATTCGAATGATCAGTACATGGTCACTTCCCTTTTACTTTCTTTTTTTTTCTCTTTTTTTTTCTCTTTTTTCTTGCTTTCTTTCTGCTAGCCTTCGATCTGATAGCAGCCCGGCGAGCTCAGTTATACGCTACACTCGAATATCGGACTCTTTATGTAGCTTTATTTTATTTTATTTGTTTTTACCTTTGCGACGAATTGCTTTTTTTTTTTTTTTTTAAACAATCCACTTGTAGTTTTAATCGCTTCTGACCAACATAGTGAACACTGCGCAACGTGGACATGGCGCGAAATGTGATTGCGGGATAGAGAATACAACAGCCAAGGGCGAGCCGTAACTGATAACCGTAACATTAGGATGGCGATGAATGATTCGCCCATGGATGTGTCCGTTGGACTTGTTTAGAGTAAAACGATCAGCGCGTTGTGCGTCGAAAGCGGAGCAACTGGCCAATGGATTAAAGATTGGGGTTTTGGCAGAGATAAAAATAAGGAAGGCCTCAGAAGACCAACGACCGATTAAGCGGATATAGTCTAGCGGGAGTCCTCAGTTAAGAGCAAACGTTAGGGGTTGTTGATAATGGGATCGGAGACGGAAAATAAGCTAGGAGCGCATGGGTAAACTTCCGGTTTTCGCGGAGCCAACAAGTCGAAACCTAGTATGTATCACGCATAGAAAGGTAGTTTTTGAAAAAATAAAAAAAAAAATCTATTTTTTTTTTGAAGTGGGTCAAGATCCCCCTTAACGCTTCTCAAGAACGACAGTGGAAACCTTTCAAAGCCATCGGTCCCGCTTTGTGCATCGGTAGGAAAGAAAGAAAGAAAGAAAGAAAGAAATATGCGGACGCTGGGTTCGTCACGGAACTTTCACACAGAAGAACGTTCGGACAAAGTGGTTCTTCCGGAAAACTTTGCCTTTGCAATGTTAATAATAATAATAATAATAGCATCATCCGTCAACAAGTTCTCCTGAGCGCATAAGACAGTGTCAGCCAACGAAGCAAAAGCGCGACAAAGAGTGTATCGTCGAGAACGAGAGAAGGAGTAAGCGGGATAGATTGTTGAATGCGATGCAGGTCACCTTCAGTAAGCGCCCGTTGTCAAACAGGGGGGGAACCTGTGAAGTTTGAAGCACCCAGCGAGTTGACGGCGCGAGCCGTTGGAGTAGTCTCGTATCACGGTATGCACAGAATTTCGCCTTGGAAATTGAAATCGACAAATCTTCAACATCAAGAGAAATCCAGCCGTTTTCCGTATAACTGCTTTGCATCGTCATGCGGCACTCCAATGTTGTCCAAAAATTCCAACAAGGTTGCCTGATCACACAGCATGAAGCGCTTGTAAAGTGTGTAGAACTTGAGTTCATCGGTGAAGGTAACATTAAAAGCATCATCGACGTAGTGTAGCAGTCCTTGGATCCTTCGTAGATGAATAGCGATCCCACAGACGAGTCCAAAGAAGAGACACCAAAGCCACCCAGAAGCTCGATTCCCAAAAACGGCACACCGGTCAACATGATAGAATGAGGGTTGCCATCTGGGGTGCATTGAAATTCAACGATAAGCTTGAGAAGCGTCGGACTGCCACACATAAGATGGTCGAATATTTCCGTTTTGCAACATCATCGCTGGGATATTTGAAGCAAGGTTGCTGAGGTTATCAAGCTCCCTTCGGCAGGTGAGGGACTTATTGCCGGCATTATGGTCATTAACCAGACAAAGCTTAGCACTCAACGGTGAATATGGGCAACCATCCCGGGTAAAAGCTCGTCGCCAAAGGCCGGTGAGTATCCAGTGCCATCTCGGCTTTGCATTGTTGTTTAAGAAAAAGGGTCGACTCGGCGTCGAGGTCAGGTGTTCCTTTCGGTCAAAGAACAACACCTGACGGGACCGACTCAGGGTCTTCGAGGTCGGCGAAGGGCCAGAAACCGTTGCGGAAGCCCGAAAAAATAGAATTAACTAGTGCACGATTGGGATGTGAGGAAAGAAGGGTCTCCAAACGATCAACCTTAATTGGGGAAACGATTTTGAACAAGCTCGGGTTGGACTTAATCGTTGCAGTGATATCGATGAACTTGAAGGGACGTCGGGTTTGCACTTTCGGTATATGTTACCAACAGTGTAGATGCTCCCCAAAGATGAACCGCATGTATCGCAGTCGCTTACTTTCCGCACCATGCTCTGAGGGGCCGATATCAGGCTTTCTCTTTCGTTTTAGAGCACTTAGCTTCCCCGTGAGTACTTGTGCCGCAAGTGCTGCACTTGTGCAAGTATCGGCACTCGGCTCGACGACATCCATCCGTTCGGTTGAATTCTCGACAAATAGGATAATCTCCCATCCCGCGCTTTCGCTTCTTTCCTGCGATCGCAGACGAGCTTCGCTCACCGGATCCTCCACTGAAATTCGAGCGTGCATCGGTGTTTCCTCGCAAATAGACGTCGTGAAGGACCTCTTGCAATTCACCGGTGTTAGCGAAGGAGAGGTGTGGGCTGGTATGGAGGAACTTTCGAGCTGCTTGGTCGTATTTGAGGGTAAGCGCTGCTCCGGTGGCATTGAAGCGTCGGACAATATGCCTGCGGTAGATTTGAAGCTCTGCGTTTCGATGTGGGAAGGCCCACACGACGGCCTCGGCGTACAAAACCCACGCCTGCAACCACTGTCCGTCCGTTGACAACTTCGTCGAAAAGATCTCGACTGCATCGTCGTATCGTAGCGAGTGGAATCGGTCGTGGTCAATAAGGTGTTCGAAGTTGATGAGGTGGTTGGCGAGGATGTCTTCCCAAAGATGTGGGGGAAATTCCGGCATTCCTCCTCGTTTGAAGAGACTTCGCACAGCGCGTTTGATGTTTGCGTCGTAAACGTTCCTAAGCGCTTGCGTTTTTTGAGCGTCGTTGAGCGTTCCGGCTGCTGTCTGGCTCCAAGGTGGTCCCCCATTTCCAAAACCCCAGTTCCATGCGTACTCGGCCCGGTGGTCGTCCTCCTCGTCAGCGACACGTTTGAACTGGACAGCTGGATCCTTGCCAAAGGCCACGATGCCTGGTCCCGTATCTGCATCACGCTCGGGCTGAGCGGTAGGCCGAGGCAGAGGAGCATCAAGTTGCTGAGCCCCATCCGGTCCAGAAGCGATTTCGGTTGTTTCTCGAGTTCCTCCAAGGCGGCGTTCTCCTTTGGCTGTAGCACAAAGGCGGGCGTTGGTAATTTGTTCAAGTTCGTCCCCGTAGCGTTGACGGGTTTGATCTGCTTGGCTTTCTGTGAATGAGGTTTCATCCGCGATGATTGCATTGACAAGGGCAGATGCCCTTGAGAGGGAGAGGGTTTCTGCAGTGAATTGACGGACGACATCGTCGAGCATTCGGAGCGTTTCAGCTGCGACGGATGATTCGAGAGCCTGGTTTGAATCTGAGGCGAGAGCATCGTGAGGCATGCTCGATCAATGATTCACCAAATGTCCGTTGGGATTCTTAGACAAAAGAGAGAGAGAAGCGCAAGCGAGGTGGAACAATAGCTGAGGACACAAAGAGCAGTAAAGAGAGAAGCGGGAAAGCAATAACCGCGCAATAACCAGAGGTAACTGGCAAGCGAGCGTGAGTTATAAGCCCTGCTGCATTGGGGGAAACATACCAGTGACACCGAGCACAAGCGCGAAGGCAAGCGAGCAGGTGGGAGAAAGAAGCCAAACTCCCCCTGCTTCAACAACTTAGCCATGCTAGAGGCAAGTTAGGACCCGGGCAGTTGGTCACCCATACAGAACGAGACAGAAGTCGCACGTGCCCACCCCCTCTCATGTAATTCGAAAAATAATTCCACCCGATTGTGGATTCGTGATTTCCTAGCGCGCCGACCAACGCCCACATGTGAAGCACACAATGTATGCAAGCAAGTCGATCTCAAACTGAGAGAGGAAGTGGAGAGTATTACGGGCCTGGTGATGCAATGTTGATGCAATGGATCGATGATAGTCACCATAAAGCTCCAAATTCAACCCCGTTTGTAAAACAGAATCCATGTATAAATATGTTCAACTGGGCAAGTCCGTCCGTAACTGCACGAAAAAGAAAAGAATGCCGACATATTGTTCAACAATCAACACCATTGAAAGTAAAGTGCTACACGTCTAAGAAAACGGAGACCCCGAGATTAAGGATATTTTGGGTAGCGAAAGTGTCGTAAAGGTATTCAAGAGAAACGCGAAAAGGGCGGTGGGGGGGAGGTCAGACCCCTTCACCCAGCATTTAAGGCACGTCGAGACCTCTTCAAGGCGTATAGCGAGCAGTGAGTTTCCACGCGTTCTGTTCTTTTTTGTTAAACGCTGGTGTTTGGTGATTGTTCATTGAGGATCTGGATTCGTAGCGGAAAGCGTTGTTGACCCCCCAGTAAGATGCGTTGGTGGGGGTGACTGAGACCTATCGTTATCGTTGGTTTGAATGAGCAACTGTGTGGCGCCCGGAGGAGAAACTAGGGGCTGATGGGGTGACGTTTCGCTTGGTCCCGAAGTTCGAGGAGGATTCGAAATCAACGGCGAGTGTGACGCTGAACTTGGTGGGTACACGGACACAGAGGTGGCAAGAGAATGGGCGTTGGATGCTCTTCCTTGCCGACGATCGAATTCTTCCATAACATCATCTGTGAACCTCGCTTGGCCACCCTCCATGTTTTGGAGAAGAGCTTGAGCCTCAGCAGATGTATTGGATGAGGATGAAGCTTGATGGTGGTGACGAGTGTCAAAAATCACTTCGGAAGGAGCACCAGTCTCATTCCCGAACTCCTCGCGGAACGCAGAGCCACTTCGTGTCGGTAGATTAGCCTGCGACCCAATGGCTCCGTATGCATACTAAAAAAGCAAATGATGAGGTCGCAAAATTGAATGCTCCAAGCGCACTCACTGGAGCCGGAGTTTCATCATGGAATTCATCCAGTTCATTATCAAGGAAAGGACGTGGAGATTTAAAGTCCTGGTGAAACTCGCGTCGTACCCGAATCCTCCTTCGGAGAAGCCAGGCGAGACCAATGAGAGCAGCTGCGACTGTAGCGATGCCCACGGCAATACCAACAATTCCTCCCGTGCTAACAGCTGAGCCACTGCCCTTGCCACCAGCGTTTAATGAAGATGAGGTCGAGGTAGATGCCTTCGAAATGGGAGGGGGTTAAACAACGATCCGGTGCAATATGTGTGTTAATTGCACTGACCGTCTTTGTAGTTGTACTTGCACCTGATGCGAGTCCTGATGCACCAGGGTCGGCCTTCGAACTAGAAGTAATAGTTATCGAGATTGTAAATTGGGAGTTAGATGAGGTGGACGATGTGAAACTACGGGTTGATGTAGGGGTAGTTGTTGAAATCGTAGAAGTCGTAGAAGTCGTAGTCGATGTTGTCGTAGTTGCGGAAGATTTCGGGGAGGACGTTGAGGGAGAGGAGCTAGATGAGGAAAGGGAAGATGAGGTTATTGAGCTGGATGAGCTGGATGAGTCAGATGAGCTAGATGAGGAAAAAGATGAAGAAAATGAGATTATTGAAGATGAAGAGCTTAATGAAGAAAAAGGAGGCGTGGATGAAGGGGATGAAGTGTGCAGAGTGGAGGAAGTAAGTGAAAAAGATGAAATAGTGGGTGAGGTGGATGAGGTGGGTAAAGTGGATGAAGTAGGTGAAACGGATGAGGTAGGTGAAATGGACGAAGTAGATAAAATGGATGAAGTAGGTGGAATGGATGAAGTGGGGGAAATTATCCTTGACGTGGAAGGACTTGACGAAGAAGAGAAACTAGAATAAAAGGAGTGAATATGTCATCTCCCGTTCTAGGGAATTTCATTGAACAGTTAAAGTAAAGGAAAAATGGTCAACCTTGTCTGACTACTGCTTGTCGATGTAGGCGACAAAGAGGAAAACGTCGACCGCGTCGAAGACGACGATAACGTACTGGTGGTAGTAGTAGTACCAACAGTCGTCGTTGACGGTGACGGTGACGTTGCGCTAGACGCAGAAGATTTTGAAGAAGAGCTCGACGATTCTGACCTCAATGAAGATGAGCCTGAACTTGAGGGAGATGATGTTGGTTGGCTTGTATCTGCACGTAGCATACTTGGGCGTTAATCACGCAATTCTGGGCAGATGGGACGGAAAAAGGCAAGAAACTAACGCACCCGAAGTTGGGGTCTGTGTCGAGGTTGGGGATCTCGATGTTGAGCTGGGAGGCTCAGATGTTGGGCTCGTTGGGGTGAGAGACCCGGATGTTGGAGTGAGGGACCCACTCGTCCCAGTTGTTCCAGGTGATTCAGTAGATGACATGCTGCGCAACAATTGTCAGAATCCCTTTCCGGTACGAGAACTCAGAAACCAAAGCACGCCAGCGAGCTGTGCGGGGGGAAAAGAAGAAAAGAGAAGAAAAAAGCCTCCAGATCAAGCAGGACGTTGGAGCAAGGCAAGTTTACGTCGCTTGCTTCGCGCCCACACAGCATAGGCTGAACCGGCAATCGGAGTTTGCCACGTGTGGGAAATACAACACAGCCCCTGAAGCGCTAAATGTGGGGGGAACAATAATATCAATGTGTCCAGAGCTAATTTAATTTATGAAATATTGTCCGGATCTCAGGGATGAATTAGCTAAAAGTGGAGTATACATAAAAAAAGGTAAACAGAGTCCTGGATATTGACAGATCATTTGCGTGATCATTGCCTGATCACGACGATGCAACAAGTTCCACAGCCAACTCCCGAAGGCGCTTCTCCGCTATTTGGCTGTGTCGGAATGTCTCCCCGTTCCCTCGCCTTTCAATGCAAACCAAATTAGCGAGATAGAAAATACAAGACGAAATTGTTTTTTACCCTCGACCACCCCAAAGCATCCGTTCAGTCCATATGCGCATTTTGCTAAACGAGACTTGTGATGGGTCGGGACCTCCAAGTGTTTGCCAAATATTCTCCCTCCACCCGAGATCGTATATTCGTATCCTCCCTGCTGCCTCTCGAACGAGCATCCGCTGTTTGCTATTGAGTCCATGCTCCACCCAACGACGCGGTGGAGGCGACGGGAAACGATATGGGTCGTCGAGGACTCTTGAGCGATTCCTCCCTCTAGCTGCGGCAGCATACGGAGGAGGTGAGCCTCTTGGTGGACTTGATGTTGACGTTGGACTAGGAGGAGAGGAAGAAAATGGAGGCGGGCTCGGATCGTGATGGAGTAATCCAGCGTCACACTCGGTCCCATTATCCTCGGCAATCGGACCGATGGGGCGAGGTATGACAACAACATGTAAGGATGAAGGGTTTCGATGGTTGTTTGATTCGTGCTGATCCCTTGGTGAGACGTTGAGCACTGACCGATATAGATTGACGCACCACGTTAGATAAACATGATATATGAAGAAAGGCCCAACGGTCAGTGTGAATATTGCAGCAAGAAGTGCAATGGTTAGGGCGTGAAAAGGTGTGTAATCGGTTTCATCCTTTTCCAGAAAGGATGAGACGTGGGGTTTCAACCTTTTGGAAAACCTTACCAGTATGAATGGCCGGTCAAGATAGTACCACACAGCTGGTGCGGCAACCCAGAATTGGTAAGTAGAGTACAGAGTAGTTGAAAATAAAAAATGTAAGAACGAAGGGTATGTCCGTGCGCCCTTGAGGAAACCATGTTAGGAAAGCAATCTTTGTGTGGCCTCCATGCGACCTTCACGTACAACACAGCGATTGGCCAGCCATGGGCAATGATGATCTATTGAAATAAAGTTGAGTCATGTTGGTGTGCACCTGAAACCAATGCTCCTTACCCATCTTCAGCACACATCGATTGCATTCGGAACAATGGTGAGTTCGTTCTGGTTTTGGAGCCCAGCACTAGAACACACAATCCTCTGTATGATAGCATAAAAATTTCGCACGCAATAACAAGATACCTTTCTGCACCAACGGGGCTCGCCATTTGCTTTTACAGGAATGGAGACGTTTTCAGGCAAAAGAGCCTCAGTCAAACTCATTTCATCTCTTTGGTCAGATGAGAATCTAGCAGCATCCTCGCCCTCAATGGCTTCAAGGGGCCTTATTGGCCCAGGATCACGCGCCAGGGTAACGATGAGTGAGGACATCATCATGAAGATCAAGAAGTAGCTGACAAATAGATGCACTATAAGAGTCACTTAGCCCCAGAAGAGTTCAAGTCCCAAGAGCAAACGTACAGCACAATAGGAAGAGGGAACGCCGCACTATATAATAGTAATTGGTGCAAAGGATGATGATGGATGGTTGTGGTGATATGACAAGCAGGACCAGGACTAAATATTGCGGGGGAGTAAGCCCCGTGCATTCCCCGAATAATAAATATACCGACCCACGAGCAAGATATATGGCTTCAACCGTCTACGTGGTTGTCCTTCACCAGGAACCATACCCTGGCGGCTGTGACTCCTGTGAGCTCTCTCTGGCGGCTCAGAGAATCGGAGAGATTGCATCTCGAAATTAAGGAGCGCCATAAACTTATGGGCCCAACGAGCTCCAAAGGGCGCTTGCTCGCGGGGCGAGTTGGAGGTGAGCTGGAACAATCAAGAAGCAAGGGCAATGCTGTGGCACTGCGCAGGAAGATGTTTTGACATGTTGTCATCGAGGAGTATCGGCGCTTGTCCCGGCTAACTTTTGACGCATTTGGCAACTTTACTGCATCGGAGTGCGAAAAGAGCGACTGGGAGTGATCCACTGGAGGGCTTTTGAGTGCGGACGGCGCTGATCACCTGGATTGTCCGTATAAGATGGCCTCTCTTCTGGGAACGCCATCGACCTCCCGAGCCCAGTCTCCATCGCGCACGACGCCATCTGCACTCAGGACTCGAACCACCAGCCTTCGTCCTGCTCACTCTCATGCATCTATGCGCTCTATGATTCCTATACATCCTTCTAATTCCCCCTTACCTCCCCAACTCTCGAGTTCGATGAACATCCCGTTTGAGCCATCGTCGTCTGGAAGCTCTTCTGTGAATGACTCGCTTTCCACCACACCCGACACTGGGGGGATGGTAGTTCCCACTGCAGAAGTTGAAGAAGTCGATGTGGATGGAGTGGTAGACAGTGTGCGTACTGAAGCTAAAGCCGCATTACGCCAACATCTCCGAGAAACTTTAACGGTGTTAGAGAAAGGTAACTGCTCAGTATCTTTAAGCTCTCCAAGTCGAAGTCTGAGACGCTTCAAAGAAACCCCAACGGCGCCTGGACCAACCCCACAACAAGCTCACATTAATGAATTTAGACGGGACGCGTGTAAGCTTCAAGTTAACGTCCACTCCGGATATCAGATGTCCGACACGAAATTCTAGCGGATGAATTTCCCCTCCGGCAATACTTTGTCCTTACGAACGCTGGAAAGCCTGTATTTACAAGGTACTTCGCTCAAGTACTGGGCATGCTCAATTCGCTGATGACAGCAGTCGTACAACTATAGGGGACAACGATTTAACAAGCGCAATGGGCCTCATCCAGGCCCTCATCTCCGTCTTCGCCGATGACGGCGACAAGCTTCGGTGAAGTCGGAAAGACTCTCATGATCACCTGGACTCTTACATGGCCCGGTCACAGGAGCATCAACGCCGGAAGGACAAGGATAGTGTTTTTCCTGCGCTCTCCTTTATACTTTGTCTGCGTGTCATCGTGGCAGGAACCTGAATCAGTTGTTCGTGTCCTTGGTTTCTTTAACGAAAAAAATTTCTTCTGAGGTCATCTAGAGATCCGTCTTCACCTAGACTACCTTCATCAGCAGATTCTTAGTGTTGTCTCTGGGGCAAGACTGAAACGCATATTTGAACGACGGACGAACTTTGACCTTGGTCGTTTGCTAGATGGTAGCCATCCTGCCTCAGTTTCAGTGTGGTGCCTCCGACAAGCTAACGCGTCACACCAGGCGCAGACGTTTTTATGAACTCTTTGATTGCAAGGTTAGAACAGGATCTAGGCCTCACCACCGGATCTTTGAGTGCAGTGAGGGTTGAGCAGTCCATACGCGCCAAAGCCGGGGACCTACTCGTTCCCCCAAAAGGCATGAAAGTTAGTTCCGACCTTCTCGGTATACCGCTTTTAGTATCATTGATGCTTCGCCCCTTCCTCCACAAACACAGCAAGATATCCTCTATGCCATTCTACTTTCCAAATCTCTCTCGCGTGTAATAACTCTCACCCGGCCAAAAAAGCAATCCATCCACCCGTCAGATCTCCACATCCTTCTCAATACCCTCTCTTCACCATCTTTAGCATCAGCTTCTTCAATATCTTCATCATCCTGGCTCCCCATTTGCTTACCGCGGTACAACCCCGAAGGGTTTTTTCACGTTTATTTGTCGTTCCTCGGTCATGATGGATCTGTTACACCTAGACATTCGGAGGGTGATTCAAATTTGTCGAACGGAGCTTCGGGGCCCTCTACGACACCAGAAACTGGGAATAATGGTGAAGTTGATAATGATCTTGGATTGGTTATCGTCACTCCAAGGAGAGACGACTTCGAGCGTGTCAGATCATGGGCAGATTCCATAGAAGATGTATGGTATCATCACCATCCTTGCAACTTATACACAACTAAACCAATCCGCCTATCTACAAACAGTCACTACGGTCCTCGGGAACGCTCAACTCCCTCATATGGGCTAGTAGACAACATCATTACTCTTCAGCAGACCTGGGCATCCCAAACCTTCAACATTTCCTCTATAAATCAAGGCCCCATGTCCAATTAACCATGCCAGCATGGAGGGCTCCCTACGATCAGCCAGACGACCGTAAACGGTACGTAAAGGGGAAAAAAAGAAAAAAAAGCCACTGACTCATCTATCGCACCATAGACTTATTACGCTCTACCAAAAGGTTCACGACGCCCTGTGGGCCCGCTCAGGCCAAGCCCATGGTCTGCTCAAACTCCAACTTCTCAGAACGAACAAAGAAGTCGTGATGGGATGGGTGACTCAACAGTTCGAGGTGATCGTTACTCTTGTACCGGCTGATGTACCCAAGGCATTGGTTGTGAGTGCTGCGAATGGCGTAACGAGGTGGGTCAAAAAGGAGGAAGGGAAGTTGTTTATTAGGGATGCACCTGTTTTTTAGGCTGCAGGAATGTGTCACTCCGCTCACTATATGAATGGTGGTTCACTCATCATAGTAGAACTCATTTATATAGTGCTTACTCATGCTCACAGTATCTATTGCCACAAACCGCCAAAACAGCCCACCAGTTTTCTTAATTAGATCCCCTTGAGTTCCGGCGAACTGGGTTTTTTTTTTTTTTTTTTTCAGAGGCGGCGCTGCGGCGTTGTGGCGAGGAGGAAATTAAGTATGCTGGACCCCTCACTGGGGTCATGACAATACGTGGCCTCCCTGACAAGTGAAATGGAAGTGAAGAAATAGTATGGTGTTGAAATTTGTACATTAGGTCAATGACAATGGATGCTGACCTGACACTCGAGCCGGAACGTCGTCCTGTGCAAGACGGTTTGAACACACAAACAGAATGATGGAGAACGTGCGGAGAGCCAGTCGTGGGGACGTCAAAGAATGGGGATCTCGTCACTTCTGCAGATGGTAGGCAGGACTCCAGTCTCTATGACTTCGTAATATTAGATTGAAAATGGTGAAGCATGGGATCGCAGCCATTCAGTTTGATCGCTAGTCCTATTTTGTGACTTATTTGACAGGGCCATGAAGCAAAGGGGGGGGGCTAGTCCTCACAACATGGACGCGTGCCCGACACACGAGAGGAAATGGGCAATCTGACAATCAATACACCAATCGAGCTAGGCACATCCAAAGTCAAGACCAGACTGTCACAGCGGCGAGGTTTGGAGGTGGGATCATATTGGGGCTTCCATTCACAGTGGCGACATAGAGACCGGGCACCGACAATGAGGAGATGAGCCCTGCTCATGCACACCGTCCGACTGGTCGGTTGACTCGGCATTCAATGCCAACTAAGCGCCGCACTGTTGGCTTGCAGGCGAGCGCATTTAGCCAACGAGAGGCATTTCAGCTGACATGTTGGTGGCTCTATACTAATAGAGGCTGGTAACCTGCCTAGCAAAGCACGCACAGCCGTTGGGGGCAGTCATCCTTAATTGCCATAGGGATTCCGTGAACCGTGCGCATCTTCGCGAACATGAGAGTGCTGACTGTGGCTGCACCAGCGTGGTACTGCTTAATGCTCACACCACTGGCACTTGCAAGATAGAAGCCAGCCATTGCTCTGCCTCTTACTCTCTGCGTACCATAGTACAGCCTAATTCATATTCGCCTTTCTTCGCAAGAAGCATAGGCAGCTGTTCCAATATTTGCGGCACTGCCAAAGCGGCGCCAAGCCGGTCACAATGGACAAATTACGAAGGATATTCCCACGAATATAATATACCGATTACGTATGCGCTCCTGACTCAACTTCTAGGGCTCTCCCAAACTGGCGAAAGCGTTTATATGTCTTATTCGCATCCCACGACCTCTGCTGTGGTTGCCCCTATCAGCATTGCCCCCTTTTGGGATTCCACGATATGTATAGAACCCCAGGAACAACGGCGTTCCTGCTCTTTTGCGCTCAGCGACCCCCATTCATCGTATTCTCAAGATCTGACTCGCTTTCATCATTGGGGACATGAAATTGGCAGAGCTGGGTGTACTAATTCCTTCTTTGCCGGAGACCGTCGCTAGCATTACTGCGGGCGCGCTTAACACTGTGGCCACTGCTAAGGATGCAGAGGCTGGTCTGCCTGCCAGGCACAATAGTACTGTTGCGGGGTCTCTACTGGTAGATATAGATAATCACATCATCGGAACATGTGGGGCAAAAGAACTTGCTGTGGCAGCCGCCTCTACTCTTGTTGCTTTGAAATCTGACAATGTTGCCGATGCTGCAGGTGATGCTATCAGTATTGGTATTGTTGCCCCTACTGTTGCAGCGCAAACTCTCCATTCGAACTTCGATGCGGAATCAGGATCTCTCATAAGCGCGCGTTCGGAGGTGCGCATTTTTCTCCCTCGCCACATTCAGGCTTGAATTTGAAGCACCATTGTATATTGGGTACTGAAAATGTAGGAAAGCACTCTCCTACCAGATAGCTCCTGTGGGTCCGCAATGACATTAGTTCCTTCCACGGATGTTACGTCTCCTTTGGAAGAATGTGACTCTCCAACTGAGGAGGACGTTTCAATCGAACTTAGGGCCCCGCTGGAACAAGCCGTCCGCTTCCAAGAGTGCCAAGACCCAGAAGGACAGGGAGAACAACATCCTTCCTCAATTTTCGCTGAAAACGCCAACACAGCCAACATCACCGTCGCCGATCCCGCGCTCACGACAATCCCTATTCTCCCCTCCGCCGAAAATACCCGCCCAAGCACTTCCACGAAGCCTCCTTACTCCCTCTTCACTCTCCCTAAAACATGTGTCCACATCCTTTCAAACCCCTGCCTTGCAACAGCAATCGTCGTCACATTCCGTTGCTTCGGACAAGTGGCAATGGGGATCGTTCATCGATTTGTCGTTCTTGAACTTGAATCCCCTCCATCTTCTCCTGTTTTCGAGGAGGAAGAGATGGAGCACAAGTGGGTTCGATTTGATCGGAGGCCTGACAGGAATGTGCCTCTTGCCAAGATTGTAGCAAGTGGGGCACGAGCAAACGACTCGGTACGATCCTTGCTTTTTTCCTTCTCTTGACGCTTTCCTTTTTCTAAAAAAACCTGCCTAAATAGACCGTGTTCGGACGAACGAAGGAAGACGTCCTTTTCAATTATCCCGCTACGCTCGAATGTCAATTCCGTTTAAAGAAAACCGTCCAACTTCAATCTCTCGTTCCATTCTTTCACATATTCATGCAGACCGTACCGAGATATCGATTTTGGAGGGTGCGTTCCGTCATTGTTACCATTCCCGCCCTTCCAGCTCTCCACCCATTCGACTGTGACTAAACATTTTCCTTTCTCTAATCAGGAGAACTGCTGGTTCTTAAGTTCCCTCATCGCAGGCTTATTGGTCCGTCTTGGGGATGGACAGTTCGAATTTGGAAAACTTATCTATCCGAATATCGCGCCTGAATTAAGAAGGTATCTGTATTTGAGGTATTTGGTTGAGACAAACGCTCCGTTAGATTCATTGACAGTGGGTTCTTTCAGTTTGTACCTTCGTGTCATTTGTTTTGACGCTCGTTTTTAGGAGGTGGAGCAGGTGGAGTCATTGTTGATCAAGTATCATCCTGGGAAGCAAGATGGTGCTGCACTGGTCAAGCTAGTACGTCGTCCCTATCTATTGAGTAACTCAAGCGTGTGGTTTCAGCCCGTCTCGTTTGATAGAAGTCTGGTGCGCTGGTGCATGACAGTGCGTTGAATGTTTCAGGGATGACGATTGCTAGTGTCAGGGAACGATTTGCTATCTTTGGAGTGAGTTTGCTCCATTCAAACCTTTTCATTGCGTCTGGAACTTATGGTAATGTTCATCACAATTAGCGCCACTTTCTTCGGAACATCTTGCATCTCCCCCGACCGACCCACTCTCGAAAAACCGTTGGGTTTGCGAAGATGTTAGCTGCTGTTGCGGGAGATGCATTCATGGATGATTTGCATTCCACTGCACGCAGTGCATCCTCCGAGGCAGTGATGATCCTCCGATCGCTACTTCCGCGTTCATCACATATGGAAGTGATTCGATCGACTCCTTTACTTGGGCTCAAGGTCACGAAATTGCTTTCTACGTCGGGGAAGAAGACAATTCAAGGAAATAAAGACGGCCGTTCCCCTACCCAAACGCCAGCGTTGCCGGAATCAGAACCAGAAACACACGAAGACGACGAACTTCTCTTTGCCCTAGCAGAAGCATACAACGGTCTCGGAGACGCTCAAAAAGCGATGCGGCAGTGGGAACCTGCTGAAAGGGCGTACGAAAATGGTGTTCGAGTCCTTCGAGTCCTTTATTCTCGTCGACCTAAAGAATTTTTGAAACCATTATGCCTCCAATTGAGTGGATTGGCGATGACGAAACTTGAGATGAGGAAATTTGATGAATCTGCTGCGACGAGGGGTGAGAGTATTGTCCTTAGGAGGCAGGTGTGTGTCGAGAGTGTCAGGAGTCAGGCAGGGAGGGAGATGATGAACAGGGCGTTGGGTCCTTTACCGCCTCCTGACTTCTCTTCGCCTTCGGGGCCATCGTCATCCATGCCTGCAACGAGCGCGACAGACGCGAGGGGTGCAAGAACAGCGGCGACAAATCCGGCTACTGCTGTTCGAAGCCAATTTGATCAATGTATCGCATTTTGCAAATCGTTGTATCAGGAAGCCCGAGGGGTCCATTTCGTGGATCAGGAATGTATCCGAATTCGACGAATGTTACATCAAGATAATGACGCACTCCATCGTGAACATTTATCGAGAACGTTACTCGCTCATGCTCAGTCGCTTCGACATGTATTCTTGTCTCAGGCCGATCGTCCCCGGACTTTTTTCTCGAGCTCTGCCTGGCGGGCTGACGAGGGATCGGAAAGTTATCCAACGGTAACGAATGTGGAAGAACCGTTATTAGAGATGGAAGATCTCGTGCGAGCTCTAAATCAGCAAGGGTGGAACTTAGCCACCATGGGACGTTATCATGAAGCAGCGGAGGCATTCGGCGAAAGTGTCAAAATTAGTCACGTCCTCCAAAGCCGAGATCCATCCCGCATAGGTGCTCAGAACTTGCCGTATTCATTATGCGCATGGGGTGATTGTCTTTATTCCTCCGGCCGATCTTCGGAGGCCGCACGCGTGATTGGTGAATCTGTCGCTCTCTCAAGAAAACGGCATGATGGATCGAGCTTCTTGGCGAATGTTCTCGGGTCATATTGTAGGGCACTTAGAGGTGCCGGGAAGTGGAACGACGCTGAGGCTGTGGGGGTTGAGTCAACTGAGCTATGGAGGAGATTATATGGGGCTGATCCGCTCGGCAAGTATGGTGCCAAGATTGCGTTCAGCAATTTTGCTTTGACGATAACGCTCGTCTATCAGAAGGTAGGAATCAATTTGATGCACCAATGGTTCACTCATAAGTTTTCCATGAATCTAGGATTTCGATCGAGCTTTGGTTACCGCTCAGGAAGCCATTAAGGAGCTAGGCCGTCTAATGGAAACGGAACTTGTCATTCCTCGAAGCTTGAGCGAGCTTCCGTCCATTGTGGAAGTGGCTACCACTACGAAGAGTCTTCCTGGCAGCCCTTGGGTCGTAGCAAACATGCATGGAGAATTAAAGGAGCTTGTCATGGCGCTTACGGGGTAAGCAATGTCGACCCCGATCCTTTGGACACTGATACTGACCTTGGCCTGTTCCTTCTAGAATTAGCTTTCCCCATTAGGCTCAAAGTGGGAAGGAGACGGGAACACAACTATGCTACGATGTCTACATAGATGGGATAATTCACTAACTTCGCGCGTGTTGTCTATCGCGCCAATCAATAGCAGTGTATACATAGCTCTACCTGAGCGCGCACAGCCGTACGTTTCTAGTGGTTGAATAGGCAGTGAAGCGCACAAGTGCTCACTGAACGGAGGTCGCGTGTTGTCGATTTTCGGACATGTCCCTCCGCCGTGCCAGGCAACCCGACACCAGCACAGCATGAGTTAATAAGCGCGCTTAGTAAAGGATCGGCAATGTTCCTTCGAGGAGTCTAAATTTCGCGGTACCGCAATATGGCGGAAATGGCTGTGCAGATCTGTTTTTCTTGGTCGAAGAACCCAGCCAGGGTTCTACTCAAATTTACCACCCAGATACCCAGACACACTTATCACCCCATTAAAAAGAAGCTGGTCACCTGCCTACATGTGTGGAAGACGCACGTTGTGGATGGCGGCACTGCCACGTTGAAACGGGGCCGGGACTCGGGAGAGCCTTTCCTCCTGAGCAGGTGACTAGCCTCCACAGCGATAGACGCGGTCTCTTACTAGCTCGCTAAATTGTCTTAGGGGAGTAATTCTCTAAAACGCGCGACCTAGTTGCTGTGCCTATTCTCCTCGGTATAAGTCGGAGTGTGAGGTGCATCGTGGCGCAGGAAGCCGTTTCGTCTCACTTGCAAAATCCTACCATGACAGTGTTATTTCCTACGAACTGGCTCAGCGCAGTGGTTTCCGCGATTAGGAGGCCGGTCAGATTTATTACGACCATTTTTTGGTTAATTGCATCTGTCGTCTTCTCATTGCTTGCACCATCTGTCCCCCACTCATCATCGAACAACCTCAATTTCGGCCGTCTCCCATCCCCTTCACCATTGAACAAAATCCTTCCCACTTCATTGTTAACTTCTGGAGTACGCCCAAAACGATTTCACTCTCACAATGACAGTACGTATCACGGCTACTCGTTCTTATGAACCACCTCATCGGTACTGAGGGCATCCTTGCAGGCTCTAGAAAAGTTCCAGTGTACCATGCATTAAGCCTTGGTGCCGGAAGCAGTGAGTATCTAATACCTACCTTCATGGCTATCACCGCTCATCTTTTCTGCAGTCGAAGCTGATGTTCGAGTTGTGAATAGTTCCTTGCTGGTATGGCGATTCGCCTTGATCTGGCATAGGGTTAAGCTAAACCTGATCTTTTTGAAAGGTGGGGTGGAGTAACGATCCAGACGTCACATTCGTGTCTTCGTATGTGAAGCCTCTCGAAGCCCTGTTAGACGCGTGTAATTCAAAGGCTGGGGGACGCAAAAGGTGAGTGGATTCGAACGCTGTTATTTGGGGAGACACTGATTCATTTTTGCGTCAGGGGGATCTATGACGTTGCTCCCGAGCTACCGCTTCAGTTAATGATCGATTTGAAATCGGATGTTCAGGTGTAAGCTGTTCGATCTCCCCACGTCACGGATGACCTTAAAATCGACTCCATTAGATCATTTCCGATGGTCTTTGAGGCGCTGGAACCTCTCAGAAAGAAAGGATATCTGACCACATACTACTGTCAAACGGGACAGATTCATTACTCTGCGATAACCGTGATAATCACTACTCATGCAAACGTATTCGAACTAGTTGAGGCACTCGAAGCACGGGACATGTTTATGGACGCTCCGCTACTAAACATCAGGGATCCATCTCTCACTCCAACGATCAGCCCTACAGCTCACATGTCCTTCATTCGTCACTTTGGGAACGGATGGATGATAGGGCGGCACCGTCAGGAACTGCGGAGACTCATTGATGCCGCTCATGAGAAAGGGATCATGGTTCGTATCTGGGATGTTCCCAATAGTCCAAAGTGGTTCAGGTGAGTGCAGCCCGTGGGCTGGCAGAGAATCGCTACACCTCGCCTAAATTTTGCAATGCATTCTAGAAATCGGATATGGAGGATGCTGTTAGATGAGGGTGTGGATTGGTTGAACGCGGACGATATTGACGCAGCCGCTGCTTTCTGAGTCTGGCATCACCATGAGGTAACGAGTCAAACAGCTGTATCATACAGGAGGCTTTTGGGCTGTATGCCAGCGAGCCACTAATTAGCAACCAATAAAATCAGTTGTTACTTTTACTGCAATGTCCGAGGTGTCTTGAAAACCAAGGACTTCTACGGGAAAACCAAAGCGGATGTATTGTGTTTGGCCCCGATCCTTCCATGCCGCCTCAAAGAAATAGGCTGAGTTATTTACGCTTTTCATTGGAATCATCAATTTGACGCAGAATTCCAAAGGAATTCACTTTACATCTTTTCGATATTTTCATTGATATGTACATTACACACAGAAAGATGAATCGAAATAGAACGAGCTTCCCTCCAAAAGGCAAATCTGTATCACTGTGAAAAATCAATAGACATCGTCGATAGTGGCTGATCACGTCGACCCTATTTTTTCTTGAACTGATCTTCGGTGACACCCTTGCCCATAGCAGCAGTAGATGAAATGCCCCCAGTGATGGTCATGAGCAAATTGTCAGCGTATTCAGCCCCGCTCCACTGTATTATTCATGGTCATAAATGATTGTTGACACTCAAGATCAATGAAGCCACTTGCCGTCTGGTGAACAAGGACATCGGTTCCCAGCTCGCGCTCCGGACGTTGAACAAGTTCAACGTATGCCTTCATGCCTTCTTTTGCGAACCTTTGAGCGAATAGATCGCTGATAAACGCGTTGGAATGCAAACCGCCAAGCTACAGAACGAAAAGGGGTGAATACTCCTAAGGGGTATGCGGACGCCAACTTGCCGTGATAAACTGCCAAACAAAGCCGAGTTTTCCAAGCTGCCAGACGTAGTCCTTCATATCCTTCTCGTTCAAACCAGCAGCTTCCCAATTGAAGCTCGGACTCAAATTGTACGCGAGCCATTGACCAGGAACGGCAGCCCTCACACCATCGCTAAACTGTTTCGCCTGGGACAGGATGGGCTTCTTGGTTTCCATCCATAGTAGATCCGCGTAAGGTGCAAAAGCAATGGCACGGTGGATCGCGCATTCCGTCCCTCCTTGATAACGGTAGTACCCTTCGCGCGTACGAGGAGTATCCGAATCCCAGAAGGGGATGGAGGATGGGGGAAGGTTCCAAGGCATACGGGTAGCAACCTTCTTCGCATCCGAAATGGAAACTTTTGATATGGCTTTTCGGAACTCATTCACACGTGTGATTGGTGACTTGGTGTGTCTGGCGTACGCATCCGTAAGAATATCAGGGAAGAGGGCGAGGCGTGCCTCAGCAACCCATTTATCTTCGATTTCCTGCAATTCGGGGCCTTGGATTCCTCGAGCTTCTGCCTGTTGCAGAACTTTAACAAGAGGTTGCTGGTTGGGGTTCGTGGAACCAAGGATGAATGGGTGGTCGCGTTCGTCGATATTGGTAGTAATGAGGGTCGCAGCTTCAGAGTCCGTACGCGCAACGACAAGGTTCTCTACGCCCATTATGTCGTATTGCAACCGGATGGCAATGAGACGGTTGATGTGCTCCTGAATAGGTACAAGCACTTTTCCTGCCATGTGTCCACATTTCTTTGTCCCCGGAGCCTGGTCCTCGATGTGAATACCCGCCGCACCCCTCTCGACAAACATCTTAGTAAGCTTGAGGACTGCGGTAAGACCTCCATGACCCGTGTCGGCATCGGCAATGATCGGACGAAGATAATCGATGTAAGGGATCTTGGCCAATTGTTCGGGAGGCAAGTTTGAGCGCGCTTCACGTTGCTTGCGATCGTGGAATAATTGAGCCTGGAAGAGGTGCTCGACCTTAAGTGGGACGGTGTTGGAAGGATAATCTATTGATTCGCACGGGTAATTGGATGTGTGTACGGATCGTGATTGAGAGATCGGGAACAAGTTGACACTCGAACGCACCAGCAAGATCAGGGCCTGGCTCATTGGATGAGGAGGCAGTCGAAGAGGATTGCCACCCCGAAACATACACAGTCTCAAGATACTTGGCCATTTGCGTTATTTGAACAGGGTCGAGGCTTAGGTCAGGATCGAGCGACATAGAATCAGCTCCGAGGAAATTGTAAGGATAACAAGAGTCGAAACTTACGCTCCGTAGGTATGAGAGGGAGTACCATCCTTCGCGTGCTCCTTCAGAAGCCTCCACAACTTCTTTCCCTGGAGGTCTGACGGATAGTTGATTTTGATGGTGCCGCGCTTGGCCACAACCTGCTGTGCGGTGTACGGACGCTTAACACGGGAAAAACGTGGTGACTGGGCGAGACATTTGAGATATGCGAAAGCAAGTTTTCCCGCTTAGAATAAATTATGGGGTTCTGATCTATGCATACCTTCCACCAGCGTTCAACCTCTGCCACCTCTTGTTGAAAGCGTTCTTGCTCGGTAGACATGGTTAAATCTCGGATGTAGGAGGAACGACAAGGGGAAAGGATGATCTCAAATGGTGGAAAGGAGAGGTACTTGTACTAATTCGTGCGCAAACCGACTGAGCCATTCGGGTACTTCAAGTGTTGGAGTATTCACGTGTCAATCCGGCTATGTCAGATCGGGTTCCCACTTGCATACTCAATTTGGGTTCACTGAAACATCCTATTACCGAAAGAAGGTACTGGGCATAGTTGTTACTTTGCAAACATGATGGAGAACGCATCTCAGAGGCACAAGCACCATCATCTAAATCTATAAAAGGTGTCCTTATCGAGTCTAGGCCAAGGAATTTCATTGATCAATATTTGAAAAACCCCTCGCCTGTTTTTCTCCCCAGCTTCTTGGCCGAAACCAACTGATCCAACAATTCCGATGACTTGAGCATCTCCTTCGGAATTGTCGGATCTTCTGTCTTCTCCATCCGCTCCCTCCAAGCGTCAACAATACGTTTGGCTACAATGTCACAACATGGGATCGATCAGCTCATCTCTAATCATGTTCATCTTTGCATGCATACTTGCACACATTAATTTTAAAAATCCACTTGCACACACTCACCGGTATCCAACCCTACGAGATCTGCTAATTCTAATGGACCCATGGCTATGATTGTAGGAGAACGATGGATACTGTGTTATTAACGAGATCCGAACGCCGAATTTGAACATACACACGGTAGCCTGCACCTAACTTCATCGCCGTGTCAATGTCCTCAGCCTATTGATGAACACATTTAGAAGTCAACGAGAAAAGCATCATTTAGGCTATCACAGACCGAAGCATCTCCCCGCTCAAGCATCAGAATTGCATCGCGGAGGTACGGAACTAATCTGAAAATTAAAACATGAGTCCAAGAATGGTGGGAATCTCGAGTGCTGGACGTACAGCCGGTTCACAATAAACCTTCGATTGGTTACGTGAGTGAAACAAGCATTGGCCGGTGCACATCAGCTTACCCTGGAGTATCCTTGCACGCGACTGCTGTCTTCTTGATATTCCTCCCATAATCGATGAAGGCATTGAATGTTGCGTCCGAGGTGTCCTTTGTTCGTATGATTTCCAAAAGCTGCATCTTCGTGCTAAGGTAAATGAATACATGGAGGTGCGCAAATGTTGGTGATAGTTATTGCGAAATTACGACTTGCTTACACAGCTATAGAGCAAATGTTCCCGGTGATTCACATAGCATCAGGGGATTTGTTGAATGACTCACGATTAAAGAAATGCAAACCCCCGAAGCTGATATAAACCCATGAGCTATTCGATGCAGGATGCTGGCACGGGGATGCTTACTGCTTCTTACGCTCGTCGCTAAGCATAGCGCCAATGTCAGTGACAGACAGGCTACTTGTATTCGTAGCAAGCAAGCAGGACTTTTTCGCGGCTTTGTCGACAGTGGAAAGCAATTCTTGCTTAATTTTGAGGTTTTCAATGACGGCTTCAATAACGAGGTCTGCGCTGGAAATTCGCAGAGGCGCCCCAAAGCCAGAACTAGTTAGTTTATATTGGGTGAACGGTATGAACCACCTCAGCAACGCACTCTTCCGCGGCTTGTTCGGGGTCTGTGGTTGTCTTGATCCTGCTCCGGAGATCCCGCACATACTGATCTTGCTTTAAGGGATTATCGTTGAACATCCGTTGAGCTGCCTTCGCCCAAGATTTGATGATATCATCGAGGCCCTTTTCAACCAAGTCTTGACCTATGTCACATAGCACCACCTTGCGAGTAGGTAGACCATAAAAGTGTAATATAACGGAGTAAATGCCAGTGTCCGTCAGTTATTAAATTATCATATGCTAGTACCTTGTAGCCACTTTGTGCCGAGACCTGTGCTATTCCGGTACCTGGGGGCGGGCAAGTTTGAACATAATGATAGTGGGGTTAACGGGACAACGACACATTTAATTTAGTTGACACCCTCAAAGGCAATCCCCAAGGTGTTTCGTACCCATCAAACCGGCCCCGAAGACTGCAATATTCTTTACAAGGAACTGGGGGGACGAAGAAGCAGAAAAACTGAGTGGGGAGAGGTGTGCTACCGTTGCAGCGAGTCTCTCCGTTGGCGACGACATTATGTACTTTAGTGGAGAAATTCGAGCTGATGTCTTCGAGGTTTGCACTGCCTCATTTGTTCGTATCAAGGGATCGGTCATCGTGAAGTCGGTGATAACATTACCCGAGTTTGATGGCGACATGAAGATTAGCTATGTGTACACACAGTGTAAGGGACGGCAGGGGTTAGATCATTCACAGCTTTAGACAATATGCAAGTTGTCAGTGATACGGGGGGTGGCGTCGATTGGGGGTGGGACCGAACTCTGGAGGTTATAAAACCCCCCTGCTGGCGATCAGGGCTACATCTTGCAGGCTTCCCTGGTCAGTGCCGGATGTCCGGGGTCGGGAGTCTTCTTTACCTTGGGATGTTACAATGCCTGCGAGCATCCGGGGTGAGATCATATGCCGTGCACGGACTTTACAAATCGCCTCCTCCTTGGGCTCAAGAGGCGAGGGACCGCGGTGGTAGTGCGCTCTAACTGCGCTCTTTTCGTCAGCCTGTTCGGCAAGATCACATGGATCTGGGAATACACCAACTGAGAAATGCTTGGAATCGCACATTGGGCTACTTCGTGCTTCATGCAGGCCCGTTGGTAATTTCCACGGCCTCCAAACCGTTGTGTTTCCTCTTCCCCTTCCTGGTGGGGTGTTGGGGCGACGGCATGGATAGACGGACCTGAGCGATACTGGAGACACGTTGTCTATCTCGTCAATGGAGCACTCCAGCAGACGCGAATGTGATGGGGATATCATACCTTAGCGGTGTCATTCCGGTTACGAATATGTGGACTCTAGGCCCTGAAATACCTAAGTTACATGCCCTTCTTGGTGCCTGCAACACTTCGATTACCGCTTTGTTGCTTAAGCGCTTCTCCCGAGTCGTTTTCGGTCTCTCTGCACGCAGTTATGGGGTACTGAACACTGTTGGACATCACTTCCGACAGTTCATGGTTCTCTCAAACCATGGGTCAAGTACATTATACCCACTTCCCCATCCTATGACCGCCCGGTTTAGCCAAGGAAGGTCCGGTGCCCCCCGCTTGTCATTTCGAGGCTGACAAGATAAGAGGACAGCAACAAAAAGTGAAGACGGGGGGACAAGCGCCGCGAGTTGGCTCGGACCACAGAGGACAGGATTCTAAGTTGAGTGGGTGGACGGTTGGTTTTGTTTTCGGAGGCTCCAACAATATGAGTTCTGAGGAAAGACTGGCGCACGAACGTATATAATGTGGGCTAGAGAGAAAAACCAGGAACAGGCCTTTGTTTACTGCTGTGTTGGTCGAGCTCGAACAACCCCACATCAGGTCGTGGTGCCAAACCTTTCGCGTGTATTTGGTGGACCATTTGAAAGCCATCGGGCCCTTCAAGAAGGGCCCCAAACAGGCTTCGGTATGCTGAAACGCAAAGAACCTGACCGGATCGAGGTGGGCGTAATTGGAAATCGTGTGACATCACGTTGTAACTGACGGGCACTATATTCCGCGAACGATACCTCGAATAACGCGTCAAATCTCCGGCTCCCGGGCTATGATTGTGCCCATCCTCTCATTTTATTTTACTACACGTAGAATTATGAGATTCAGGGTCTTCTCGGCCGTGGTGGAACTTCCCAAGTTTATCGTGCTACCTGTCGACGAGGGAGACTTCGAGGGCGCCAAGTCGCAATTAAAATAGTGGGCGATTTCTTCACGATCGCACTGACCTTCTGCTATTTAATAAACTATACACCTCAGGTCCCAGTGTCGGCTTTGCCTACTCCGCCTCACATCTCGCATCACGTCAGGTCCACCGCACTGCATGCCAAATTGCATCATCCATCCATCATTTCCCTTCTTTCTAGCTTCCACACGTCTACTGAATACTATCATGTTCTAGAGTTATGTGCAGCTGGGCCTCTGTCTGGATATTTAATGGGTCGCACATCTCACAGACTGACAGAAGGTGAAGCCAGGGGGCTCTTGAGGCCATTAATCGATGGTTTGCTTTACCTGGGAAAGCAGAAGGTCGTCCATCGAGACCTCAAGGCTGACAACATTCTTCTCACTGAGGACATGCGGCTGGTGCGTTGCACAGCACCTCAAGACTTCCATCACTATTCATTGGACTCATCGCCGTAGAAACTGGCAGACTTCGGATTAGCCACTCAGCTGATGCCTCCTGCTTTCAAGGCCACCACCTTTTGTGGAACACCCAATTATTTGTCCCCGTGAGCTGAACAATTCATTTCTGCGCCACCTGTTTGTCTCATTCAGTCGATAGGGAGGTTATCGCACATCGTCCTTATGATGCCATGGCTGATGTTTGGGCACTAGGCTGCTTTATGATATCTATCCTTACCGGAAAGCCCCCGTTTCAGGCATGCATGTTTCCGTGTGATGGGGAGCCTTGGTTTGGTAATCGAGAATTCTGCAGGGTCTAACAATAGAGGCCACTCTTGCAAGAGCGTCAAACGCAAGTTATGTCCTCCCGAAATCGTTGTCACCAGAAGCTTCCGATTTGATCAGGAAGTTGCTGCAAATAGTGAGTAGTTAGGACTGTGGTAGTCATAGCATATTGACCAAACCGGATCAGAAACCCAAGGATAGGCTTACACTATCGGAGATTCTGGAACATCCTTTCTTCCACTTATCTTTTCCAGTCACCACACTATATCCATCTGTTGTGTCCGGGCATTCCACTCCTTTGGCTGCGCCCGAGAGGGACATACTAGGATTGTACACCGCAGAAACAGACCTCCCTTCAACCGAGATGCGTCCTAGGTCTGCAACCCTTGGTAATCCTCCGGGTAGACTTAACACCGTCTTTCTTCGGCAAACTGGAAAACAAAAACATAAGGGCTCGGGCAAAAATGACAGACAGCTCCTAGATCGTCCTGTGCTCGGTTCCATTGAAAATGCAACCCCCATACGCCCTTATTCAGTGGGTACTTGCGGAGAGTCCGTGGCCGCAGGGTGTCCAGACCGCAAGCCACGAAAACGCACATCCCAGGCGCTTGGTCACGGTGGGGGTCCTACTTCCCACTGGCTCCGCCCATCGAGGTCTTGCATAGATCCAGCATTCACATCCCATGCCCGTTCATCACGTAACACCCGAACTGTCAAGCGCGTCGCATCGCTAAATACTGCCTCTGACTCGGCCATCGCTGCTCCAAGTGACCCGGGGCTTTACGCTCAATCTTGCTGGGCTGAGAATCCATTGCCACCTGTCGGTGCTCGTAGTTCATCCATGTTGCAAACTGCCCCCGTACGGCCCGGTATGCCTAGCCAATCATCAGAGAAGACCACCCGAAGCAAAGATAATAGGGAAAAACCTCATGGTTCTCCAAATACGCATGATGGAGCTCTGCAGGTCCATGAAGCGAAAGCTAGCCTTCCGGCTCGGCCAGGACAACGACACAAAATCGGTTCATTGAATGTCGCTCTTCCTGACCCGGGGTTGCTCTCGGAGGCTAACGCTAAAACTTCTTCCGAAGGCAGAGGGCAACCAACCCCAATCGATCTCACATTGTTGCCTCCCAAAGTCTACGAAACTCCCCATGGAACGATAACTATCTCCGATCAACCACGCGAATTGCTCGTTGACCTGCGAAAGTCGGAACGAGCCGCAGGTAGGGCGGGAAAGGAGGTGTTGAAGATCAGCGAGAATGGCATGATGGTGTGGACGTTCTTTCTTTGACATTTTTATTACGATGAACGTTGGAGGCGATAGGTCACAGTTTTCGAGCTCTTCGGCCATAACAGTCTTGAGGGCTCGTCGCTCCCTAAACAGTGGAAACTAGACAACCTCCCAAAGAATTATCTCAAATGGTATCGCTTTGCGGGCCGCTTCATTGATATGCTGAGGAGCCGCACCCCTAAGGTCAGTGAGAAAGTTGTTGCGCCCTTTTGGTCGCCCGCTGATCAGGCCCCATCATTTCAGTTCATATTTTTCACGCCTCGTGCAAAGTGCACCGTTATGTCTAATGGGCCGCTGCCAGATGTGGAACTCACCTTTCCTGCTTGTGGACCCGGCGTGAAAGAGACCAAGCGGGGAGCAGCTGTCGCTGATCTGTTCCCTACCATGCGCATTCGATTGCTTCGTCGAACGGGGCACGTCGAAGTATATAGATCTATTCACTATGTCAGTCAACCTACCCTCACTGCCAATGTCCCAGGCTTTGGGGAAGGGGAGTGGACAAAACGAGTTGCGGCGATTCCTAATGGGGGTCACTTATCTGAAATTCCCCTCTTTTCTGCTTTTCCGGAGGAGCGCGAGGGCCTTACTCACATGGATGAATGTCTCTCACTGTGCTCCCAACTTGAATCACTTTCATTCAGCCACCATAACGATATGGCGAAAACAGATGATCGGCCACTCTCACCTCCACTTCAGGAAGAGTTGTGGAAGTCGCTTGCTGAAAGTACCACCTCTTTCGGTACTACAACCCTCCATGCTGGTGTTTGGGCAGCTCTTCGTGAATCTTCTGCCGAAGACCATAACCGGGACCAGCAGCTCATGCAAAACTCCCCCAAGAGCGCGCTAGTTCGGGAGGTACGCCGTCGGTTGTCCTCATCTTCCCGTTCCTCTCCACCCTCGGCCTTGATCCAGGCTTCACGGAACGAAGAATCGTCTCCTTTCAATGGACATTCGAGTGGCCAATCGGGCCTTGAACACTGGTTTCAACACCGAAGGAATCATCTCAAAGCTGGGGGGCCACGTCATACGCTTCCTCAGCTTCTAACCCCCTCGTCCTTTCATCCTGAGTCAAATCAATCCTCGCTTATGTCGTCGGGACATCGCCCACGGGGCACTCAGTCTCCGGAAACTCGCTTTATTCCTGCATTGGGCTGGTGTTTGAGATACAGCGCAGAAGACGGCCACACAATTTATAAAGTGATGTTCCTCGATGGGACCTCGCTGGAAGTAGACCAAAATGATTCTTCCGCTCTTCTGACCGACAGGAACGGTCAAGCCTCCGATAGGTGATTCTCATCCTGGGTAAAAAAGTAACTTTTTGACCTTACGTTTAGGATATCCCTCGCCAATAAGTTGCCTCCCAAATTGCAGCGACGCTTCACTGTATTTCATGAGTTTTTACGGCTTTACGAATAGAGCGAGTGATTTCTGAGACCGAATGAGCTTCTAGCCGGCCAATCCGTGCGTGATCCTTAGATTAAGATCGAAGGAACGGTCTCTCTGTTGCAATAGAACTAGATTAATGTAGGTGCAGATGAGACATGTACAAGAGGTGAAAATGGTGATCAAAGCGAGCCTGTTGAAGAGGTGGTAAGCAGAGACGAAAAATGGGAAACTAACACATGCTGCGCCCCAATCAAGCAAGGTAATTGAATGTATCCTTTTCTTTCTCGTTCTGTGGATTTGGGTGTTAGCAAGAAGCGGTCAAATGACTGAAAGTGACATACGCGCTCAATGTAATCCTTCTCCAGCAAAGTCTCAATAGCCTAGAGTGAATTCGTGTGAGAGCGGAAGGGATATGGTGAGAGAAAAGATTTCACCTTCTTGATATCTACAACCTTGGGGGTGAACCTCGAGGCCAGCTGATTGGTCACCTCCGCAATAAGTATCTGATTCTTCAATGTCTGCCGACGAAATGAGCAAGAGCACATCTGGTTTATAGGAGTACGCAATAGTACCTTGCGAGCTTTCATAATGCTATCAACGAGGCTAGATATCAGTAACGAGGTTTAAAAACGAACAATGTACCTACCGAACTATAGTCGCCTGGATGACATATTTACGGTCCTCGTCCACGGTTTTAAGAACCTCAGACTGCTCTGCCTTGACTTCCGCTTTGATCGGTTGATTGAGGTTCACTCGAATCTTCTTTGACTTGAAGCCTGAGGATGAAATGATGTCACATACGTTCATAAAAAACCTGTGAAGAGGGAAAACTCATACCGGGGTTGTAATCATATTGCTCTGGCTCCTCATTGATGAGGATCTTAGCTTTCACCAGTGCCGCCAGAATCTGTAGCAATGTATCCTTGGGGAGCGCGGTGGCAGCAACGAGTTCCTCCAGGGACATCGTGTCATTGTGATTGTATTGAACGAGAACAGCCGTTTGGTACGCGCTTGTCATCAGGATATATTTCTGATTGTACCCGCTGGTACGCAGCTCGTTCTTGGAGTAATTCCATAACCACGTCAGTTTTCGCCCCCTGTGCGGCAAGAGTGAGGGAAGAATGAGATAAGCTGCAGTAAGTGGAACATACGAGTGCTTCTGCTGATAATATCGTTGGAACCGCTCATAAGTCTTGGACAGATCTTCGGGGATGTTGAAGTTATGTGTTGGGGGCGTTAGCGGCCAGAAATTCGTTCCTAGCACCATGACGACGAAGTTTATATCCTCTGGGTCTGGAAGGCTCTCCTGTTTCTCTTTGAACTGTTGGGTGAGATCTTTGCTCAAACTCATGTCTAAAATGGATTGTCACTTCAAAGGCTGAGCAGAGTGGAAACAGATCTGACGCACCAGTGAACATGCGTTGCAGCTTATTCGTGTATTCGAAACCACAAGCCTCCTTCAACTTCGAGATCATGCTAGCTTCAGCCTCTTCGGAAGCTGAGACGCCATGAATGAGGCGTTTCGACAGCTTCGTGCTGTAAAATGTCTGAAAGACATCCTTATCTTCGATGTACTTGAAGAAAACCATCTGACGCCAGGAGGTCAGCAAGCATCCCGCGGGTAACTTAATCAATATGGCTGACCACTTGGTTAAGCGCTTCCTCGAGATCCCCTTCCTCGCTAAGCTTATTATTCTTGCGGAGCAGCGCATCCGCATGCTTAGCGAGCAATTCGGGAGATTTAGTTGTTGAGGTGCCTGTCGCAGCGTTCTTGTTAACAAACTCTTTGCACGCCTAGGGTAAGAACGTTAGAGAGCAAAGAACATGAGCAGGTGCGAACATACTCGATCGAGACTAGCGACAAAACCAGCTTCCCCTCTGAAGCTCCGGTTGACAGTGTCCGAGTTCTTCTTGTGCACTTCCAACAGGGCATCGACGTAAACTTTGGGCTCCTAGAAAACGAAGCCTCATGGTAACGCTTAGCGCATTACGAACAAAACGCATCGAACCAATGTGTCTACACCATCCTCGGGTATTATCTTCGACACGGCGCCAAGGCCGGAGGCCTTCACGTGTTCTTCAAACTTAACACGGAGTGGTTCTAGACCATCCGGGATCCTTGAAAGGAGGGCGTACATTCGCTGGAGGTCTAACATTTAAGTTACGATAAGTAGATAATTTCCAGAGCACAGGATGTACGCACCCTCGTCCTTGTCGAAGTCCAGTAGATTCTGGAAATCACTAATCAGGAATTCCTTGTGGTCAGATATCAGCCGCTCCTCGCATTTGCTTAAAAGCTAATCAAGGAATCAGATCAAAACATTACGATGTCGTCAAGTCGGCTGACCGTCTTCCGGGTGGTGGTGCTAAGGTATCGCTCTACACGGTCTTCCTCCTCCCGAAGACGATCCTCGGCTTTCTTCATGTATGCGCTCACAGTATTCTCGGAAAGGAATGCTTTTGATTCTATCTGGTAGTAATCGGAAGTTGCGGCAATAAATGGTATAGCAAAATGTTGCCTGTAAACATCGAAGTTGGCTTTATTCGTATCGGTCTCATCCAAACCCAGTGACACTATAGACGAGCATTAGCCACGGCACAAGTAGATGGACAGCAAAAAGGTACCAAACGAATCGATGACTTTCTTGATAAGCCCAGAGTCAATAGTTTGACCATTCCGCTGAGCCTCAATCATCTTTAGCACAGCGTTTGCTAGCTTAGCATTCTTATTTTGTATAGGTTCGAATAGGTTCGTTCTCCATTGTACAAGCGCCAGAGTGTAAACCTGGTAGACGCCCTTGCGTCCCTCGTCCTTTTCACGCTTTACCCAGTGACGATTGAGATAAGTGAACAGACGGTTCACATAATTAGCCCCGGTCGTGTACCGATCCCATTCTTGGGCATAATATCGCAGGAGAGGCTCATCCGAAAGGTTTTCCGTGTGCTAAAACGGAGAAAAGGTGAATTGACGGCATTGGCAGGAGCAAATACAATGAAGGGAACTTACGCTGCGAAGACTGACAAGGTGCTGGTTAAAATAACGTATCAGATGATTGTAGAGGTCGGACCCCATGAGATTGGCACCGGCTAATTTACGGAAACCAGAATGCGATCAGAATGATAATTACACAACTTCTGAGGAACAAGTATACAGACTTCTTCCACCGAGCGTGCTCTGATCGAGATTCCCATGCATTCGTGATGAAGTACAGTAGTTGTAGGCAACAGTGTAGAGCGACATGTATTTTTGATAGTGCACGCCCTCCTTTAGCCTACGCATAGTAGCATCAACAACTGCGAAACATCAAGAGACAATTCCGATTACCGGGTCATTATATGATCGACACCTGATGACACGAGGAACGTCAAGGCGATACGGTCAGATCCGCCCCCACCACGACAAATGAGTGAATACGGAAACACAGACCTTCTTCCAAGAAGGCCCAGGTAGTGGCAAGATCTGCACTCGCAGGCGGCATTGCTCCGACAGCGGATGCTTGTGCCATGGTTGAAGCGCGAGGGGAGTAAGGGATTGGTCAGATGTCGGGGAAATTATGATAACTCTGTTGCAGCATCAGTATCAAGGGTCGAGAAGCAAATACGACGCGTCGGCGCGATTCACCGTTGCTTACACGATTGACAGGTTTCTTGCGAGAATGACGGTGACACTCGCTTTCAAGGAAGTTGGGTAAGAAGGGTGTGGAATCGACCCGGAAGCAGCCGAACTTCTTGCGGCACCGCATGGGGAGGTAGCTCAAACTCACATGTGCCTGTAGGCGTAAAGGACAACACAGTAATGAGGACAACATACGGTGCATAAAGCTGGCACAGGGGATAATACGTATGTACATGTTGCCCATGCAAGGAATTGTCCGACAACAAAAAATCCGAATGAAGAAGCTATTTGATGTTGCGAAGCTGGAAGTATTCAGCATGGCAGTAAAATGTGAAAGAGTATCTTGTTGGCTTACCCTAGCGGTGGTAGTATCAACATTGTAATTGAGCTTGCTAGTCTTGCTAGCAATGTTGTCTATGCGAGCGTTCTGTGAATCAAGTTCATCCCCAGCGGCAAGAGCTAAATTCTTGAGGTTCTTAACGGCACTCCCAATGGAATCCAAGTTGTCCTCTATTTCATCTTCAAGCTCGTCATCCGACGCCGTAGCCTCGAACTGGTACCGCTTCCGTTGCTGCTTTCTGGCCTCAGAGCTGGGGTGTCGGCGCCCACCGATCCCCTCATCCTCATCACCATCGACATTTGAGGCGTATGCGTGTCCAATGCGATTCTGAGTCGCGCGGACATCTGACATCGCTTTTTCGCGTTCGTGCTGTTGTTCGTCGTAGCGAGACTTAATCTTTGCTTCTTGCTGCGCTCGCTTTTGGTCCTTGTTGAACGTAATGGCGGGACGAAATATGGAACGATTCAATTTCTTCAGTTCGTCGGTCCTATCCTCTGCCCGCAGAGCATGGACTTTGCTCATGTCGACGTGACGCTCTGTGTTTGCCAGCTTCTCTGAAAACGAATGTAAACTTCACAACGTCATGTTTGTGGCGAGATCCAAGAACCTGACTGATCTCCAAGCTTGGCGAGCGTATTCCCGGCGGTCTCCTCAGCCTCCCGGGCAATGCGAAGAGCGTTACGGGTGGAATTTACAGATTCTTGCTTGACAAATCTCGTCTGTTGCTTAATTCCTTCAACATCCTCATCTTCTTCCTCCTGTGTTTGGAACTGGCGTGGCTCATCCCCAGTAGCACCTCCGGGGGTACCAAAACGATCCGCGCGATCGTCAAACATATTTCCCCCTTTCCTCTTGGTTGGATCATAGCCAGAGAAAAGTTGAGCCCTGTCCGCTTCAACATTTCCGCCACGCGCATATGGATCTCCCACAGCGGCACGGTTATAGCGGTCAGGAAGAGGGGATGCTGACGGCGCTGAGCCAGTAGGTGCACGAGAATACGGATCCTGTTTTGGAGGAGAGGAGTAGGGATCTTCGTCACCGTAGAGGCTGGGAGGTGCAGTCCGATAGCTAGGCGGGGGTTGAGGGGAAACGGATCGACCACGCGATCCGCCACGAGACCCTAGAAGCTCATTGCGAGCAGAGTCATTGTCTGCTGGTGGAATTTCTAACTTAGACTTATTGCGAGAGAAAAGAGGCATTGGTAGTAAGCAAGAGATTCGTCTGACTTGATGGAAAGGATGCTGTGAGCTTTGTGGAACGATCAAGGCCGTTGTCAGTTTGCCCAGATCACAGCCTCCCTATGGGCCCCGACGTAAACAAGGCCCAACAACGTCATGAACACTTTGAGAAACTGCCCGAAGCGTTTGCTAGTGCGATCGCCTCGTACTATTGGAGCCGTCACCAGATTCAATCACACTCAACAACCTGCGTCAAAATCACCCGAAACAACGCATTTCGGATATCGGACAATTAGGACTGAAGAGAAGGAGTCTTTGGGTAGTGTCCAATGCCATCCATTTTGGCAGGCACAGGCGTGATGTTCCCACTAACATTTGCATATGTAGTTCGCGATATCTTCACCTCTGTTTCGAGCTCGTATGACTTGATGAATGATGCTATGTCTTTGGGAGTGCATCGTCTGTGGAAAGATGACTTCATTTCGCTCCTCGACCCGGGTTCAGGCGGGCCGATTGAAGTCCTTGACATGGCGGGAGGTACTGGGGACATCTCACTAAGGATCCTCGATCATGCCCGGACAAAATATTATGACCGGGAGACACATGTCAACATCTGCGACATCAACCCCGACATGCTGGAGCAGGGCCGTCGCCGCTTCAAGCAAACGATGTATCACAACAGTGAGTGAACAGACATACAATATCATCATAGGATATGGAGTACTGATTCCTTATCATCAGCCCCCCAGGTCTCATTCCAAGTAGCAAATGCCCAGGCTCTGCCCAAGGACCATTTCCCGAACAATTCTGTAGACCTTTACACCATTGCCTTTGGGATCAGGAACTGCACTTCCATACGTGACGTGCTCAGTGAAGCACACCGGGTACTAAAGCCCGGCGGCGTCTTCGCATGTCTAGAGTTCGGGAAGGTGGAGAACCCATTACTCGCATCGTAAGTGGTCTGCGGGTCCCTTCGACGTGAAATTTATCCGGATCTTCAGTGCCTACGAGCAATATTCATTCTCAATCATCCCACTGCTTGGATCAATTCTCGCGTCAGATCGCGATTCGTATCAGTATCTTGTCGAATCAATCAGGCGATTCCCGCCGCAAGATGAGTTTGCACGGATGATTCGAGATGCGGGGTTTCACATTGGGCCAGAGCGAGAGGGTGGTGCTTGGAGGGATTTATGGATGGGTATTGCGAGTATCCATACCGGGGTGAAGCTGTGATTTCAGGCCCTCCTTGCGGTTTCGTCGCTTTGGGACACGCTTCGTTAGCCTTGTGCATCTGTGTGCACGAAAGAATTTGAGTGGCATTGAGTTTTAAATTTACTTCGCCAATGTCAAACATTAAAGGGGGTTTGATATTTCGCGGCTTAGGATTCGTGCTTGTACAGACATTAGAAAGACCCTCGGACAGGCATTAATTTCCACTGTCTGACGCAGTCACCAATTGATAGAAGCAATGACACTTGTCGGATGAGAACCTTGAGTTCATGATCCGCGGCTTTCAATAAATAGAGAGCAACCAGATAGAGGGAGCGCTTCCCTGAGTGCAGGGTTGAACCGGGGCAGGAAATCTGGCGATGCCGGCTTTGCATGCATTGCCATCGGAGGCATGGAATTGTGCTCCGCACGTGAGACTTTTATGCGCTCATTGTCTCATTCAGGGTGTCAACTCCGAAAGGTAACGGTGCCGGGTGGATATGGACAAGGAGAGTCGATTTCCGAAGCCGGTACCGAGTGCAAGAAACATTTTAAATATCCGAATTGAGCTCTTGAGAACGGAATAAACTTAAGACCCTTAAGCGAGGAAACTCTGAGAAACCGTCAGAACATCCGGAAGGCATTAATCGAAGCTGCGCCTCAATTCGAACAAGGGCCATTGCCGAACGTGACTCAATTAAGCACTGGTTTGGGATCACCCTTGCTGAGCATGGGCCACAGACATGCCGTCCTTCAACTTAAGTGCTAGGTTTCCTCGGAGTTCCTCTGGACGCGAGCAGGTGCAGTTTTCTTCGCGTTCAATGCCGATGTCGTGCGCCTGACTTTTCGTGTAAGCCGCCAGCGGTGCATGGACCTCCGTCGTCGCTCGGGAGGGCCGCATCGTTGTCTCATTCGACATCTTTCAGAGATGAGAGGACAGGTAGCGGTGGGCCCAAGGGAGAGGAATTCCTCGACTACGCGGGGGGTGAGTTGTCGTTGTTCGAGTAGAGGACCTGACGCCTCGCTAATCATGGCGGTACCGGATCAGAGTCTCAGCCTGAAAGCCCTTCTACCCCAAAAAGAAGGTTTTCTTTTGCCCGGCCTCGAAGATCTAATACTGTTGCGGTGGCCAGTACAGCCCGTTCGACCACTTCGGGGTCGAGCTCGCGCTCCTTCTTCTTGCGCGGGAGAAACAATATGCTGGCGAAGACTGCCCAAAGCCAACCTCCACGCGTTGTGTCCGCTCCTACTATTTATCAGTCTCCAGGTCCACCTGGCGGGTCACTTCACTCCGCGTCGGCCGATGATGATGAGGTGTTAGAAACTCTGAGGGAAGCTGCAGCAAAGAGTATCGGAATAACATTACCGACGGATGAGCTTTTTCCAGGGGTAGGTGTTTTCGTGACGAGGCACAATATTTCCTTCTTATTTGGTATGAAAGAACCGAGTTTCTTTTGGTGATCCGCCGAGCGAGACAAAGACGGTGAAGCAACGGTCTGGGGGCGTTCGATTCCAAGAACCAGGGGACTCTCGTGGTTATAGCGCGTCTTTCCCGATCAGTGTTGAAGCTGTTCCACCATTTCCATGTCTTTTCTCTCTTATCGAATCACGCATTGGATTCACATCTACAGTCTCGAAGTACTGCGCTCCTCCACCTCTCGTGACGCTTTTGGGATCTACCAAAAGTACTGCAAGACACTGGAAACCCAGACACCTTGCTCTTACTTCTGTCACTACTCTGGGCCCAAATTCAACCAAGGATGAAGCAGTTTACATTCGAACGGACTATCTGCATCTATTCAAGGGTTCGTCCCCAAATGACAGAGAGGTGGATCGGCTTCTCCTCACAGGAAACTCTGCCGCCACACTCCCCGATGAACAAGACAATCTTTGGGACCGTCAATGTGTAATTAAAGTGAATGGTTACCACGCTAAAGTGGTCAAGCAAGACGAAGAAGGCACATTCATTCCCCAAGGCGAGATGGTCTGGCTTCTCCAGTGTCCAGACAGTCATAATATGCAAAAATGGCTGGTATCTATTAGGAATGCTGTTCTAAACCACAGGTGGGGTGACTCTTCGACGTTCCATCCACATCCCTGAGGTTCCCCATATTACAGGTGTTGGCAGGCTGGTCTAACCAAAAGGTCCGGGACCCCATCTGGCATGACAACTGTGCGCTCTCTGATCGAGGGAGCGCTCACCCCTGATGGGCCCGGAAGTGAGGACATGACTTCGGAGGACGAGTCCCTGATTGTCCCGAAGCCTCGTCCTCACACAAGCCTCGGCATTTTGACTAATCAACCCAAATCGCTTGGTCTTCGCGGATTATTCATTAATCATCAGTCGTCGGTGCCCTCGTCCCCAATCGTTGCTGAACGTCACGACTGGAAGAGTCAAAACGCTTCTTGCGCCAGTTCTCCTGCCCATCCTGGCATTTTCCCTGTGCCAAAGGCTTTATCATCACCGATTGGTGGCGCCCGTTCGTCGCTGACGACATCAACACTTGAAGTATCTCAGGGATCATCATTGACCAGTGTAGAGGAGCGGTCTACGTTATTCCCACCCGAAGAGGATCCTCATTCCGATTTTATGGTATCCGTGCCTCCATCTGCTCTAGTAATTGAGGATGGGCAGGGTCGTGCCTCATCCGAAATCGCTGTGAACGATGCAGTGAGTGTTATGAGCAAACCAAGTCCCCGCGTCCCCGCCCCGTCACTTGAGGAACAGATGGCGCCCACTGCTGTCCCCGCCCGTCTTCTAGTCAGCGTCCCTATCACTCCTGTAGAGGAAAGATTCTTCGACTTCTCGTCTGTTGGAGTGAATGGGCCTAAGAGAGCACGACCAACAAATCCTCGGGTAGTTTCTCTCAGTACTAATACATTTGAAGGTGACCGAGAACGAGAAAATTTCCAGCGTTTCCTAGCCAGTCCCTCCTACAACCCTTCAATTCTAGGGACATCCCCCCTTCGTGGAATGGTTGCATCCGCATCAACATCTCTGCCCCCCCCTCCACGTTCCAGGCGAGCCACCACCTCTTATGGGACTTCCTCGCATCCGTTTACCAAGGGTGGTCGAGCCTCTCCTAGATTGGTCCACTCGCGCTCTCGGAGCTCATTAGATACTCACTTGGGTGTCTCGAGTGCATTGGACACGAGTAGCCCTTCTATCACACGGGACTTAAGTGGCACCAACATACCGAAGAGACTGACTTCACTATCAGGTCTGGGGACTCGTGAGCGCCCTCCGGATAGCGGGTCGGGAGAGGATGGGCACCAGCGGAACGGTTCCGATCTGAGTAACATTAGCGAAGTCCCTACTTCACGGCATCATCGTCGCCATAATTCTGACGAAGCGGGTAGTTCAAGGCGCGGATCGAGTGCTTCGAGGGGTCGGAGCAGATTAGATAATTTACCAGTGGTGGTGCCGCGGCCCCGGGCGCCGGGGGGCCCGCTGGACTCTGTTGACACAGTGGTATATAATCCTTCTAAGCTTCCTTGGCGCCAGGCGCAAGGTTCCGAGATCACATCATTGGGAGTGACTTCCCAAGATGAAGCCCAAACACATTCTTCATCTGCTCAACTGTCGATTGAGATATCATCTTCACACAGCACTCGAAGTGTACAGTCCCACTCTACTGATGTTTCTAATGACGCGTGCATCACACCAACCTCTACAGAATCACTTTCCCCCATCCAAAGCAATCCGCCTTACATTCACCCTTATGCTGCCCTTTCATTGCACTCTTTCGGTATACATGGCCAAAGAGAAAGCTCTATTTCTTTGACAGCGTCGCAAGCCGCTAACGCCTAGGTCACAGTCCATCCCTTACCCCGAACGTACACCACAACTATGGCTGTACATCATTTGACCCTTTCTCATTGACTATGCCTTCCCGTGGTTTCAAAATCTTTCAATCCCCCGGCTCCACTGCATCCATTCACGACTGTCTCAGTCCTGCATTTGATCCCAGGTTACACTGCAATTGCTTCGTTCAGCTGCTCTTCGACGTTGACACTCTGCTTCTGATTATCCATGTTGTACAAGTGCATTTGTTCTATTGCGTAATTCCAGCTTTCGCAAGATCGCACTGAGTGATTCTATTTGGTTCCCTAGTTGAGGTTTGGCGATTCCCATTCATGCAGGGCCATGCATTCAACAATTATCACAGCACCCAGGACGTTGGATCTGATACTCCACTGGGGGTAATTATCATCGAACCACACACAGTGAGCTTCCGAACCCTGATTCAACGAGGAAACTTTCCGGATTTGGTTGACAGGTGCCGGAATGTTCCAAGTTTGACACCGTCGCAACTCAGGTTTTCGCAGACCCCACAGATGCTGAGACAATCATCACAGACAATCTTTTAGGATTCACCTTGTTCATGGGTTGCATATTATTGGTCATTGCGATCGTTGCCAGACCAGAATGGGGAAAGATCCTATGGCCCTGCACTCTAGGGTACTTAATTAAAAGCATTCAAGTTGCGAATCCTACGATCTCCACGTCTCACCCACTTCAGGCCTCAACGGGGAATGTACATCTTTGGACCTCTGCGAATGCCCGATGTGGAGAGGCAGACCTCAAGTCGGATATCTTGGATTTCGACCTCATCGACAACTTTGGGGACATTGAGTGATGGAGCAACTGAGCGCTACAACTAATTTCACGGCGGGTGTTGGCCCAGTGTATGCCCCGATGATTTCCATACTGCCCTGTCACTTATCGCGTAGTCAGAGAGTCGAAATAGACGGATCTCAAAGCGGGCCACTATGTGAAATGATTGATAGTTGTTGCGTATTGCAGGCCGGGGAGGGGCGATCTGGGTTTCCTCACCGGTTGTGCAGTACATCATGCATATACTACACCCTTCCCTGGCCCGTCAGCGGGACAGAGGCAGGTCATTGCTCTCATTAAGAGAAGCTAGCATTCATAGCACCAATCGGACGCATTTTTGGTCGTCCGGTAATATCAGTCCGAACGCAGAAGCATTGAGAGGCCACGGCCTTTGCCTGTTCGTCTATTTATCGTGTCATTTGTATGAGGAGAGTAGTTCAACCCCGTCTTCCGCCATATCTAGGATTGACCTACCCATGTTCCAGCCAGGCACTAAAGAGACCCGTATCCAGGGATTTCGTCGCTACAGGCGAAGTTTTGGAAGGGTTAAGTCTTTCGACCGGCAATTTTCATCTATAGCCCTCCGCGTGGTCCCAGAGTCGCCACAGCCATAGTATCGGGTCACGCACACAGTATTCAAGAGCGAGCAAGCTGGTGAGGTCCTTTGATGACACCATGTTGTACACAATCCCGATTCCGTTTTGCCGATGTTCCCAGAGCGCGTACAGTGGTGCACTGTCTGTCCATTTGGTGACGGCAGCTCCCTGCTTTCGTTTTGCCAAGTTGCCATGTCAAACCCGAGAGTTGTCCGCAGGAAGTGGCCAGACTCGAACTGTGGGAAACCCGGAACCGTGGGTCACGTTGTTGTCCTCGTGAGCGTGGGCTAGGTACTGCCGAACGACGGTATGGACCTTGCTCAGATGCTCTCCCGCCAAATGAGGCGGTTTCCTCGTCTGCGCACCCAGCTCAGAGCAGTGCGGCCGGTAGGTTCAATGTTGGTCCTATGACCTCACGGCTTCAAGTGCTGATACCGGCAACTCATCAATCAGCTAGCCCATGACGCCGCTGGGTCTTCTGGCCCGCTGAGAGTCCCATCAGACCCTCCGAAGACAACTGGGTCATTACCGGGCGCATCGGCATCCGCTCTAACTACGAAGCTCTATTTCTTCAATGCAGTTTTAGAACGTGCGCTTATCCCAACCTTTCGCATCCTCGACGGCTCCGGCAATGTAATGGAGGGAGCGGAGATTTTGAGCGTATGCGTGTCCGCGCAGGAAAGCAATTATCTCACATTAACTGTATCATTGCAACCAGGACCAAATGGACCGGGACCTCGCTCTGAGAATATACGAGTCTATGATGATTTTGCCCGCGATGGATAACATCTTGTACAATGTCCAACGGCAGGGTAAGATCAGCTTCTACGTACGTACGCATAATTTTTCAGTTTGCGGTTCCACTGCCCTCACTCTCTTGTTAGATGACTTCGGTTAGTGAATGACGCAGGGATAAACCCTGAGGCTGATGTTTTCAAGCAGCACGGGGAAGAAGCCACTATCATCGGAACTGCAGCAGCCCTCGGACCAAATGATGAGTACGCCACAGTTCAAGTTCATTATGGTTATCGTGGTCGACGACTTCAATAGGGTGCTGGGGCAGTATCGTGAAATGGGGATAGCCTTGTGGCGGGGCTGTCCTCCAGAGGAGTTCATGGCACAGTGCTTCTCTAACGAACATGATCATGGAAAGGGACGACAAATGCCAGTGGTATGTGTGCACCCATGAAATGATATCATCGAATATGGATGAAATGATGTTGTCGATCAGCATTACGGGTCTAGGGCGTACAAATTCCACACTATCTCTAGTCCGCTCGCCACCCAGATACCCCAGGCAGCTGGCGTTGCTTATGCTCTCAAGCGGGACCCCGCGCGGAGAGGGAAGGATTGCGCTGTTTGCTTCTTCGGGGAAGGTTCGTTTCATGCAGAACGATTGATCAAACGAGAGGGCCCAACCGGTCTGCAGGTGCTGCCTCTGAGGGCGACTTCCATGCTGGTTTAGGCATGGCCAGTGTTCTAGGAGGGCGTGAGTTTGAGGCCCTGTGAGACGGTTCTCTTTACTGACGCCTGACCTTCCTTCAGCACTCATATATGTATGTCGGAATAATGGCTGTAAGCTCCCCTCGACAATTGACCGTCCCCAATTCATTAATTCTCTCAGTCGCGATCTCGACACCTGCCGTTGAACAATACCATGGCGATGGCATTGCTTCACGTGGACCGGGGTATGGCATACCTACAATTCGCGTGGATGGAAATGATATACTTGCTGTGTATAATGCTGCGAAGCGTGCGCGGGAGCTTGCAGTAGCTGAAAGTACAACTGTTTTGATTGAGGCCATGACCTATCGGTATGGTTCTCAGTTTAGCTGACGCCCTTTGTCCTCTGATGCTGATATGAATATCGGCCGCAAACACCGGGATTAGAGTCGGTCATCACTCCACGTCTGACGACAGCTTCGCCTATAGAGCTCGACAAGAAGTCGAAGACTGGAAGAAAATTGGTGCGGCCCATAAATTTAATTCTTCCAGATTTGATCATCATTGATTTAGATAACCCTCTCCATCGCATGCGCAAGTTTCTCGAATTGAAAGGATGGTGGTCTGAAGAGGAGGAAGAACGTTTAAAGGCATCTCAGAAGAAGAGAGTGCTAAATGCTTTCACGCACTCTGAGAAGCAACTGAAACCTTCTCTGTCGAATCTTTTTACGGATGTGTATGACCAGGAACCATGGAATCTCGTGAGTTCCTCGTTCACTCGATGATTACCAGTCAATGAGGGGTTTTGATCGATTACCTCACGATTTCCAGGCAGAGCAACGTGCGGAACTTCGGGATCTGCTGAAGAAGTACGGTGATATTTGGGAACCGTGGAGGCACGAACTGCAAAAGTTCCGAAATAACGGGAGGGATGTTTGACCTGACGCACAACTGTTCAGAGAATGAACCATGATCACAATGTTAATGCATCTTTTGTCCTTGCCACTAAAAATCATCGCTTCAAGCTGAGAGAATTTAGGGACCATCCTAGATATGTACACCAAAAGAGCGAATAGAGAAAGGAAAGAGTGAGAGTTGTACACAGAGTCCGATTGTTGTAGAATGAACGGAAAGGCATGAGAATTAAACGGAGGTGTATTGATCGATACCCAAGGAGGTTGGCGATAAGAGTGGGGGAGAGATATAAGTCGGCAGGTAGTTAAAGTATTGTATGTCCAGCATGGGTTGGCAAAACGTGTATTAGCGAGATACGGAAAAAAGAAACACAAGAAAGAACAATAGCTGTCCGACTCGAAATGTGATCATGAAGCCCGCCCAGTACCATCTTCGTGTCCGAAGCGCAATGCGGTCGGTGGCGGGTCATCATAATAATCGTCATAATCGATCCTCCCCCCCGAGGGACTCTTCAATGGCGTGATTGGTGCTTCATAATCGCCAGCAGCCCCCATGTGTATTGGATACTTCTCGCCCCCGGCCGCAGGAAGCTGCGGCTCGTGCAGGTCCATGCGGGATTCGGAATGTATTGAATGGTTGTCGTCAACGTTCCATGCAGAGTTGTTGTACTGTTGCAAAGGAATGAATGCACCCGAACCACGAGGCTGCTCCGACTTGAGTGCTGCCATTTGTGTACCAGCGGACAGGGCGCCATACGAACCAGAATACTCAGGGCCAGGTTCCTTCTTGCGCTTGCGGCACATAAGGAAGAGAGCCACAAGAACAGCAAGGACGATTGTCCCCCCTGCTGCAGCAGCAGCGACAACTCCAAGCGAGAGTTTGTGCTGGCTTGACGGAGAAGATCCTCCTGATCCTCCCGAAGTCGTAGTGGGGGATTCTGAGCCTTGACGTTGGCTGGTAGAACACTAGCTGGTTTTGTAGGTTGGACACCGAAATTACCTGTTCCGACAGTAATCATGGTGCCGTTACTTGGAGTGCCATTAACGACAACGAAAAGGAGAACGGGGCCAGGAGTAATGAGGTTGGGACTAGGAGGGAGTTGTGCAACGTGGAGTGTTACAGTGCCGTTATCGCTGACGGTATAGGTGCTATTGAGTTGCATGAACCGCTGACCCATGTTCATGGCGTGTGTGGTAAAGCCGGGCGAATAAGAACGACAGTCGTGTTGTCAGCGATGTCATTGGCATTCCCGGTGTATGAGCTGGCATCGAACCAAAGGTCGAATGGATCACCACCATAACCTAACGAAGTAGGGACACCATGTATGGTGGGTTTCGATCTATTGAAATAACGCGGATAAAAGATCTCTGCATCGTATGTTGTTGGGAAATATGCGTTAGGATTATAATCCACGTTAGGATTTGATCCTGCGATCAGTACGGACGCATCCGGGAGGAGGATAGCTGTTGAATGGTAAAGTCTTGGTATTTTGGATGAGCCTAGCCCAGCATTCGACCATCTTGACCCCGCAGGTGCATTTGGGTCATATATCGCAGGCTGGAGGACGGGCCCCGATGCCAGACTCATCGTGAATGGCATTTGATTATGAGGGGTTGTACCAGTTTGATCGGCGTAGCCCGCAGTTCCATTAACAGCCCCGTTGATGACAAGGTAAGTCCCATCAGGTAGCGCTATAAATTGGCCCATGGTTCTTGGCTGAATCATATTGTCATCTTGCACATACTGTACTGGTGAGCCGTCGGTAGGTTCGGGAGTGAGACGATGGCAATCATTCGACGCAGAGATGTTCCACGTAGCAGCATTCGGATAACTGTAGTTTCCCCATTGATCGTCCCTCATGAATGTCCCACCACAGAAGAGAATGGTTGGAGTCCACTTGTTTGCAGGGGTCAAAGGAAGCATGGCGACCGCTCCTGAGGCTGGATACACTCGGACGATTTGACCAGGCATATCCGGTAAGGGGTATTCCTGGTTGGATGTGTAATTCCATAAAGCTGAGGTGAATATTGAGTTAATTTGGGCGGAGTGAGAAACATACACCACTGCGCAAAATGATCGGATGAGGGACGTACTGGTACTATAATTTGCTTGGAGAAGGACGAGACCAGAGGGCATAAGGAACATGTGAGTGTACGAGTTGAGACCAGTGGTATTGACGGTGAATTGAGAAATCTGGGGAGTGTAGCCCGCATACGGCGGATAGAATTCATAAGTGGGTTCCGCAGCACCTCCTTGAGTGCCACGGTCGGAGCTCATGACTGGCCAGTTACGGTTGATGTATCCACCGTTGACGAAGCCTCCAAGGAGAAGAATGGTTCCATCTGCGAGGGGTTCAGCTGACGAGTACCAACGACGTTTCATGAGTTGGGTGACGTTATCACTCCATTGGCACTGGGAGATATCCTGCCCTCCTTTACAAGGGTCAAGTATGCGGATCGCATCCCCGCCATCGTAATCCTTGTAGACACTAGAATACCACCCTGAACAAGGATAAGGGCATTAGAAAGGCGCCGCCGCAATATTGAAAAACGGACCTGTCCCTGTGGGCCCTACCACGTCGGAGATGTTGCCTCCAGGTCCAATTGCCCCATTCCCACCAAAAGTCACCCATGAGCCATTAGGGAAATGCATCCCAGAGGCGCAAAAGGCATTCGTGATGACTGGCATCGGAGTTGCCGTGTTGCTTTGAATGTCCCTGAACAACATTCAGGGGCAAAGATAGCAACTTCAATGTACAAGGAAACTTACCACTCAGCAGCCCATGCCGAACGGCCATTGAGTTGTTGAGGATTATTTTCAACCTTGTCCAGAATGTAAACCTTGTCCTCACTTCCGAGAAACATCTGAAGAACAAAGACGTCAATCACAGCTGACTGGCTGAGAAAATGCATACCATCATTGCGCTAACGAGAGTCGTGCCAACATGCTCAATCCCGCCCGGGGTAACGGCATCGACCTGCATGTTGATGGTATTCACTCGTGTTAGAAGGAACATCAAGGGAAGTTTGGATGCCAAGAACCGACCCGCCATGGTAGCAATAGGAAAGAGAGATAAAGAAGGTCTGAGTAACATTTTCCGAGCATTTTGACCGCTCGAAAGAACGAAAGAGGGTGGCAGAAGGAGAGGAACGGCGGCGTAAGTAGCGTACGAAGGAGAGCAAAAGTAAGATCCAAGCAAACGGGTGACCCCGAATAAATGTGTCACGTGTAAAGGTTGTATCCATTGGAATCAATATTTTATTGTTGCATTAATATTTATTGTGTATATTGTAATATTTCGAACTATGGATTGGACGTAACCATATTCCGGCTATTGTCACCGGTCTTATATAATCAGGTGGAGGCCAGGCAAATATCCGCATGCAGGTTGAGTTCCGTGACTTTGCAACAATGCCTTTGTCGTGATGGTACAAAGTACACAACGAGGTTGGGAGCAGGAATGACATAAATACAATTAGTGTGAAGCAACTACATAAGGAACCAAGGTAGGTGATCAAGCTAAGCTGTTCTCAACGTCGGCGCTGTCATCCCCTGTTTCAAGGTTGGCGAACTACGTAATGTATTAGTGTCAGGCCAGACGTAAGGTATACCACCATAAATAACTCACAGAAAGGAAAGCAGATGGTCGATGTTGTTCAGCCCAGAAAGGGATGGGAGTGTCGAGGATCACCGAGTAGGGCATATTTGGTGACCAAAGCTGTGTCAGCCCGACACCGTAATTCCACAACTTGCCCTCTGGAACGAGTGTCATACCGAGGATCCTATCCGACAGCAACAGTTGGACGCGTTCGGACATGTTCGGGTTAAAACCCTATTCACATAAGGACACGTAAATTTGCATTGCAAGACGGACGTAAAATTTGACATGATAGAGCTCACCGGTGGATTAGGAGAGTTATCCTGATTCTTTCTTCCCCATTCAAAGCCCGGAATTGTCAGGCAATGTGCCGACAGAGAGATGGAACCAGGTGTGAAGGCACAAGCGATACAGATTGAGTTGGGCCCCCATTCTGAATGATCTGCCATTATCTTCGCTTGAGTCGTAACATCCAATGGCGTTAGATGGGGCAGGTCCAATCCTTGGGTCTTAATCCAACCCAGAGGCTCCAAGTCCTTTAAAAGGAAATCATCCCTCGGAAGCTGCGAAGGCAGCTCAACATTGTTGTTGTTGCCACGCTGAGGAACGAATGCGAGGGCCTGAATACAGATCATTCCGTAAGCAATTGGAGGCACCGAATGGAGGCCGTACACATACCCGTATCTCTTTGACTTGCTTGTTGTCGGGAGGCGAAACCCCGTATAGGAACGCGGCAACTTGGGTTCGCAGATCAGCACTGATGATAAAAGAGCGGATGATATTCTTAGGGATGATATAAGTGTAAGAGGTGGCGTCGTCCTTCACATCATCATTCGAAACGTAGATGTGCTGTAGACGGAGTGGAAGGTGGGTGGCAGAAATGGCACGGACGCGCCAGTCTGATTTGCTGCTGAAGACCTGCTGCCCGTAGTTCGTGGCTGAAATCATTGTCAGATTGTACAACCCAATCAGCTCGATGAATCAACCCACTGGTAACAACATCCATGGTATCACCATGAATATTCGTTGTCCGGCTGCCAATCGGGCCAGTCAGCTTTAAGAAAAAAGTGATTTTGGGTCGACTGACGTAGTAACAGCGGTGACCTGGCTCTGCGCTTCAGTCGATTTCTCAAGCTCTGCCATTTGCTGTCGTTGGATGGACCTAGAGCATCAAGGGGGTCAACAATCTGCGTACTAATCGTGTCAATACCCGGACATACGGCGCGGCAATTTCTTGACCAAGAATAATATCGCGAATTTCACTGGACGTCAGCGAAGCGATATTTACGCTATTGCGCTTGCCGAAGTCCGCAAGGATGAGATCTTTAAGCGCCACCTCAACTTTGATCCACTCTTCATCAGAAAGCGACGGCCACACAAAATGTGGTTCGGTGATGGTGTTTTTGTCGGGTCGGAGAATGATCTTAGCTTTCTCGTTGTTCACATGCAAACCACGAAGCAGGAGAATAAGACGCGAGAATGCAGTGTAACTCGAGATAGATTTGAGCCAGTCGTCTAAAGGGACGAATGAGTTTGACCATATCCAGAATAGACCACGAATAAGCCTACCGTAGAGGTTGAACAGCACCATTTGGGGTTGAGTGGCGCGCTTTAGGAAGCGGTGGGTACCAATACAATGCCTTGCAACAAAGCTAAACTTACCAGGATCAAGTCACCGAACTTCTCCATTTTCATGCAAGCTTGGAACGGAAGCTGAAGCTCACTTCCTTTGATAACAATGTTGGGGAAATCAAGCAAGTGAACCTCGAGTGGATCTGGGTAGACGTCTAAGCTCATTACACGAACAGGCTGGGACTTCCTACAACATACCCAACATGCCCTTTCGAGTGACAATCACCTGCTTCGGCTGTTCTTCGACCGGAAGCGAACGGACCAAAGCAGCTACTTCTTCTGCTGTCTTCCATTTCGCAAGCTGTCCGAGACGCTTTTGACCGGCCCAAACACTGTATGGATGACCTTCAAGAACAGCTGACCGGATCGGGGATTGAAAATAAAGATAGCGCCATCTAAAAGGATATCAACACTTGATGAGCTATGGTATGAAGGTGCAAGCCGTACTAATCTGGAGATCGGTGTCAGCAACAAGGGTCTGGACACGCAAAGGAGACACTCACTGGCTTAGTGGTCAAGTTCCCCTCGAACGTCTTATGGCTAATTAAGTCGTTCGTAAGCTGAAATGATAGAACTTTGTGGTACTCGGGCTCACATCGTTACACGATACACATTTGTGTCGTCCACGAACCCTGTCAAGAGTCGTTAGTCCTAATATGTTGATTTCAATCATGGAACACGTACAGATAATCTGATTGGAGAAAAGCTCCGAATAATTCTGGCTGTTCAGATATGGCTCGGTGGGTTCCGAAGAGTATAGCTGGAGGCCCTTGCGTATACGCTCACGTAAGACGTGTAGGGCTGGGTTAGCCTTGACAATCTTAGCCATAGCCTGCTGAATCAATGGCTTCATCCCCGGGAACCAATTTCCGTACGCAGACCAGATGTTGTAAGCCAGGTCCATACCGATCATCACACCGGTAGGTGAAGGATAGATGCTCATGGAATCTGAGACCTGAAAATCATACAATCAACAGAAAACTCCGGGAAATTAGGATAAACTCACGTAGTCGAGGAACTTAGCACGAGTGTAACGTTCAACATCGTGTGTGTCGAAGTCCCCCCAACGTAACTGCACATCGATCCAGTACTTGTTACTCGTCGTTCCATCCAAGACATCTTTGTTCTGAAGCATATATTAGTGACTTGAGGAAATTATAAACCGTGCATACGCACATCTGACACTAGTGATGGTCGAGCGATGTTCCACTGTCGAACCACATTAAAATAGGCACCAGATATCACATAAAACGCTACAAACCTTGTAAGCTGAGAATAGAAGAATATCTGCGCAAGAGCTTGGGTCCTGGTTAGACTTGCTGGCAGACGCGTGCTCTGAATACCTACGAGTTCATCTTGTAACTTTTTCTCGGGTGAATAGTTTCCTTCTGGACAGTCTCAATCTGAAGAGCCTCGAGTTCCTGATCGAAAACTTGACACTAGGCCCAAAGTGATAATCAGCAGGGATGCAAAACAATGATACGAAAAGCACCCACAAGATCCATTACAACACTGCAAAGTAAGAAGATTAGCCAAAAAATCAATAAAGACTGCATCGAGGAGCTCGCCTTTCGTGAACTAGATTGGAGGTGAACGGAGGCAAATGATCAAACAACGGAAGTAGTATGGTGTTATAACCTACTTTTTTGCCACAAGTGGGCGCGGAAGATTTGAATCAAACTGATCTTTAACGTAGGGATCTTTCCGTGCCTGGAAAGTGGTGTTAGTCCAGCATACCAGTGGAAAGGGTGCAACACTTACATAAAAATGCCAGTCAGGTCGAGCTGCACCTGGAAACCAACATAGACGTTTGCGCGGTTGATGGTAGGACTCCACCACAAGGTGAAACGACGATTGGGGATTTGGTTTAATCCGGAGCGTTGGGCGTTCGTCAATTTTTTGTATCTCATCGATTCTTCGAAACCAGACGCTTTCTCCCAGAAAAGGCCTTCCCAGGTAGGGAAGTATGTCCCTTTGAATAGGGTGTGTTCCAGAATGCCTTCCACACCACCTAACGCCGCTATGACATCGACTCGATAGTTGTTCAGCTGCCATAGCTTTCCGTCATGTCGCTGCGATGTCCACCAGAACGGATTGCTGTTCAAGCTCATCAGCACAAGCGAGGGGGGTGATTTGTAGATACTACATACTGCTTTAGCAATTGATATTGTTTCCAATCTGTTCTAACCCGCCACCCCTGCGCAATCGGTAAGAAACTCCGAAATTGCTCGGCAGACTGAAGGGGAAGCTTACCTTGTCGTAAGCGAGGGTGTGACGATCCTTTTGGAAGAGGGTATTGATTCGGGGTATCCCACGATCCCAACTATCCTCAAGATCCTCGAGAGTCAAACGGCGATTCTGTGCGTTCGCTTCTTTCCGCTTCATTGAATACTCCGACCAAACCCGAGCCGAGTCCATAAACTCGGCCTCCCATGGCTGAAGATAGCGGTATAGATTGGGTATGAGCTGATCTTCCTCATGGCTCATACCAGATCTAAAGTGCGTCACTGTTGCGAATAAGGTCAGCACAACGTTGCGTGTGTGAATTGAGTTTACTGGCCTCCAACGTCTGTTTGCTTTGACCATCGAAGATCGCTCTGGGGAATGAGGACATGACCCATCGACAACATGCCCAAGCCTCCAAGTTCCTAAACGGAAGCCCTACTTGTCAATGAGGTGCCCCGGCTCCCATGCGGAAATTGTCACCTTTGGAGTGTAAAATACAACTATTGAAATGTTCAGGACATATTCTATTGAATTGACTTGCACGATAACGTACCAGGAGGGAAACGGGAAGGCATTTTGCTGTTGAGACCAATTTTGACACGCGTCTGAATCTTGTTCTCAGCCTTGACGAGGGCATCCAGAAGTTCGTTCGTGTGCACCACAGCCTCGCGGTAGTATGTCATGAGTCCGATGAGAGCCGTGTTCCATTTGTTCACGATCTTCGAGAACGTAGTAGATCCAGAGCTCATTAAAACTTGGCGGATACGATTATTGAACTGTTGGATGCCTAAATCTCCGCCGTTAGGACTGCAAGAAATGAAACCATCCAAAGCTCACCTTCATCGGAAACCCGTAAAAAGGCCTGCGCCGTGCGTTCCTTAGTCTGCTCGTTTGTCAAATTCCAGACCCCATCCTTGAGTGAGAACTGCTCCCCATTCATGGTACGAATCTTGGGCAATATTCGAACTTCGAAGCCAGACATAGAAAACAGAAGTTGGGGATTATGCTTCGAGTAAACACTGACGAAGGTGTCATCCCATTCAATAGTGGTAAGTGATCGAGGCAGGCTCTGCTTGACATTCCAGAACACGGCGCGTCCGAGGTTAACATCGTGTTTAATCAAGCGCATACGACAGTCACGAGGCCAGCAACGCTTATTATTGTAGCCAATAACGTTGTTGTTGGTCGGATCAGGATTAGCACTGAGGTACCTCTGGATCAGGTCCCTGGCTTCGTCCGCGGTAAAGCGGAACAAAATATGCAGACGATCCACATATCGAGAATACAAGCGAATAGGATGCCTAGTTTCTGTTGCACTGTCGCGGTACTGAAGGAAGTTATTCGGAAGCTGAGGAGGCCCCGCCATCTCACTGGCACGTTGAAGACCAAGGATAAGGAGATCCAGAACAAGTCCATAATACTGGAAGACAAACGCCGAGAACTGAAGGCCACGAATAAGACCGAAGGCGTTAGTATGCGCCATATCCTTGTATGTAAGAACGGTGTTGTTCTTTGCGGTGATATAGTCTGCTAGATTGTGATCCAGAATTAATCGAAGCAGACGATTGAGCAAGGTCAGATCGATTTTCTCATAAACTTTCGATAATACTGTCTCCATCATCACGTTGCATTCGCCTTCGCTTGTCTCCCAGATGTCAGTCAAGTTATTGATGCCTTGGCACCACTTGTACACTAGCAACGGTGGAGGCTCAGTGTCGGCTGGCTTGATCCAAGCGGGAAACAGTCCACGTTTGTCCGCCCTGTAATGATGTCAGCATAGACTTCTGTTTTAATGAGAATTTGCATCAAAGGACATACTCGAAGAAGAGGAACTGATCAAGGTACTAAAGCAACATGATGTGAGATACAGCGTAGGAAAGGAAATGTTATACATACGGCATCAGTGATCTTCTCGACTGGCTCAATGTCGTAGCACGGAATTAGTTTATCATACGTATCGAAGAACTCTAGATAAAAGAGAGCAAATTTAACTCCAACCCAAATAATCACTGAAAAGCACTCACCAATTCCAGATTCCTTGAAAGCTCGCTGAGTAAGCAGGAGTCGTTTGATGCGAGATAGACCTAGAAGGCACGTTAACATATGATGGACTAGGTACGGATGAACCACGTACACTCGTGAGGATTGTCGTATGCTTGCTCGATCAGCGCTAGCTCCTCGCGCTGCGACTGATTCAAACGGCCCTTCACACTGTACGCTTCCTTTAGCTTTTCGAGAGCAAGTACTAGTAGCTTCGTGTCATGTTTGTATGACAAAGGTCTTGAAGGTAACAAATCAGCTAAAAATTCAATCCTAACATGACACAACCTACGGGAAAGGTATTGGGGCTGGTGAAACGCGCATTACCACCTTTAGCAGGTAGCCGTTAATTACAACTACACGACATACCAAATTTACGACTTTCAAGCCAATGAACAGTAGTGGTGTAAATCGCAACGGCTTCTTCTGCGCTGACGTACGGCCCATCCTTCAAGTATGCATGCTGACGCTCCTGTTCGGCTTTGAGGTACAGACCTAACATCGGAGGCATCAGCCGAGTGAGAGTAATGAGACGTTGTACTACAAACGCGTGAGACGACCCAAGTTCTTCTTAACAACAGCCTTATCTACGGTGGCTCCACGGCGGATGCGCTCACGGTTGTAGTGTGCAACCCTGAGGAAACAATCACCGAATCCGACCGGTTACCAAAACCAAACGACACTCACGAAGTCCACCAGTCAGCTTTGCTCTTGATGTAACGCAAAATGATGTTCTCGATGGCAGTGGGCATCCCTGGAACCTTCCATGGGACTAGATGGTGGCAATCAGCTGCCATTGATATCAGCGATGCTCATGAACATACTATTGGCCTTCCAGCATCGCCAAGCTTCCGACAGATGCTGCAAAATTGTCTTCGCCTTGTTTTGTTTTATGGATTCAGGCATCATATCCAGGATATCGTGCATTACAGCGGCTCGAAGCTCGAGGTCAAAATGCGACTCGACACGCTGCTTTGTGACGGTCTTTGCGACGCCTTTGCTATTTCGTCCTTCAAACTGGCGAGCAAGCAAGTTACCAAGCCTGACATGAAAAAAATTCAGAGTGCCTCGTGCGACAGTGACATGAGGTGAGGACAGACCATCGCTCGAGGAGTGGAACAATACCGCGCATGAAAAACAACCATACACGCCACCCCGGGGCCCAGAAACCACACCCCGGGCCTTTGCCGACGGGCCCGGTGTTAAATCGATAGTAGATCAAATGCTTTAAATCTTTCGTCATGCGCACTTGACGCATCAACTATTGAGAGCCAAATCATCAAAATGAAGGTACTCTAGTAGACAAAAACAATCACCTTGTACTTGTACCTGTACATTCCAGTTAAGGCACCAATATGGGCAAAGATATACTGAAGCGCATCCGCCAATTGAAATGCATCGACATTGCCCAAACGATACTGAACATGAGCATCGACAACTAACTTTGTGAGTCGGAGTATTTCCCTGCACAGATGGAATGCGTTGCCGAAACGAGACTTCTTGCGCTCTTTCGTTGTCAAGGTCTTCACAGGCTTCAAGTTCATGTTCTGGAGCCCAGAAATGAGCACAGATAATTTCCCTATGAACAAAACTCACATAATCCAGGTGCAAATAATTCAGGTTCTAGGTGGTAAGAGACGTGAGAATCAATTCTAAATATTGGAGCGTGTCACGAACTTTGCGGTGGATCAGTAAATTCAACATATTGTAGCCCTGACGGCAAACCTGAAGGCCGGCCTCCACCCAGTCCAACCTAGTGGTCTGGAAGAACTTTGTGGCTTTGAGTTGCTTGAACAAGTCACGCTTAGTGACAGACTTGGCTGGGCGACGATGTAGCTCGTTCAAGACGAAACACTTGAGCAACTTCTGGTACGAAACGCGAACCTTAGTAGGCTGGTTCGGAGGGCAGTGCTCCAGGTACCAGTTCTTAACGAGCGGTACATCTTCGGCTCGGCGCATCCGCCCACTACGATGCTGATACGGAGCAGGAGCCCACCAAAGGGCAATAGCATCAGCGGTGTGCTCATTCTCGAGCTCCTTATCCGCAAAGAAAGGGCTGATGTCATCAGGAAGTTCAAACATGTCAGCATCATTGTTGGGGCCAAACACGGCGTCCTCGTGAGAAATCAAAGGCTCAAGCTTGGCGGCGAAGGCACGGGACGAAATGGGATGAATGAGGGGGTCAAAGTAGAAGGCCGGCAGATCAGGATTCTCAGTGCGGATATACACGTTCTTAGGAACGTGGTAGGGCGAGATACTGACGGAACGAGGGAGAGAGTTGTAAAGGTGAGGGAAAGCCACCTTATACTCCGTGCGGATTTGCTGGCGAATGATGATTTTATTGATGTCATTAAACTCGTTCCAATCTTCATCAAAGGCATCCATGTCGCGATATCTAAAGTTGGATGTTGAGTATATGCTTGTAAGAAAAGCTCCTATTAGACGTACAAGGGTTCAAACTTCGGACCGCCAGGTATGGCCATGTTCAGAGCCTTCGCTGTAAAAAATGATTTCTTGTCAAAGAGATAACTGACATTGCTGTCTGTATGATCTGACAGCAAAGTGCGACCAAGTCTGTACAGATTGGCCATGACAGGGAGGGAGAGAGACCAGTATCTGTAGGAGGATCCATTCACAGCGGGCGTATCAATAAGCGGTTTTGGATCATAAAACCAATCGAAGATCGGAACATCTTCTTCCTCATCTAATTCAAGCTGAATAGCTTCGAGGGGCTCCACGTCAAGGATGTTGTCACCATAGTCAAGAGGAGGCTCCTCATCATCAAATGGAGGGAAGCGCATGCGCTTGAAGTGGCGACGGTCCCGCTTCTCGCGACGCATCGCAATCCACATGGAACTCCATTGCGCATGATAAATTGGTTCAACCACTCGGGGGATTTCATTGACGAAAGTAATAGCGCCGGTGATGTGATAGAGGACAGGGACTTCACGGACTTGCTGTCAAAGATGCTCTTGTCAGCGCTTTCCGAGTTTACTATCGACGCAAAAGGGTACAAACCTCCCAAGGAAACGGAATATTTTCGAGTAGTTTAAGCACCGCGTGAGGGACATATTTCAGTGCCCCGAGATGGACACGCTTGTCATTTCTGAATTTGCGATTGCTCATGTCACCGTGATCCTGTGTGCGCGATCAAAAACTGCTCATTCAACTTCGAAAAAATTAGTCAAACTGACCTTTATTATCTTCCGTACGTGCTCAGGGGGTAATTCCTGCTTCCCAACGTCGATGAATCCAGCTTTTCGCTTTTCGCCATAACGTTTGTTCTGCATCTGGACCCATTTGTGAGACTTTTGTGATAACGCCTCAGGTGACAGTTCCACCCGAGGCTGCCCTGGGAATCCAGTAGGGAGTCCAGTAGGCATGCCGGGCGGTGGAGGTGGTGGCATACCAGGGGGAGGAGGCGGAAACGATGACATCCTATGAGGTTGGAAAGTTGGCAGGATGACTTCAAGATTTTGCTTCCGGCAATTGGTTTAGTGTCATAAGCGCTTAAATGGTTGTAACCCCTAGAGCCTACTCAACTTGCTTTTAGGGTGTGAGCGTATCAGATGATCAATCCCCGGGCGTGCCAGCTGTGGCGTTATCTGATCCCCTTACTTAGAAATAAGCTCGCCTGGTTGCTTCTGGCTGACGCGCCATCTTCGTAGCTACCAGTTCAACTTCCGTGTCCTCGACAGTAGAACTATTACTGCGAGCATCTCTGTGCTATTCTATGACTATGCCAATATTCCTATTCACAATCACTAATGTTATAAGTACCATGCCATGGATGTGTGTGGCCCTTCTGTTCGTATCAGAGCGCTAAATCACACGAAAGTTTTTGGTGAATACAAATAGCGACTACCCACTCAAGATCTTAACACCGCTGGATCCATTCCCGGAAGTCCCCTTCTCTGTTTGTCATCGCTGCTTGATCACTTCCACTTCAATGAGATCTTTGCCTGCAGGGCCTCGCGAGTGTAATTCTCTTCTGCACTGCTAACGGTCGTCATTTGATGAAGAGTCTATGTTGTGGTGGCCGAGAAATTGCTAGCCGCTTCATCAGATTTCAACGAGCCAACCCCCAGATTAATGCGGGCTAGAACACCCGTTCAACATTGGTGGGAGCGAGTTGTATTTCAGAGTCAAGTGCGCGATCCGTTTAATATGGCATGGCGAAGAACATGCTACTCGAAGACTCTCGGTCTGAGCTGGGTCTTGCGACTCACTGTTCTTTATCGTGGCTTCATCCGCATCAAAGTATGAAAAAGGGCTGAATTCCAAGAGTTCTCCAATAGAGACAGAATTACAAAACAACTCTACACTACTCCCAACCGACAAACAGTGGCTCCGCCTGTTGTACCATCGAATGTGAAAAAATTGGCAAGTGGCGGATCTTTCGCAGAAAGTGCCTTCAGTATATCCTGCGCCAAAAATCCCCCCACGACTGCACAAACAGGGGATAATTCATGAGCGGCAGTAATTGCAGCCGACCTGTTCGAATTATTAACCAATCTTAGAATACACTACATCCCCTCGGCGATCACTGACGTACTCAATCTGATGCCGTGGAATAGACTGAATGATTTGGGAGTTTACATCCCGATCCTTTAGTAATGTGTTTGCCAGCACTTCGAGCTCGTCAGCTGTGGACAAACCATCGGGCAATTGTCCTTGATGCCTCGTCTGCCACTCCAAAATAGCTAAAATATACGACGGTGAATGAGTTATCGCTCCTCATACGGCAAAGTATATACCCATAACGGTGAAGACAGTGGCCGGGTTCAATTCCTTTGTTTGCCTTTTGGAAAGATTCTCCCAGGAATGCTGCAGAGCATGGGAGAACGTTGGATACGTCATAGTTGCCTTGATGTCTTTTGGTTCTTCCCCAGGACGAGTTTTATCCCTGCGAGTAACCAAACCATCACACTAGTTTGCATCGCACACCGCACGAAAAAAATAGTAGACGGAGAATCGAGCGCCCACTTTGTCAAGAATTGATGCACACTAAGATCGCAAAATATGAAGCCCGACAACCCATATGTGGCTCCACAGTAGAATTTCTTCTTCTGACGAGCACATTCCTCATTCAGGGGGATCTAAAGATCAAGTGGCAGGCCGCATGAGGTTCGCTTCTTCATAATCAGCAAGACTTACAATCCATTCAGTTCCACGATCCGTCACACAGACTAGATCCGCTGATTCAACTAGCTTCTCCAACTCTGTCCCGTGAAGGGTTTCAAAGTTCGTCACTGTTTCTACTATAACACGTGGATTCAAATTCTGTATTCGTAGTCGGGAGGATTCTGCTCTCTTCGGTTCGGAGATATAATGAGGCCTGAGCTTGCGATGCAACATAAACGCACCTACATTCTTTCCGACGTCTTCCTCAGTGAAGAAAAATCCTGCACCTAGGTCTTCTTCAGTAACATTGTTCTCATCCACCACAATGAGCTTTCCAATGCCAGCCAATACGATATTCTTGATGATTTCAGTGCCAAGTCCCTTAAGATTGACTACAACAACCGTTGCATTCCGCATCCTGACACATGAGCCGGGGAATGAGGACAATGAGTTATTTGTAAGTGTGAGTTAGATATTATCTCAATAGACCAGCTTGCTGTAGCCTCGAGCACTCGCCTTTGCTGAGCGTCGAGTCCCCATAATCGAATCTGCCGATCGTACAGCGCGGCCTCATCTAGCACAATCAGTGAATGCAGCCCACAGGCGACAGCAGAGATTACCTTCGGTGATCGCTACTTCCTGAGTCTCGAAGTTCTCCATTCCCTGGCGCTCTTGCCCCGCCGACGAATTAGATTCGGCTCGAATTTTCACATCACGAGACCGCATGTACTGCAGCTCATTCCCACGGCCTCCGGGAGTTGCCGGAGGCACCAAATCAATTCAATCCTTATGGTCAGTATCCACGCCATCACGAAGCAATGCACGTTTGAAGCGCCGAAGGCAGAAATGAGGTATTACTCTAGGCAGCCTAGTATTGCTCATTCCAATGTACATATGTGTGAGTTAGCTTTTGACAACGGTACAAATCACATAACCGAAGAGAGTCGAGTTCTAATTTAACCAAAGGAGGATGGAGTAAAACGGTGTCACCGATAAAAATAATAGCATCACAAATTTCGAGGGGCTCATTAGCCCAACCACAAACGTGGGAAGAACTTCGAGGTTGGAAACATATAACCCGGCAATGAATGCAGCACTGCAAAACTAGGTGACCATAGCATTGGCTGGGCCACTACTCTCATCACGCTCGTCATCCAGTCTATGTGTAATGTGCTCAGCAAAACGTGGATGCCATACGAAGGATCACGTGCATACAGATAATTGCGTTCTATTTCTGAAAGGATAGACAGGAAGTCCCCTGTTAAGGATTTTGAGATTTCACGGGCTAACAAACCTTATCTTGAGATATACTCACATAGATATGCATTAGCACGGGCCGCAGAAGCCGGGGCAGTTTCTACCTTCCGTACTGCATCTAGCAGAGTGCTTGCCACAAATCGGACTTTGTGCACTAACGAAGGTCTGATAAAACCCAAATCGTGTTAACTGATCCCAAGGAAAAAGCTAAATGGACCTACCCATTGGTTGCAATGGCTTGGATCGGAATCGAATGGAGAACATTAAGCAAATCGCTCGCCACAGCTTCTCGGTCATCCATGTGCCACCCACGCATAAGCTCTGAGGTATCAACATTCGGTCCAGCCTGCAAGCGTATCATGGTAATGAGCTCGTCACGATACTGTTCAATGACAAATCGAACGAGTTGCTGTATTGAATGATTGACGGCGGCCACGACGATCAGCCAGAACGAAACAAAAGTCAATATGTGCATTACCTGGGTAACGTATAGGTTGGCCTGCATAACCAAGTATGCATTCCCTGCATTCTCTCGACTGGCGTGGGGATCATGGAAAAAATTGCGCACTTCCACGAAAGTGGCATGACGACTACCAAGGCCACCATAATCCGCAGTACTAGTGCCAGGCAAATGCACTCCGGATCCTTTGGCGGGGTCAACAGCGTTTCGAGTCTTTAGCTTGAGCGGCCCTGGCGCGTGAGCCAGAGCATTGATAATTCGGGTGTGTAATGCCCGGATCTCAGCGAGTCTGTCGGTTGCGAGACTTCCACGAGGGGGGGCACGCTTGTCGACTCTGATTCGAACGAGGATTTCTCCCAGTAAAGCAAATATGCGTGTGATGTAGTTAAGCCCAGACACAATGGCGGTCGTGCCTCGAGGCTGTTCCTGAACTCCAGCAAAAGTGATACTGGATTGGGAGGGGGACCGAGGAAGATAAACATCAGTGCAACCATTGGCAAACCGCGTATCACCCGGATCATAATTGAGCTGCCTCCGGGCAAATACCTTACTTACTATTCATCATCCACGTCCTTTGGGAAATGAACTGTACAATCCTCATCTCTTAGACAAATAGGCCGACCCAGAAGAATCGCCATTGATTTATCCGCTGGCATGTTGAAAAAGCGCTGTCAGAATCAACGACAAAGCAAGCCGAGCTGCACCATAGTGCTCACCCCCAAACAGCAGCCAGAACACTCTGCGACGAATCTCAGCTTCGATGGGATCAAGATTCTCGTACGAGGCTTCTTCATGCATGTGCAATGTTACAGCGATGTGCGCAGCCTCTCCAAAGCATGCGTGCGAGGTAGCATCGTTGCCCTCGCAAAAATGGTACACCATATCGCTGACAACTTGTTACCGGCATATTTCGGGTAGACTCGGGGATTTGCGCTTACAAGTAGCGAATAACGACCTGCATACTACAGGGGTTATCGTAGCCGGCGACCGTAATAAGACGACTGGCCTCCGAACAATACAATGCCAATTTTCGCACTGTGGGCCTATCGAAAAATGGAAGATAACTTCTTGGAACCTGAACGAGCGTACTGGCAACGGTACTGAGAATGAGAGCAAAGAACAGCGGGTCTGTCTCTTCACGGTGGGTCGCAATATCAGCCATAAATGTGGGCTTGTGAATGCAAGGGGTAAGCGGGTACACATATGAGAAAAATAGCTGGAGAATTTCCATGATTCGCTCGCGTGAAACGGGCAGGTGATCTAGAGAATGTCGCAGGGTTGTAAAATGGTCCAGTGGGGGATAGGTACGCAGGAGCTGGCATGGAGATGGAGAGAGTGAGACCGTAGACACAGAGGGGGATGGAGAGGGTATTCCCCAGGACGTGACTTGAGGTGCTGAATGGTGGAAGTTACCAGGGGAGGCGTACCGGAGAGATTGAGAGGTTTGCATCGGAGATGCTGTCATATTTCGATCAGAACGACCTGATGACGAGCTTGGTCGGACTACAGACAAAGCGGCGTTCGATGAATCGACTCCATAATTATAATTGTCAGCCGCTGCCGAATACGAGCCTGGCAGTAGATTATGCAGAGAGTGATCGATGTAACCGTTGGAGGAGCTTGCAGTTGTGTTTAAAGCAGAAACACCAGCCACAGAATTTCTTGACAGCGTAGAATGCGAGACTCCGTTGACATCCAGCGAAAATGGCGACAGAGGGGTAGTGGCAGGAGGTGTTTGTGGGATATGTTGACTTTGTTGTGCCTGCAAAGCAGCGGCTGCCTCCTGCAAGCGCCGCAGGTAGCTGTTGGAAGGATCAAAATCAGGTAAAATCCGGACCAACCCATCTCCGCGGGTTAGCTTACAGATTTGGCGGACCACGTTTTTTGGGTTGGTATTCATAAGTGCACTTAATTCCAAGAGCGATGCAATGCTTGCATGACGTGTGTTGGTCCTCAGAGCCATCCCGACTCAACCCTTCTCGTGTGCATTTTACCTTGCGTGCCCTACACGCAGCGACAGGGAAATATGTCAGGGGGAGGACGTTGAAGACAGCTGGAGAACCAAAATCCCATCTAATGACCCACCTGCATGCATCGCAAGACTTCCAATATTAAGGAGAACGATAAAGTCAGAAGGGGACAGGTACGAATACGAGGGATATTAGTTACTTGGGGTACTCACTTGAGACTGGCGTTTCCTTTTTGGCTTGTCGCCGTTGCTGTCCCTCAGGGCATCGTCAGGCCTGTCTTCTTCAGTGGGAGATGCTGAGCCGTCCTTCTTTACACGGGCGGGAGGCATAGCAGAAAGTGATTTGGGGATCCGCACCTGAGGACGGTCTTGCGCCTGAGTTATAATGCTTGCATGAGCAAGCCATTAAATTGGATTGATGTTTCAATTGAATCAATTGAGTCCAATTCAAGAGATCGTTTTCCGATTCTTTGGCACGAAACGAACAGCACCTTAGCCTCGGAAAATTCCGCTGTTACTCCTTCATGCTTTCGACATTCTCTAGCCTCAATTTTTGCTTTTAGCGGCCTTCAGTACTCGTTCGAGCCACAAACAATTTTTCTTTGGATGGCCGCCGATGTACCCTTACCGCCGTTCAATCTATTGTTCACACAATTTTTCAGGTGTGAGCATACATACATTTTTCGTTTGCATGCAAAGCCGACCGGATGCATCACGACCTTTTGATCATGATGCCCCTTCCCCCAGAATGCATGGGTATTAACCCCAGATATATTGCGACAACCGTAATCATTTGCACATATTGACTTCCAGGAAATTATACCTCGTCATTCTTGGTCTCACTTTCTACACACACAATTCCGAACGTTTAACTGCAAAGTCTATTGACTAATGGAACTATCCCAACCTCATTGAGAAGAAGCATCCACCTTGGTACCCGTACCTTACCCAACAGTGAGGAAAGTTTCAAAGTCCAATCCAAATTGGGAAGGAAGAACAATTTGCCGGTATATATTCCAAGACCTGCGACCAGTCCAAGGCGGCGGAGTAGCCGGTTCATCATTGCAAGGGTATGGTTACTTCCTGCACCCTTGATGCCATGCCACGCAACATCCTGCTCTCGTGCCTTTGGCTTCTCGATGTCACCCCACATGTCTGAAAATTAGTATCTTGATCCATCATTATCCATCTTTCGACACATAATTGGTATGCCAAAGCCTGATTGCAGAGGGATTTCACACATGGCTATCGCCTTGCCTGCACCAGGAGTTTCAGATGGTGAGGGCCAGGGTTCCTTCACTGACGCATTGTATGCTCGCTGGAATCTGGACCATGAGAGCCGTCCTGATGAGAGCACGAATTTCGCTGTCGGACGCAAATGTATGTCCAGCTTTGCAATGAGTAATGATTCCTTTCGATCAGTACGATACCACATATGGTTTCTGGCTTCTCTACACCTACAACACTTACCTGCGGCTGCATCTTCATGGGAGATAGCACGGGCCCCGCTATTTGGAGAAGGGCTGGGTTCTGCAACAACGTTGCAACACCACGTCATTTCACACTGGAGCACGTCTACTTTTTAATGTCTCAATTATCTGGTGATACTGTGTAAATTATTTCCTTGAAGGAAATCATCCAAGGCTATCAGAGATACCTGAAGACCTATGAGGCGGACAAACATAAGAGCATGACACTCCGACACGTTATGTGCCTTTGGAGCAGCTGCGGATTAGGTTCAAATCACTGGTAATTACAGGCTGTGTACAGACAGAGGGTTCCACCATGCAATATGATCTCACGATAGAGACACATCCAGACAACGGACTTTGCGTACGGATTGCCGATCAGCACGTGGGTAGACGTTCAAAAGGATATCTCGCTTGACCTTCGCTTATAGTACTAGTACGCTTGCAGCCAGAACGTTGCATGGTTATTACTGGCTACAACTGATCCATCATATACAATGCATATGATAGAAGTGACCCTTGGAACATCGTGTCATACAGATGGGCCCCCGACAAACACAGGGGCGCCCCTGGGAGCTTCATCCGATGGCCGAGCACGCAGCCACGGAGGTACTCAACATATGGGGTAAAACTAGCTGGAGAGGCGGGGCGGCCTTTGTCTAATTGTTCAACATCATACCGTGCTGTAAAGAGGTCGTACCCCACCAAACCTAAAGCGGTTTTCATTTTTACGTTGCTAGGTGAAGGATTCCAGCGACCTCCCCGTTTAATTGGTCGAATGAACACCAATAGAAGCATCCACAAAATGAATGAGCTTCGGGAGATGGGATGCGCCTGAGATTCAAAACTTTGCAAACCTCTCCCCCGTCGTTGCCCGCTGGGAGGCTACAGCCGCTTCCCTATCCTCACTAAGCATAACAGTGAACGCATTATCGGCCATGGCAGAGGAGTCGAGTCGATGAACGCCAGAAGATGCCGAAAGGGCTTCTTGGTCGAACGCGTATGTTCTGGGTCTCAAATCTGCGGAGGATGTACTAGGTGCACCCTACCATGTATTGCAACTCAGATGAATTGTGAAATCGGTATCGCAAGGGTTGTGGAGCCTTATTCCTCACAGTTCTTCATATGGTCGCACATTTCATGTGCTGCGGACTTTTTGCGGCAAGCGAAATACAACCGCTTCGATTTGGTCGAGCCTGATAGAAAGGTATATATGCAGTAGAATCATGCAAACATGTCATGCAATGACTATACTAGTACCAGTCGTACTATGCCGAGCCAGGCATGATGTAGGTCACCCACAGTCATGTGTGAGGCATCAATATGTAGATGTGACCTCTAGCCGTGTGTCCCTTCAGTACATCCACAGACACCTCCGAAGATCAAAGATGCGAATTCTTGCCTGACAAGACGGACCATTTCGTCAAGCTGAATCCATTAGTAGTGACTTTCTTTGGGCTCAGAACCGAACAGATCAATTCCCTCACATTCAAAATGAACCAAGAGTAGCTAGTGCTGCAAACCTGCTCTTCCAAGCTGATCAGCATCAAGAATCACTGTATGTACCGGTGAGATGGGAACCACCATAATCGAACATTACAACCCCGCGATCGATCGCGGGCATTGTGAACGCGGCCGTGAAGGCTTCCATCTCTACCACACAGTCAGTCCCTATCGGTGGAAGTGTACACCTAATACTGTACAATCGTTGACGCCCTATACGTCTCATGCAGTTAAGATTTGTTCAGAATCCCCAGACGCTGAATGATGGAGAAAAGGAGTTAGCACTTCACACCGTGAAAGCCGCCAACGAAGAGTATAGATCTTCCAACTGATCACATATCTGGGCAACCATATGGATGACCATGCGCATGGCACTATCACCCGGCTAAAATGAAGTTCCCGATACTGTATGAGTCGCTCGCACGTACAGGAGAGGCTCGAGCACCTCGCTACCAAGCTTAGCCCCAGAATCGGGCCACTGATAGTACGACATGATGGCGACCTTTGAAGGGTCCAATCTCCACATCTGGCTTGAAAATCAGTCAAATTAGCAGACATCAAGGAGTGCCAAATAGGGATCTTAAATGTATAGTTTAATCGAACAAATTGAATGTCAATGAACGATGATTGTGAGGCCCCAAGCCAGGATTAGTGTCACCTGCACCTAAAGCCACAATCTAAAAGTTTATGGCTATCTGGGCAGGTGTAACGAGGTAGCGTCAACAGTTGGGTGATGCATTATGATCTGCGTGGGCCGGATGGGGGATAAGCGGGATTCGTGTCGGGGAGAGACGTTTCTGCTGTGTTGGAGCACCCAGAGTTTCGCACATCCGCAGTCTTTGACTCAACTCAGAACCAGAGGAATCCTTGTTTTTCCTGTGCGCTTGCGATACAGCTTTAGCAATGTTCAATCGAAGCCGGGGCGATTTGAAGCCAGCCAGTCTGTAGCGGACCAGAAGATCCCAATACTCAAAGGCTAGGAGGGGCAAGTTCGCCTTCAAAGCACGTTGCACACAAAGTACACCCAGAGTGCCCATTTTCGCTCGTTGAGGCTTCTCGAGGTTCCTGAGTAATTGAAGGGATAATCGGAGAAAATGCTCGGTGTTCTGACTGGAGACGGTCAAGATCTTATCGAAACCCCGGATGAATGCGTCAATTGCTGAAACGTCGAACGAACCGCCCATTTCACGGCAGCGTTGCAGAATGCTTAACACCAACTCGGTGTCCCCCACTTTGGTTGCACCATGGAGCAGCGTGCTCCAGGAGACCCTATCCACATAGACTCTTCGCGTTAACGCTTTCTCCAGCATGACTGCAGCCGCCCTGGGATCCAAATCTGCTAATGCTTTGAGCATGACATTAATATCAATGGTGTCTGGGATTTCACGTCGTTCCAATATGTAGCGCGCGGCAACAAAACCTTGACGGAGATTCCCCGCTAAGAAGTTGATTCGAGCAACAGTGGTTAGGTCCATGTGTGAGGCTGTTTCCAGTGGCTCCTTTAATTTGGTAAAGTCGACGGCAACGCGCTGGGCAAAAGCGCGGTATTCCTCCGCCAACGGACGTTTCTGGGCCACTTGAACGGGTCGTTGGGGCTCGGCGCTCACCACCGCACCCGAAACCAGTAAGGGCTTCCCATGGAGAAATGGCTCGCGTTGGTGATCAGCCCGCTCTGCCATGGAACAGAACAGCTTAGCTACTCTCATCGCCGCCTTCCCGTTTCCATGCAGCATCTCACGGTGGCGGGCACGTCTCATTTGTTCCCACATCCCTCGAACATGGTCTTCCATTCCAGCCTCTGCCATTATTGCCACATTGGCGGCAATGAATTGACACTCTATCGCGGCGACACCACCAGAAATCATACAGGCCTCCACTAATTTACGTAAGGCACCATGTTCTCCTACAATTTCAAAGTAATACTGCATCAGGCCCACCTGAGCCTTCCCCGCGGAGGTCGATAGACGGGAGCTGTAAGCCGACGGCGCGCGGGCTCAGCCTCGTCACGGAGCTTATGATATTGCGCATTCATGGTGTCTAGGTGCAAGAATAACCGACTTGCTTCCTCTCTAAGCTGGTTTGCCTCGAGCTTTTCATAAATGCCAGAGACAAGAGATTGGGGGACAGGGAATAGGAGGGGCTGGCTTGTGCACAGTTCAATCATGCGGACTCCATATCGCAGGTCCTTCTCCGTATCGCTGGCAGCAAGCACACGAATCATAGAATGCAGACCGTTCGACACGATTGTCAGGGTAGACTTGTCCGATGTCTGAGTGCAGATGGGGATTGTGGCTTCAGCCGTCCCCAGCATCCGGTCATACCACCGGAAGCTCTGGCACGCTTTTGTAATGGTGAGCAGCATGAGGGCCTGGAGGTGCTCTGAGGAACTGTCAAACTCAGTGGATGCGATGATGGAGCTGGCAAATTCTTGTGCACTGTGTGGGAAGTCGCTTGCTCCAACGAGTTTTGGAAATAATTCATACGCAAGAGCACCATATCCTTCTTCGATGAGGCAGCGCACAGTTCGGTAAAGCGTCCAGGTCCCAGATGTTGTAACTTGCAAGAGGTCGAACCGAGAACTTCGTTTCGATTGGACTACCCAGAATAAGTGTGTTAGGGTCTCCAGGTATGGTTTAATGTGTTGCCGTTCGCTCATGAGTCTCATACTTTTCACCAGCACGTGAAGGGGCAGAGCTTCCAGCGAGTCAAGGTTTCGGGATTGCCCGTCTGCCGACGGCAGAGAGAGATAAGCGTCAACGAGGGGAAGAATCAGCCCCTCTGCCACCGGGTTGCGCGATGAATTTGATAGAGTATCGAGAAGGTTCAAGACGAATTTGTCTTGCTGGAATGGCAAGGAATTGTGTCCTGTGGATGAGCTGGTGACACGAGAGGTCGTGCCGCATAGCCTTTGCAAGGAAATATCCACGATGTTCTTGAGAACAGTGTCCAGCCTGTTCCGAAGCGCGTATGCAGCCAATGACTCAAGGGCAGTCAAAGGGATCTCCATAAACGCTTCGTCGTTTCGAGAAATGATAGACATGAACGCCTCCGCTGGGTCATAGTGCGTTTGAATTGAGGGCTTCATAACCCCTCCGATGGTGTGAGACATGTTCGTGATATCCTTCATGAGTTCCGTGGAGCTCACGAACGGTAGGACATCCCATGTCTAGGCAACACTTTCAGTTAAATATTAGTAGACGTTGGAATGGCAATACCGGCGCATTTGAGGACGCTAAGAATGAATTATCGGCTGCGGCATCAGCGAATCTGCTTGCATTTACTGATACCCTTCGCCCCGCCGAAATGCACAACTGTGTGAGTCGGGCCCGCAGGACAAGTTGCATGATTTGGAGGGATTTCACTTAAAGCCCCACGCAAACCACTAGCAGTAGCCGAAGGGGAAGCACCAAACTCACTAAGCGCTCCCAAGCGCGGGGTCAAAGAAACTGGCAGTACTTGCTGTGAGATTCAGAACCTGTCACGTTATGTCACAAGTGTGTGTCCTGAAACGGGCTTTCAGATGGGGCAGTCAGGGTCGAGTCCTCAAAATGGTGCAGATGTAGTGTACGCACCTCCAAAAGCGCTCCATGTGCTACGAGTTACGCCAGGTGAAGAAGGCTGATAATTGGGTCAAAGGTTTTTAGCATCACTCAAGGTCTCTCCTGACATTGCAGGCTCTCCCGCCAGTCAGACGGACATTGAACCTTACTTTGATTTTGTGTTAGGTGTAGAAGGTGCGCCAGAGTCGCACGAGAGGGTGGGTGATCAATATGGCGTCTCGGTGTTGTTTCGCCCTTACGACCCGCCTCTTATAGATGGTTGATGCTGTGCAATTAGAACGACTTGTAGAAACCCATGAAGGGAAGGCGATGAACCTAATGGTCTGGTCTTCGAAAACAAATAATGTTCGTCGTAAGTGTTGATTTATCATATCTGGTTGTTTCGCGACTCTTCATGAAATCATGCAGAGGTTTTGGTTGTTCCTTCTCGTCTCTGGGTATCGGAGTTCACATCTTCCCTGGATACATCTCCTCACCCCCTTTCACCCTCTCATTCCCGCAATACATCCTTAGAAAGTATTTCTCGGATCCGAAAACCTTCTCTTCTTGGCTTGACAATGCGGTTGTGCGAACCAGAATCTGCGCTCGACAACGTCTGGCATATTCTTGAAGTGATGGAAGGCAGCCCAGCGGAGAGCGCCGGGCTTGTGCCTTATGGAGATTGGATTGTTGGCTGGTCCGGAGGCGTTCTAAGAGGGGAGAATGATTTCCTTGAAGTCGTTGAGGCTGTGAGTTCAACACCGTCTGGTCAGGGCCTCTAAATAACAGCAATTTAGCATGTTGACAAACCTCTCCGGGTATATGTGTATTCCTATGACTTTGAGTAAGTCGACTTATCTGCTTGGGATCACAAACTTATGTGCCCTGCCAGTACTCTTCGTGAAGTCGTACTTGTCCCTAATCGGATGTGGGGCGGGGAAGGCTTACTGGGCTGTGGTGTGGGATTTGGCCTTCTTCATCGCATTCCAAGACCCAATCCAGAGCAGGGACCCGACACCTTGCAGGACCACTTCCAACAAAATGACGCGCCGCTTTACGATGAAGAAGCGGAACTGTTCGTCCCCGCTGACGATATCGTGGATGACAATCATTCGGATGGTCGACCATTGCACTCAAGTGACCCGCACCGTCCATTGCGTATTGTCCCAACTCAGAATGGTTTGTCGAGTCAGACGATCAGTGGCCCCGATGAAGCAACACCGATACATGCCCCAGTTCCAATTCAACTGATCCCCAAGCAACCGTTGTCTGTTTTCACTGCGGATGATAATACGGACGATTCGGCTGATAACGGAGCCCCAACCCCTACACAGTCCTCTCCTATCAGCCCGAAGGGCGAAGCACCCCAAACACTTTCCCGGACGCTTTCACCCCCTACCCGAAATGCACACTTCATTTCTAATTCTTCCGCTTTGGGCAGTGGTTCCCCCATACTACGTCAGTTCTCAAATCCTGCGTTTGGTGCGAGCAGGTTTGGATCGATCCAAACTAGGATTCCTTCGCCGGTTCCTCGCTCTAGTCTCCCTCGTATGGCACATGGGATCGATTCGGACGAGGAGGGAGATGACAGGACTGCATCGACGAGACAGAGATCTAACGGGTCGGTAACCTCGGTTGATGATTAATAATTTCAAGGATGGCAACGACATTCATATTACATAGGAGGTGCAGGACTATAATAACCCAGTGTGTTCATTTAAGCTATCTTGGACATGATAGTCAACCTTGTAAATGGAACTTTTGAGAACTATGAGCTTGAATTGGCAGCACTGTTTGCTTCCGGTGTTGTTCCGGTTTTGATCATCAGAGCGCCTTTCTGCGTTTGCTTCATACGACAATCTGCGTGTTACATCCTGCTGACAACACTCCTCTCTTTTTTCCCTTGCTCACTGCTGGTCTCTGCATTGACCGACCCGTTCCTTTCTTAATACACTCTTTTGTTAATCCATTTAGAACGACAGACATCATTTCTCTTGTGATAATTCTCCATGGCCGACAACGCTCTCCCGAAGACACGCCCTCTCGCTGGCCGACCGCCATTTGCTACTGGCGATGATGAGCATATTTGGGACCTCCCTGCCCCTCGGAGACCCCCTCAGCCTCAAGAGCCTCCAAACACTCACCGAGACTCGACATACGACGCGTAGGCGACCCTTTCTCCGTGGCAAACGTATTGATCCTAGTCCTTGTTTCAATTCCAACAGATATGACCGGTACCTCAACCCTGGGGATGGTGATGAGAGCAAGCGTGACTCTGGCGCCGCCTTTGGAGTGGGCATGGGCTTGATGGGTGATATCTCCGACGACTCGGACTCTGAAGACGACGATTTTCGAAAGCTATCAGCCACTAATGGAAAGAATCGAGCGCTTTATGAAGCGGCAACAAAGACTCAATCCCAACCATTGGCGCTGACACAAGTCGGAAATGTACAGCTTGCTGATCCCACTGGGAAGACACGCAAGGCCCCCGGTCCTGGGAATCCACCACCTGTTCAGACGCTTCCTTCAGAGCCACACCGAAAGCTTCAGCCTGCAGGGGAGAATTCAACACCCTCCCCATCAACACCTGCTCCTCCATATACTTTACGAGGGATGCCCAGGAAACCCGAGCCAGGTCCTGGAATACGTATCGACGTACCCCCTGTATCTGTCACTCTCGACCAGTCCTATTCACCCCCTCCCCCTCCTCCGGCCCGCCCTATCGATCCTAACCGAGCTCGATCCCCGATGCCTGCGCCGATTCCACAACCTGCGCGTCCTGTTCCTGCGTTCATGATCCCTTCGAGCCCAGCACCCTCCATCGGCTCAGGTGGATCATACTCACCTACGCCTGGTCGTGTGGCCTTGCCGATGTCTCCTGTGACTCCTCATCCGTTACCACCTTCGACGCCAATAACGCCCCTCTTCGCCGCTCCTCCTTCAGCCCTGAGCACTCCCATCAGCGTGAAGTTTCAAGAAAAGGACTCGTTGCCAATAATGAGGGGGAATTCTGAAGACGCGCTACTAGAACGGTCCCCCAACACCGGGGGCAAAGGAAAGACAGGAGACGACTTCTGGAGAAGATTCAGTATGGTTGCGCATGAGGCTGAGGTCAACGCCAACCGAAAAGAGCCTTCAAGGTTTGCTTGGGAACCAATCGGTTTCGTACATGCTTATTTATGCCTTGCCCCTTAGCACATGGTTAGCGAGGACGCAAGCGAAAACTCGCACTATGTCTCGCTGGGTTTGGGTTATTGGTATCATAGTCTTTTGCGCAGCCGCTGCAGGAATTGGCTTTGGTGTGTACTTCGGGCACAAACGGCCTGCCCACACAGACCCCGTCGCCTTCGGCGGTAAAGAGGATAACAGTATGGTGCCTACTCTTACGTCTATTTCAACGAAGAGGAAAGGTCCGAGTCACACAAGCACAACTGCTGGGCGTGGCGGGACCCCGGTTCCGAGATCAATTGTCAATGAACCATTCGCAGTGACCACCGGTTTGTCGCAGATGGCGCCGGCTGCTGTGTCCGTCAGGAGGCGTCATCATCATCATCCCAACCACCGGCTCCACCAAGGCCCTCGATAGAACACGCTATTTTGTTCTATTATAACGTCCTAGAATCCGTTCTTTATTTATTTCATTTTTTCGTTCCTTGCCTTCATATTCAACTGAAAGTGTTCTTCTATTCCCATTGCTAATCTTCGACCGCCACAGCCTCGTAGCCTCATGAACACTTTTTCCTTCTGTGTGATGCACATCTTTTCCTACGTCAATACGGACTTTCATTTCACATATCTTAGCATGGATTTTACCAGTTGGATTCCTTTAGCTTGCACTCATGAGATAACCATCCTACACACACCGCCCTATGCATCATAAGCGCTGCAGTATTGGTTGCAAGTTGCAAGCTGGTCTTATGTAAACGTCTGGCTGGCACTTGCGCGTACATCATGGCGTGGTATCGTGAGCTATGGATGTGCACAGCCAGCCACAAAACATAGAATGGATTAGGAGCAAGCTTTTTCCCGGCTTGCTGCGGCCAACAGCCCAAATATATGAACGGATTTTGAATCTCTTGGCCGGTACTCGAATGTGCAGACCTTTGCTTTGACCGATTATCATCATATCACTTCCGGATCCACTTTTGTTTTTCATCGATCCACTGTTGTGGCTTGTTTGTTTGCATCAAGGCAATCAGGCTAGAACTCACCATTGAAGGAACTGCACGTAACCCCCGTGGCTTTCCCTACAACACCCAAACTTTTCCCCTCACCATTTGGGATCACTGGCCTTTCTTTACAGATTCCCCCGATAGTTCAAGCCCGCTCGGTTCTTTGACTTGCTTCTGGCTTGACTTGTTCATACGTGATGTCTTACTCTCAGGCACCTCCACGGCGCACACGCACCCCCTCGCAAAGGCGTGATAGCGAGTATATCTCTGTACCACACGCCCCGTACTCCCCTCCCCGTGGCCGTAATGGCCCTGTGCCACCTATACGTACAACAATGCCGCAGCCGGTCAGACATGGCAGTTCTTCCGTAAACCGTCAAAACTCATACCAGCAACGGAACCCAAACCTGAATACTACTGCCGCGGACGTCCAAAACCATACCCTTGGGGGTGGGTTTGGACCATACGCGGTGCGTTGACATCATATGGGGAACAGAAGAAGATACTCATGCATACACTTCCGAAATTTTACTTAGCCGCAAGTGACACAAGGTATTCGGCCCGGGCCAAGGGTGACCAAGAGCTGGCGTGGGCACGATCGCTCACAGAGCTCCGGGTCTTCAATTCCTGAAAAAGCTGTTACGGCAAAAGATCCTTACACCTCCGCAGCCCCCAAAGCAGCCGTAATTCCGTCTGGACCTGTTTGGAATGACAAAGATGAAATCGACCCTTTGCATGACCCTGATCCTATCCGTGATGAACAGTTGGATCAAGAATGTGACCCCTTCTCTTTCCGCGGTTGGGCGAACATGACTACGATTGTCATTCTTTGCCTCGGTCTCATTATACTCTTCGCTGGGTATCCTGTTATAACATGGCTCATGCGGTATAATAACCGCATCATCCTTGGATATAATATGGGTGGAATTAATGGAAGCGGGCAGGTTCCCTCGCTTCCTAACCTCCCAGGCCTCATCGACCCAGAAACGCCTCAAAGTGCTAGGACGCGGACGGGTTCTGATGGAAAGTCTTACACTCTTGTGTTCAGTGACGAATTCAACCGTGAAGGACGGACTTTCTGGCCTGGAGATGACCCGTGGTGGGAGGCTGTAGATCTTCATTACTGGGCAACTGCCGATTTGGAATGGTACACTCCGGACGCAATCACCACGTCAGGGGGAAATCTTGTCATCACGATGTTGGAAACCCCGAATCACAACCTCAACTTTCAATCCGGCATGTTGCAATCATGGAACAAGTTCTGTTTCTCATCAGGATACATCGAGGTAAACGTTTCACTTCCAGGTTCGCACACCACTCCAGGCTTCTGGCCAGGCGCCTGGACCATGTAAGCGTGATGGTTCATACGCGTCAGTCCGAATAATCTTTTGACGTATCTAGGGGGAACCTTGGACGAGCAGGATATGGTGCAAGCACGGAAGGCATGTGGCCATACTCATACGATAGCTGTGATGTGGGCACGTTTCCATCACAGCAATACGCCAACGGGACGCCGACATCTCAACAAACCTTGGGTACGCCCGACACCATATTCTCGTCGCTTCCTGGTCAGAAGCTCTCATCCTGTACATGTCCGGGTTCTGACCACCCTGGACCAAAGGTCACCGACGGACGAGGCGTCCCTGAAATTGATATGTGCGTTTGGTCTTCGTAATTATCCTCGCCCGCTAACGGGGATTGCACAAACAGCATTGAAGGGCAAATCGAACCGAAAACTTGGCAAGGCGAAGCATCCCAATCCTTCCAAGTAGCTCCGTTCAACGCTTTCTATCAGTTCGACAACACCTCAACCAAAATGTTTAGCGCTTCTGGTTCCCACTACAACTCGTACAAGGGCGGTCCGTACCAACAGGCGGTGTCTGTCGTGTCGGACCTTCCTAATGAAGCGTATGGAGGCAACCAATTTGCAACCTACGCTTTTGAGTACTGGGGCAATAAGAATGATAGGCAGAATTCGTACATTACGTGGTATATAAACGGCGTAAAAACATGGACTACCCCACCAGGTTCGGTGGGTCCAGATGCTGTCACTGGGATATCGCAGAGACTCATCTCGGAGGAACCAATGGTGCGCAGCTGTGTAGTAGGATCGTTCCTACGTTTACCTTTGTTACAGTATATTATCCTCAACTTGGGCATGGCGAATAACTTCCAAAAGCCAGACTATGCGCACTTACAATTCCCAGCTTCTTTACTGGTCGATTATATCCGTGTATACCAACGCGACAAGAGCGTGAATATTGGATGCGATCCAGATGCATACCCAACGACGCACTACATCAGCGAGTATGTACATTTTTTTTCGTTACCGCTCACACGAGACGGCTAACAACATTGATTTGGTCAGACACCTTCCTGCCTAGTACGCATTTTATCATCCGTTACTCCTACAACATCCTGCTGATCTCGATGTTTGTTCTTAGTACCAATCCCAATTTTACGACTTGGTCACAAGCGGGGTACTCGTTTCCGCGCAACTCACTGTATGACGGATGTTAGCAAATTTGAGCGTTTAATGCTTGTCATTCCCCTCCCTTCTCATTCGCTCATTCACTACAATCCTTACACGTTCATCCCTCCATCATTCACTCGCATTTGTTTCGATCCTTGATACCTTATTGACGGACTTCTTCCCTCAATGGACCCATCTATGACTATCTTCGATTTACGATTATCACTGTCTTCTATTCATCTTAGATCCAACAATATTCGTGAATTGATAATGATCAGTCAACATTGACTGTGGACATTTGTATCTATCTTTTGTGGATGTTGTGTATACATCTCGCAACTTGTCAGGGCTAACTAGCGCAGCAACTCGCCATGGAGCTCGAGCATGCATCGTATTGCGAATATAATCTCTTCTCGTTTTTAACGATGATTTCTTGGGGGGAGGGGGGCTTTATTCCAATATGAATAACGGTCAAGAAATAAGCCAAAACTCACGGATGCATCTGTGAGCATGACGATCCAACACAGCCAGCAAGACTGAAACTGACCATAATTATCATGACCCCTTCGATGTCTACGACAGCAATAATGGAGGAGCGGATTACTCTCCTTGAACATAGCAAGACAGGAACGGGCCATGGTGATTTGCGTATCGAAGGCGATATGCAGAGGGCAGAATTCAGTATGGTGTATTACGAAGTCATGGAGTATACACTTACAGACATGTACGACCGTTCACGCGGTACGTCTCAACTCAAATCTTCTTGCTCGACAAGGTACGTTCATGGGACTTTGATGCGGGAGAAGAGACGCCCCTCGAAAGAGACCCGCGAAAAAAAGGTGGTTTTTGCGCTTTTACAATGCCTTGTTTTTGGTATTCGGAAGAAACTGCGATGGTTCCTATCCCATCACGTGTCTCTCCCACTGTCCCAAAAAACTGCTGCTGCACGAGATTGTCTTGCACCATTAATCGAGAGGTGAGCTGGAAGCCACGATTCACGTAGGTAATGGAACCAATGTCCTCCCTAGATTTAAGTCTCCGGGAGTTAACATCACAAACAGTCCATTCCTTCCGGTTCGAAGAGTGGGACTCAGGACGGAATTCCAGCTACTGCCATAAGGACGAAGCTACAACGTTCATAGTCTATCCGTGCATTATATCTCAAAGACAACATGGTGAAGATTGAAGAAGTCACTGACGCGGACCGCGAAAGGCCGAACTCCCCTTACTCCTCTTCATCAAGAAACTCTTCCAGCACATCTTTATCGTCCGTTGCTTCTTCAGAAGTTGACGACGTCCAATCAGAATCTCTAATTGATCGAATTTCTGCCCTTGTGGATATCATCCCGCCAACCACACGTCACTCCATATCAGAATCGTTGTCTCAAACGACAAGATTGTTGAAGAGAGGGACAAAATTCGCTGGCAATGTCGTGTGGATCGTTACGACAAGCGCTTTGCTCGTCGGCTTGCCACTTGCCCTTGTACTAGAAGACGAAGCCAAAATTGTGCAACAAGAAAAGGAATTTTTAGCACAACAGCAGGGACAGCAGGTATGTATGGTTCGGGGGCAAATTGTGTAAAGGCAAAGGGTTTAACCAATATACCTCCCCTCAGATGCTTGCGGGGAGTCCATTTGCTCCGCCTTCACCACCACAAGGAATTGTTCCGCCTGGATTCTAGACTCCCTCTTACACAAATATGTGCATACTGTGCAATGGATCTGCTTGCCTGGAAGCTATTTGTCAGTCATCACACTCATGTCGGCACTGGTGTATATGCTGTCGGCCGTGCGCAGCGAGGATGTAACATATCGTTTGGGCAAAGTATACAGGTATCGCATATATGTCCGCCCCCCCTTCGCATAATACACAATTAGTTCTACACTGTCACTGTTCGACAACGATATTGGCGTAAGGGCTAGCGTCTTCTGCGAGCAAACTAGGTATGAATACGCATCCGCGCTTGCTTAATTGCTCGGAGGAGATCAGGTCCCGACTCCTTGGGTAGCCCGAAGGCATCCAGGATCTGTGGCACCTCATCCTCCCTGAGAAGCACACTGATTGATGGCGACGTGGCTTGTGAAAGGCGAGAGGGATTCGAATCCCTGTCAGCCGAAGATTGGGGAGGGTGTGGTGTCACCTTGTAGGGGGTGTGTCGGTAAATAGACTCTAATGTCTCGCTGGCTGTTGGTACCAGAGTATTTGACGATAGTAAAGTTAAGAGATAGTCGGCAGCTTTGTATGCGCGATAATTAGACCACGCCCTGCAAGGTCAGGGTCTCTATAAGGATTTTTTGTAAAGGCAGAGAGAGAGGAACACACCTCCACACGCAGAAGAAAAACGGAATGTTGGGGATTACGGGAATTAACATAAATGGAGCAGTAAACGGAGCAGCAAAAATGTAAGTGTAAAATAGTTTCTTGTGCTTGGGTACCCTATGCGATGCATACTTCCTGAGATTTGCAAGGGGTGGCTCTGATGTCAATGACCGGAACGATGGGGGATGGATGATAGGGATCTGAAGACGTCCATTACAGTAACGATTTGGCGCCGATGAAGCTTGGGATACCCTTACTGAAACTGGTTTCCCATCTCGAACAGCCTTGACAACTCCTGCTCCTTCGCCTGATGAAGTGATGCGTGGGCCAAGGGCTGGATCAATAGATTTCAGAGCAAGCTCTTCAAAATCCAGCTGACGTTGAGCCTTCATGCCCAGGGAGTATACTTTAAACTACGAGCCGACTACATTTAAGCACGGATTGGCAAGAAAGGCCTGAGACAGGTCCATCATATATACCTTCCAGCTTGACTCTGGGGCTTTCGACCATCTTGACCACGTTTCTGTCGCTTGATTTGTCGCAAGCTTAACAAGACGACCAGTTCTTGTTTCTGCCCTGGTCTTCGGCTTTGGAGGGAGATGAGCGAGGTAATACACTAATGATTCATGCTTCCCCGGTATTGCCTTTGTGAGAGGGAGAGCAAAGAGACGCATGGGATGTCAGGATGATTGAGCCCGGCGTGCAGACGCGTTCCGCCACTGAAGCCTTGCCGTGGAACAGAGTCGTGAGAACTCCAACATCCAAGATTTAACATTATATTAAGGAACCTCTTGCTAATTCCTAATCCATGCGAACCAGAAAGGCTTGGGACCGAGGACACAGTGTTCAATCAACAAAGACCCTAAAGCAATCCGTCAGGTTCCCAGGCGTTCGCGATTACATATACATCAGGTCTAGGCAACACAACACGATACTACCCGTCAACTGTCATAACATCCGGTGGCACTCCAGCGTTAGATACACTGTCCCTCGTACATGCGATTTTTCCCTTTCGTAACTTTTCAATCTGCGATTCCAACAATGCCTGATCAAAATGGACCGAGCCATTGACAACCACGAATACAAAACCACAAACAGTTATTAGTACTAACCAATTTATTCTCTAACTCTGACGCGCTGACATCGGCGTATGGCAATGGGATATCGGGTATCTGGGCTTTGTGGGACGATTTGTCACTCAGTTGTGGCATGCTCCAAAGCAGAGGGAAAATACTCATACATATTGTAACGGGGCTGAATATCTCCGCAAGGTGATCATGATTTCTAGTAAACCGGAGCAATGCCAAAGATCTAGTCGTCACAGTTGGATCATCTGCAGAGAATGATAGGCATGAGCTAAATTTTGCGGATAGAGCTACAAACCTTCATCATCCGCTGGTAGTGGTGGGTGTTGCTGGGTGCCAAGCGGGTGAAGCGTCAGGGACATATAGTGCCACAAAAATGTACTCACGTATCCTCCCTCTCTTCTCTCTCTTTCTCGTCGATTCTCGGCTTGGGCCATGTGCGCATTCTGACTCACAACACCCGCCATCGCGCGTTGCTGAAGAAACTCCTTCTGCCCCATTCGTTCCCCATAAACATAGATGGAGGGTTCGTCAATTTTCCGGAGGGGGTAGTGGCGAACAGGTTGGTTAGCTATTTGCGGGGGGATCGCTTGATGTTTGTCACGAACGTCAGAGTCGAACACAAATCCTGTCGGAGTCAACCCTACCTTGTGGATTGCCTTTGCTATAATGTAGCAGAGCCATGGAAGGGTGACCACCCTTGGTCAGTCGGTATAACCTCCGAATCCTCCAAGCGTAGTGGTCATCTCCGGGTACAAAACCCCCCCGAGACTCCATAACCTCCAATTCCTAGATGGAGGGCATTATATATTGGGAAGGCACGGTGACTAAGTTCGAGTATACCAGACCACGTCCAACATTCAGGTTGTATCGCTGTTCTTCCTCCAGATATCGGACACCATCCAGCGGCAAGCGCTGCAGAGTTGGTAGCAGGTAAATGGCGTGAGTTTCCCCATCTGCTTTGAAGAATCGGAGCACAACGTATTAGCAAGGTTGATAGGATATCAGCTTGCTTCTGACCTTGGGGTTTGTCAATATGCACAAATGAATACGCCACGGTTTGTGAGACCTGAGGCAAGCGCAATAAAGTTTTCACAGCTGTGTCATGTGGGTAGTTGGGAGAGTTAGGAAAGTCATGGTTCAAACGAAGGAAACAATCATGCTGGATGGGTAGGCATATTTGTCCGAGGATCTATGAGCACATGGCACAATTATTTGTGTACGGAAAACACGTACGATAGGGGGTCCCCCTGCACCGCTACTGCCATGCGCAGAAGAAACGTTCACTTGCTGGGGCTGATGAAGAACTCTGTTTTGCATATAAGCCATATTATTGAAGGAAAGCGTGGGAATCCGGTGAACACCGTCGTTGGACAAGTGCCCTTCTCACGTCGACGGGCACCACAGTATGTCGGTCTCAGGTGCCAGGGTTGGGCGTAGCTTGCTATTAAGAATTAAGCAAGCATCTAATTCCGTGAGTCCGTTAATTTCTCCGCCCTTAGTATGTACTCAGTGAATCTTTCATCCTATCCAATTTCCGCCGTCGCTCAGCGATCTTATTCTGATTTGACTGTCTTACCTGAATCTCGCCGCCCTATCATTTCCTATGGTCCCCCCGGCCGTCACGCCATCTCTGGACGCGTTGCTACGGTATTTGGGTGTACTGGTTTCCTTGGGAGATATCTCGTCAGTAAACTTGGTAGGACCAAGCTCGCACGAAAGCGAAATGTAATGTGATTGACAAGTTCACTTTCTGCTGTTCAATGCACCGTCAACAGCCAAAGCCGGCACGCAGGTCATCGTTCCGTATAGAGAGGAGGATGAAAAACGCCATCTAAAGGTTACAGGTGATTTGGGACAAATTGTTTCATTGGTACAAGCCATCATGCCTTCTTTGAGTCCGAGCGCTTATTATAACTCTCCTCTTGAATCTTTAATCCCGCAGGAGTGGGATATGAGGAATGAGGAACAAATTGCCGAATGTGTTCGCCACTCTGATTTTGTCTACAATCTTGTTGGTAGAGATTACGAGACAAAGTGTGCACGGAGCGCCTCTCTCTTGTCATTCGTCATTAATCTGCTTGGTTTTCCCCAGAAACTTCACATACGGTGCCGTGCACGTAGAAGGCGCAGAGCGTCTCGCTCGCATCAGTGCCCAGAACGGGGTATCTCGCTTTATCCACGTCTCTCATCTCAATGCATCAGAGGACTCGCCTAGTGCGTTCTATAGGACCAAAGCCGCTGGTGAGGAGGCCACTAAGAAAGCTTTCCCCAATGCAACTATCATAAGGCCGGGTTCGATGTACGGACATGAAGACAGGCTCTTGAACAGTATGGCCTGTGAGTGGCTCATAACACTTGACTGATTTGTGATCGTTATGTCTGGGTCGTCTTACTCTTTGGTCTCCTTTCATCTTAGTTTACCCAATCTTGTGGAAGCTTAACTTTGGCGAAACGAAGTTTGCCCCAGTTCATGTTTGTGATTCTCAAATTCTGGAAAGCAGAATATATTCAATCGGCTGATGGCATGTCTTTAGGTCATGGACGTGGCTCAAGCTTTGTCGAACATGACTACCATCTCGCTCCCCAGTCAAACGCTCAACCTTCCGGGGCCAACAACCTACACCTACAATGAAGTACTTGATCTTATCAGTGCTATGACCCACAACCCGCCATCTAGAGCGCCTACAGTGCCCAAATCCATAGCACTGTTCGCGACGAAACTCGCTCAATACGCGTGGTGGCCGTTATTGAGTCCAGATGAAGTCGAACGGAAGTTTTTAGATGATATCAGGGTAGATAGAGGGGATTGGGATATTCTCAATGTTTCGCCAGAGCACATAGAGAACGTTGCCATTGCATATCTTAGAAGATATCGCTCCGCGTAAGTCTCGCGCTACGAGATCTCAGTAGGCATATCTCATCCATGATTGATCACTCAGGACCAATTATGCACGACCAGTAAAACTTACGGGCAAAGGGTCTTCGGGAGTGAGTACCATCTCTGCTTTTTAAACATCCTTTTTGTATAACACCTGAACCCCAATTTCCACTACAAAGTACCATGTCGTAGATTGACACGCAAATGGTGCTCCCGAATAGTGTGAAATGTCCCGGCCAGGAAGGTTCCTGTGAGCATAGACCCGGTAGTTACCATACAATATTCACCAGGAAATCAATACATATTATATTGGAGCTGGTGAAAGTTATCCTTTCTTGGGAGTTTAGAGATATTGAAAAGCGGGATGGTATAATCGAAAGATGTATGCCCCTCCAAGTGTGGTTGAATATGAATATTGGTAGCAGTCGTTGTCAACGACAATCCCGGATTCTCGCCAGTGCTGCGGAGCGTGAGCAAAATGGCGTACGTAAGCAAGCATTGAAGCATTGGGAAGCTCGGGGCCGCATCTTACGGGACCGACTCGGCGCTTCGCCCTGGTCTATCGTGTATACCGCAACAACAGCAAAAAGAGTGCTACAATTGTGAGAAGTGAGGATTACAGTCGCTGAGGGCGTGCTGGGAAACGCCCAGCCGGCCAGATCTGGGGTGAACGATTTCGGTTTTTCCCGCTCCAGTTGCCCTGTCTGAAAACTTTCTTCGCTCTCCTTCCATCCGACGGGTCCATTTCTCTCTGGGAACACTCTCCACGCCGATTTTGGTGCCGGTAACTCAAGTTGTCCCTTCCAACAAGTGCGGAGTTTAGCGCACACTGGTAAACCTTTCGGAAGCATTACCCGCGGCACCAACAAATTCCAAATTCCTCCTGTTCACGTAGTTGTCAGCAATGCAGCGCAGACAAAATTCCGCATGTGACCAGTGCCGCCTGAGGAAAATCCGATGTGCACAGGTTTCAGGGGACTCTAAGGTATGTGTTCTGGTCTTGGGATACGTCAAAAAAACAACCACCATCTGTGGCGAGCATTTATCACTGATTCCTCGTCGCTTAGTGTCAGCATTGCATTAACAAGAACTATCCCTGCACACACAATGCACAACAGGAGACCGAGAGAAAAAGAGGCTTGAATACAGGACGTCGGTACAATCGGATCATGCAGAGTGCCCACCCCGCTTCTCCCCCGAGAGGCATCTCATCCTCCGCCACCCTAACACCGGGGGGTGCCGTTTCAGGTCCCTCGAGCGCCCAAGGGTCAACAGGAATGTCTTATTACGGGCCAATATTCAACGTTCGGACTGTTCTCCCTCGTCCCCTTCACCTGCCTCACGTCATTTCTTTTGTAGCCTAGTGCAGACGTTGGTTCACCTGTTGGATCTCATTCTCACCCCACCCCAACATCACCTTGGCCCGCTTCATCCCCAATGTATTATCAGCACCACAGCGTGGCTGAGCCGAAACGGTCGTCTACAGGCCCGCAGCAATATTTGCCTTCGCAACCAACGACGGATTCAGGTCCACAAATTGGGACATCGGAAAATGCTCGCCGATATTATCATCGCCAATTACAGCATGATTATCCGTATCCTGGGCTTCCGCCATCACCAACCGCCCCAATTCATGACTTGCTTGAGTATTTGTTCTCTCCAGATCTCTCAAACCCCCATGAGTCGTATGACTACTACAGCGACGTGGACTCGGACGACGGCAGGCGCAAGCTGAAAGAGCCTGATTTTAGAGTTGAGTAAGTGTCAAATTACAGTATGGTTCGCTGTCAATCACCGATGAACCGAATTCTACGATCTGTCCTGGCTGCTTCACATCGTGCTGCTGGTCAGGTTCGCCACCGAATTACTTGAAGTTTTTTTTCAAGTCTATCACCCTCGCTCGCCTGTCGTCAACCCTTCCCGCTTCCGAGCTCAGTTTAGAGACGCCCTATTTCCTTCCAGCACAGGTCTGGGTACCGGTTCAAGATCAGGAATCTTACCGAACAAGCTCAAACCCATTCACAGACCTCTGTTGGCAACTCTGTTGGCTTGGGGTTCTAAATTTTCCGATCACAACTTGCTCGTTCTTGATCGCCATCGACAGTCACACCGTACACCTCATGCGCTGTCCACTCGAGCCGATCCTACCGCTGTTGCCGACTCTTCCGCAAGCACGACTCCAAGGGGAACCAGCATCATTTCACGACTCTTAGTAGATCGGGCTAGAGAGGTTGCTGAACAACAGAAGGTTTTTCGAATTGCCACACCTGAGAATGTTATTGTTTGTGTACTCTTGGAGCCACTGCAGCCTCTTCAGAGCTACCCACCGCGGGATCCAGATGGTATGTTCAATCAACAATTGCACAAAGCCTGGGCCTCGAAACTGTGGATCTATCCAGGTATTAAATGTTTATGGCTCAATGCCGCTATTCGTCACTTGATGGAGATGAAAGTCAATCGCAATCCATCCAAGAGCCTGATTGTAAATGACGATGACGTGGAATGGGGAACAATGGTATTTTGCTGGTGGGTTGTGTGTCTCGTGGATGCACTCTGTTGCAGTTACTTCAAGAAGAAGCCTGTACTGTCCGTATCTCGCCTTTTCCCTGGAATACCTCTACTCACTGACCATTAGTATGGATCAAGATTACGATTTGGAAGCTTTGCAAATGGTTTCGGCTATAGGCTCCAGAAATATTCCATCGTCCAGCAAGAACTCTCCTGCTTCTGATCCTAATATACAAGCGAGGGTAAGTTCCACCCGTTATCTATTCTAGCCAACATCCTGAGTTGATATCCATAGTTTACGGTGAGAATGGCATCAGTTCATGGCTTATCCGCCCCCTGATACACAACAACAGAGCTGGCATTCTGCTCTTCATGATCTCTCAGTGGTATCGCGACACATGGCCCGGACCCTTTGGATACCATCAACGGAGACAGATGGCATCCCTTACGCTACTTTGCTGCAGATAGTCACTGGCCTACGCCAATGGAGAGATGAACATTTAGGGAAATTAGGCGCCACAAACGACCTCCAAAATCATTCCGACTATGTGACAGCCGTTGGTGCCTGTGAGTACGAACTCAAAGCAAAGGAGACGGCCAATTCAGTGATTATGTGTGAAGGTTCGATTGACTGCTCCTATAATGTCCTTTGGATCATTTTGTCCCAGGCCATAGAGGATTTTGGTATCAAAGAAGTAAAAAGCGCCTACCGTGTAGCAGCGTCGGGGGCGGTTTCTATGACACCACTGACAGGCAGTCACGACCCGACTACCAGCAATGTTACACCGCCATCTGGTCAAGCTGCACATGCAGGATTCAGTACTGCTGCTGATGCATCCGTGCCGAAAGGTGTGCCACAAGATGCAGCAGTCATGGTTGACCTCGAGCGCTCAGTTGCGAACGACGCCTTTAATGGTGCTACTCGTATCGCTGGATTAGTACGTGTGATGCGCCTCAAATTTTCCCTTACGCGACCCTTTGACGCAATTTGGAAGGCCGGTGTTCTGACTTCAAACGGTTACATGCGCCTTGACCCGAATGCGATGCATTGGCCCATCTACTCGGCGGGTAGGTTACTCGCGAAGTTGGGGCGACAGGAAGTGTTCAATTGCATCGATGGACTTGATCAAAACGGCTTTGCATATGAAGGTTCGGGGCATTAACCCACTCTTCACTAGCTGGCCAACGCTAATGTTTGGACGTGTCCATAGAGTCTTGGAAACACGCGCGAGAGCTTGAACACACTTACTCAGTCGCTATATCCTCCGGTCGAACTTCACGGGACGCCAATGACTTGATGCACAGATATGAGGCTGACCTATTGGAGGAAGTCCTTTCCCAAGCTGAACGTTCACGTCAGTCTCTCTCGGGTCAAACCACAAGTGATTTACCTCATGACCCCAATGTACCGCTTCATTCTCGTGCCCACATCAATCCAAATGGTCGACGATCTTCCTACGGACCAAATGGTCATCCAGATTACGACCGACAAGCACGCAACCCTCCTGAACGTCGTAGACATACAGTTTACGAGACCTTCGCAGCCAACCACACACCTGCCTCGCCTCTGGCCTTTGACAACAATTCCGAGCTCGAACATGATCCCACACCTGAAGCCCCAAAGGAAGGCTCACGTACCCCTCCTACAGACCCTTATAGCGAAGCCGAAGGAGAAGCAACGGGTGGAACGCAACCGTACCCAGGTAAAGACGAGGAAGCGGATATGGATGACGAAGACGCCAGAGCTGAAAGTCTAAGGAGGAAATATGTAATGGATGGAAGCTTTATCGCGCCACCGAAGCAGCCAGTCCCTGATTCTAGATAGGGATATACTGCCAACTACCAACACACTGACGTCCACTGCCGCTAGAATCGATCTACCGTTGTGCATCTTGGAGCATTCCTTCTCAGATAGGCCACCTAAAATACCCTGGATCCTCGCGAAGCCATCCACTCTGTGCGCATCTGTCGATTATACTGTTCCTACCTGCTGCTGTTACCGCTCTTCTCTCTGCCCCTATCTTCGGCCTTGTCTTTTTTCTAGCATGGTTCATAGCACGATCTATTGTGACTTGCCCGCTAATCCCATCCCCCGAATTGTCTCTGTTTGGTTCATTGAATAGGACTCAACATCGAGTTGAAGAACGCCAAGCTTACTATAGCATTTCAACGTATCGATCCTCGACCGGTGAGAGTTTGTTTTTACACCCTAAGGTGTCATTTCATTTGGGTCACTGGTACACGTACAAATTTCGGAAATACAAGGGAAAGAACGAAGACGAAAGTGCAAAATAGAAGTGCGAAACTCTACAGAAGCTTCCGTTCAATATATCACCATGTTGTTTTCTGTCAAAAAGTCCAGTCCATGATCAAAACGTATAAAAGAATGGTCGAAGATGTCATTCTCCCCCAATCTCGGCGGTCCAAATATCACTCCGGACTCGTCCAACCAGTGGCAGCCTCGCGCTTACTCGATATTGTGCATCGTGGAGAGGAAATTTTGGGCCGTCGAGAATGAGTTGGAGAACATCTTCGGAAAGGAGCACAACATGTAGCCAACATGTCCTCTCCCGAAGGAAGTCGCTCACAACTCGATGGGGTCCATACCCACGCCACCACGCCATCAAGCACGTATGTGGGCAGAGGCATCACCCCTAGGTCTTGGCCCATTCTCATCCCTCACCACCTCACCGAGGCTCACCGCACGGGCATAGCCACCGGCAGCGATGATGCTCCAAAGGAAAGCGTTTGTGCCTTGGTAAAAGAGTATTGCGAGAGTTGCTTGGAGCAGCAACCAGACCGCTTTGAACGTAAAGTTGCGATGGGCAAAGGTGTTCTTGAGAGGAGGGATGGGGTTCTCGAAGGCGAGGGTACCAAGAGCCATCACCATGGCGAACAGTTGGATCAAAGGTATCGTGACAATGATATCCAAGATGGGCTTGTAGCGAGCATTGGGGCTATAAACCAAGGCTGTGAGTCCTCTGTGGCGATCAAGTAGTGAAAATGATGGAAACATACACAGGAAGGGGAGGCGTCCCGTTAGTGTAGGTGTGATCGACGAAGTCAAAGAAGAATTTGCGGAAGAGTATGCCCCACATGCCAGCCCAGAGGAGGTCTAGAGAGTGATGGAGATAAATATTGGACGGAAAGTGGAAGGGATTGCTAAAGATCTCTACGTACAAATGGAGGCGGAGATCGAAACGAAGCGAGCCCATTCGTGCCAGATGAATTTACCCATGGCTTACAAAGTCGAGTATTGCGTGATTCAAGAGAAGACGAGTCGGTTGGCTAGGCCGATTGATGTGACAGAAGAAGTGCTGGACTGGAATTGAGGAAAAACAGGGCGCACACAAGGTAAGAGACGCAAGAGACTGTAGAGCGCAGCTCTGAGGGGAAGTGAAACCGCGGCCTGGCGGGTATTCTTATAGAACGAAGGGTGAGAGAAACTCGGCCCGCGAGCGAAAGGAAGGAGAAGGATGTCAAAGGCAAGGGTACCAAATAATAGTCATGACGAAAGAGAAAGGCAACTCAATGTACATAACACTCCATATATTTGACACCTTGTCCAAATCACGTGTTTTCAATAACATCATCAACAAAGGCATTAATCTGCTGCAAACTCACGGTGTATACAGTCCCATGCCTTTGTAAGGGACGCATCTTATACGCACCTGGTCAAATCGAACTGTCCTGTGACAAATACCGTACGGCACTCGGCTGCAGGCTATGACCGGCCCACAATTGAGCTCTAGGAGCTGATCGCCCTGGCCCCTTCATGCCTAGCTGGTGTAGCAGCATGCACTACATATGTTATACTCTAGTTGCACCGATTCTACACATAAACTCAGTACTGTTCTAGGCGGCATACATGTACATGAATGTATATCCGAGCAATGCAGTTGACCCAATAGATCGGCCATGTGGCTCTAGTTTGCATCTCTGTGCACGTGTACTGCTTCTTCTCCGTTTAGAGAATCCAACAAAGGCGGTTGGTTCCCGGCCAAGCACTCTGTCATATCATGCATGAGTATCTGACGGCACCAGGATAATGCTGGGAATACCCACGACGGTCTTTATGCGAGCCGATTCTCTGGCGAGACTCAGCCATTCCTCTTGGTGCTATTGAGTGGCACAAGGGGCTGACAAATTGCCTTCTCTGGGCCTGTAGCAGGAAGGGACTTGATGCTGGGAATGAATCGCCGTCTTTGGCAGAACCAAGTCTACCGTCACCCCTCTGGTGTCACTGGATACAACTTCGCCGCAGCTGCGATATCACAGTCACAATAGTCAAGGGAAGAAACTGTCAGTGTCAGACCAATGTGTTGGCGTCGGCATGAGCAACCATAGTCTAATCAACGACATCAGGATGAAGGGATGGTTACGAAACAGTGACGGTGTAACTCTGCTGTTGATGGTGAACAAAGACCAGTACTGTACCGCATTTTCCTACAATATTGGTATCCAGAGTGACCTTTCAAAGAAGGATTATCGCTGTAACAGGACGCGCTCGCGCATTGATTAGGGTGGTTATTGGCTGCCTGTTTCCGTTCACGGACTGCTATCAATTTGAGTCTTGCGGCTGATACCTCCATATGCTGCAGCCTTTCTTGACCGGCCGCATAATGTGCAAATACTGCTCGTCACAAGGGCATCCCGGATCATATCTGTCATAAAACCTTATACCGTAGTCAAGTTCAATTTAGTAGCCACCCGAATAAATGCTACTGTTGAAGACATTAAGCCTAACCGTAACCTTTGCTGGTCATTGCAACGCTATCTTCTGCTCCTAGCCCTCGTACCGAATTTGTACACGCCCTTGGACAAAGGCAGAGTACATAATGGGCATAGCAACATTTTGTTGCACCACGCTCTGAGTATCCAGCACAGTACAGACCAAATATGATGGCGGTACACCCAGTACAACACGTTCGCGACAGAAACATAGACTCCACCCAAAATCGTACAGGGGCTTTCTTATCCCAGCAACCCTTTTACATATCGTAACAAGTCTCGTGTCTAGAAAGGGAAAAAAATAGGCTAGAAGTTCAAAATAAATCGGTATTGTTTCATACGTACCCCTCCTTTCTTCACGCTCTCGACCATCGAATCCACATTTGCGGCCCCTTCATCCGCCATCTGATCATCAGTACTGGAGAGGGGCCCAAAGACGTCACTCCTCCTCCTGCGCGCCCCCATTCCAGCACGGTTCACGACGCCTAGCACTGCCCTCCAACCCTCCACAAGGAGCTCGGCGTCACTCTGCTTACTCTTCGGCCGAGGATTGACGTTGGAACCGTCCCCAGCGCCAGTGAACGCAGGGTAAGATGGCATGGGCGTTGACTTCACGATGTATGGACAGAATGACCGGTGTTCTGTCGTAACATCCAACGTTCGCAACTGCGTAGGTCGACGTGGGTGTGGATTCAGGGAGGGGCGGGCAGACGCAGGAGAGGACGGCGAGGGACTATCTGCCGACGTTTCGTTCGTTCCGTTTCGAAGACCATTGATAGCAGTGGGAGCGGTGACGTCAGGCGCGTCGACGGCAGGTGTGGGCTGGAAAGACCACAGACCAATCCTTCGTTGGCAAAGTGAACAGCTCAAAGTAACGTCGAACTTAGATCCGGGTAACCTAATCATACTGACGGTGGGCGAAGGGCTGCCAACTGGGGTTGGTGACCGTTCTAATGCGAATCTGGGCGTGTTGGAGCCTCTGGCGAGGGAAGGCGTTCGACCAAGAGACGCCGAAGTAGCCCGTGAAAGGGATTGAGTGAGAGAGCTTTGGCGGTGCCCAGGGAGGTGGGACGACGATGTAGGTCCCCAGCCGAAGAGCGAGAGGATGAGAGCGGTGTCGCTTAATGGAGGTGGGATCTGCTCAGATGCAATGCTTAGGATATCTTGTGCTGAGGGTAAAGAATTAATGGTGGTTAAAAGGGAGGTTAACTGTGATGTGTTCTATTGGCTCTTTCAGTTTCCTGGTTTCAACCAAGTGAAATGGGTCAATACTTACCAGTGGGTGTTTAATAGATATGCTCTGCACTGCCGGAGACAAGATTATCGCGCGGTCTTTGATGTCATGCGCCATTTTATTTCGAAGAGCCTTCAAGGGGGATTTTATAAATAAGGTCTAAAATTAAATGAGTCTGAAAAGTAGTAATTGCCAAGGCGAAAGATTGCGGCTCCTACCATCGCATTGTCGCTTACGCCACGGACAAGACTCTTTGTGGCCAGTGACCATGGAAGCCTTTTGCCGTTCAATGAGAGCGTTTGCTGCAACGAGTGGACAAAAATCAGTTATTGCATCTTTCTTCCTGAGGGCGAATTACCGGCATCTCGACTCATTCCTGTTGTTTGTCCCACAACCCATGCGGCATTGCAATTTTCGCACACCAATCGATTCTGGCCGTCATTTTTCCACCCACATTTTGCAGCAGCCACTGCGTTAATGGGGCGGGGTTTGTCGCGATAAGTAGAGAGTTTAAACGTCGATAAGCGATTGAGGAAGTCTGGAGTTGAAGTAGGCCTGTAGGGTGGGCGAGAAGTAAGAGCTTGGGGAAGAGATATGTGTGGATGTGTGCTGGGCTGAGTACTCCCGGGGTGTGACGAGCTCCGTTCGAGTTGAGGCGATCGTGTCCGGTTCAACAAAGAGGTCAGCTTAGGAGTTCTCGATGGCCCTTGCTTTCTGCCGAACATAACAGGCTTCAGAACCATAGCATCGGCAGAAGACAGTATGGGACGAACTCGGGTGCCTTATCCTTCCCTCTAAATCCATATTTTGACAAACTAGCGTAAATGGACTTCGCTGTGGCTGGCCGTTTGGAGGGACTAGGGTCAACTCCACCAATGTCCGTCTTACTCTCATTCACCGCCGAATCCAGGATGGAGATCGCGTCGTCTAGTTTTCGCTGCCATAACATTAGTAACACGCGACGACGGAATGGGTCGTGAGAGAGCGCGTGGGTCGTGGGGTACTTACTTTGGTTATTCTCGGAGCCTCAGTGGTGGTTGTGGACATGAATGAGATCGTAACAAGGTCGTCTGCAGCGAATGGCGCAGAATTCGACCTCTGGGTTGTCGATATAGCTCCAAAGTTGAGTCGGATTTGTCCTGGCCAACGCCTAATTCAGCAATCTGCGGCAATTTGTGCACGTGGTCGCGCCCCGTTTTAATTTTTCGAACTGCGACAATGGGTGGATTCACTGTAATCGCAGTCGCCATTGTAGCCATCGTTGTTGGCGTTGTTGGATGGGCTTTTGCACCCAAAGGGCCACAGCAGACGTGAGTCAGGCATTACCGCTCTTGATGGCATGTTCCCAAAGTCTCCTTTTCAGACTAATACGAAGTAGTATTCTGCTCGCATTAACGTGCTGTTACTTGATGTGGGCTATAACATATCTTGCCCAACTACATCCCTTGATACGTGCGTTCTTTGGTTCCCGCACGCAATTCCTTGACCAGCTAATCTCTTTCCCATAGAACCGAAGCGGAATGATGTGCGGCTGGAGCATTAGGTCTCCCACAAGTACACTGCATTCGGTCCCCTCACACGAGTAAACACAGAAGGCTCGCCGTTATTTTTATTGCACTTGTCTTTTTGACGAGATGCCGTACACACCATGACTTCTCAGAATTAGGCGAATTTGAACATTATTACACCGTTACCTCTTCTACTGCGTCTTCGTTCAGACTCTTTGGCCATTCCTCATTTTCCCAGTTGGAATCAACTTCCGTTGTAATGTCCCAATGATGGTGTGACCATCCGTCTCCCTCTGTTGGCTGTTGAATCCCCAGCCACCATTCTTGGCTGCATTCGTCCCATGCGTGGTCAATTACTTCTCCAATTTCTTCCCGGTCAACATCACCAAGTCCATTCCACAGGTTTTGGGCCTCCTTAAACATCTCTGGCGTCCAATTCTTCCAGAGAACTAGCCACTTGCCTATGTCAGCGCCGGCTTCGGTAATTTGCCATTCTGGTTCCGATCCATCTGAGGGTCGTTGTATCAGCGCGTCAATGAGAGCCTTTCGTGACCCTCCACATGCGATATCGATGTCTTCCTTCCACATTTGTTCTACGGGAAGCTCATTTGATGGGCTTTGTGACAATGACAATTTGACTCGATCTCGGATCTCCTGAGCACTGAGGGGTTTACCCGCTCGACAATGAACGGGATGAATGTGGCATGCCACAAGCTCCGGGATTCTTGCATCATTAGAAGATGGTGGTATGATTCGCTGGCGATGATCTCCGCGTTCGAAGACCGCTGTATGGGTAGCTTTGCCGAGTATTGATGTAGAGCGACCATAAGGATCTTTTGCCTCAGGGACCCCAATACAGCCTATTTCGATGTTGTATCCGTACTGAAGAGCAGCCTTCTCGCACCATTGGCGCCACTCAGGAAGCGTCCATTCACGTTTATGGTCATGATGCCGGAACACGCGGTCTGTGTCACCGGTTGGGTCAGGGTAGCCCGTGGGGGAGGGTTCCCCTGGCTTCGTAAACAGCTCGTTGAAGTTGTAGTTTGGGGTTGTGAGGAGGAGGAATTGAGGACGATAGTAGCCTAACACTAAGGGAAAGAATCTGTCCAGGACTTCTCGAGGTAAATGCTCCACACTGATGGTCCAGGGAATCGAAGCAAAGCGGGGATTTATATTTGGACTAAAGTTTCGAGTAGTAGAACGTACACTTCAGTAGATACGATGCACTCAAAGCGGTTTAAGAACTGGTCACTAGCAACCTCCAGTTCTCCATGCCATAGTTCAATCGTCAGAGGGTTCCAGCGAGGAGAAACAGTTGCATATCTAGGAGCAGAATCATCCATTTCTTGTGGTTCTGTGGCCGCTCTGGCACGTTCCAAACTCTTGGTACAGATATCAATCCCCGCCATGAGAGAGGGATAAACGTCTCGCGATGAGACATCTACATCGAGAGGCAGAGTGGCATCACAGAGGTAGGGGGCTGGTTGTGCGAGACACCTTAGCAACTGTCCTTCACCACAACCCAAATCTAAAATCTGCAATCGATCCGTTGTACTCAGAAATTGATGAGATGTGAACCACCAGGAAACTGACAGTGCGAACCGAGTACTTTCTTATCCGATCCAGTACCCATGCTATGCGTTGCGCCCAAAGAGGTGGGTTAAAGTAGACCGAAAGCGTGTCGCGTTCGGTTTCGTCCATTAAGTGAAGATCGAGGAGCGATGTCACAGTCACGACAACACTTTGACATGACATTTCATTTTACTTACATATTCGAAGAATATCGCATCACAAACACTCAATTGAAATTGGCGAAGCAGCTCAGCGCTCGCAATTAGTGCGGGTCCTCCGCCCAGGCTGCCGGATATCGCTGCCATTTCCAAAGTTGGAGGCTGGGTTAACGTGCACAAAAGTCGATTTTGTTACATTAAAACTACGCGCGGGGGTAGGGAGACAATATTGTGCGCACACATGCAGTGAATGAAGTTTCTGAGACACACTCGCCTTGTTATTTGAACGTACGAAACCCCTCACTTATTGCCCTTTCTATCGGCAAAGCATTGCTATTCGCGTGCGTTCCCTTAGGCCAAGGATGTGCTGTATTGGAATTCACTATAGGTATGAAACCAAACCATATATATCGTTAGTCACAGCAATCTCGAACATCGTGTGCAGCTAGCATGCATGCAACGTCATAATTCGGGATTTCGACTGGCCCATGATATTACGAGGTGGAGGGGTTGTTTCACACTGTACTCCAATTATAAGTAACCAATGCCCGAACATGCATTATTGTGCTGCATCCCGCTCGGGCTCGAGTCTCGTTACGTGACATGATCCTCAACCTTGTACATTAAAGCCTGAACATGGCACGCAAGCTGGCGAGGAACGACTCGGATGCTACGGCTGGTGGCATTGAAATACGGATCTTGCTGAAGTGATCGGAATGTGGTTCAGTTAGTAATGCAGCCGGAACCTCGTCCGTTCCAAATGGCTCCCAAATTAATAAGCACAACCTTGAGTGTCAATTACATATCAATATTGTACAAGACGATGTACGTGTCCAAGTCCAGAAGAGGGCATGCAGCAGTTGCTTGCTACCGTTTCGTGGGTGGCGCGCCGTCAGGCTCTTCTCCAGCTTTACGCTTCGTTGAAAATCCGAACCCAAACTGTACCCTGCCCCGCTCTTCGTGGGTAGCTGGTGAAGCTGAGCCAGAGGCACTTGTCGCTTCGCCCATAACACGAGTGAAGCCTGATTTGGTCATAGGACCTGGCGAACCGGGAACACTGGGTAAGGCCGAAACAACAGCGCTTGATGATATATTGCTACCAAGCGGACCGGCCCCAGGAAGAGTTGTGGCAGTGAAGCCAGTCATGTCCACAACAGGTGCAGGGGAGGCCTTCGCAGGCTCTTTCTTTTTGCTTTTGTTTTTGTTTTTGTCTTTCTTGGATATCGAAGCAGTTGCATCTAGAAATTCAGAGGCCTGCGGAACAGCCCTACGGATTCACAAAAAAAATGTCAATGTTTGCATGAAAAGGAAGCGAGTGTGTTTACCCCCGATTGCCAACAGACAAGACCATGTGAGCTTGACCAACCCTCTCTTGACGAATCTGGAAGGCAGCATTCATACTGAGAGGAGTGTCCCCACTGCCCATCGCCTCTCTCTTCTTCTCCTCTGCTATCTTCTTCAATAGTTTTTCGGTTTTCATGCGACCCGACCCTTTGCCATGGAACTTGTGCGACAAGGCTTTCCAAGCCTCCTTCGGCGTAAGCTCTCGGCCGAATTCGTCGTGATATTTAATCTCCACATCCGGCTTGTAATCCTTAAATAGATCGAGAGATTCCCGGGCCTCCTGCTGCTCGCGGAGCCGATTTTCGTACTCTCGCGCGGACTGATCTTTGGGTTGTCCCCGGGACCGAAGCCGCTCAAGATCGCGCATGGAGAAGGAGTGTCGATGTTGAGCCAGCCACTTATCCTTCTCCTTCTGGATTCTTTCGCGCTCTTTCGTTTCATCGGAAACGGCCGCAAGGACACCTTGTTGTCGCAGTATTTGAAGAGTCGCTGCCATTCCCCGGCTAAATGTCTGCTCGCTGGAAGTCCCAATCTGATCATGAGTAGTTAGATTAGGGTTCCACAATGATGGCGCTAATACTAACCTCGTCAACCACTTCCTCCTTCATAGTTTCAGATCGCTGATTGGCGATACCCTCCTCGATGGCTCGTAGCATTGCATCAGCTTCGTCGTCATAGTCCATCGGCTCGTCCCCCACAGCCGAGTTCTCGAATTCCGCAATTGCTTCGCCCGTTTCCTCCTTATCCTCGGATGCTTCGCGCATATGAGCCGTGTCAATTGTCACGATAATAGGATTTTGTTGGACGGGAGCTGGGGTATAGGTGATGCTTCGAACGAATTCCGATGTGTCATCCAACGTCAGAGCCCCCGAGGCATCCAATTGACCATTTCGCTGTCCCTCCTCGTCTGTCTTAGACGCAATCACTGTGGCATGACATTAGCTACCCTAGCTCGGGAATAGGAAAAATCGCCAAAACCTTGTTCGGCAAACTCTTCAGGGGCAATCCTTCTTGGTTTCATGACCTTCCGCCGCCGAGACTGTGCGAGCATTGATTGGAGTTCATCATCATCAATAAAATTTGCATCCAAGTCGGGAACCACGGGTTTAACGTCCACTTCTACCATTTTTATATCAGTGGTGCTGTTCGTAGGGGAAGTGTCTTTGGACAAGACATCTGGCTCAGGAACACGACGGGTAGATCGTTGTTTTTTCTTCTACAAATGATAGGGGCTGAGACACATTAAACCTGGCTCAACAGCAGGCAACAAACCTTGGGCTTCTTGAAGTCAATGTCACCTTGCACATAATCTGAGCTCTCAACATTTTCTAGTGCAACACTATTAAGGCACGTATTCAGACCAACCAGACAATACTCACTGAGATAATCAATGGACAGAAGAGAGCGATTGATGGTGGGCGCGGCGTCCATTTCCATTTTAGTTTTTGATTCTGATAAGGCTACCCGCCCCCCCAAACGAAAGGTCTAGATCAAGCTTGTAAGCAAGCGGCCATGCATAAAGTCGGCACAAACAGCTTACAGCATCCGTGGAACCATTGATAGCTTCGTCGTACTTGAACAAGACCGCACGTTTCATCCCAGGAGCACCAGTAAATTCGTCGTCATCATACCCAGTGTAATCACGACGTTTCGTCTTCAGTTCGAGTCGCTTCTTATCTTTCTGTTCCTCTGCCAGATCGATGTTTTGGAGTTCATCCTCTAGATGGCAGCAGGAGATGAGTTAGAGAACAAGGGAATGACAGAAACCTTTCACACACCTTCATTATCCAGGATGCGGCTGTCCTTCAGTGTGAGTATCCTGTCTTCGCCCTCATTCAAGTCCTCGAAATCATGGCTGACCTTCAGACCAGCGAGGTCCTCTGTAAAGGCGGCGGTCAACATCCAGGCTAGCGCCCCTGAGTATTTCACTTGCTTTCAGTGTATTCCTCCTGATACATCTTGTCCAAAGCATCCATCTCCTGTAATCGTTTGGCAGCGAGATCTTTTTCACGTTTCTTGCTCTTCTTAACCCACTTAAGAGTATCGTCATCATCATCTGCTTCCCCTAATGTGGCCCCAACAAGCCTTCGATGTAGCTCGCGCTTGTTGCGACTCCTGAAAGAAATGGGAACGCGTTTGTCAGCTTCTGCTCGCTTGATCTGGAACGGATATTGGAAGTCTCAACGTAATAAAAATATGAGTAGCTTACTTACTTTTCTATTCGTGCGACGATCTCGCTGCATAAAGAAGCCAAAATGAACACAGGATATCCAATGGATGTCAGAAGTCACCTCACTTTGTGCGTTTCTCAGCCTCCTCTCGCTCTTTTCGAGCGGCAAAATTATCAGCAGCCTCTTTCTCTTTTGTATCCGCGGGTGCACCATCGTCAACGAGAGGCTTTAGACCAAGGCTGATACGAATTTTGTTGGTCTCTTCGAGAGAAAGAGATGACTCCATGCTGACTTAACGGAATTGACGGAAGCTCAGGGGTTAAAGGAGGCGATGTATGTGCAGCTTCTACGTCTGGGTGGATAGATGAGAAACAGTGATTGCCTGAGGCTCAATTCGTCAGTTGTCAATGAGGGAGAGTTACAGGCAGCGTGAACGGCAATGACCGGTCGGCCAAACAATGAAGACACTCTCAAAGCCTGTTCCTCACAAAATTGTTCTAGCCCCTCGCCATGGGAGCACTGTACCACCCCCTGCTGTGGCAAGGGCGGCTAGAATACTCTCCAAGAAACGCGGGAAGACCCTGGTGACCTCGCACTCACGGAAAGTGGAAGCAGAAATGGTTAGCGGCGGCTCATTGCTCAACCATCGCCATGAGACTGACGACCTCCTCAGGAGAGCGCATCCGATTGGAATAGCATTCTTCTTACGGCGCGCGCGCAGAGAGGCCCCCAGTGGGATGTAATGACCCAACAGTAAGGGTGTCAACTGACCCACCACCAAGCTCACCAGCGGCCTTTCATTGCCAGGTTTCTAGTGGATCGTGGAAGTCCACTTTACTACGATGCCACCGCACTGCGCCCAGGCTCTGAAGAGAAAGAGAGGCCCAAAGATGAGGGCGAGAGCCAGTTAGCAGAAGATCCATCATCGACTCATCCTCAAGAACCGGCTCCTCAAAGCATACAGTTTGAAACTGGCAATGCCCCTCACCCCCAGCAACAGCAACCTCCACCGCAACAGATTATATTCGCTCCCAACAGCTATATGCCCCCACAAGCTGCAGTGAACGGGTTTGGTGCCGATGGCTACCTCCCTCCGGATGTCATGAGGAATCCACGGCGAACCACCCGAGGCATGAACGGGCGTGAGGGAATGTACAGAGTCTGACTACACATAGGATGCTAGCTGTTATTATACATAATTTTGTGGCCTTAATTATTTCCAGGTAATAAGTGTGCATTGGTAGGGGGCGGTGGCACCTTGATTGGCGCCGGGCGCTTTTCCCGAGAGGATATCTCAATAGCAAGCTTTGCGCCTATACGTGAAATCTCAGAGAAAGCGTCCCTCAGTTTATCAAGCTCTAAATCCACATTTTCCGCGCGGGACTTCATCTGCATGGGACAAAAGTCAAGGTAAGCGCCGGGCGTCATTGTGAGCCAACTCTCACCGCACGAATAGTGTCACTTGCCGCCACCAGCTCATGGTGATGGTTGTACACTAGTGCCTGGCGATCAGTTTCTAGTTGTCGGATCTCTGTCCACAAGACCATCAGGAGGATAACACATCGACGTCGTGTTGAATGAGACCTTCTGCCAAGTCATTACTACGTTTCAAAAGCGTCGGCAAGGACGACACGGCTACAAGTTGTGTGTAATATCCCTGGGCATCGAAGGCAGGCGAATCTAGTTACTCAATTGGATCAACTTCCTCGAAATCGACCAAATCGGGGAACCAACCAATATCCAAAGGGTCGTTTGGAGAACCTGTCGGGGCTGGGAGAGAAAGTCCGTAGTGCTGTCTGAGTAGGTCTCTAGCTCTGTTCGAAACTTTGCGCTCCGACGCTCGCCTAGGTGGCGGTTGAGGTCCTGATAGAGCCATGTCAGCGCCTCTTCGTGCGTAAGGTTGTTGACGCGGCAACTGCCGTTAACTCGCAGTGCAAGTCCGCTTTGCAAACCTCCCTGAACGTTCGAACGCCCAGACCCCAGAGAAAGCCAACTTCTCTGTAAGCAAAGCCAACGTTCTTGCACCCCTATCTTTGGACTGGGCCGGAGACCAAAGTCCGTTGTACCCGCGGTCACAGCTCGATATTTACTTCACTCTGAAATTGCAGAACTTTCCACACTATGGCGTCGACGGTCCCTACTGCGACGCACCAATCTTACCAGCAAATGCCCCACGGAGTATCTTATGCACCTCAGCATCAACAATCCTATGCCTATCATCCATCTTTATTGCCGAGTACTCAACCGTCCTCGTCACAACAGCAACAGCATGACCAAAGATACGCATATGGCCAAGCGTCACAACCCCAGCAGCAACAGCCAAATACCCAAGCTACCTCTCAGCCCCCGTCGGAGAACCCACCTAGTCAGGATCCGGCTGCTCCAGTTGTCGGTGAGAAGCGCAAACGAGGCCGGCCGAAGGGATCGAAGACAAAAAAACCTAAACTCGATGCATCCACCACAAACGCATCCCAGCAGCAGCAGAGCACTCCACAATCTGGCTCTTCTTCAACTGCGCAACAGACGGCACCTGCCGCCCCGACCTTTTCCGCATCATCTGAGCGGCAACCCTCTTCCCGAACCACCGAATCAGCTTCGAGCCGGCCCACTGTACCAATGCCGCAATCAAACGTTAACATGCAAGAGGTTTTTGAGTTTCATTGGAAAGCTATGCACATGTGCATGGATTTTTGCCAAGCTGCGAGCGATCTTATTGTGGGTTCCCCGCAGACCGACACTTCATTTTGGTTCGATGCTGACGATGTTTCGTAGGCTGGAACGCCCGAGGCTGTCCTATCCTACGCGCTCTCGTCGAATAAGAAAGTGAATCCCATGCAGGCGATAAACGAGGCAAAAGCGATATGCGATGCCTTTGTACGTTAACTCCACCTTCGTAATTCCGTTCGTTCTCAAGTATTCCCCCCGAAAGATCGCGGACCCATCCATATTCATGGATGAGGCTGGCACCGGTACACCTGCGTCGTTACCTACGTCTACCCCTAGAGTAAGCCTGGCCACGATTCCCCCACCACCACCCTGGCAAAAGGGAGGGGCGAAAAGCTCTGGTAATTTGCAGCCTAGGTTTCTTTTGCGCAGGTTCTAACGTGTCATAATTTGCGTGCACAGCGACTGCTGGACCTACCACTTCTACCGCTAGTGCGCCGACGAAGAAGGCTTCTGCATCGCAGCGTAGCTCAGACCCATCTGAGTCGCCATCTCTTCCACCAGCCTTCCCGAATGGACAGTACCAAGCCGCATCATCCTCATCACCCGCACAGTCGGAATCACCCCAGACGCAACAAACTACAACGACGTCATCACAGCCATCTGGCTTTCCTGGCCCTCCTGCACCGATGCATCCAGGTCAGGCTGTCGCTTTTAACAGCATGAAGCAATCCCCAATGCTTCATGGTGGCACCTGGACCGCGGAAGACGTTCAGAAGCTTAAGGATATCGTTGACCAGTATAAGGGCGGGGACGTACAAAAAGAAGTTGACTGGGACTGGGTAGTTAATCAATTTGGCGTTTCTAAAACAAGGTTGGGTTCAAATTTTACATTCTTTTCCGGCAGTAGTTGATCGAATCACAGGCATCAAATTCTTATCAAAGCAACCCAGATGGGTCTCAAGCCTTCAGGGACAAATGGAGCGCGAAGACGAAAATCATTACCTGAAGGCTCTGGGCCTGAACATGCAGATGTTTCATCAAATGGACAAAATACGAGCACACTGTCCCTGCCTGGCAGCTCTTCCCATGTGAACGGTCGACCTATTGCTCCGTCACCACAGTCCTATACGCATCCTCAGCAGCCCAATGGTCCGACAGCATCACCTCGCCAAGCGCCACCCCCAGCATATAATACTCCTCCTGCTCTGTCTAAGCACAATATCCAAGGCACGGTGACGTCCACGAATTACCGTCAGCAACCTTCGCCTGCCCTGTCACATCGCGGATACGCGCCAACCCCTTCCCCCCAATCCCAATCTTCTTCGCTGTCAATAAACCCCTCGATACAGCCCCAACAACATCAACAAACGCAGCAGCCCCAGCAATCATATCTCTTTCCCCCTCAACAGCCTGCTACTCACTTCTCCGCCTTTACCAGCTCCCCTGCTACTCGACCCCCTCTACCACCGCCCCAGATTAATCCTAACATAAATGGCCCAATGCAACAATCACAAACAGGTGGTACCCGTTGGGTACCCTACAACCCCCCAACTGCCTCTGGAGCCCCTAAACCACCACAAAGTCACCATCCAAAAGGGCTTCAGGGAATGATGAACAGCGACTTGCCAATGAGCCAACCAAATGGGAAGGGGCTGCTACACGGAACAACTTCTGGTTCCGTTTCGAGTAACAGCGGATCACGACCGGGTTCAAGTGCGGGGCATGCACCAGGGAATGCTGGTGGTTATGGATCATATTCATGATGCATTTACTACGACATTTCTCCTTCACTCCGTGTCGCCTCATTCACCCACCTCTAGTTTTTTGCATTGCGCTTCCGGATTATGCTTTCTTGAATCTTTATTCCTTTTTTCCGGCTCTGGACTTACTCCTACTACTAACTTTATTTGTCTGCCAAAAGCTCCCTTGTCACTATTCCAAGATGGGCGTCCGTTATTGGGTTCCGTTCTAGTATCGAGTACAAATCGTTGTAGCAATATAGAACACCTAGCGTGCCAAAACTCGCACGCTGCTGTTTTTGGGATTGTACTGCATACTGAAGCTACTGATGCACTTAATTGCCAACACCAAGGAACGTTCATATGGCAAGACGACGTGGATAGAACAGCCAAGGATATTTTGTGTTATGATTACGTAATTCGCACAACTAGTGGCTGTGTTTCGAAATAGGGTTTCGATGAATATTACTTAGTGTCTCGTTCTGAAGGTGCTCGTTGAAAGGGGTCATAGCCATGGCTGTCCCTAAGCCTCTCAGGCTCGCTTTTTACTGCAGCGGCCATGGCTATGGGCATGCGACGCGCGTGACAGCCGTGTCTTGTCATCTTCTGACGCTGAAGGACCGCGATCGGCCAGTCGATATCACCATCGTCTCCACAGCACCAGCCCAGGTCTTTACCGGGTGTCTCGCGTTGGGTGCAAATTATCGATACGCAGAGGTCGATCCGGTCATTTCGCAGCCGGTTGCGTATAGGTATGTGCTTGGTGTTTTGGTTGGCAACCGGATTCGTAGTAAGCCTCGCCCCCTTACCTCCTACCATTGATGTCAAGCGTCGATCGCCGCAAGAGTCTTGAAGTCCTTCGAAATTTCCTTATACGCCGCGAAGAGAAGCTGGCGGAGGAAGTTAAATGGATCAAGGAGCAAGGAATCGAATGCATCCTCAGTGACGCTGTATTCCTTGCATGGTTAGTTCAATATGGTTTATAGGCGCAAGGAGTTGTTTGTTTATAATTTTTTCGGCTCAGTGCCTCAGCGAATAGAGCCGGAATTCACAGGCAAGTAGCACCTCCAACTTACATACTTAGTGCTGCCTCATTATTATTATCATTCGTCGACAGTGTCTTAATAACTAACTTCACGTGCGTCCACGCTCGCGTACCGCTTTGCATTGGGCATGTGCGAATTCCTAAACTTTTCCTCCCTCCAGCTTCGACTCTAACTGGTCCTGGCTTGCCAGCGATATCCCCCAAGATACACCATGGGCCACTGCTTCGGATCATTCAGTGGGGGCTCACCTCGTAGACGGAATCATAGACGACCCTACTGCTTTCCAACCACTGAAAGAGACCGATCTAGAACCTCTCGTAACACAGATGCGAAACGACTATCAATGTGCCAACTTATTGTGCCTCTTGAAGGGATGCATCCCCATCCCCTCCTTCTCCGTCCATCCAAACCTCCCATCGACAAACTGGGTTTCAAGGGAGACCAATTCCTTTACTCCAGATGTTGTAGATCTTCTCATTCGCTACCGCCGGGATCCAAGGGGCGTTGAGTTGTTACCTCCGGTCCCATTCCCATCTGAACGAGGCTCCGAGTCCACATTCTATCGTCACCGGTATTTATGGCCAGCACCACTCATCGTTAGGCACCCTTCCTCCGATATATACACTCCTGCTGGTCGGAAAAGGATACTCGACTCAATTGGAGTTCCAGATAAATTGCAGGACGGGAGCCGAACTCGGATCCTCATTGTAAGTTTTGGAGGTCAAAAGTTCCGCCGCCCAGGAAGTCCCAGTGGTACACCATCACGGACCCCAAGTCCCGAAATAAGAGCAACTAGAAATGTTCCAGACGAGCTTTTGGATGTGCCAACGTTATCCTTGGACTATAATAAATGGCACGCCGGAATTAGGAATGGAAACCTAGTATCCCGGTCCGTTAGCTTGTTGGCCCCTCGGGCCGCGTCCCCTCGATCTGAAATCCGCCGCCACTTTTCCATGCCGTCTCGCAAAGTCGTCACGCCAACCCACTTATTCATCCCTGACGCACCTGGTCCTGTCGTGAACCCTACATCTCCCATCATCAGAAAATCACGGGGTCCTATATTCCCTTCTCAGGACCATGTCCTCACTTCTTCCCCCGTCGATGAGGCAGTGGAACAGCAACAGATCTTGGACGCCTCCCAAGAATCCCCCAATCTGCTACCTCCCGGATGGATAGCTATCGTTTGTGGGGCTGGTGATGACTGGGGAAGTAGGGAACATCTCCCCGAAGATATTTTTATTGCACCTCGCAATATCTACATGCCAGACCTCATGGTCGTCGGCGATGTGCTCCTCGGAAAACTTGGGTACGGGACGTGCTCGGAGGCAATCGATTCTGGCACTCCATTCATATATGGTACATCACTTGAGCCCCTTGGACGGTGGTTATGCGCTGACTCGCTTTTCCAGTTCCTCGTCCAGCTATCATTGAAGAAATCGGCTTGAAGTTGTGGCTTGAGGCGGAAGGAGTTGGTGTCGAATTTACGCGGGAGAAGTATGAGAGTGGGGATTGGGCTGGTGCGGTGCAGGGCGCCTGGGAAAGAGGAGAGAGCACTGGACTAAGGGAAAGGCGCCGATTTGCCGGATATAAAGAAGTGGAGGAAAGAATCAGCGAGGGCGATGACATGGCAAGAAAGCTGTATGACTGGATTGTGGATCAACATCAATGACCTTCCTCATGACTGCAGACGTAGATATTGTGTTAATGGCATCTAGAACCTTTGCGTCCCGTATATCCTGTCAGCCATGGGAAGACCGGTGGTGTCAAAGGTAGCATCAAATGCAAGGCACTCATGCGCTAGACTATAGAGTGCCGTGTAAAGGCATAATATCGCCCGTCCATACTTATTACTTCGGAGGGTGAAAAACCAGGCGGCCTGTCGATGTACGCTGACCAGCATATTCCTTCTCGTCCGTCAATCGATTCATCCCGAAAATATGGGCTGGCCCGGGGAGGAATTCCATCGGAATTTATGTATTTAAAGTAGCATCCATGACCCGTTTTGCAGGTTGCCTGTGCGCAATTAGTCGCTGCGGTGGCCTTTGGCAAAATCGGAGGGGGAGCAGCGGACAAGTGGTTGCAACGAAACCTTTTTATCGGCCTCTTCAACTTCAGGCCGTCCCAGGACCCGGTTTCTGATTGGGGATTCGCGGAACTAACAAACTCATTTGAATTGTTGCTCACTCACAATTAATTGCATACACAAGAATTGCATGTGACATCCAAATCACTGACCCGGCAATTGTCGCACGGGCCCGTCCTACTTGAAGCTCCGCATCTTAAGCTTTGGGACCGGGCCTCATCATCGATCTTTCTGTTCTCCCCTAATGGTCGCTGCATCTAAGCCGGTAACAGAGCTCACCCCATTTGGTTATGCGCTTGCTGGGGCTTTGGGTGGTGTCTTCAGTAATGCGTAGGTGTTTATTTGACACTACCGGTATCCAGACGGAGCTCATCTACGCTCGCAGTGTCGTTTACCCACTAGATACGTGCGTCATTCCCACCATGTATAGGAGTCGCTCCTGATGTTCCCCTCCTAGTGTGAAGACACGTATACAAGCTTCCTCGAGCAGTGAGGGGAAGGCCAAGCCGACGATCTTGACCCTCTTGGTCTCTATTCTCAAGAATGAAGGCATCGGTGGTTACTACAAGGGCTTTGGGGCTAGCATGCTGAACACCTTCTCAATGCGTATGCCCCATCATCAATCACATCATGCGAACTTCGGTCACTGATTGTCACCTCGGGCTCGTCTTCATCGTCGTCGTAAACGCTCATGCCTGGCAGAATACGCATATTTCTTCTTCTATAGCATTGTCCGGGGCGCTTATATTAGACGGCAGTCTGCAGGGTCGCCTCAAGGGAAAAAAGCGCCTTCTCCATCCACTGCTGCCGAGCTTATACTTGGAGCATTTGCAGGGGCTCTGGCGCAGATATTCACTATCCCCGTCGCCGTCATTGCCACAAGACAACAAGTTAGTACTGTAAAGCCCCTAACCGCCGAGGAGAAAGCTCTGGGTATCAAACGGAAGGGTAACGGCTTCTTCGAGGTGGCCCAGGACATCGTCAGGGAAGATGGAGTAGGAGGTCTATGGCTAGGGATTAAGCCTGGCCTGATTTTGACAGTCAATCCAGCTATTACCTATGGCTTGTTTGAGCGAGTCAAGTCGGTTGTCCTCTTCTCTGAGCCTGCCGGCGCGAAGATGTTTCCATGGCAGTCGTTCGTAGTTGGTGCTCTGTCAAAGTCACTCGCCACTGTGGTAAGTGAAGAGTAGGGTCAGCTTATATAGGCTATCTCAGTTTTTTGTCCATTCGTCTCTATCTGCGTTAGGTAACATATCCGTATATTATGGCGAAAGTTCGCGTCCAAGCTAGGGGCTCGACCGAAGCTGAAGAGGATGATGCGGCTGAAAAAGGAGAAGCCCCGGCTAAGAAAACCCCAAGATACACTGGTTCGTTAGATGTGTTGAAGAGGGTGCTCAAGGAGGACGGCTTCATTGGGTGGTATCGGGTTCGTGCAACACTCTGTCCTTTTGTCCTTCCTGCTTATCTAGGGCTCTTAGGGTATGAATGCACAAATAACAAAGGCAGTGCTATCTCAGGCTTTGCTATTCATGTCGAAGGACCAATTCGAGCGTTACGCCCTTGCTATAATGATTGTTTGGAGCAAGCTCTCTGCAAAATAATATTAAGCCATCTAGACTAATTTACTCTTCGTTCGTTAGCGATCGATGATTGTACATACTTTGCATAATTGACATGACACATCACTGTTGTCCATGGCAAGGTCCGAGGAACTGCACATTTATAAATTGGTTCCGCATTCTAGAATTGATTCAATCCATACTCCCCGACAGTCCCTTGAAAAATCCTTTGGTCCCAAAGGTGAGCCGTAGTCGACACACGGTACGATGTATTGGTAGTAACACCTGGACACACTTTTAAGAGGTCATTGGGAGGCTCTGTCGTAATACTCATTCACTCCGATTGATTTCACTGTAGCCAAAGTATGTCTTTGGATCTCTTGCGTTAGCTATGATGCTGAGTGTCTGCTTAGTAGAAGATACAAGATGGGTCTCCCTCGCGTGAAGAAGGAAGCTTATGTTGTCAAGCTGAAGCAGCTCTTGGAGACTTACAGTATGTGGGGTCGAAGCTCTCGGCAGTTCACCTCTTACACCTTGCGCTTTCATAGAGTCTATCTTCCTCGTCAATGTCGACAACGTTAGTTCCAACCAGATGCATCAGATTCGTGTTTCCCTTCGTGGTAAGGGTGTTGTCCTGATGGGTAAGAACACCATGGTCCGCCGGGCTCTTCGCCTCTTTATTGAGGAAATCCCGACGTGTGAGCCTTTGCTTCCCTACATCAAGGGAAACATCGGTTTCGTCTTCACGAATGGAGACTTGAAGGAGCTCCGTACCGTTATCACCGCCAACAAGGTGGCCGCCCCTGCCCGTGCTGGTGCTCTCGCCACGGTCAATGTCGTCATTCCTGCTGGGAACACTGGTATGGAGCCTGGCAAGACTGCTTTCTTCCAGGCACTGCGCATTCCTACCAAGATTGCCCGTGGTACCATCGAAATTGTCAATGACATTCAGGTCGTGACGGCTGGCGAGCGTGTTGGGACGTCTGAAGCGACTCTTCTTAACATGCTTAACATCTCACCGTTCACGTACGGTATGACTGTAATTCAGATCTACGATGGTGGTAATATCTTTAGTCCCGATGTTCTCGACATTGATGAAAAGGTCCTCATTGACCGCTTCTTAAGTGGTGTGAAGACCGTTGCCTCCATTTCGCTCGCCCTTAAATACCCGACCATCGTTTCGATGCCTCACCTCCTTGTCAATGCCTACAAGAATCTTCTCGCTCTCTCCATTGCCACCGAGTACACCTTCGAAGGTGCTGAGAAGGTACGTTATACTCTCCTTCCTGTGTCCTTGGACGAGCTTCATTCGAATGATGTTATATACACTGAAAGCTCTGAGCGTTTCGCGCTTTGATGGCAAACATAAGAGTCATAGTTACACTGATCACTTCACTCGCCCTTGCGTGCATTTCCACTCGAGTTGGCTCTGACCATAGCCTTTTTTTAAATATAGGTTAAGGAGTACCTTGCCAATCCGGAAGCTTTTGCTGTTGCAGCTGTTCCTGCTGCCACTGCTGATACCGGTGCTGCAGCTGAGGAGAAGGTTGAGGCAAAGGAAGAAGAGAAGGAAGAGTCTGATGATGACATGGTAGGTCTCTTATTTCCCCTACAATTTGACCAACTTTCTGACCTCCCTCTAGGGCTTCGGCTTGTTTGACTAAAACCTCCTAGTTCCGACCTTCTTCATGTATATATGACGAATATACGTCTAGCCTTTCGTCTCGCATCTTGAACTATTGGACGAGAAAACCGGTCACGCAAACAATGGTGAAAGATTTCCCACTCAGGTAAATAAAAACTTTTTTTACGACAAAAGAAGCATTTGCCCCCTCAGTGAGTCGAACACTGGATCTCCTCTTTACGAGAGAGGCGCTATACCACTAAGCCAAGGAGGCAGGACGCAGAGCGACTCCGGAATGCTAATGAGTGTGATTATTTGCTGAGTCTTAAGTATCTAAGGCACTTGAAGTTGGAGTGGACGAAACTTCCCGCACTTCCCAGCAATCTTATCAAAACTCGTCTCGCTCGTTCTCTACCAAGTCTCTGGAGGAGCGGAATTGGCCGATTGAATTTACACTTAAGCTAATCGCGTCTTCACTACCCAAGTGTCGGTATATTATTGGCCGAGCTTGCGAGGCTCTTGTTTCCAGAGGGGCTTCGATTTTTTTTTTACCGTGGGATTCCGCATGGCCACCCCGTGGGAAATGGGCAACATCGGAAGCTCGGCCATCCAGTTTGAGGGGAACCCTCATAACAAAAGTAGCCTGGTTCAACTTATTAGTCGTTACGCGCTCAGCACGCGTAATGGCCCCGAAAGATGCTGGAACCGATAAAGAGAAAACTCCAATGCTGAAGGGACCTGCTGGTGAGTCTCGGATCGAGAGGCCGAGGTGATGGCCACTATGGGCCACTAGGCTCGTCACATCGCGCCGATTCAAAGCCATACCTGCAACTACGCAGACACACCTGTGTTTTCTAATATCCTACTAACGCGTTGAACGTCCCTGCAGCTGAGAAAGCTATACGTGACTACATCAGGAAGTGCAACAGGCCATACGGCGCAGGTGAGATTTGTGTTCCCTCCTACTAGGCCATTGCTACTGGTGATGCGATAAAATCATAACGATGCATCTGAACGTCCAGTGGAAAAGTCTGATTCAGCTTGTTTCATTATCTCTAGCCGACATCTCAGCTAACCTAAAGAATGCTGTCTCAAAACCAAATACACAAAAAATATTACTGGCGTTGGCCGAGAAAGACGAAATTACCCAAAAAACTTATGGTTCGTCTGTCAGTTTTTCACGATCTAGCGCCACAATCCTACTCATTACATTGCGCCACAGGGAAGCAGACGTTCTTTGTTGCGAAACAGGTCGAACGCTGCAGCAACTTACCCCGCCCTCTTTACTGACCATTCCCCTCTTTATCATATCTTCAGTGCGATATAGAAGACGTACCTCCTGAGAAAGCGGCTGAACTTGAACAGGAACTGCTCGAATGCAAGGAAAGAATAAAAGCCATCACTAGCTCCAATAAGAACTTGGCTGCGGGTAAATATGTGCACACCTAGTGGAGGCTTACTTCTGCATGTCTCCGCTCTAGAATCAACTGCCCTTCGATCTCAACCACCCACGAACGATCTACCGGCTTTGCTCACTGCACTAGGCACAGCGATGCAGACCTTCGAAGCAAAACTGGAACCATTTCGCTCAATGTCCACCGGATCCGCGGATACTTTGGTGCCTACACCAGAAGACATGGCCCGGGTTGATGCAGAATGGATCAAATGGCGCGATCAATGGAAGATGAGGAAGAAAGTCTTTAAAGAGTAAGCTCGAATCATCTCTTCCGTTGCTGGATTGCAATTATCTGGTATTTGATGAATGTCATCACCTTCAATTTCCCCCTCTTTCACCACCCAGAACATGGTCGTCCATCACGGATAGTCTCCCGGCGTCGGCAGCCCTCGACCTGGCCGAAACTCTTGGAATAGAGTTCGACTCCCCGGAACACGGGATTCTGGAGCAAGGTCCTCTCTGCCGACAACCTTCACGGTTTATAAAACGCTGGTGAATGTTTTGGCTGCCCGCTCGATAGCTTAGTCGTCCCAGTGCCACCTGCTATTAAATCGTAGTGCTTATGAATCCGATTATTAACCAATTGTCCCAAACCACAGGTACCATATGGATGAAAATGAACATTGGAAAAATGGAACCTAATTGTACATGATAGACAGTCGACCCAACCCGAGAACAACAAAGGGACAGTGGAGATGCGGAGAATGGAAGAGTTTATGAATCAGGTGAACAAGGAAAATCAGTACTACTCATTGTATACGTGGAGCGTCTCCAGCTTTGAAACCCCTCGCCATCGCCAATCCTTGCGCCATGCTTGGACCAAGGCTACCTGCATCACCTTGAACAAACACAGTGTTATTTCCGTAGGCGTGAACTCTTGAAACTTCCATTCTCCTCAATTCCATCTCTCGTGAGAACTCGTCCTGGACGTCCTCCGCAGCCTTCGCCTTTGTTCGTATAGCATCAGCATCAGCTTGAGCATGAAGGCGCGTGGCGGTTGCTTGAGCTTGAGCGTCAAGTTGGACTGCTTCAGCTTTGGCTTTGGCTTGGGTAACAATCTATTTTGGTTCCCTTTCTAGATAGGGTCAAGATAAGAGACAGTTTGAAGGTTGACGAACCGTGTATGCCTCAGCATCTGCTTGAGTCTTTCGTTGCTGTGCCTTCACCATGACCACTTGGAGATTACCCTCCTCTTGCTTAACCTTGTTACTGTTCTCCCGGTCAACGTTCTAAAACGTGAACTCGTCAGAAACCGAGCACATCTGTAGAGAACCGGGGCCTACCGCTGCTTCGACTTGTGCTTGTAACGCACGAGTCGTAAGTTTGTCCATAGTCGTAGCGATATCACCTTTGAATTGACGATCGATGACGGCTATGTGGTATGTGAGCACAAAGGTTATGATGACATCTGACAGAAAAACGATTCACCAAGGTCCTTGAGCGTTATCCCATACTCGAGAGCAGCTAAGACCAACTCGTCCATCGCTCTGCTGCGAAGGGCATCCAAAAAGGCCGCAGTGGCATCGTCCTCTCCGTTGGCCCCTTGCAAACCGTCCGGTGCAAGCGATCGTTGTTTCACCATGGAACTATAATCAACTGGTATGCAGAGGTTCGTAGTGAATACCTTGGCTAGCGACGTTGTTGAAGGGCAACATACGATGAGCAACGATCTGAGTAAGAATCGACTGTGCCTTATCTCGGAGAGCCTCGTAAGGGGTGTTATAACCATGTGTTGTGAGCTTCAGCGGTTCGTTGAGTTGCCTTCCCAACCCTTCATAAGAACCACTCGGAGAATTTAAAAAATGTCACGCAAGAGCTTACCATTTCAGATAGATGGTAAGCGCCACCGGAACTTGATCCCTAGTGAAAATATCCTTTGTAGGCATTTCAAGCTGATTCTCTCCACAAGTAAATAGGCCTCGAAGGGTTACGTTCGGGCTTGTAATGCAATGCTGTCCAGCACCAATCTGTTCAAGATCATCCCCGCGCTGAAGGATCGCGCAATTATTTGCTGGAACGTCCAAGCTTCGAAAGGGAAGCGGTAAGTACAGCTGCGACTCTGCGGCGTACGAAAAATTACGAACAACAACGCGCCTACATAGTCATTCGATTTTCCCCTAAAGCTAACCACGGACCTCATGTTTACTTCGTGAGTGTGTCCCAAGATAGCTTTCGTGACCTAAAAAGTAAGGTTAGTAAGAGGTAAATCGTACGGGGGGAGAAACGGTGCTCACGGGGTCACGGACGGTCTTTGGAAGATGGGTTTGATCAATAACCTCGAGAACAGAGTAGGAACCTTCGACCGCAAAGGCTACGAACCCTCCGTTCTGTGAACGGAGTTGTAATTATTCAGCGTCGCAATGATCAGGTTAACACCGCACACTTACTCTTACGATGAAAACCCTATTCTGGGGATCGCAAACCACAGCGGCCTCAGAAGATGACCATCAAGTTGAATTTCTATTCATTCATGTTAACTACCCTACCTGGTTCTGAGATACTTGGACAATCGTCAACCCTAGGAACTCAATGATCGTGTCGGAAATGCCTTTGGTTCCGTGAAACTCCCTAGCCCACCAGTTCCTAGATTGAAGTTATATCCTCAGACTTGGCACGGTAAATAAGAGAATGTAATACCTTAGAGGAAAACGTGGGTAGCGACCAGCCTTGGTCAGTACTTTTGGGAGGCCACCATGATTGACGACGCCTATGCGACCAGCTGTAATCTCGTGGCCTGCCCAAGTAATAGGGTTCTTCTTGGAAAGAATACGACGGTGTCCAGCCTGAATTAACGGTTCGCCTCAGCTGTGCGAGGACGTTGGACAGAATGGCTACTGACGCTTTGTAGCTGAGCGTCGAGTTTCTGTAATGCGGGTATCAACCCATCCTCCTGAATGCGGATGAAGAACTGCCTGTTCTGAATGATAAATTAGCCTTATAATCGAGGAGGCAAGCAAACGACCGGGCGGCTCACTATATATTCGAAGGTATTCTGAGCCAACTTCTGTCCCAACGACGATTGTGGCCCGCCGCGTGAACCGGGCAAGTGGTTCGCTCTGGCAGTTGGAGCAGGCTCCTGTGACTTAGTAGATGGCTCAAGCTCATCGCCAACGACGGTGGACTCTCCAATGTAGCTCATGGCGGGTATGGTTGGTCAGTGAAGCGGGTGGAGGAACGTGTTCAGAAGGAACAATCCTCATGTGTCTTATAATCTGAGTTCTTGCGCAGTTGCTTCCATAGCAGGGGTTGCTGTGTGATGAGGCTGTGGCCAGGCACCAACACTATTTACTGCATGCATTGCAACATTACATCACTTATCTACAGGACCAAGATAGGCGCGTAAACACTAGGCGCGTGCTAGCTTCAGCGCTCCCGGGACAAACGCCAGACCACAACCACCGGTGGTCTCGATGATTGAACGAGTATGTGTTGACTGCGTGATTGAAGAGCTAATGGTACAGTTGGGTGGAGACTACATAGTTGAGTTATTTTGGCCATAAGCACTAGTGCTGAGGGCGGCAACTTGATAGATGTGGACATGATCATTCGAGGGACCTAGATATAGGCTGCTCTAGCCACCAAGGTGAGCTGCGGGCGGTACGGATGATCGCCAAAATTTGCTGCGCTCATACGATCGCGTAGGTGGCTGAACGATTAGGTAAGCAGCAACTGAATATGGCTTTGTCTAATGTCTTGCCAAGCCTGGCCGGCTATCATCAACTATTAGTATTTCATCTTTCAGGGGTGCCAGATCATTCGCATGTGTTCCAACTATGCCAACAACTACGAGGTTCCTTTGTACGATTGTGTGTAGAGGGATATGCCGTAGAATTTGCTTATTCGGTGTTGTGTATTTTCTCTTCAAAAGTTCGGATTGACTCCGGATGTATGTTGCGCTTTTGAATGGAGAGTGGTCAGCAGCACAAAAGAATCACCCCAGCCGCCTGATTATCGCCACCGACCCGGGTGGCTTGATGATGCTGGGGTGTTGCTATGGAGTGTGGGTGAGGGTGTTGGGGGCGCTGGGGTAGCTGGTGTGATATTCGCTGTCGATGGCATGATGACTTGTTTTGCGCGAGCCCGTGCAATCGACTCTTTTGCTGTTAGGGTGGCATTTGATTGGGCTAGGCCCTCACATGTTGCCGTCGCCTTGGCACGGTGACTGAGATTGTTGGAGGTGTCCAAGGAACATATATATAATTAAGATTAAGCTCCCATCTCTTGTCTCTTCGCTCAGGCGTGGTGTGGAGCTGTGTAACTTCGCGGTGCGGCATACTTGGTTGATGGTTGAAAGTAGCCGTCCATTGAGCACGGATTCAGGTATGAAGCCAGGTGCTGCGCGTTCCGGTGGAGGGGAGCTGACCGCTCTCTGCTGTGGGACGTTGTTGCCAGACGTATCCGACATGGTAGTTGTGGATGTCTACACGACAGATAACCTCAATTGCAACAGAAACAAGCAATGATGTAAATACTGACCAGCAATCAAACGCCAAATCATGGGTCCATGCCCGAATGCAGAAGTTGCGCTGTTTGTATTTGGCTTGGCCGTGCATTTCCCTTGCATTGTATAACTGGTGGACGCGCTACTCTCCTCTCTCATTACTTTCAGTCCGCAGAACTCTAGGAATGCGTGTTCCCTGGTAGATTATAGGTAGGTCGAACTATGAAGGGACGACTCCACAAAACCGAGGTCCAAGAGCTCAATCTATTTCTCCAGTGGGAAAGCCTGCTTAGGGAGAGATCATAGAATAAAAGCATAGTTCACGGTCTCGAGAAGGTTTTCTGCGTCTGTGTTGGACCAGCTAGTCGTACTTCGTAGGATAGCAATCGCATTCAGTTCGTTGCCATTGAGAACTGGGGCAACGTATGATAAGAAGAAATCATGAAGCGAATGTGTGGCGGGACTTGAAGGAAGAAAGGTGCCAGCAAGCGGTGGGATGGCACAGGGAAGCTAGGTTATCACAGTGAACGAGTGACAGGTAGGAAATTCGAGTTGACCTGTTCTCCAAATTACTATCACGTGCAAAGGCCACCTCGATCTTCGTAAGCAGCCTGAACTTTTCGGGCGTAAATCACTACTCACTACCTGTAGTTTCTGTCCTAGGACTGAAGACTCCTAGTACCCAATTAATGAACAACGATTTCTTTGGCCCTAGCAGGCAACGTCACATCAATCTTGGAGGTGCTTCGTCGACAACATCGCACGCCTCCATCATTGATAATGTCAAGGCTAAACGGAATGAACGACTCGACGCCACTAGAAGGTGAGCTACCTTCGAATTCTAAAAGGACCTCCTCTCGCTGACAAATTGTCTGGGTTGACGCAGGGTCCAGAGCGCCATCCGGATCCAGTCATGGTATCGTGGCCGATCACAAAGTAAAAAGGCCCGCGAGAAATTCCGAGAACAGTTTGACCAAGGCAGTGGGGGTGTTCAGTGGACCAGATACTTGGTGGTGGCATGGTCCGGCAGCCCCAGCGACCGAGATAGACTGCACCGTTGGTCACAAATCATGAACACCGGAGGCAGGTAACTTCTTCAGCGTCCGATTATCATGTTTATCAAGCACCAACTATTTCACAGACCAGCTATTCTCTCCGTTTATGGGGCTTGACAAAGATAACTGGCTAGTCCTCATTCGGCGATTGGCGCTCCTTCTCATGCAATCTGCAGCTAAGGATCCTGTGTAAGTCGTCGTTCGTTTCCGCATACGTGCGGGATGTTTACATTCCCCAAGTTTCCCAAGAAGTTTAGATTATCTATCGATACTGGAGAAACTCATGGATGCAAATGTCTTCCAACTGTCGGTGCCCGAAAGAGGCCGATCACTCTGTGTTGGAATTTCTATTTACCTTGTAAGACGTGGCTTGTATTGGAACATAGCAGAGTCATTCAGGAGGATAGTAAGCACATGTTTTGGAATCCGTCGGCCTCGACTTACCAGTCTTACAGCCCATCGATGCAAAATCGACTCCATCAATCCCTTCGCTGATTTCTATCTCGACAACGCCATTCTCGGTGTTTCCTCCTGCCACCCCAGAGTATAAGGAATGCCTCCATGCCTTTACCATTGATATCCTTACGTTGCCGATTTTACCAAACCGATTGCCTTTGCCAGTTGTGTCGCAATTGGCCGCTAGGCTACCATTTGTCTCACTTGCGCAGCTTTCCATACCTCATATTATATCTCGTCTTTCTGGATCCTCGGAGAGTAGGGTGCATCTGATGGCAAATCTTCTTACATTTGGATCACAGAGGGTATCGAAGGCATCCTCGCCCACTCTAAACATGTATTTGTCTTTCCTCGTCGCTCTGATGGATTCTTTGAAGCCAGGATGTATGGACCCTCCAAGAAACTCTATTTCAAAGCGGAGGCAGTCCGGTGCTGCAACTCCGTGGCTGAGTGACTCGTCGGATACCGAGGACGAGCATCATGCAGGAGGAGCCGAATCGTTCAGCCTTCGGCTAGACTCTAAAACTTTATTCCGACTCCAAACCCTGTATTCTCGCTCGGACTTAGAAGCGCTTGTGCATGCGACGCAACGTCATCCGGATGTGCGCCAGAAAATCTTTGATTATTTCACAGCTCTTTGGCTGGTATGGCCGAGTAAGAAGGATAAGGTGATGACGGTACTAAATAGCGGCTCATCGAGCATTGGATTTGGTCTCACAAAAGATGTTTGGAGGGGATGGGTGCGGTCAAGTGCAATTGGAAAAGAAGATGATCCCAAACGAGCTATCGAGAAACTCACAGGTTTGTTTCACATGGTGCTTCAATAACTGCTTGTTGCTCACGGGAAATTCCATCAGCACCGTCCCTTGCATCGCAATGGCCACCATTCTTGTTCATGACTGAGTTATACACTCACAACCTCCTCACAATGGGGGACGAGGAATTTTTTTCTTCGGCGCCCGGTGCTACTCGGGCTGGAGCTGGCGCCGGGAATCCCCTGACTTTGGATGAAGTTGCGTCGCTCTCGCGCCAATTGCTCAATGTGGCTTTTCCGCTGTACTGGCATGAAGACCAGACGATCTCTAACGACAGTGTCCCCGGCCTTCGCCTACAATGGAAGTCTGTCAGAGAAATGGCTACACAATGCTTACAGGCTATTCAAGCGAGAGAGTGAGCAATGGACGAACGGAGCACCTTAACCATTTAAGCTCACGTTTGTATTTCATCAGCTCTAGAAGACCATTTGTCCCCTTGAATCACTGGCTCGTTACCTCCCAGATTGACATGCGACCCTTCGTTGAGGCGGCTGTGTAAGTAGTTTCTCGAAGCTCTGCAGAATATCGGTGGCGTTCTCAAGCTGGTTCATTTCTCATAGTGCTGATGAAGGGTCACTTGATCGCCCATCTAAAGTGTCGCGTGTTCTGTCGAGGCGTCAAATGGCTTCCATGTCGCCTCGGCTTGGTGTACTGAACAACATCCCGTTTTCCATCCCGTTTTCCGTTCGGGTCCAAATCCTCCGTCGCTTCATAGCCAACGATGCTAGTCGTTTGGGGCTTGATGACTGGTTCAACCTCCATCGGTCAAGACCACGGTTCCAAGCTACCATTAGGAGGAAACAGGTAGCGAAAGATGGGTTCGATCAACTCAGTGGATTGGGTGCGGCTTTAAAGGAAAGAATATCTATTACGTTCGTTGACGAATGGGGAAATGAAGAAGCAGGGATTGATGGAGGTATGTTCGTTTGTGGCAACCCCATTTGAGTAAATTTGTAACTTGCATTGGAAGGCGGTGTGTTTAAGGAGTTTCTGACTTCGTAAGCCTCATCCAAAGTCCTGTCATTGTAGGCTGCAGTCATTGATGTTATCTTTGAATAGTTTAACGAAAGAAGCCTTCGATACAGATCGAGGGCTTTGGCTTGCTACCAACCGTCAGGAATTGTATCCAAATCCACATTCCTATGCTAGAGAAGGTTAGCCCTTAGTCCCTCCAGACCATGGTTTTCCCTGATTTGGGTGTTCCAGCACACCAACTGAACTGGTACAGATTCATTGGTCAAGTACTCGGGAAAGCCCTGTATGAGGGTATCCTGGTTGATGTTGGTTTTGCATCATTCTTTCTTGGGAAGGTAAATCACAATCATTTCTAGCGTTCTTCAGCTCTCATTTCCATTTGCAGTGGCTTGGACGACAGAGTTATCTAAACCTGGACGATCTCCGATCACTAGATCCCGAGCTTTACAATGGCCTAGTCTTCTTGAAACATTATGAAGGGAAGGTAGAAGACCTGGCTTTAAATTTTGTTGTCGCGGTCAGTAAGGCTTGTTATGTTTTGAGCTTGATTCCCATCGCGTGCTTCAGAACGACGAGTTCGGAGTTGCGAAATCGATCGATCTCATCCCAAATGGCAGCAACGTGCCCGTGACTCGGGAGAACCGTACTCAGTACATTTACCTCGTGGCGAATTATCGTTTGAATATTCAAATCAAAAAGCAGAGCGAGGTATGTGGTATCAAGCCCGAATTCACGACGTCCGGTTCACGAATGGTTATTTGAGGCTCTTTTTGAAGGGGTTGCAGACATGATCGATCCGAAGTGGCTCAGGTAAGCGCTGACTGGTATCTTATCGTTTTGGGCATTAACATTTTGCTAAAACAGGATGTTCGATCAGCAAGAGTTGCAAATCTTGATCAGCGGAACCCAGGAGCCAGTTGACATTGACGATTTGAAGCGAAATACAGTTTATGGGGGTCTCTACGACGAGAATCACGCAGTTGTGCAGGGTTTCTGGAGGGTAGGTCCTCGATTTCTCTCGATAGGAGACGATGTTGATGTCCGCAAACCATTAGGTCGTAGAGTCTTTCGACCAGAAGCAGAGACAATCGTTGCTGCGGTTCGTGACTAGCTGCAGTCGAGCACCATTATTGTACGACCTTTCGAGATTCGCAATTCCTCCTAATACTGACTTGTTCGCAGGGGCTTTCAGGAATTACATCCCCACTTCTCCATCCGTGACGCAGGTGTAAGTGACAATGTTCTGCACAACTCGTCACCGCTAATGTTGCGGACGTAGTCGGATGACTCCCGGCTCCCCACAAGTAGCACATGCGTCAATTTACTGAAAGTGAGCACGAGTTTCCGTTTCTTAGGATGCAGACATCGACGTATTGCAATTGAAGTTACCCCAATACCCCAATGAATACGTGCTTAGAAGCAAACTTCTTCAGGCGATCACAGCGAATGCCGGTTTTGATCTTTCCTAGACTTGGTCCCCCGTTCCCCAGTAGTACACATGCTTTCATGCATGCTATTAGAGTCGACAATCCCAGTAATATTACAATAAATTACACAGTAATCATAATCAATCCACCTTTCTAGCCCACTTCCTACTTCCTTGGTTCGCTAGAGCAGGTGACCCTGCACGCGCCGCGGGTGGAGTCGAGGTCCTGACGGGAGGAATGTCCTCCTTACTGCTCCATGCAATTGGAGTCGATTCTACCTTCTCCTTCAACCTTATCCGCTTCTCGGCAACTGCTGTATGAACGACTTCCTTGCCCCAATAGCTCCACATCTGGAACCCAATAACGAGATTGAGAAGTAATGCAAGCCCGAAGCCGAGCAGAACAATTGGATCTCCAACTTCGGTGGCGGTTGTGAATAAACGCGCAAGACAGCCGACGATTTGAGAAATGACAGCCACTGCTGACAATTGCCCCGTTGACTTGGCTTTGGAATTTTGAGCAATTTGCGGTATCTTCGAGAATAGAGAGATTGGAAGAGTCGCAATTTGGAGTAGAGACAAAAACTGTTGCGGCGCCAGGATGAGAATGGCGAGAAGGACGGCAGTACCGAGTACGACCACAAGGGCATTACCAGGATTACGGGCCGAAGACGCTGGCGTATCCGGGTAATACGTGATTAGGAGTGTGATGATGATGTTTTCGACGGTAAGAAAGAAGTTCTCCCCGTAGGTTGAGAAAGGAAAGTTGCTACGAGCGGAGTAGGCGAGGCTTATGGCATATCCCAGCGTCTCTAGCACGTAAGCGGGAAATGAGAGACCCTGAGATGTCCCTGCTCTTGTCACTGGACCAAACGGTGTCGAAAAACATGCTATGACAACAGACCGCAAGTCATACCTAGCAATATTTGTGGGATTTTCATAATGGAGCCCCCGGCAACGATGCCTATTCCGAGGAGCTTGGATATGGTCAGCTTAATGCACTCAACATCAGCAATATTCAGATCTTCAACGAGAGACGCATAACATTTCTATGTGAGGATAGTCCCTTGGTGAGCCAACCTGCAGCTCAAAATAGGATCCACGCACCGCCCCTATAACAGAAGTGATGGGGCCTGAGATGAACACCGGGAGATGGTGTGTCAGAGATGTCATCTGAAGCATTGACACGTCAACGCTGAGTAAAGGGTCGAGTCATGAACGCACAAGGAAGTAAATCCCCAAATCACGACTTGTTGGTAGAGGAGGCGTAGTGAAGATATATGCAAAGGATGGTTTCTGCTCCAAAGACTTTCCAAGAGACACGCGTCAGTATTTCACATCGAATTCGGCCACGTGACGACCACACCAAAAATCCTCAAGCTTGATTGATCCTAAGCATGGCGCAGTGGGACTTAACAAGGAAGATAATACCGTATTTGGACAGGCATCTCGTCTTCCCTGTTCTCCTCAATCCTTCTTTGTCGGAAATTTATAAGCCGGAGGATGTCCAGCTTGCTTTGTATGACCTCGCAAAGAGCACAGACTTGGTGGATTACACGCTTGACTTGTATGGAAAAGTATTCCCTGGACAGCCCGTTCCTAAAGGTGATCAAATTTCTGCCTTGAAACACGTTTTTTGGAGCGTCTAAGTCATATCTTGCATAGAATTCACCGCCAAACGAGCCGCAACTCTATCAAGCATCGAGCGGTTACAACAAGAGGCTCAAGCCGTCCTGCACGTAATTGAGAATCCGGAAGTGGCCCAGTCGCTACGCCAAGACAAAATTCGGAATTTAGAATACCTGAAGGATACGTACGGTGTGCGTTCCTCCAGACTTATGATGGGCCTGTCAACTCAAGCATTTAATGCAGCTGACCCTGGAGCAAATCTCGGCCCTCTACAGTTTTGGCCAGCTCCAATACTCAATAGGAAATTACAGCCTTGCTGGAGATTACTTGTACCACTTCCGCATTTTATCAACTTCAGCTCCTCTTGTACTTTCCAGTCAATGGGGCAAATTCGCGTCTGATCTTCTCGTCGGGAATTGGGACAATGCCTTGGACGAGCTACAGGGCCTCCGAGAGGCAGTAGATGCTGGCGGTGTGACTGGGCCGTCCGGCGGTGCCTTAGCGCAGCTACAAAGCCGGACGTGGCTGCTACATTGGTCTCTTTTCCTCTGCTTCCAGCATCCCGAAGGCCGCACTTTGCTACTCGACCTATTCCTTTCTTCTGCTTATCTCAACACTATTCAAACTTCATGCCCATGGATTCTTAGATATCTCGCTGCCGCCGCCATCATATCGCGAAAGACGGCAGTCACCTCATCTTCAAGGACAGTTCGTGGTTCACTCCTTCAAATTGTCAGAATCGTCCAAGCAGAGGAGTACCAATACTCGGATCCTATTACAAAGTTCTTGCAAGAATTGTATTGTGAATTTGACTTTGATAGCGCGCAGAAATATCTTGGAGAGGCAGAAATCGTTTTGGGCAATGATTTCTTCCTTGCTGATTTCAAAGACGAGTTCATGGAGAATGCAAGATTCATCATCAGTGAAACCTATATCCGGATACACCAAAAAATAGATATAGGGTGTGATACCCCATCCCTCACATTGGTTTGCCTAACCCATCATTTTACAGTGATCTCTCCGCTCGACTTGGTCTGTCACAAGCCGAAGGCGAGAAATGGATCGTGAATCTGATTCGGGATACCCGTGTGGGGACGGAGGCCAAAATTGACTTGGAGAAAGTTCGTCCTTTCGATGCGTCTTTCTGGATCATGCGCTAACTCAACCTTTAGAATGTGGTGACAACCAATCGTAGCCATCCATCAGTTTATCAGGCGGTTATCGAGAAGACCCGTGGTCTTGCTCGCCGCACGCAGGATTTGAGCATTGACATGAACCGAAGGGCGAATGCAGAATTGACATCCGGAGAAGGGAACAACGAGAAGGAGAACAAGGGGAAATCTGTGTAGAGTCTACGTGAAGCCCTAGGGCAATATGGCATGGAGTTAGCTCGGTAGCGCAAGCATATATGCTAGATGCCACACGCACCCAGACAGCGACTGCTGAGCCTGAGCACCGCGTCACTCTGTTAACGGAGCTCAAGATCCTTCATCTTCACATAGAAAATCTAACTCTCAAAGATTGCTTTCAAACAGGAAATACCCAAGGACGGCACCTGACCAAGATGTGGATGGAGTGCAGGGCCAAGACGTGTGCAGATGACTACCACAGGTGGGAGAACAAAGCGCAAACAATGAGCAGCATTCTCAGCTGGATTTGGCTGCTGATTCGTCCCTGTCCCTCGGCGAAACTATGTTCTGAAATGGGGCATACCACCTCATTTGATCATTATCAGATTTGGACAGGCCCACTAACTTGATCCTGAGGAGCCGCGGTGAGCAGTGATGGAAGTCCAATGCAAGCCCCTGAGAAGGACCCTGGAGTCCGAGCTCTGGCAGTCCATTACTATCGCCCAACGGCTGCATGGTGATGAAATTGTGCTTGCATTGTTCATATACATCTGAGTAATTGGGGGCGAAGGTTTGAGCATGAAGTCACCCCTGATTCCAATTGTGGAGCACCGAGCCTGTCGTAAACTTCGAGCTCGACAATTCAACTAATCTGAATGATCACTGCGCATCGCGATCACTCTATGGAAGCGGCAAACCAGCCATCATGATCACCCATTCGACAATTTGCGCTACATGTCTAACAACGGCGTCACTTCGCCCGAGTTTTAGGTCTGGGGTAAATCTACGATCAGCGGGAACAATGGGCAATGATCTATAGCAAATTTCGTGCGTGGATTGGTGATTTGGGGACGCATTAAGTGATACGCTCGGGCCGGGGGCTAGGACAACGTCTAGAATGTAACGGTTTCAACTTCCTCCCAGCTCACAGAGCGCGACTGATCCCAACGGACCTTTAAAGCACACGACGTCCCCCTTTTTTATCTGCGGATTGTCTTCATCAGAGCCGTCGAAGTGCTCAGCAGTCTCCCGCCATGCAGTGAGCTTTACGATGGCGCCTGTGTGATCACCAATGACGAAGGAGATTACAGCGACTTCGGTGCCGCTCGCGGCCCCTTTTTTCACTTTCACAATATCAAGACCAAACACTTCAATAACGGCAACAAGCACTGAGAATTTTTGGGTGGGCCACTCTGCCCGAGCGGCTGGTCGTTCGCCACAAAGCTTGCCAAGAGGGGTGATGTCGTGAAGGTTGAAGTGAAAGTTTGGGAATATAGCAAAGGAGCTTCCAGATTCTGTCATATACGACTCCCCTGCACCTGAATGAAAGCTCTCTTGATTTCCTACTGATGTGTCCCTAGGCGTAGCCGGCTCTCCTGTCGAGGCATCGTTGCGAGGGATGAAAGAAATTGACTGATCGATGGATAATTCAATAGTAACTCCAGTTGTATCTTGGGATGGCGCGATATTTCGCATCAAACTGTCAGTAAATGGGATTTACGATCATCAACACGAACCGTCCCCGTCCCAAGACTCGATCCAAGTGGAATTCTTGTCCTCATTTCCATCTATTGCACCTCTATAGATCTTGGATATATTCTGACTAGCTGAGCTCAATTCATGAGGCTCTAGTAAGGGCGGGAGTGTGGCACGACGAAGTAACGAAGGCTCGCTGTGCGAGCTGGAACGAGACTTCTCAGAAGATGACACCGTGTGCCACCGGAATTCCCTAGCAGATTGTGAAGGCGGATTGCGTTGCTCTGTTAACGCTTTTGTGCTAGGCACCCCTATGAAAACTCGATATCTGGCCGCCATACCATGAACGAATGGCGGTTGTGATCTGTTGACGTCGAGCCATCATTGCAACCTCGAGCTATCCATGTCGTTATTTGGGTGCGTATTCTGCGAGCCCTTGATCTTTCACTGGATATCTGACACCCTCACCAGCACGTCTTCCACTAATCAGCCGTCGACGCCCGCGTTCAGTCAATCACAGCCCGCGTCCTCCACAAGTACCGCCCAACCTAACCCATCCTCTGCTACCAGCGGCGCTCTTGCCCCAAATCCTGCACCCCCTTCGAATCCCTTTGGTGCATTTGGTGGCTCTTCCACTTCCGCTTCATCTCAGCCTTCAACGTCATCGAATTTGTTCTCGTCCTTCAATCAGAACAATGCAAATACCGGTACCAGCGGTGGAACCAGTGGTTCTACGGGTAGCAATCCCTTTGGGTCTACTAATCCTTCCGCTTCGTCCAATATTTTTGGGACTAGCACCACAGCCCCGAATTCGACCACAAATCCTCAACCCACTCCGCTTTTTGGCGGTGCCACTGCTGCTAACCCATTATTTGGGGGATTTGGTTCAACAACAGGCGCTCCACAGCCCCAGCAGACAAATAGCCTCTTTGGGACGAATACACTGGTGGGCCAGCCTTTTCAGACAACAACGCAACCCTCTACGTGAGTTTTCTGTCCTGCGACTATCACAACCTGTACTCATATTGGGTCAGTCTTCCATTGTAAGCATGAAGATCATGAGCAGCGAGCAAATATTTATCCTCTCCCAGTGGCCAAACACAGGCCCAACCACCTGTATCCGGACTGATCCGAACATCGAAATTCAATGATCTTTCAGACAATGACCGGCAACACCTGGAGCTGTTTGAGTGAGTGCATTGCAGTTGATTAATGAATTTTGCAATGATGTGGGCATTGGTCCGTTTTCAGCGCTAGCATCCAGTCACAGATACAGCTAAGCAATGAGCTCAAGGCAAAAAAGTTGGGAGAAGATATTGAAAAGGCTACGACTATTCTCTCCGGCTTGATGCCCGTCAGTGGTCCTTACACTGATTCAATATTGTGAAGTCTCATTTGCGTCGTCCCCAGAGTTCGGATTTAATCTGGAACGCATTAAGATCCGACGAGGATGTTACCCGAGATCTCAAGGCCAAGCTTGACACCGCAATACAAGACGAGACAATCGCTACTCAAATTCTTGATGGCTTTCAGGATGTCGCAAAGAGTGGATATCTCCAGACGCACGCCAACTTCCCATTCGAGTGAGTCTGTTGAAGTATCGTGCGGAAACCATGTCACCAATGATCCTTGCTAGATATTACACTCAACTGACCTTCCAGTTGGAAGCTCGCTTGGAGACATACAAAAGCACTATTGATGTAAGCACACTCCCCTCTCTCTGCCCCACCGACGGTACCGATGTCCCTAGGTTATCGAGCGCAAACTCTCATCATTGGCTGAGCCTCATAAGAGGTCTCCCCAAGGTACGCTCTTCGCGCATGCTGCATAGAAGCTTTGCAGACGCTTACTGTTGGACATTAGCCATATCTAATACACTGAGGACTCAGCATGCCCTCTTCATGGCACTAGCGAGTCGCGCCGCTGAGTTGGATATTACGATGAAGCGTATTCGCCAAAATGCTACGGTTCAGTGGAGAGCGCAGACGGGTAGCGCAAGGGATCCTTTTGACCGAGGATTTGGCGCATCAATAGGTCCCAATGAGCCGCTGGGACAGAGTATTTTGAGAACCAGCCAGCTTCGCTGAGGAACGACTGTGGTCACAAACACTCGAGCGCTAATGCATGTGTGCCTAAAACAATACTAAGACAATATGTGGTGGAACTGGTACTTGTAGATTATCGAGTGACTGTACCAGCAGTGAAATTACGTAAAACATGCAGACTTCGCTTACGTGTTTTCTTCATACCCTTCTTCTTGCTACATACATCCCGTATCGCCTCCTCGATTCGGTGCCCTGATACCGAGGTGAGGAACACTTGGTTCTTACCGAAAGGTCATGTGCTTTGTGTGCCTATCCATAGTTATTTGTTGCACTCCGTCAAGCGTTACTTGCCAAGGTTGCATCTCTGCATTACACCCTATATCACTGTGTTTTGGTGAACACGTAGTTCGATGCCGTGCAGGCAGTGGCGAGCACTAGCATTGCCCTTGTTCGAATCAGACATTCGCGCGCGCAGGTTCGGTATTTCCCGAAGTCGGTCTCGGCGCCCATTTCGTTGGCAACGGTCAGATGCCTCTAAGCACGGCTCCCGTGAATGGCAGTATTTCAGGATTGCTCGAAATTGCAGCGTCGAGTCTTATCGTTGCGACGCTTACTGTCAGCGGTCTCACACAACTATTAACAGGCGCCCAGAGCTCCTGGCATCCTTTCCACCAGTTCATTAGTAGGTAATTCATGTCCCCTCGTCAAACCCAATTTGAAGTCTCCATTTGATTTATGATAGCTGTTGAGGACGTTGCTGCGGGAAGAGCGGAAGAGTGAATACTTCTGTCTGGTTGAACGTGGACTTTGTCCTAATCATTATTGATAGAGCCGAGGAAAGAATTAAACTTGCCCTTCTCGCCGGAAAGAATCCCAATGCCTTCGAATCCCGCGTCGAGAGGCCTGCTGAAGTTGCCGAAGCTACTGAATTCACTCCACCTCCTTCTCACCGTGACTGGCGAAATATCATGCTCGCTGTTGTTGGCTTTGTTGAGGCGTTGTCACGAACAGCCGTCCTCATTAACACCTTCACTGGGGCTGTTGGCGTCCGGTCGGTTTTTGTTTTGCTTTCTCCCATACTATTGCTTGTTGCCTGGATATACGGATCACTCTTACCTATCACGCGGCCGGTCTCGACTACTCCTTACACTCTACTTTTCATTGATCTCGCGTCTATCCTATCCGACTTCGCTGTGTTTTATCCAGCGACATCAGTCAATTTTGATTCGATGTCACGGAGCCAACAAATTGGGCTTGTCGCGCACATCATCGATTTCTTCCTCACCGGAGTTTGCATCGCTATTGCATTCTCCTTCCCCATGCATCTCAACGGGAAGCCAGAGGTGGATGAGGAAGGCCTTAAACCAGCTTTGGATGACTACGTCAATCTTTGGCAGTGGGTGACATTCAGTTGGATGAATCCTTTCATTTCTATTGGCAGGAAGGATACAGTGGAGGAGCATGATGTGTGGCAACTCAGTCATCTCCTGAGTTCTCGAATCTTAATGACCAAATTCCGCCATTTTCATCGTAAATCTCTTCTCCGGCGTATCGTCGCCGCCAACTTCCTGGACCTTTTCCTGGATTTCGCCCTTTCGGTACTGCAGGCATTTCAGTCGGCGCTCTTTGGTTAATTCTGTTCCTGATTAGGTTGTATCGTCGACTTTGGGTATCCTCCAACCGTACATATTGAGCCTGACACTGGCTGCTCTTCAAGCCGACGAAGTTTCCATCGATTCTTTCCCTTTTCACCAAGTCGCGCTTGCGATGCCTTCTGCCGTATACGTATTACCGTCAGGCATTCACTTTATGATTATGGCACCTATTATCAGCAACTCACCAACCCAAATATCATTTACACCCATCTCCAAGAATCGTCAACTCGCTTACTTTTATGCCATCGTTGCCTTCGTCTCTCAGCTTGTCAAAACCCAAAGTGATCTTCAGCATCTTTACTATTCTCATCGTGCCGAAATAAGAACTTATGGAGAACTTGTCGGTAGCATCTATGAGAAAGCGCTAATGAGGACGGATGTCATGGGTGTTGTTGCATCCGATCTGAAAGGAAACGGTGGGAAGGTTACGGACGATGCGCAGGATGACGCTGTCGCGAGCGCTGACGTCGGGAAAGTTGTGTCGCTTGTTGAGACTGACTCACAACATTGTGCGAGCGTCATGACTTTCATGGTCGTGAGTTGGCATTTTCCAGCGCATATTTACCCAAAGAAATTGATTTTACGTGTGGATTCTTCTGCACCACAGTACTGTTACGAAGCCCCAATAAATATGATCGGCTCGTGCATTTTACTGCAATCTTTGATGGGATGGACGGCATTCATTGGATTCTTCACTTTCCTTCTTGTCCTCCCTGTGAATTACATCCTCATGAAAACTATGTTCAATTTGCGCAAAACGCTTTTGGATGTGCGTGACAAGCGAATGAGGTCAGTCAAAGGAGAAGAGCAGAGATTCAGCATATTTCTCATGGGTTGCTTTCAGGGAAATGAACCAGGCAATCCAGGCTATCAAAGTACAATCGGTTTGTTGTGTGATGAACTCGTCTTGACGATGCTCCCATATAGTTTATCAAATTCTTTGCATGGGAAGCCAAATGGATGGAAAGGATTATGGATATGCGTAAGCGAGAAGTGTTCTGGCTGCGCAAGGTAGTGTTTCTCTTTGGTCTCAATAGTCCTGGACTCATGTTTTCCTATTAGTCCAAAATCTTGGGATTCTTCTTGACTTTCTTGTGGGATGTGGTCCCGCTTGTTGTTTGCATCATTAGCTTCACATTCTTCGTCCTTATTGGCCATGGCAAGCTGACAGTTGCCATTGCCTTCCCTGCTCTCCAAGCTCTATCAATACTTACGGAAAGTTTGACCATGGTAAGCATAATTAGGACAATTTTGTTGGCCAAGTGACTATTGTTTGTGTAGATCCCGATGCTGATGCAGTGGTTAGTCACTACATATGCCTCATACATTCGCATCGACAAATATCTAAACGAAGAAGAAGTCCCAAATTGGGTTTCTTGGCAATCGGCAGTCCGCACTCAGGAGTATGATCCTCATGCATCCTTCGATGACCGTGTTGGTTTCAAGGATGGCTTCCTCCGATGGGCATCCCATGACAAGGAAGAAGTGAAAGCTCCAAAACCTTCATTTATCAGTTGCTTCAGGAGCCTCTTCAAGTGTGCTCACAAGACTAATGGTGCACCAAATGCAAGGGTGGATGACATCAATGAAGAGGAGCAGCAGCCGAAAGACTTTGAGCTTAGGGGCTTGAACATCATTTTTAAGCGTGGTCAACTAAACCTTGTTTGTGGGCCAACTGGCTCTGGGAAAAGCTCTTGTATGTCTACCATAACATTCCCACATGTGTCTTATTTTCGTTTTATTGTTTCAGTGCTTTCGGCATTGTTGGGAGAGATGAAGTTGACATCAGGGAAGGTATTTCTGCCAAAAATCCCAGCTAGGATTGATCCAGAGACAGGAATACATGAGGATGTTAGCTATTGTGCCCAACAGCCCTGGCTCCAACATCGTGAGTGCTGTGGTTATTGCTGATGCTTTAGATTACTAATATATACTGTGGGTCAGAGTCCATTCGGGATAACATGTATGTTTTTGCTGTTCCCTTGGGTTTCCATGTGTCAATGACAAGTGTTACAACATAGATTGTTTGGGTTGGCCTGTGATGAGGAGCGCTATCAAGCTGTGATCAAGGCATGTGCCCTAACAACTGATCTTGCTCTGTTGGATGATGGAGGTGAGGAGCCCTTGTACAGCTGTCCCACATGATGTTCTCATCAATGTATCGCATTTCCAGATGCAACTGAAATCGGAGAAAAGGGTGTGTCCTTGAGTGGTGGACAGAAGGCCCGTGTAGCTCTTGCTCGTGCCGTGTATGCACGCAGCAAGACCATAATCCTAGATGATGTCTTGAGGTATGTGTGTTGCTGCCCAATCAAGCAGTTGCTGAATTATGGTTGGGTATGTTGGTGCACAAGTGCTGTTGATTCCCATACCGCTGAAAGGCTCATTCATGAGTGCCTTTGCGGTCCGCTTCTTGCCCATCGCACCATCATCATGGTTACACACCATGTGGATCTTATTGTTGATCTGGCAGCATGGGTTGTGCAACTTGAGGATGGGCTGGTAACTGCTCAGGATACTCCAGAGAATCTCAGAAAACAAAAGTTGCTGTCTGGGATTCGGGAGAAGTTGAAGAGGCGGGCAGAACTTGAGACAGCGATGAGTGTGCCTGCTGCCAATGATGACATTGGCAAAGATGGGCTGGAGATGAAAAATGGTTCAAGGAATGGAACAACAAGGAAACTTGTTGAAAAGGAGCAGAAAGCGGAGTATGTGATGTGGTGTTTTTTCTTTGATGGATTCTTATCGTGTCACGCGGATCTTCAGGGGACATGTCAAGCTTAGAATTTACCATATTTACCTAAAGGCATCATCATACTGGTTGATGTCACTCGAGGTTTTTCTGTTCCTTCTTAGAGCCTGTGGTGAGCTTTTCTCCTCGATGGCAATACTAGAATAAACTCAATAAAATATTTAAAGGTGAAGTTTCGCAAAGGTTCTGGATACGATGTAGGCTCTGAGCTACAAGTCCAAAAATCTCCATGACTAACATACATCACAGTTTGGGGTGAAAGCTACTATCGTGATGGCACCAACCCAGGATTTCCTCGTTTTCCTCGGCCTCAGGATGACGTTCTCCCATACTTGCTTGGTTATATTGGTTTAGGTCAGTCGTGTTATTGATGTGTCATCATTGAAGCGTATTGAGGGTACATTGCAGAGGTTGTTACTGGCACCTTTTCTATTTGTGCCAGCATTCCAAGCATATTCTCTTCGCTTCGTGCTTCCCACCGACTATACCGGACAATGCTTGTTTCCGTTCTCCAGTATGCAATGTTCTTAACCTGACACCACACAACGAAGTGACTCTGGCATATCATCAGTGCTCCAAGTCGTTGGTTCGACAAGACACCATCGGTAACTTAGTCTGGTCAATTTTAAAGCAATGGGTGCTCACTCATCGCGTTAGGGTCGAATCCTGAATAGATTCAGCAAAGGTTCGCGTTCGTCCTTTTGTGACCCGTTGCCACTGACAAAATTGCTCAGACATTGATACCATCGATACTGGTCTGCAGTCTTACATGACCGTGAGCAGCTACTATACCGTGGGTCCTGGTGTGGCAACTAATTGTTCCTTAACGTCAACGACAAGGTTGTGATTGAGTCCGTCCTTCGACTTCTACTAGGCATCCTCACTATCCTATGGGGAGTTCCAACATTTATTGCACCTCTGGCGGTCATCAGTGGGCTCATGTATTGGTTCACATCGGGATACATTTCCGTCTCGCGCGACCTGCAGCGTATTGAGTCGAACACTCGTTCACTAGTCATAGCATCTTTCTCCGAACTAGTGAGTGGACCCACCAAAACCACTGTACCATATTCAAAAGTGGATTATTTGCAGATTAATGGCATTCCCACTGTAAGGGCTTTTGGGGCCGAGAGATTCTTTGTCAACAATGTCTATACTCGTTTGGACCGCACCCAGGCAGCAGACTACTACTGTGAGCAACTCGCTAATCTATCCTCGCTGCCGTTTCATTGAGAGCTCGTTATCCTAGACTCGTGAGCTTCCACTTCATCTGCCTTCTTAGCCCTTAATATCTGCCCTAAATAAATTCAAGGATGTGTAATCGCTGGTGAGTACTCCGTTTCCTGTCAAGAGCCATCCAATGGGAACCGGTCTACTAGGCTATTGTTCCGCTTTGACTCCCTTGGGGCATGCATCACACTTACAGCTAGCCTAGTGAGCGATTTAAGTTTGAGGTCTTGAGGCTACGGAAATTGACATCCTTAAAAAACTCGACTTCTGTAGATCGCCATTTCTACAAACATCTCCCCTGGTATGGTGGGTATTGTGATATCTCAAGCACAAACCGTCATTTGGGGGATCTATTGGCTTCTTCGCTTCTACACAGAAATGGAACAGGTGTGTTTGCGCGCTACCTTCATGGGGAACTCTCTGAGTTGTGGGCTCTGATAGGCGCTCAACTCTGTGGAACGTGTCAGCGAATACATGGACATACCATCTGGTAGGCCTAGACCTTTTTGGAGGCTGACTGCAATTAAAATTATCGCCCAAGAACCACCTGCTATTCTGGAAAACAACCGACCTCCGGCGTACTGGCCATCAAGCACCGGGGGAGTTACTGTAGAGAATCTTGTTTTGAAGTATTCGCCTGAACTTGACCCTGTGCTCAATAATATTTCATTTGAAGTCCGACCTTCTGAGAAGATCGGTGTTGTTGGTAGAACTGGTAGTGGGAAGAGCACCCTTGCCCTTGCGTTCTTCCGTTTCGTCGATCCTGAGCAGGGAAGGATTGTTATTGATGGGATTGACATTACCAGCATTGGGCTGGAGGACTTGCGTTCCCGTCTGACAATCATTCCTCAAGGTCTGTCGTAGCGATCAGCACTCTACTTTCCTGACATTATTTCGGTATTGTTTTAGATGCCGTTCTATTTTCTGGAACGATTCGGGAGAATCTTGTGCGTGAAACGGTTTGGCGATCTGGACACATTAACCTAGATCCGAGATACCAGGATCCTTTCAACGAACACTCAGACGAAGATTGCTTGGGTGCTCTGCGGAGGGTTCAGCTTCGGACATCGGTGTCGACCAGTTCGGTAGCTGTTTCTTCGGCTGCCAATACTCGCTCAGGAACTCCCAGCGCCGACGGTGGGCCGACGGAGTCGGCAACAGCAACAAGGGAGTCTGGCGTTAGCACATTTGTTGAAGGGGGCACAAAGATCATTATCACCTTGGATACAAAAGTCAGCGAAGGCGGTAATAACTTTAGCAGTGGACAACGTCAGCTCATTGCAATGGCACGAGCGTAAGTGAAACGAATACAGGTGTCAGTAGTCACTGATGACTACGGATGTTTCCAGTTTGCTTCGACGCAGCACATTTGTTGTGATGGACGAGAGTACTGCCTCTGTGGATTTTGCCACCGATGTCAGGTGGGTGACATCTATGGTTCCTGACTTGAACGCGGCTGACCTCATGTTCAGAATCCAAGAGGCAATTCGCGAAGAGTTTAAGGACAGCATACTGATCACTATCGCTCATCGTTTGCGGACAGTTATTGGTGAAGTCATCGTGTAGCTGAACGTTCGGTCGTAAGGCACTGACTGATACTCTTAGATTATGATCGCATTATGGTCATAGAAGCAGGTCAAAGTAAGATCCACTTCAAAAAATGGGTAATAGATGATCACGCCCCGCCTTCAGTTGCCGAATTCGACAGCCCCAAAAACCTGCTGAAGAATGGAAATGGGATCTTCTACTCAATGTGTAAGAAGACCGGCGATTTTGAAGAACTACAAGCAATAGCGGAAAAGCGAACTAATTGATCTGAGTGTTATGGGAAATTGTATATGAAAGAATCTGACAGACCTTCATGCATTCTTCGTCTCACTGGATGTAGTGTGACCAGAAGAATCATTATTTTTTCCATTGCCGCACGGCAGGCGCATGTTTTAAATACTGTAGTGCAGCTTTCGCTCTTCCGTTACCTCTTCCAGTTCAATAGTGATACAGTGATACGGCTGAGGTGACGACGTGCACTTAGTTCCCTGCCATGATTCTTGATGACCAGTCAGCATTATACTACAGTTATTCATTGTACTCCCTATATGCAGTCAAATCAACGGCACCAGAGAAAAAAAAAAGGGATCAATGACTCCCATATTGCGGGATAGCCATGATAGGCGAAAAATTGCATAGGGCGCTATATGACGACGTCAGATGGATGTCTTTAGTAAAAGGCGAAAGACATGTGCCTGATCCAACGTCATCGCGCCTCGAAGTTAGAGCATAGGTTGAAATGGGTCGGCGTCCGCGAAGATCATTTTCAATTGAGTTGTGGGACGTGCGGCCAGTGAGAAGCCAATGCGTGGGAAAGGATGGGGTCATCCGTCATCCACCTGGCTCACTATGTTAAAGTGGCACAACCGAGCTAGGTCAGATCTGAGCACGATACCACAATACGTTAGATATCGTGCCCCCTCGCGGCTTAAATACATCGGAATCGTGTGGCAAATAGAGAGAGGAAAAGCTATACAATAAAGGACCAGTAGACGAAATGTATACCGACAAAAAGAACAATGCTAGTCTGTAAGAGTGATCAACGTCATTTTCCGAAACACAGAGATGATGGTTGAGGTTACGCAGTAAGAAACTTGTTGAGGCGAACAATCGAGGTTATTCCTAGTCCAAAATTAAATCGGATGTTGGAAGACAAACGATGTGAATGGACGGGGATGGGATCGAGCTGAGAATGCAGGAGTAAAGAAATTTGAGATTGGAGAGATACAGCCATGGAATGGGGAGGGAGAGATGTTTTAAACAACAACGGGGTGACGTGATTGGATTAGTTTTGTGACGGACACACAGAAACCATATGTTACGCGCTGGGATCGATGCAAGTCGTTCACAAATGACTCCGCAGAGCAAAGAAGCGCACAAGAGCAGCAAAGTTACATGCATTCTTTCAAACCGTTTAACACAACACTCGGGTGACACATACTTTTCCATGAGCCGAGCACGATCTATGCACTTCATACCCATCAACGTGAAAAAGCGGTTAAACACAGAGAAAAAATAATCAATCGCGCCAGCATCTGCAGGGCGGAAGACCTGAATACACTCGACATTCTTAAAGTAAGATCCAGCACTTACAGAATCCAATATCCCTCTTCTACGCGAGCCTCGACGTTCCCGAATGCAACAAGGGCTCCCTCTAAAGAAGATACCTAATCAGAGGCAAAGATTATCAAGGAACTGAGCAAGCTTACCCAAGTGAGGTGCTGTCTTCCCTGGGACACTGATACCGTCAATGACTGCTATAGCGTGGTGCAATCTCTCGCCGCTCTCCTCGTATCCACCATCTACGGGTCTTCGTCCTTGTGGGATATGTCCATAGGAGGCAGGGACCCATTCATGGTCCTCCGTGACAGGTAAAAGGTCATACCTGTGAAAAGACAGGATGAAGCCGATGACGGATCGTTATATAAGGAGATAATGCTGACCTTCCATAATGGCCGTATTCAATTCCCCCATATGGAACTCGGACAAGAGGATCGAGATGAGGTCCAAGCTTACAAGGATGAACACTCTTTTCCAGTATAGCCGAGCCGACCCAGACGCCTTGGCCTCCAGCGTCGCGGAACGGAGGTGGGCCACTAATGTTGGGAGCTGGAAAGGGTGAGTTCGTTTCCGTTTGATAACGACGTCCCTGTGGCGGGACTGAGCCGATATGAGATCCACTTCCACCTGGTGCTATCGGGTGTAGTGGACTCCCAGTGGCGCCTTCGTAGTGTTGGTGTCCTTCTGACGTGTACATATTGTGAGGCGCGTGTCGGGAGTGATCGTACGAGTAGTGAGGCGTTAATAAGGAAGCTGAAGCTGCTGCCGCTGCTGCAGTGTGCGGTGCAGGAAATTCAGGGTGTAGGCGATTGAGCTGGCAAGAAGACGGCTGTGGACTGGGTGTCCTCGATGGATGTGGGCGATGGGAATGACAAGGCTGCGGGCTGGGTGTCCTCGATGATTTGTGGTGTTTCTTTTCCTTTTTGTGCTTCTTGACTTTGTAGTAAGAAGGCTCCGATCCGCTTTCACTGTCTGATGACCCCATGGATGCAGGTGAGCAGTGCGATAGTGGGAGGATGGGGTTTAGATGGGGTTTATCTACCTTACTGAAGCTGTGCAAGTTACAGGGTTCGTGACAGGGTGTGACAAGACTGAATGCTCGTTGTTGCCAAGACAGCACGATTCCAGATCGATATTCGCTCACCCAGCGACCCAGCGTCTCTTGGTCCGGCCAAAGCACAGCCAGGGGGTGCTAAGGGATTCGATTTCCTGATGCGGCTTGTCAACATGGACACTGGGACCGGTGGATCGAGCGTGCATCAGATATACAACTTTCCAAGGGGGATAAGCATTTCCAAAACGTTATCTCGATGGCCAAGTGACTTCGAAAACCAACGCCATAACGAAGATGACATAAAGGTATATCAGGACATTCACGAGGATGAGATGGGTGGAGTGGAGGAGGACATTGATGGGTATGGAATCGCAGGCAAGTTATGGTGGGTTGAGTATACACTATCGCATTTTGAGCCCTCATTGTTTGCGTAGAATAGGGAGGCAGCCATCGATTTAGGGACCTACATGCGACCCTCGTCCAAGGTTGAAATGGATCCGCCATGCTCTTTCACTTCACGGAATGAGAAGAGCTCGAGGACTGTGTTGGAGCTTGGTGCGGTGAATTTTTCTCAATTTTAGTCGCGGCCTTTGATCTGACTCAGACATGCATCTCTTAGGGTACTGGCGCAGCTGGCTTATTTGCTGCTGCGAACATGGACTCGGAAACGGGGGATCTTGTCATCCTCACTGATCTCGAGGAAGTTGTGCCTCTATTGAAAAAGAACATGCAGTTCGATTTGGATCGACGAAAGACAAAGGGACTGAAAAGGGCTGAGGTATGGGCGAGGGCGGTTCCATGGGGCGACAAGGCTAGCTGGGAGGGGCTGCGTGATGAGTTGGGTGTGTCTTTGGTAGGGCCAGAAGGTGGAAGGGAAGTGACGCATATACTTTGCAGCGACGTGGTGAGTGATTCCCTTTTCCGGGCTGATGATCCTCGGTTGGTCGGCTTTTCCGCTGAATTCTCATTTATATCTACTCTCACTCAGGTTTATTTTCCGGCGTTGCTTGCACCTTTACTTCGGACACTGATATGGATCACCGAAGACTTTAAGGGTGCTGAAATACTTATCTCGTGTGGGTTATTGTGCTTGGTATGCCTGGCACGCAATTTTTTTTTTTCATCTTTTTCTGCTCAGGCCGTATACGGGAGATGGCAAAAGAGGCACCATTCTGGCACGCATTTGGAGCATGGTTCGCGTTCGAACCCGTTATCTGGCGAAGCACGGATTCTAATATCGGGGACGGTGTATGGAAAAGATTTGGTGCCCAAGATGAGACCCGAATATTTGTTGGGCATCGGAGAGCCGAAACGTTGGGGAGGAATAACAAAATTGGGAACATGAGTGACATAGATCTATTGACAACCTGGAGGCATGAGAGTTTTGAGATGATATTGCTGATGGAGATGGAAGCGGATTAGTGATAGGGTACGTTGTTCATCAAGCGCAGTGTAGGGGGGGTTCAGGGAAGAATATCGGATTGAATGTTGCAGGAGCTCGGAAATTTTCCTAAATTGGGCTTGTATTGTGAATTAGGCGCTCCATAAGAAAGATGTGCTAAATGCGTGTCCGGGAAGATATAGCAGGGACGGGGAAAGCACGTGTGGGTTATCTGACCTACCCCTTGCCGGCAACAATTGATAGCATGATTTCGCACTGGGGCCACAAGTGACCTCATGTGTATTGTATTGCAAAGCCTGTGGGATTTATGCTCGACTTGTTTGGGACCACCCCAACGGCTGCAGCGGTGTTCGGTGCCGTGAGGAGCGACAAAACCGCGGGGTGATTGAGCATTGGACAACGCACACAACAGAGTTTTTACGATTTATTTTGGCTGATAATAACTGCTTCTCAGCAATCGGCTCGTCGCCGGAAACAAATTCATTGGGGTTCGTGTCAACTCCCCAGAGAGTTTCAATTCAATAAGCCGTGATTGAATAGAGAGCTCAAAGGTTCAAAATCCCAGTTGGATTTGACTTTCTTTCCCTTCTCTTCACTCTCATCCGCCATCCTTTGTCTGCTCTTAGAGGTTGGGAAGCGACCACCATGAGCGTCACTTTTACCAATGGTGGTGACCAGAAAGGCGATGACACTATTCTTCTACGACCACTCATCTTGCAAAGGGGTTCCACAAGGGTGCGTATTTGGCGCCCAATTTAACGCGTTCATTTTTATCATCACAACACTTACTGTATGTTGTCGTGCTTGTTTACATTCGTCTAGGTGGCTCTCCCTGTCACTACTGCTGCAAACACATGGATCGCAGCAGAAGTCTTGCGCGACGCTTTCATTCATTCCGTCCAGGGTCAAGAGGACCTCCCTGCCGACGACGATACTCAAAGCTCCAGCAACGAATTAATCTTTACTGCCAAATTTCTTGGCTTCCTCTCTCGGAGCATCAACAGTTCCTCAGCATCACATCTCGCTGTTTTGCGCTCGGCGCTAGAATATTTCACGTCGTCCCATCTCGCATCGTCCGACATCCATACCCTTGCTGCTTCTTTTGATCCCGACAATCGTAAGGCACTGCTTACAAATTATTTTGCTGCGTTAGCGCTCTTAGAAGCCCACTCCAATGATGTCCCGCGTGCCCCCCCATCTGCCCTCTTCGAGGCCGCTAAGCAAGGAAGGGCCAACATTTATGGTCTTTTCGGCGGTCAAGGCACGAATGAAGTTTATTTTGACGAATTACAGAACCTTTATGACATCTACAAGCCTTATGTGCAAGATCTTATTTCTGCCATCTCCGAATTAGTCCTTGTCCCAGCAGCAGAAAAGGCCACGGATGAAGGGATTAATTACTACGCTCACGGATTAGACGTCCTTTCGTGGCTTGAAGGCAAAGCGCCTCTACCTCCCTTAGACTATCTTGCATCCGTTCCAATTTCCTTCCCCCTCATCGGCCTTACCCAACTCGTGCAATATCTTGTCACTGCTCGTGTTTCGGGGCTTGAACCAGGCGATCTTCGGGCTCTTATCGCAGGCGCTACCGGCCATTCTCAGGGTGTCGTTTCCGCAGTCGCAATTTCCGCCTCAACTACGCTCGCCTCGTTCACGGGAAACGCGTCCAAAGCCGTCAAGTGGCTTTTCTATAGTGGTCTTCGTGGTCAGGAGGCATTTCCCGTCCTCAGTGTCGATCCAAAGATTGTCGGTGACACAGTTGAGGGTGGCGAAGGGACCCCGGCTCCTATGTTGGCTGTTTCGGGTCTTGATCGTAAACAACTCGAGAAGCATATCGATGCGACAAATAAACATCTGCCTGAGAACTCTCAGCTTTCCATCAGCTTAAACAATGGGACGAAGGCCTTTGTCGTCACCGGTCCCGCTAGGGCTCTCTTCGGTCTAGTAGTAGCGTTGAGGAAAATCCGTGCTCCTTCGGGTACGGATCAAAGCAAGGTTCCGTTTAGTCAGCGCAAGGTTGTGTTTTCTATGCGGTTCTTGGTCGTTGGTGTGCCGTATCACAGCCGCTACCTTGCCAGTGCGACAGATAAGGTTGTGCGGGACCTTGAGGGGGAGCTCTGGACCGCTGATGAATTAGCCGTCCCCGTTTATCACACTGAGGATGGTAGGATTTCCTTTCATCTCTTTCTTCAATCCCTGTACTTATCGCTGAAACTCTGATAGGTTCTGACCTTCGTGAGCTCAAGACGTCGCTCACTCGCTCGTTACTTGATCAAATCTTCACACTCCCCATCTTCTGGCAGAAGGCCACGAATTTCCCTTCAGATGCTACCCATGCTTTGGACTTTGGTCCTGGTGGCCTCAGCGGCATTGGTCCGCTTACTGGGAGGAACCTCGAAGGGCGAGGCGTCCGTGTACTCGTCCTTGGCGAGAAGGGCAGGAACGGTGCCGAGGTTTATGATGCGAGCGGTGTCAAGTACGAGGATTGGTGGAGCAAGAAGTGGACACCCAAGCTTGTTAAGACCAGGTATGCTCATTGATTGTCTTCATTGATCGCTTCTGAGCATGGTGCCCCTCCCAGCACTGGTCAAATCTTCATCGATTCTCCATTTTCTCGCCTTCTCGGAAAGCCTCCGATTATGGTCGCCGGTATGACCCCTTCCACTGTCAAGGCAGGCTTCGTTTCTGCCATCCTCAGCGCAGGCTACCACGTCGAACTTGCTGGAGGAGGTCATTACAATGCTGCTGCTGTTCGCGCTAAGGTTGCCGAAATCCAATCTAACATCCCCCCTGGCGTTGGTATCACTTTGAATTCTTTATACATCAACCCCCGCCAGTTTGGATTCCAATTCCCTCTATGGCAGGAGCTGAAGCGCGAAGGTTTGCCCATTGAAGGTTTCTGCGTTGCTGCGGGTATTCCTAGCACTGAGAAAGCCGCTGAGATCATTGATGCACTTCGCGCCGCTGGTATCAAGCATGTTGCTTTCAAACCTGGTTCCGTTGAGGGCATCAGACAGGTTGTAGCCATCGCTGCTTCCAATCCTGATTTCCCTATCATTCTGCAGTGGACCGGCGGTCGTGCAGGTGGGCACCACTCCTATGAGGACTTCCATCAGCCTATCCTTGCGACATATGGTGCCATTCGTCAGCAACACAACATTTCGCTTATCGCTGGTTCCGGTTTCGGAGACGCTGAGGGTACATGGCCGTATATCACCGGTGATTGGTCCGTGGAAGGGTATGGCGTCCAGCCAATGCCTTTCGATGGTATTCTCTTCGCTTCGTGGGTTATGATAGCCAAAGAGGCGCACACATCCGATTCTGTTAAGGAGCTTATTGTTAAAGCTTCGGGCGTCACTGATGCCCAATGGGAAGGGACGTACCAGAAGGAGACCGGTGGCATCCTTACTGTGCAGTCCGAGCTCGGGGAACCGATTCACAAGATTGCGACTCGTGCCGTTAGGCTTTGGAAAGAGTTTGATAATTCTGTGTTCAAGTTGCCAAAGGAGAAGCGTGCGGCGTGGCTAAAGCAGAATGAGGATTCTGTCATCGAGAAGCTTAATCGCGACTTCAACAAACCTTGGTTTGCGCAAAAGAAAGATGGGGAGGTCGTGAAGGATCTTGGGGATCTGACGTATGAGGAGACAGTCCTTCGGCTCGTTCGTCTGATGTACGTTGAGCATCAGAAGAGGTGGATTGACCTTACGCTTCGAAATCTCCTGGGAGACTGGTTACGTCGTGTCGAGGAGCGATTCGCGGGTGTCAATGGCAAGCCGAAAAGATCGATTCTGCAAAGTTATTCGTCGCTCGATGAGCCCGAGGCTTTCTTGAAGACGTTCTTTGGGATATATCCGGAATCTCAAGAGCAGTTACTTGCTGCTGAGGATAAAGCCTTTTTCTTGTCGATTGCCCAACGGCCTGGTCAGAAGCCAGTACCTTTCATTCCTGTTCTCGACGCTGGATTCGAAGTCTGGTTCAAGAAGGTGCGTACTCTGGCTTTTCTTTTGCCCGTACCGGGGTATGTTCCTAACTCTGCCGCTCTCAGGACTCTCTTTGGGCAGCGGAAGACATAGATGCCGTCTTCGATCAAGATCCTCAACGTGTCTGCATTCTCCAGGGTCCCGTTGCCGTCAAGCATGCCAAGGTCGCTAATGTCCCTATCAAGGATATGCTTGGTGGTGTTCAAGATGCCCTCATCAAGAAGCTCCTCGATCGTTATTACGGTGGTGACGAGAGCAAGATCCCTACTGTCGATTATATTGGTGCCTCACCTGCGAAAGTGAACCCTACCCTTGCGGATGCGTACGAAATTGAAGTCACATCAACAAAGGATGTGATTACGTATAAGATTGGGTCGGTTGTGCCTCCAACAGAGGAGTGGCTCGAGAATCTTGCTGGACCTGAGGTGACCTGGCTTCGTGCCTTCCTTCGATCCACCAACGTCGTTCAGGGTTCGGGCTACCTCGCCAATCCTCTTAAACGCCTTTTCTCTCCCCGCCCCCATCAAACAATCACTGTGAACTACTCTTCCGGTATTCCGGTCGCCTTCTCTGTTCGTGGTGCAGCCCGTTCGTTTGGCACGCACAAGCCGGAATTTGAAGCGGTCAGTGTGAAGTATGATCCCACTTCCCGATACATTGCCGTCACCATTTATGAGGATCGTATGGATACCTCTGTCCCTCTCCACTTCGCTTTCATCTACCGCCCCGATCAAGGGTATTCACCTATCCATGAGGTTGTGGAAGGTCGCAACAAGCGCATCAAAGAGTTCTACTGGAAGTTATGGTTTGGCGACGATGAAATTTTGCCGGATATTAACATTCGTGATAAGTTTGTCGGCCCTGAGGTTACGATTGATGCGGCGACTGTTGAGCGATTCTGCTCGGTCATCGGAAATCAAGGTGAATCGTTCAAGGCTGCTCGATCTGCGGAGGTTGAAGCTCCTTTGGACTTTGCCATTGTTACCGGGTGGAAGGTCAGCCTTTATGATTTTACTTTTGGTACGTACGACTGACATTCGTGTTGTAGGCTATCATGCAAGCTATCTTCCCTGATGCTGTGGACGGCGACCTATTGAAGCTCGTTCACTTGTCTAACGGCTTCCGGGTCCTTAACTCGGCTCGCTCTTTCGGAGCCGGCGATGTCTGCCATGCCGAAGCTCGGATTGCATCGGTTGCTAACAGCGACAGTGGTAAGACGGTCAAAGTCGTCGGTCAGGTTATTCGCGAAGGTGTGCCAGTGATAGAGGTGAACTCCGCCTTCTTGTACCGTGGACGTTTCTACGACTATGAGAATACGTTCGAGATTGTCGATGAGCCTGACTATGTCGTTAGCGTCAAAGACGCTCCTGCCGTTGGGATTCTCATGTCAAAGGAATGGTTTGACTGGGAAGATGGCGCGAAACCGCTCCTTCCGGGAACTAATCTCATCTTCCGCGTGCAAACTGAGATTTCTTACAAGGACAAGGCCAGATTCTCGGCTGTCTCTGTCGTTGGACGTGTTTACGTCCGCGATCAACTTAAAACGCTCATTCCCGTTGCCTCGGTTGATTACTCTGCCGGCGTATCACTTGGCAATCCCGTTGTCTCCTATCTCCAGAGGCACGGCGAGGTTCAAGGGCAGCCTGTGCTTTTCGAGAACTCGTACACTCTCACCAGTTCTAAAGTCCCCTCCATTTACGTTGCGCCCGCCTCGAATGAGCCTTATTCCAAAGTTTCAGGCGATTTCAATCCTATTCATGTCAACCCTTACTTTTCTGCTTATGCTTCTCTTCCTGGAACCATCACGCATGGTATGTGGTCTAGTGCCGCTACCCGAAAGTACGTCGAATCCGTTGTCGCTGAGGGCCACCCCGAGCGCGTCATTTCGTACGACGTCGGTTTCGTGGGTATGGTTCTCCCAGGTGACGAAGTTTCCGTCAAGTTATCCCACATTGGCATGAAGGCTGGCAACATGGTCGTCAAGGTCGAAACCACCAACCAGCACGGCGAGAAAGTTATTGAGGGTTCTGCCGAGGTTGCTCAGCCCCCTACCGCGTATGTCTTCACCGGCCAGGGTTCGCAGGAGCCTGGGATGGGTATGGATCTTTACAAATCGTCCCCTGCTGCTCGTGCTGTTTGGGATAGTGCCGATGAGCACTTGCTTGCAGTTTATGGGTTCTCTATCATCGAACTCGTCAAGGGGAATCCGAAGGAGAAGACGATTCACTTTGGTGGTATTAAAGGTCAGGCTATTCGTCAACGTTACATGGATATGTCGTACGATGTGATGGACAAGGACGGCAACGTCAAGACACTCCCTCTCTTTCCGGACATCAACCTTCGTACCCCGAAATACACCTTCAATCACCCCACCGGTCTTCTTTTCGCCACCCAGTTTGCTCAAATTGCCCTCGTCGTTACTGAGAAAGCCGCCTTTGACGATATGAAATCGAAGGGTCTCGTCCAAGCCAACTGCGCCTTCGCTGGGCACTCTCTTGGAGAGTACTCTGCTCTCGCATCGATCGCTGATGTCCTCCCTATTTCGTCCCTTGTTGACGTTGTCTTTTACCGTGGCATTACGATGCAGCGTGCCGTCGAGCGTGATGCTCAGAATAGGTCGAATTATGCCATGTGTGCCGTTAACCCGAGCCGCATTTCCAAGACGTTCAATGAGCCTGCTCTACAAGAGGTTGTCGATGTTGTTGGTCGTCGCAGCGGAGTTCTCTTGCAGATTGTGAATTACAATGTTGAGGTTAGTTTGTCAAGATTTGAAGTCAGTAATAATTACTAACCCATACACAAAGGGCTCGCAATATGTCTGCGCTGGCGACCTGCTGGCCCTTCAAGCACTTACCAATGTTCTTAATTATCTCAAGAAAGAGAATGTGGACATCGAGAAGGTATGTGATGCGTCGTCGTTCATTATCCAAATTTTGACTCCCTTCACAGCTTGCCAAGACTCTTGGTGTCGAGAAGGTAAAAGAAATGCTTCAGGATATCGTCGACAATTGCGTCGATTTGGCCAAGAAGAAGCAGGTGGCGGAAGGCCATATCACACTGGAACGTGGATTCGCCACGATTCCACTTCCCGGTATCGACGTGCCTTTCCACTCTCGTTATTTATGGGCTGGCGTCATGCCCTTCCGCGCATGTATGTTGTGCTTTCCGTCCTTTGTTTTGCCCACCTCTAACTCTGTCGTAGATCTCTCGAAGAAAATCAATCCCGCCCACCTTAATCCAGATCTCCTCGTTGGGAAATACATCCCCAACCTCATCGCCAAGCCATTCCAGGTCACAAAAGAGTATGCCCAACTCATTTACGATCAAACCTCTTCTCCCCGCCTCGACAAAGTTCTGAAGAACTGGGAGCGTGAACACTGGGCCAGTGTCGAACAACGCCAAAAACTTGCATACACGGTTCTCGTCGAGCTCCTCGCTTACCAGTTTGCTTCTCCGGTTCGCTGGATCGAAACGCAGGACCTTCTCTTTGGCCATTTCACCTTCGAGCGTTTGATTGAACTTGGCCCTGGTCCCACACTTACCGGCATGGCTGCCCGTACCCTTAAGGCGAAATACGAGGCTTCTGATGACTCAGTCGGCCGTACTCGTGTCATTTACTGCCATGCGAAAAATCCCAAAGAGATTTACTATCAATTCGAGGACGAGGCCTCTCCCGAACCCGCTCCAGATGCGGCAGCGCCCGCCCCTGTATCTGCTCCAGTTGCCGCGACCCCTGCGTCAGTCGCTGCCCCTGCTCCTATTGCTGCTCCTCCAGCTGGCGGGGCTGCAGCTGTTGCCGATGAGCCCCTCAAAGCAGTTGATACTCTTCGTGTCATCATTGCCCAGAAGCTCAAGAAGAAATTTGACGAGGTTCCTCTCTCTAAGTCCATCAAGGATCTCGTCGGTGGCAAGTCAACTCTTCAGAACGAGATACTCGGTGACCTCAACCTCGAATTTTCTTCCGCTCCCGAAAAGGCTGAGGAGCTTCCCCTCGATGAGCTCGGATCGTCGCTTGGCGGCAATTATTCTGGGCAACTCGGCAAGCACACCAACAGTCTCATCTCGCGTATGATCGGTGCCAAGATGCCTGGTGGCTTTAATTTGACTGCAGTGAAAGCATACCTCAATAAGACCTGGGGGCTTGGACCATCACGCTCCGATGGTGTGCTTCTCCTCGGTCTCACGGTTGAGCCTGCTTCGCGTCTTGGTTCCGAGGCGGATGCAAAGTCATGGTTGGATGGCGTTGTCGCTACGTATGCTCAAACTGCGGGCATCTCGTTGTCTTCTGGTAGCGCTGGTGGCACAGCAGGAGGCAGTGGAGGAGCCGTGATCAATAGTGAGGAGTTCATCAAATTCCAGGCTGAGCAACATGAGTTCGCGCGTCGTCAAATTGAATTGTACATGCGATATTTGGACGTGGACTCTCGGGAAGATGCTCGCCGAGCTGACAACACCAAAGTAGATGCAGATGCCCTCCAGGCGAAGCTTGATGCCATCGACAAGGAGCACGGTGACACCTATATCAGAGGCATCATGCCTGCTTTCGAGCCCCTTAAAGCCCGGCACTTCGACTCTTCATGGAATTGGGCTCGTCAAGAAGCCCTCATCTTATGGTACGATATCCTTCACGGTCGCATCTCCACGGTCGATCGCGACATCACTGCCCGGTGCATCACCATCATCAATCGTGCGGATGATACTTTACTGCGTTACATGCAGTACTACGTTGACAGATGTGATCCTTCTCGTGGCGAGACTTATCGTCTTGGTAAGGAGTTCGGTCAGCAGTTGATTGACAATTGCCGCGAGGCGTTAGGCAAAGCTCCACTGTACAAAGATGGTAAGTGGAACTAACATTGTCCATTGACCAGTTGATCTTGACTGCTTCTCCTTTAGTCACGTTCCCCACCGCTCCTCACACCGAGGTTACCGAGAGGGGAGATATCGTTTACAAGGAGGTAGTTCGAGAAGGTGTGCGTAAACTTGAGGCTTATGTTGACGAGATGGCTACCGGCGGTGGCCCTTCTTCTGCCGTTAACATCCAGAAGGTGCAGGAGGATGTTCTTAAGCTTTGGAATCTCGTGAAGTCACAACCCGAGATTAGCCAGGAACAGAAGAATAGAATCAAAGCGCTGTACGATGGCGTTGTCAGGTCATTGAAGAAGGGGCCGAGTGACACTCGTCCTCGGGCAGTCCCTCGCACTCGCCGTTCCTCTTCGCAATTCCTTCGTCCCCAGATCACTACCCCCCCACTAGCCTCTCTGATGACAACACCCCTCTCCTCCATCTCAAACGGAAATCTGGCCCCAACTGGGAGTATTCCAGCAACCTGACCAGCGTATATCTCGATGTCTTGAATGAAATCGCTACTTCGGGAACGACGTTTAAGGACAAGAACGCTCTGCTAACTGGTGTCGGGAAAGGTTCCATTGGCGTCGAGGTCTTGAAGGGGCTTCTCTCTGGTGGTGCTCACGTCGTCATCACCACCTCACGGTACAGTCGTCAGACTGTTGAGTACTACCAAGGGATCTATCAAGCATTCGGCAGCCGCGGTTCCGCCCTTACCGTTGTTCCCTTCAATCAAGGGTCTAAGCAGGATGTGGAGGCGTTGGTTGATTACGTCTATTCCACATTAAACCTTGATCTTGATTACATCCTTCCTTTCGCTGCCATTCCGGAGAACGGACGTGAGATCGATGGGCTGGATGATAAATCTGAGCTGGCACATCGTCTCATGCTTGTCAATCTCCTGCGCCTTATGGGTGCCGTTAAAGTCAAAAAGGCCAACCGAAACTTCGTCACCCGTCCGACGCAAGTCGTTCTTCCTCTCTCTCCCAACCATGGTCTCTTCGGCAATGATGGTCTCTACTCTGAGTCAAAGATTTCCCTCGAGACATTATTCTCTCGCTGGAGTTCAGAGAGCTGGGGTGAATATCTCGGTCTTGTCGGGGCTGTGATCGGGTAAGTAATTTGATCATTCTCATGTTTGGAGTGTCCTCCTTACTTCCCACTCTTGCTTAGGTGGACGCGCGGGACAGGTCTCATGTCAGCTTCGAACACTGTCGCAGCTCAGCTCGAGAGCTTCGGCGTTCGTACCTTCTCTGCCAAGGAAATGGCGTTCAACATCCTAGGTCTCATGCATCCCCTCCTCTTCAGCGTCACCCAAGTTGAGCCCATCTGGGCTGATCTCAATGGAGGAATGGATCGTCTTTCGGACCTCGCCGAAATTACCACCAAAATTCGCAATGATCTCAATGCTGAAGCTAGCCTGCGGCGCGCCATCACTCGTGATAACTCTGCCGACTACAAAGCTATCAATGGATCGAATGCCGATGACGCACTTCAGAGCGTCCCAGTCACCCCTCGCGCCAACTTCAAATTCGAGTTCCCGAAACTCGAAACTCCGGAATCTTTGACCGACCTCTCCAAACTTCAGGGCATTCTTGACCTTGATAAGGTTATTGTCGTCACCGGCTTTGCTGAAGTCGGCCCTTGGGGTTCTTCCCGTACTCGCTGGGAGATCGAAGCCCGAGGAGAGTTTACAATCGAAGGCTGTATCGAAATGGCGTGGCTCACTGGACACATCAAACACTTCGATGGCAAGCTCAAGAGCGGTAGCCTGTATGTTGGCTGGGTGGATGCCAAGACCGGAGAGCCGGTAGATGACAAAGACGTCAAGTCAAAGTACGAGAAAGAAATCCTTGCCCACTCTGGCATACGCCTCGTCGGTATGAGATGCACCACCTTTTGAGCCCCCTTACATTCTGACGATGTGCCGTAGAGCCCGAACTGTTCAAGGGTTACGATCCTAACAAGAAAGGCTTCAACCAGGAGGTCGAACTGACGCACGATCTTGAACCACTGGAGGTCTCGGAAGAGCAAGCTCAGAATTTCAAGCGTCAACACGGCGATAAATGTGACGCATGGGCGCAGCCTACGGGTGAATGGTTCGTGCGTTTCAAAAAGGGCGCTCGCATCCTTGTTCCGAAGGCAGTGGCCTTCAGCCGCCTTGTGGCGGGCCAGATTCCAACGGGCTGGCACGCTGGACGCTACGGAATTCCTGACGACATTATCGCGCAAACGGACCGCACGGCATTGTGGGCTCTCACTTGTACCGCAGAAGCTTTGATCATGTCTGGTGTTACGGATCCTTACGAACTTTACAAGCACATCCACCCCTCCGAAGTCGGTACTTCTTTGGGGAGTGGTATGGGTGGTATGGAAAGTTTGTCGGCCATGTTCAGGGATCGTCGTGAAGAAAAGGATGTTCAGAAAGATATCCTACAAGAAACGTGAGTCCAGTCGTTCTTGATCCCTACAATGTCTGAGATGACTTTCTTAGTTTCATCAACACTGTCGCTGGCTGGGTCAATCTTCTCCTTCTCTCGTCCAGTGGACCAGTCAAGATTCCTGTTGGTGCTTGGTGAGACCATTCTGAGCTCTCCTGGCACTTCCCCTTTGACATTAGTATTCCAGCGCTACTGCTCTTCAATCTCTGGAGATTGCGAGTGACACCATTATTTCTGGAAAGGCCAAGGTTATGATTGCTGGGGGCTTCGATGATTTCAGTGAGGAGGGCTCATTCGAGTTTGCTAACATGGGAGCGACATCAGACTCGAAGACTGAATTTGCTATGGGACGCGAACCAAATGAAATGTCTCGTCCGACGAGCAGCACTCGTGCGGGTTTCATGGAAGCACAAGGATGTGGTGTTCACGTGCTCATGAGTGCCAGAACCGCACTTGAGATTGGTGCTACCATCCGCGGGGTCGTTGCTTTCACCTCAACTTCGACCGATAAAGCTGGACGCTCCGTCCCCGCACCTGGCAAAGGTGTGCTCACCATTGGGCGGCAGGTTCGGTCCAAGTCCGACATTCCTATCCTCGATCTAGCCTACCGTTCTCGCCAACTTGCATTCCGCCGAAAGCAAATCAAACAATGGATTGAGAACGAGCACGAACTCCTCAAAGGAGAGGTTGAGCTCCAACCCGAGTCATCTCGTGAAGAGTACCTTCGGGAGCGTGTCGCTGCTATCGAGGCCGAAGCTGCTCGTCAAGAAAAGGATGCCCTTGCTACATATGGTATGCTGGAAGGGAGCGATCCTCGCGTTGCACCTCTGCGTCGCGCTCTTGCTGTATGGGGTCTCACACCTGATGACTTGGGAGTTGTCTCTATCCATGGCACTAGCACGATGGCCAACGTATGCATTTCTTCATTAGTTCGGCCCAACCTAGCTGACTGTGTTTCCAATCTAATTAGGAGAAGAACGAGACGTCAGTGTACAATGACGTCTTCACCAACATCGGGCGCACGCCTGGCAACGCTATTCCTGTCATTGCTCAAAAGAGTCTTACTGGTCACCCGAAGGGCGGAGCCGCTGCATGGATGTTTAATGGCATTTGCCAGACTATCCTCTCGGGCGTCGTTCCGGGCAACCGCAATGCCGAGTGAGTGCCCCTTCACTCACCTTCTGACGCGGGACTCAAACTTCAATTAAAGTAACGTTGATATCAACCTGAAGAAGCACGAGTTCCTGCTATTCCCTTCGAAGACGATCCACACAGATGGCATCAAGGCTGGCATCATGGTAGGAATCTGTGTGAATACTCAGTTGTGAATACTCATTCTAGTTATCAACAGACGTCCTTCGGTTTCGGTCAAGTTGGTGGAGCCGCTGTTGTAGTTCATCCTCGCTACCTTTTCGGCGCCATCGACACCACACGCTACGCTAAATACTGCAAATTAAATAGGGAACGCGCCCTTTCATCGTACAAGGCTATGAGTGAAATGATGATCCACAACAACCTTGTTAAGATCAAGGAGCACCCGCCGTATTCGACTGAACTCGAAGTCCCAGTCCTCCTGAACTCTGCCGCTCGTGCCTCTCCCGATAAGACTGGCAGCTACTCATTCTCAGAACTTCCTTCTTCTGTACCTGTTGACACGGCCAATGCTCAGCTTGCTGCTCAGGCCCTGAAGAGTGCCAATATTGCCGGCGTGGGGGTTGATCAGGGTAAGATGCTGTCCCTTCGTCGGTGTTTCTACTTACACCGATTCTAGAACTTATCTCGTCCGTTCCCTCCTGGAATCCCACCTTCGTCGAGAAGAACTACACCGATGCTGAAACTGCATATTGCAGATCGCAACCTAATCCATCTGCCTCTTTCGCCTCGCGCTGGGCTGGAAAGGAGGCTGTTTTCAAATCTCTGGGAGTCGCCGGAAAGGGTGCGGGTGCATCCTTGAAAGACATCGAGATACTCCCCGAGCCCTCTGGAGTGCCCCAAGTTATCTTACACGGGGACGCGAAAGCCGCCGCCGAGTCAAAGGGGATCACCAAAATCCACATCTCATTGAGCCACTCAGATGTGAGTGTTTGTATCCGTCGCTCATCACGGAGATGACTGACATGACCATTACTAGTCTGTTGCTATCGCGTTTGCGCAGGCATCCCTCTAATTCATCCAGCCCTCTCTGCCTCGTCGCATTCCATTGTCATTTACTTTGCATCAACTTCGCGACCTTTTTTGTAGTGTTTTTATTTCGTTCCTTTCGTAGACGGTTACCAAGTAGAGTATTCCCACTATATTCAATGCGATTCGAGCCCCAAGGCATTAGAGCTGCCCGCGCTCACGCAGGTCCCCCTCAGATTTAAGGCCCGGCAGCTTCAATCCAACGACGACGCCCCTTCCCCGCAGTATGTGATTTCTTCAAAGCCCACAGTTGGTTGAGCCATCACGCATCGATAACAGGATAGATTATTATTCTGATGTTAGTCAATGAATTGTTTTTATAAACATGCAGATTGCCAAGTCCGAAATAAAACGAAGAGTGCTCAGTAACAAGGTTGGAAGGACGAACGAAGAACCTCTACTGAAAATCATAACAATGCTTCAGCACAAAAAATTTGAGAAATCCCAGCCCGAGAGATCATCGCCACTCAAAGATAATTGCAACGCATTTTGCCCCGCGCAGAGGTCACCAAATGACAAGGCTGCAGACAAGGTATGGTCCGATGCAATAAGGTCATCCTTCGAATTGGCATCGGAAGAAACCTGAGACCCTGTTGACTCTAGCAGAATAGGGTTGAGCGGTTCATTGAAGTCGATGGGGGTTGTAAGAGAGTTCAACAAAGCAGAGAACTCCTCTTCACTGAGGGAATGAGCGGATGAACTCGGTGCGCATGCGGAATTGAATGAGGACAAAGTAGTTTGAGCATCATCCGAGGTAAGCAGAAGAGCGCCGAAGTCAGTCATAGGCAGCTGCGTGAAATATGACAAGTCGAAGTTCCGATCTAGCGTCGCCAGAGGATCGAACGAGCCCGAGGGACAAGAAGCATCAGTAGAGACAAATGGAACGATGTTCTTGGATCAGTGATGCTGTCAAAGAAAGATTTCTGCACAGAGGCAAGATCCTCGATGACATCAGGATTCTGCTGGCAGTAGTCAGAAGGGAACAAAGGGGGTGTGATGAGGGGTGTGTCTGGAGAGGAGATCGAGGAAGAAGAACACGAAGATGCCGAGCCCCCGAAGACAGAAGAACGGAGGTTAAGGGGACTGCTAAAGTACGAGGTCTGCGAACGGCGGGGGCTCCTGGCATAATAAGAGCTTCCCTTCTCCTCTATGATTCTACCAGTTGCTGAGGAGTAAATGTATTTGCCAATTATCTTCTCGACAGCTCTCGTGAGAGAGCGCCATGGAAAGACCTTCACGTCCTTCTCGATATTACGAGGACGAGGCTGAGGGAAGGACATGATGAGATTGAAGAAATCGCTCTGCTCGCTGCTTGTCTTGGAGATTGTTGTCGGCTTGAAGCCCTCGACATTTCGGCGAATGCGATTCTTCTCCTCGATACTGAACTGAGTGCCAATGAAAGCCTCAAGAAGGTAGATAATATCGACAGAAGTGAAATAGCATTCATCGTTCTCCGGGCAATGGATGCAGCTGATGGCAATAGTGCCACTGGTATACTCCTCCTGCTTGATAGGAGCAAAGCTGATACGGAGGCTCGCTCCGTTTTGCTGACGCCAGAAACGGACGAGTCGGCGATGTGCATGATATTCCTCGTGGGACCTTGAGGACACGACTTGTAAATGTGAGTTTCCAAAAATGATATATAATGTAACGTACCAGTTGGTAGCCATCGAGGCGAGATCGCCATCCATTTCAAAGTTGACTGGGCTCCGGATATCTGCCTGTTCACACTGCTGTTCTGCCGCAGGGGTCACAGGCGTGCTATCTAGATCCCACTGGTTACCCGAAAGGACTGAAGGACGTTTGGCGATCCGACCATCATCCTCGCACTCTTTTGCGCGTTTCCCAAGGGTCGAAGAAAGCGATGATGTCGCATCTGTACCATAAAGGAGTCAGCAAAGACGGACCGGAGACGTTTCAAAAGGTACTTACCACCTTTGAGATCCTTCACGTTGAAGATTCCAAGAGGAGCGGAGTCAAAGATTTCGTCATCGCGGAATGCTTGAATGGAAACCTTGACAGTACCAACAACGTTGGAAGGGACATAGCCTCTAAGTTCAACAGTGTTCTCTCCAACGGACATCATAACAGTCCTAGCTGGCGAACTATCAAGATAGATCTTCAGCTTAAGAACTCTTGTGTGTTCGACTGGACGCGAGCATAGAATAAACCGCTCTTGGGACCGAAATCGAGAACGGACCAATTTTCAAGGTGGGATGTAACGATGTTGCTAGCAGTGGCCCCGTTTGATCCACCATTGGACTCGCATCCAGTGATGGCATTCTGGGGCTCAGCAACAGGAGTAGCGGCAGGTGAAGGCGTCGGAATCCTTGGAAGAGCAAGGGCGGAGAAGAATGTGGAAGATGCAGTAGTGGTTTCCATCTTAGAAGTGAGGGAAGCTGACTGAAGTGAAGGGGAAGATCGCATGGACAGGCCTGGCTTTATACCCTACAGGGACTACAGCGATAAGAAAGTAGACTGATGGCTTTCCAATCGGCCCAACTTAACATCGAATAGCCAAAACCGAAACATCAGGTCGGTCAAAATCATAACACACAAAGCATTCTTTCACGAAGCGCCTGGAGCTAGAGGCGACATCAAGGAGCACGAAGATGAGCAGTCTTCAACACCCCGAAGCTGCTAGAGGTCAGTATAGAATATGCCATCGTAACGTTATATTCCTCATGCCCCGTATTGTGTGGTGTCAAGTCTGAGACTATGCATGTTTCATCCGCACAATTCGGTCTGGGTCAAATTCTGATCAGCCGAAATTGTCTCTGTCAAGCTTCAGCGCCTGCAAGGGAGAACTAATATCCCCCTCAACTACATCTTGCCTCACAGGATACGTATGGGCTTGTAGTATGGGCTTGTAGCTGCGACTAATTCCCGAAGGACTCGCACAGAAGTTTGGCCATTGGGTCAACGAATTGTAGGCACGCCGGATGAGTTCTGCAACACATGCACATGTTGATTCGTAGTCCACAATCACCTAGACCGCTGTAGAGACGTTCCTATTCAAGTCTACCATGCAATGTCCCATCTGGGGCGCTCAACATCAAGTTCGTGAGGCATGGCAATGTCCATTTCCGAGGATTACTCTAGTCTAAAGCCTAATATGACTCATCATTCAAAAAATAACTAACCAACAAATCGTTTACAAGTCAGACAAAAGGCAACAAAACGAAGTCATAATAGTTCATGAGATCAAGAAGAGGCGAAAGGGCGGAAACACAGGCTAACGATACATGACCGCTCAGCATGAAACAATACCAACTTGGAATCGATTGGGACCACGGGAATTGGTTTATTAGATGTACGGATGATCCGGTTTCTCCTGATGTCCCTGAGTCTGTCTCCTATGACGGACTTCACGTGTATCAAAATTAGGGGTAAACGCGTTCGGTATATTTTCATAATATGTCACGTTCGTCAGCAGCTCCGGGATGCGTTGCTGTAACGGGGAGATAAATGTTAGTAATGTGCAGAGCGGAGATATCTGATACATACCGAGGGCATAGTGACGCTTTGGTGATGCTGATCTCCACCTTTGTCGATGTCAATCCCTCCTCCGAGGTGGTTATACACCTCTTCAACGATAGGATTTTCGGTGGCCTGCGCATGAGCCTGCAATTGTTTCTGCAAGGAGTCTGGCGCCTCCCTTCTCGCATGATTCGGCTCCCCCAGTCCAGTCTCAAGCGGTGTATTTCCTGGTCCCGCCTGCATGACTTCATCCAGTTTGGGAGGGGCATTAGACGACAACACTTCGGACGAGATCCAAATGTGCTCTGGATACCAGAGCGGAGGCGAAATTGGACCAGCGGCAGAGAGCAAAGTGCCATAAGTCCTATGCGCGAGGGAGGTAACGAGCTGATTCTCGCGGTGCTTGTTGGTCCACCTCCAGCGGAAGTGAGGAACAATCCGGATAGCCATTCCGACGTCATCAGCGGCCAGACCAAGGGCAAGCGTATCGACCTTGATGATAGTCGAAAACGTAATCAGAAGAGCAGCGACATGGATTGGGATTGGAGAGACGAAGAATGCGACCTCTGGGTAGCGGGTGAGGTCCGCATGCAAAATGATAACATTATGAGAGGTTATGGCGGCTGTAGGCATGTATGACTTAGCAACCGTAATCCTTAAATAAAGTACTTACTCACCATCATGAAGGGCTTTGTATCTCACATGAGATTCAATATTTCGACTGCATACGATCGCTCGCAGCAGGAACATACGTAAAATAGTATATTTGAGAAGCGATAGTCCTCGATCCACGTTCACCTGGCTGGTGACTGGCACCCTGGGAGGATTCTCCAGCGAAGTACCACTGGCATGGGTAAAGAATTGCTGGTAAGGAGGCGGCATCTTCTTCCTCCATCGCTCAAGAGAGCGCTCCACCTCGATCGAACGAAGAATCATCTGGTCTGCCGTTATTTGGCCAGGGCGATAAAGTGAGTTGACGATGTCTCCCTGAATGTGGAGGAGCTCGGTGGATAGCTCGAAGTGTTCAGAAAAGACCTCCAGCTGCTCCCCGTTGGGACCCATAATATAACGATTTGGGAACGGGGTGTTGAAATCCGCCTTCTGAATGCACAGAGGTCGACCAAAAATAACGGACGTCCCTCGGTCATGAATGAGGCAGATATACCATAAACGCTTCCTTTCCTCGGCTTCCTCAGGCGTGAAAAGTTTATCGAGGCCACCATCTGGATCGTGATGAAGTCCCAATTCAATCGCTACACGCATCATGTTCCCAACAATCCTCCAAAGCGAGCCACCCTCCTTCTAAGCGAAGACCCGATGAGACTGGATTAGCCTTCGTTCTAGCATCCACACTCACCTCGATATACAGATACCAATGAAGCAAAATAAGAGCCTGCAAAGCCGTAATTCCAGTGAGTAAATGAGGCTTTACCATAAGAGCAACCATGCTGAAGTGTGATGCTCGAGGAAAGCCAGGTCGTTCTTCGGGTTGAGCAGCGTGTTGCCTCTTGGTTTCCTCATGCAGAGCACCTAGAGCTAAGACAAGATAGGTACTAAACAAGAATCCAGCATCCTCCATTAATGCCTTCACGCGCGCTGATGGTTGAGAAGACTTGTTCTCCACATAGTCGTACATTGCTTCGAACACTTCCATGAACGAGTGACGAACAAAGACTGGGCGATGAGGATTGAGGTCTTGGAAGTAGGCCTCAACGCAGTGACGGGCATAGACGCGGTCACGAGGGAAATAAAAGTCTTTCTTAACGTGAGCAGGTCGTTGAAGGGGCTCCTTGTTCCAGAGTTCACTGTCCCAGACTGCTGATGGGACTTCAGGAGGATTGGGAGTAATACCCTCAATCACATCGTCGGGCATTGGTACAGCTACTAGAATCCAATATCATAAGACCATCATGAAAAGAAAATAGAAACTAGCCCCGAAGGGACTCACCCGCCTGGAGTCCGTTAGTCACTACTTTGGTCACGCCAAAGGCTTTGGTGTATCCATCGGCAGTCGTCATATCATTCCCCATAGGATCCTGACCCTTCCAAGTGTTATCTATATGCACAAGCATAGGAGGCGGCGACGTAGCCATGCTCACCCCATGCATACTGGGATCATACGCATTATTGTTCTCCCGAGGCGGGCCATGCAACGGGACGCCCATCGAAGGACCAGGCTGACCGACCACCATAGATTCGGGCTGACCAAACTGCTCTCCCTGGAATTGAGGCGGTGGAAATGGTGGGCCTTGTGGGAAGTGATTGCCCGGGCCAAACATTGGAGGCGGAGGCGGTTGGAAGACGTGCGGCGTCCATGGTGCGTTAGGGTCTGGAGGTGGTGGGGGAGTTACACCGTAGTTGCTTAAATGATAGTCAAGGTACTCGAGCTTGAAACCCGGAATAAACTTGTTGAGAAGAGCAGCGCATTTGTCGATCTGCGTCTCAATAAGGTCAGTGTAGCCACGAGGTTTGAGGGTCTGCCTGTGTCTATCTTCTTGGTTGCACTCGACTCCAGCAGCCTCGCACGCAGAGCAGCTAGGATGCTTGGAATCACACTGAAACACAAAGGGAGTAAAAGTGTGGATGTATCAGTAAGCGCTCACAAAATCTCCGCAGTGACGCGTTGTCACCAAACATATAGCGAAAGGCACCTTAATCTTCTTTCTGCGGCAACGCGCACATGCTTCATGCAGACGCCTGAGTCGGCGAGGCTGGACTTCAGTCCCATCCTCCGGCTTCTTGCGTTTGCGGGCAGCGGGTTTTACCGCTTCCTCAACAACAACATTGAGCATAGGAGGTGTCGTCATACGAGGTGGCATAGACCCCGGCGGCGGGATGGGGGGTTCTTCCATAGTGCTTGCTGCTAGGTTGCAGTCAGTGTTACGGTTGCTGCTGAGCACAGAGAGGTTGGGGGAACTGAGTTGTGGTTGACTTTAAAACTCCGCCTTAATAAATTGCACGCGACATAAACGGGACAAACAGCCCCAGGGTATCAGATGACGACCGAATTACTATTTCTCGACTCGTCGGACGGCGCCCAAAGTGTCTTGGGCAACCCAGCAACGCCATGACCGCCTGAACCTTCTCGGCAATGAGCGTCGGCTGGCGCCGTCGCTGTCGGCGACGACCGCGGCACTCGCCAGTTTCAAAAATAAAAGAAAGCAGGTTTCTTGTGATTATGATACATAGCTTGGACTGTGTACGCTACAGCGAAGGAGTATAATAACAACGCTAGTAAAATGACGTGTATAGACTATTATCTGCGGTACGGCATCTCATCTTCTTCGTACGGGAGAACAAGATCCTGCCCGTCTCCCATACCTGAATCTGAATCGGAATCATCCAGAAGAACCAATGGACCCCTGCTCTTCTTCCTTCCCTTATGGGGGGAGGTGGGGCCAGATTCGACAATAATACCCTCCAAAACAATCTCCTGCCCCTCGGCCTCACGCTCCGCCTGGACGACGGAGTCGAGCTCGTCGCGCCAATAATACCTCAGCCCGACTGGGATCAAGACAGCTACAACAATGGCAGACAAACCCAAAACGTTCCTCCAAGACACCAGCCTGAAATCTTTGGCAGATGTCATCTGGTCAAGACTTCCTATATATTAGACCATCAGAAGTTCAGCCGGCACAGCATCGGCCATAAAAGTAACATACCCCCAATAGTGGTATGAATCACAGTGACGCCGATCATCCCAAAGAATGTTGAGACCCAGAACTGCATCATACCGATGCCCAAATGAGGGCAAATGACATTCACAACCCAGTGAGGCGGGAAGGGTGCGATCCTACGCAACACAATAAGCGTGACATTGACGCTGGGAGCGCCGTTGGATAAAATACCTCAATATGATTAAGAATGATGTTAAATTGGCTCTTTGAGTCTCAACTTTCAAGGCCCATCGATCAATCTTATTCTTCCATTTAGGCGTAGCAAGAAGAGCTGGCCCAAATGCAGCAGATATCGAGTAGCACAGCGTAGCACCTGTAGCAATACACTAGTTTGAACCTTATTAACACGCTGAAAGAGCAGTGATGAAGTAGTTACTTACAGCGCAGCATAATGGAAGCGCGCGATGCATGCCCCACACAGCACCCGCCAGAATAGAAAGATACATGGAGCCTGGTAATGAAAATGCTTGGAGACTGTTGCGAAAAGAATGAGACTGAGTCTCACGCTGGCAAATAAAAGAGACTCACAAAAGATATACAACAATGAAACATAATAATGTCCTAAGTGGGTAAATGGTCTTATATTTTTTTAGCAATCCATTGAGGACTTGCAATTGCTCAAACGATGTTGGAATACCAAGTTTTTCCCTGTCATCCCTGTATGTAATAATCAGTTCAATGAGGGTAAGTGTGCAGGTGGTGAATCATATGCACCCTTCTAATCTAGGCAGAGCGAGCCAAAGCGTGCCCCAAAGAAATACCACGCATATTAAAAATATCCCAGACACACCGATTCCGGCCCGTAATAATGGCCTCCCTGACAGCCAGCTCCCCCTCCCATCTATTCCGAACGAGCCATCACCATCACCAACTGGTGACGCAGTGCTCCCATATGTCCGTCGACGCGAAGAAATCTTTCTCGAAAGCGGGCCCAGCAATACAAAGTTCTCGGAATGAGATGGAGCGCCCTCGATATCCCTCCTGTATCCACCCCGAACACCAAGAGAAGTAATAGAACGCAGTGTATATGACGAGGCCAAATGTGGGTCACTCTCCATCCAGTGATGAAGCAGTAGGGAGGGATCCCGACTCTCTGTTGCTGCAAACGTTCTCAAAGTATCGTACGATGCGTTGGGAACGACAGTCAATTCTATCACAAATGGACGGGATTGAGATGCAAAACCAAACGAACGGAGTGAGAACGCGGGATGCAAGCCAACATGCAGTGGGGCTGCGCGACTCCAAGACCAATGTGTGACCGGCAGTCACAAGTCACGGTCACGCCTCGGCCTCAGTATGCTGGACGTCACAAACAATATTGTAAAGATGGCCATGCACAATGCAGCTGAGATTTCTCCACAAATTAGATCTGTTGTTGATTCTGTTGACTCGTTCTGATGAACTGACTGGCCTTTGGGGATCTCTGTTTGGTGTTTCTAACGTTGCAGAACTGATCTGAATTTGGGCATCTGCATTACTCATGTCGCACTAGGACAAGCAGTTTCTCATCACTGTTTTGGGACGTCACACGTTGTGATAAGCATCTAATTTTCCTTCCCCATTGGTATCCTCCGTTGTGACCACCGAAGTGTCATGGACTGCTGCACTGTCGGTGATGGCTCCTGCTGAATGCAAATTGTCCTGCTGAAGCGAACGTCGTTGACTGTCATCTGAGGCTCTGTCACCTTCCACTGAGCGAACGCTCGACTCTCCTTCCACATCTTTGGCGGGTTGAATTGTGGCCGCCGAAAGGTTGTGGATCTCTGTCCTGTTCGCCACAACATCAACGTCTGTTGCGTTTGGATTATCTCGTTGAAGTGGACGCGCTTGTCCCTGCACAGATTCTTCGCTGTCTACGCGACTACCCTCCTCTACAAAGGATAGCTGCTAGGGATATTAGTCAGCTACCAATGTGTATCTATGCACCTTCATTCGTACCTGTGATCCTTGTACTCTGCTGCCGTCCCGGCCGTCCCCGTCTGCCGGTGCGTATGACGAGCGGATGTTTTCCTCTTGGTTATCGGTGTCCACTTGATCACTAGGAGTAAACTTCGTCGTGGAACCCGGAGGTGTCTCATCTTTCTCGGCAGATGTGTTTACCGGTCCTCCAGACACATCGTCCACACCTGTCGCCTCTGGCGTCTTCATCAGACCCTGTTTCGTTGTTTGTGATCTCCCTGCAGGAAGAGTCAGGTTCAGCACAGGTTGGGAAGGGTACGATTTCGAAGGAGATGTAGGAGATCTCTTGGACGGCGACAATGGTGGGAACTGAATGTTCATCGACATTGACTCCCATGCTGAACCTTGAGTGACACTCATGGTACGCGCAACGCGACCAACGTCTGTGTGAGGGTCCAGGACTTCTCTGATACCTTCAATGTCCAGCTTTTTCGGTAGAGTCATTGAGACTGAATACGTGACCCAGGTGTGCGTCAGCCGCACGCTTGACTGAGAGTCATTCAAGACCTACTGCTTTGAAGCGTTGGCGTGACGATATAACCATACTTAAGGGCATCATAGTTACAGACTTCTTCCAAGCTTTGTCGTGTCCCTCCAGCATCGAGTCCGAGCAAGAAGCTGCGGTCAAGGCTAGATACAGTCTTACGGAAGGTGTTCTCAAGAGCCTTTTTGTCTGACGTATCATCAGATTCATAAAGACTGATGGTCAACCAAGAAGGAAGATGAGCACAATGCCACAAAGGTCGGATCGTGGTATTGCGCCATCCTTCAATTAGGACCTGAAATTAACAATTGAGACAGGTGAGATTGAGATGCGCAGTGTGCCTGCCCACTTACAATCTTAGAGAAGTCATCTTCTGATACAAAAATATTTTCTAGCTCAAATGCCCTTGCGTTCACAGCAAAAGGTGCGAAATAAGGATCGTCTTCATCCAATCCTTCACAATTATCGATGATCCGATCCATGAGCTCCATACTATACTCCACCTGAATTCTACTTTCTTCCACTGTCCGTTTGTACTCTTCCGACCCTTCCTGCGTAAGAAATGGCTTTAAGCAGTCCAATTCTCGCTGGGAACAAGCCTTGAAGTAATCTTTCGCAGTCGGCCAAGGGCCACGGTCTATGCCCTCGATCCGCGCTCGTCCGTTAATATTCCATACATCCGTAGAGATTGGTCCAACTGCTGCTGAGCTTGGATCCTCCGGTAAAAGATGAAGACTCCCGATCTTGTCAAACCTAAGATGATACAATTCCAGAATCCAACGTGCGACTTTTGTCACGATGGCTTCTTTCTGCAAGGACGGAATTTCATGGTATACGCTCTGAAGATTTACGCCTTGCACCTGAAGGCGACTACATTCAGACTTTGAAGTATTAATGATAAACGACCCCCACCTTTTCCGTCGCAATAAACAGGTCATTCTCGTCCCCGTTATCGCTGTTGAAGCAGATGATCTTAGGAACAGGGACTGACGTATGATGAGCGAGATGCCGAATAGTAGCCACCTGCAACAGTATCTTAAATAATCGACAGTGCCCCGTAATGACAGAACGGTACCTCTGAGTTAACCACGGGCGGCGAAACGCTTGGGAAGAACACTTTGACGGACAACTGTGTCTGATCACTTAACGTGACGTCGTGGTGCTAGTGGGTGGTCCGATGAAGAGGAAGGGGAATTCAGCGTGGCCTGGGCGTGCATGTACATGGCCTTCTAACCTCGAAATCGATCCCTGAGCGTTTCCGATGACGAATGATTGACATTTAGCAACCAAGAGCTCTCGGAGGCGCTCACATTGGGTGATATGTGCTACTCGCCTCTGCTAAGCTTCAGCACACGCGCAACATCTTTGCCAATGGCTTTCTCGATGAGCAATTTAACCCCATCGGGGTTGATCAGGAGACGGCGTGAGCGCTTGTGCTTTAACTCGTTGGTTGAGGCTGCGTTTAATTCACGATCGGGGCTGTTTCCACCGTTATCCATTGGATTTCCCGCAGCGCCTGCTCGATTTTACGCTGGGCGTGTGGCTGCAAGATATCAGGACGAACGCAAAGGGCGAGCGCACATGTCCGTGATGTCGATTCCTCAATGGGTTGTTGACCCGTGTTGCCGTCCGTTGCGAAATAATATTTTCACCAAGGCACGAGATCGAACCTCCGGGACGATCCTTAGTGTACAGCTCGAATATGGAGAACGAAACACAAGGATGGCACGAAGTGTACGCCCCAAGATTGTTGTTTTACTAGCGCAAGTGCCCATAATATCTAGACAGGACGATACGAGTCCCTTTTCTCACTGCTGACCATGCTCTAATTGCTAAGAGAGCTATCGAAGTCGATCCCGAGCGGCAACCACATCTAGCTAAGCGAACCCTTACGGTCGAAGGCAACGTTCTTGTTGCGTATGACGAGGTCCAACTTCATATTGGTTGTGACGCTGACCGGGGGACTAGGAAATTTTCTCTAATGACGGTCAGACTCGCGAGGCTGGTATCAAACTCATTCTTGGAGAGTGTTGAACTTGTTGCGCGGACGTTAGAAGCATTCGGGGATGACGCTGAAGCATCTAAATCGAACATTTAGCCTTTCTCAACGATCCTTGCGCGTGATTTGAACTAGTGATACACATATGGCTTCACCAGCCTGATATTGTTCAGTCAGCTGCCTTAGCAGCACCCTCTTCACCCTTATCATCCTTCTCCCCCAGCGCTTTAGTCAATAAATCCTTGAGTGCAGGGTCTGTCAGCTCCTTTTCAGATTTGACCTTCTCTGGACTATACCAGACAGGTGGTTCGGTGATAAGATATGGCCCTGTTGGAAGAAGTGCAAGTGTGAAGTGGAACGCGGCGACGAAGGTTCCCGGCAATGATTGCCTATGTTGGGAGAGTTAGCGCCCACCAATAGGATGACTGAGTAGCACCATGCTCACTGCACGTCGTATGCCCTAAGGAGGCCGTGCTTCTCAGCCTCTTGCACCCCGACACGTCCTCTCTTCTCGTCTTCTAGGTATCGAATGTTGAAAGGGAATGTACCAGCCTTCTTCTGGATCTCAGAGAACACGGCTCGCGAGGTCTTCAACTTGAGTTGATACGTAACATCAGGAACCCGTTGATAGATCGAAGTACGCTCATCTTTCGTCTGCTTGGGCTGGGGTAAAGTGTAAAATCTGCTGGACGCATCTTCAAGAAGACTCTCACTTGCCTTATTGTCCGATGCACTTGTTACGAGGATGTCCATTCCCCAAACTTCACCTTCCTCAAAAGTGCAGGTGTCGACACCGGATCGTGCGCCTTGATAAGCATCCAAAATGATACGTTTCTTTCCATCGACGACATTTCTCGATTGTTGGCACGAAAGCATCCCTGCGCGACGGTGGACTTAACAGGGGAAGGTGGCAGATCTGGCGGACGCTCGTACCTTCGACAGGCTTGCAGTTAAATACTGTTGCCACTTTACTGACGGCGTCTGTGACGCTCCAATTCCTCTCCCCAACCCTGATCAGGCGCGTCGCAATTTCTGCAGCAGTCCACGCTGCTTTGAGGACGTCCGCTCGAGGGCCCGTCACTGGGTTTTCGATTGAAGCACCAACCACAATGGTCTCTGCATGAACGGACGCAAAACCATCAACGTGAGCCCCAACGTGGATCTTGACAACGTCGTCCTTTGCGAGTTTCAGCCCTGCTTTGATATCCGAGCTGTGATGAAAATTCGAATTAGTGCTCAAGTGTAAGAGCAAGATGATGACTAACGGGAGAGGGGAAAAGTGAGAAATGATATTCTAGGGGAGCCCGTAAGCAACATTATCGCTGGAAACGCTCAGTGCTGCAACGAACGTTCACTGAAATTGAGGTTGGGAATGCGATTCCTTTAGGACAGAGTCAAGCGAAGAAAAATGAGCATCCGACACGGAATAAATGCCTTTGGTAGTCTTTTCGCCTTTTTGAGATTTAGTTTCTAGGGTACTGAGGCCGCTTTCGATGAGCTGGAAGCCGCCAGCGTAATGAAAACTGGCTGATGTTAATAATTCCCCGAACATACCTTGTCACCTTCCACACAGAGATCGATCACCTTTGCTCCCTCAACAGAAAGTTCTATCAGCTTCCTGACTGTTTGAGCCACAATCTTAGCGGCAGCCTGATGATCCAAACAATGTAATGTTCAATGATGTGTTAGGGCGGGGACGTGTCTAACCTTATAATTTTCCAATTCGTCTGAGGGCGAGGATCCCGTCTTAGATGATTTGCTAGTTGTAGCAGCTTTGGTATTAGCCATGCTCAACAGAGGGCTGTTGAACGTCAGGCGACTGTCAACAAAATTGAATCCGCACCCGGCTGGGTCTCACCAATCACTGGCTAAGTGTTTGAAAATTTGCGTTTTCTCAAGAAGCGGCTCAAATTTTTCAAAGCAACAATGAGAGCTCCATGACAATCAAGTTATAACCCCAAACAGGAAAGAAACAAAGAGAGTGACAAATGGACGAGCGCAATGTCAATAGAGTCCTAGGAATATATAGAAATCATCAAGACGGTTTTGTAGCCGGGGGCGTATCAGTTCGAGAGGTCGAATTTGCAGATGATGGCAAGAGATGATTTGGGTCGGGAGACTGCTGCTGAGCAAGACCACCAAACATGGAAGTACGGTCGCCCATTCCTTGAGACAGTCCAGGAGACGTGTTCAACCCGTTCATGTTCGAGAAGTCTGGCATTGGGCTTCCGAACCCTCCCCAGGATTGGCCTGTCATCTGAGGAGGTATGCCGTACATCGACATCGTGTTCATTCCGCCCCACATTGCAGGGGACGTCGAATGCATAGCAGCCATGGGCCCCCCCCTGTCAGGAGCCGTCCCAGTGACAGATCCCGCCTGCGAGAATGCCATCATCGCATTACGATAAGCCTCCGCCGCTGCTTGCTGAGCCATCATTTGCATCTGAGGCATCTGAGGCATTCCCCACGCAGGTGGATAGCCGGTGAAGGAAGGACTCAATCCTCCACCCATCATAGGATTGCCCATCATACCCATCATCATCGGGTTCATCATCGGATTACCCATCATCATTGGATTCATCATCGGGTTCCCAAATTGACCGAGCACTTCAGGACTCATGCCCTGCTGCTGGGCATATTCAAGCTGTTGGCGCTGAAGCTCGTCAATCTTTCGTTGTCGTTCCTCCGCCAAGCGACGCTCGCGTTCACGTTCTGTGAGGGCCGCGCCAACCCCTCCTTCGCGTTTCCTTTCCCTTTCATGAGCTGTGATAGCGCCAAGGAGACCACTCTGGGGGGGCGGAGGCTTGTTTGGAACGTGTACATAAGAATCTCCGTGTTCTCGAGCGATCTCTTCAATGCGTTTGGCTGAGCGATCTTGTTTGTCCTGAAGACCGACTTGCAAAAGACCCTGAGGGGCGAAAGCCTTAGTCATGGTTTCACTGGGCTCCAAAGTGACAAAAGTGTCTCTGTTGGACGAGACCGGGGGCCCAGCGTTGCCGGCCTTATCCGTGTCTAGCACCGAGCTCCAAAAATTGTTGCGCGGTGGATGACGCTCAGTACTAGAGGGACGAACTGGGGTATCTGCACGAAGTCGGGGAGGGACGCTTCGGTGCTCGTCTTCATGGTACGTGCGAGGCCTGGACTCATCGGGATGTGGTGAATTGCGTGGCCGGAGGGTAGAATTCTGCTGATCGTTTGTTGCACTCCCAGTGCGTGGAATGGAGGGGAGGTTTCGAGCTCTGGAACGCGGCTGGTCATCGCCGTAGGAACTGACCCGCACTCCAAACTCATGCATACCACCGGCGCCAGTTATGTGATTCGGTTGTTGAGCTTGTGGAGCATAGAGGGTGTGGGGTTGAGAGCGAATGGCAGGTCCTGGGGCATCCGTAGGACCCCGGGCTGGTTCGGCATCTGATCCGTCATCATCGTCTTCCTCCTCATCCTCCTCCTCCTCCTCACTACTCTCCCAGGCACCCTTGGTGGGGGCCTTCCCACCCTTGCTAGGGAGACTTGAGCGCCCAGGCTTGTGAGCCGCAGCCTGTGACGCGGCGATACTAGCTTGCGCTTTCGCTTTCCGTTCTGCCGCTTGTTTAGACGCCGCGAAAGAAGAAGGGTAAGGACTGGACTCGGTCGCGTCAGACTGTCCGAAGTTGGCTACAAGTCTTATGTGAGATGCGTGGGGACCATCTCCCGGCCCTGGCTGTTCCGAGCGCGCGTCTTTCGCGAGCGGAGCTTCAGATCGAGTGTCTTCTTTCTCAACGAAAGTAAGCGCAGCGAATGCATCTGCGCCAAGATCATTGCTCTCATCATCAGCGGGATAGACCTGAGAAGTCATGGGGCGTCTGTTCGAGGAAGGGTTACTTGAACGACGAGGGACCGGTCGCGCGCCTGATGGCTTAAGGGCTCGGACAGTGAGAGCGGGATCTGCCGTGGAATCTGCCGCTATTGAAACGGAATCTGTATTTGGTGGCAGTGATTTGAGAGAGCCGGTTTGGAGGTAGGATGGGGGCAATGCAACAGGTGTGGAGTTGGTCAGTGGAACGGAGACGGAGGATGAGGTCCCTGGAGTGATGGGCTTTTCGTCATCCTCCAAATCCGAATGATCTATGCTCGAACCCTCCAGTAGCTTCTGCGCAATATATTGCGCGCCAGCCTCATCCATGTAACCCTCTTCTTCCGCAATTTGACGCCTAAGTCTTTCAACTATGCTTGGTCCCTCTGGTGTTGGAGTGATTGTATACTCAATGGGCGTTCTGGGTTGCTCTGGAGGTGCCGGAAGATTCCTCGGTACACTTTGCGGCCTTGAATTTCCTACCGTAAAATGATCTCGGCGGTCACTTTGCCGCCGCGACGTCGAATGGCTGTCGTCAGACAGGTGGGAGCGAGCGGGGAGTTGATTTGCGGCCTGTGCTTCCGCTGAAGGGGAGAGGATGCGCGTTGTCCGCATGGGTGATGGCGTCGATTGGGGTGGTGAACGAGGTGGAAGGCGAGTGAGTGATGGTGAAGGCGAGCCAGGGCTTCGTAATTGGACCCCAACACTTCGAGGCGAGCCTTGTACCAAGTCTGCAGGACTTCCATTGGGTAGGAACGTAGGAGAGTGGAATCCAAGGGGAGAATCTGTCCTCTGGGCGCCAGACTGAGGAGAATACTTTTCAACCGTCTGGGTTTGGTGGAAAGAATGTCGAGATGACTGTGTAGTGAGCGCAGGCCGTCCAGGCATTGCTGGACTGGACGGTGTCCGGGTGTCCGAATGGAGGGTCGAGGGTGATTGACGCGGTGGAGACTGGGGGTGGGATGTGATTTCTGACTGAGGAAGTTGAGCTGTTGGAATGACCGGAGACGGTACAGCTGCTACCACAGGCGTTGGGAAAGTTCGAGCGGAGACGTTGCTGTACGATTCAGAAGTCCGTGGCGAATGGATAATGGTCGTTCGGTCGAGCCTTTTTTCGGAATACTGATCGCTATCCACGATATGGGACTCAAGACGCGGAGGCTCGACATTAAAATAGGACTCGTCACTGAGACGCTGAGAAGAGTCGTGTTTCGGCGACTGTGGAGGGCTAGATTTGTCCAAAAGTGTGATGATGTGCTCCAATCCGCTCTCTTCGTTCTTAGACGTTGGACTTAGTACAGGGTTTGTATTTGATCCTGGGTCCCGTACAACGTCTAAATTAGCTTCCAAATTTCCGGGCTTCACCATAGTTTCCGTTGGAGGTATGTTACTGTTAGTTCTGATATTCTCCTCGATAGGCGCAAGTGGGGTCCTTAAAATTTGCTGCGAGAACGATGGTGACGACACCGCAGGTAGCTGGGGTGTGTCGAATTCTAATGGTGGCAGTTGCATGGGGATTTGTGTCACCGGTGCAAGAGCGGCGGTGGGAGGAGAGGGGGTTGAGAGGGTCCGATGAGGCCCATGTAACCTCATCACCTTTTGACGAACAATCTGGGTAAAACTCTCCCGTACAACTGTCATTCGATCAATCATAGGGTTCACTGTCTCAGCTTCCTCACGGAGTAAGAAAAGGTCCTAGCAGAGGGAGCAAGATAAATAAATGACACGGTGACGGTGTAAGCGGACTCACATCTCTCCGGTCGCCAATAGGATATGCAAACATAGGGGAAATGGGATTCAAAGGATCCCACGAATATCCATGCGGCCTCCCGTGTAGTCCAAATGCATCGTGCAATGCTAAAGAATAATGAGCAAGCACGTACGGTCGTCTACAGCAAGACTTTGCATACCAACAAGCCATTTTAGCATCTCTAGGGGAGGTGGTGTATCTGACTCGAACTCAGGCATGATGAGTAGCCAACCTTCACGGTTCTTCATGGTATTCGCTGCATCTTGCGGTCCGATCATCCCTTCAATCTTGATCAAGGTGCTCATGCTAATGAGGTCTACTCTCTCCGGGTAAACTGCGAATGCATACGTTACGTCCGTGATGGTGAGAAGGGGGGCTTTACGATCTTTCAGCTTGTTAGACGAGTAGATTGCAATGCTCGCCTGCTGCTTGGTGGAATCTGCTGGAACGCTGCCCCCGTTTCCAAAGAGGGTGGAAAAACGACTGCGCCTCACATTGATAGGGGATGACGATCGGCGGTTTTCATTGTCGCTTGACCCTGAACCCATGCTAATGACAACCCACACTCGCTTCCAGTCCGTCTGTCCCGCTACTCGAACTTTCGTCCAACCTTCCATTTTGCCTTTGACAAGGGCTAATTGCGGCTCCTTCCAGACGCCATGAGAGTCACATAAAGACATACGCAGGAGATGAGCGGTATAGATCTCCTCGATGCGTGCTCTCTCCCAAAGAGCGAGTCGAAGGGCAGCGATCCATGAATTGAGGGACACGCGATCGCCGCAACCGAAAGAAATGAGATTTAATCCTGCGGTGTTCAAGGTGAATGCATCGTTGCAAATGCGTGCTGGCGAGTTGCCGATAGGTGGGATATGGACTGGTCCGGTGACTTGCATAAACTACGCAAGGGTATTTAGAACAGCAACGGAATTCAAGGTAATGGGGACCCTTACAGCATCGGTGACATTCACGTATGTAGGAGGTGCTTGGCTGCCACGACGGCGTGCGTCTTCAATTTTTAACATGTCCCAAACACTCAGGGTTGTGCCTCCAAGTTGGGCCCAAACCTCGTGCCAGTCGCCATCTCTACTTGACCTTGACCCATCCGTATTACGTTCATTACAACGCATTAACGGTCCCGAAATGTAGATCTTCCTGGAGTCTGACGGACGGATATTTTCTGTTAGTTTAACTGAAGCAAAGCTCGAGATTAAGACGCACGAGCAATGCTAAGAGAGATCAAGGACCTCAGCTCCGGATGAAGAGGGCGCCTTGGAGGCGCAGCCGTTCGGTGTGATGCATCGGGAATTTGAGTGGTTGTATCAGGGAATGATGGAATTGTTGGCTGTAATGCATCCTGGGGTGTTCCTTGGGCGGAACTTTGCAATGCAGAATCTTGGCGAGGCGGTGAGTGGTGTTCTACAGATACTGAAGCCCGATTGGGGTTTGCATCTACAGATGGCAGGGCAGTGCTTGCCCGCTGGGACGATGTTCCGAGCTCTTTGGATGGCGCTATCTGGGAAGATAAGCAAGAATATCAGGTTTGGAAAGCTCCAATTACACGCAATAGTCTAACCTACATTATCGTTTGCCGAGGACGCGGGGGGTTGTTTTCTGAAAGAAAAGAGCGAGCTTCTCCCTTGCTGCTGGGGTGGTCCTGGGCGCTCTGGTTGCTCACTTGTGAACTCCTTAATCGGAGGCTCGACGGGCTTTCGAGTAGGGGGGACAAAACCCGTCTCTCCAACAAACGCCTTCCTTCCCGCAGGGGGGCTAAAGCTGGGACTCGCCATAGGGTTCTGAGGCAGTACTGTGATGTCGCCCATTGATTAGGCACGTGCTGATGCGAATCCGGTCCCGTGGTGTCAGTGCTGCACCCACCATCGCACAATACTTTGTAATATTCTTGCCCCATCCAATCTAGAAAACCTTCAAGATAGCGATGGGTGCCTCTACAAACGCTGATGCATTCGACTTTCTAGTGGAGCAGATTAAGACTAATGTCAAGTTCCTGCAGACCAAGGGCAGGCTGTCATCCGATGCTGCGCGACAGGTCGAAAACCTCCTGGACACCGGCAACACATCCACTCCTTTCCCATCCGAAAAGGCGACTCCGTTCACACCCACAATTGCTCCGGCTCCTGCACCATCGCCTGCACCTCAGGTCCGCCGTGTCCGAGCCCTGTATCACTATGATGTAGGTGGCAACTATCCACGTGCCATCCCTCCACATTCCAACCGATGTTCACACATAGAACCCAGGAGACCTCTGTTTCAAAGCTGGAGATATTGTTGAACTCACTCCCAGGCCTGACGATAATGACGATTGGTGGACTGGTAGCTTGAACGGTCAGACGGGGCTGTTCCCTTCCAATTACGTCGAAAAGATGCAAGCGTCACCTGCTCCCCGGCTCGAATGGGATACTGATCTCCTTTCCTTAGAAACGACAGTTCGCCACCGCCGCCTTCTGGAGTTTACTCCAGCACACTGGTTCAGACAACATACACATATAGTGAGAAACCCGGACCTCCGCAGCCAGTGCACGCGCCCCCTTACCAAGCCTCAGGACCTACTTACAACCCTCCGCCTGGTCCGTCTAGCACCACTGTGGTTGTGCAACAGCCAGACGGGGCACCGGGGAAGAAAAGCAAATTCGGCAGACTGGGCAGCACTATGGCCAATTCCGCCGCTGGCGGTGTTGGGTTTGGTGCCGGTGCCGGTGAGTCGGCTGAGCCTTCAGGCCTTTCATCAGCGCACTGACTTCAGCCTTCCTGCTAGCCGTTGGGAGCGGTATCATCAACGCCATCTTCTAGATTCAGCACAGTCTTCATCACATTTCGCCATTTGTTGGACGCTAATCAATTATATCACTTTCTCTCAATCATTTGTACGATCGATGCAGTTGATCCACCTTGGCACCATATATTCCGGTGGCTTGTGTCATTTTTTTTGGAAAGCCACTGTGGATATCGCGCTTCCTGTCTGACCTCCAAACGTAAATGTTGGGTATTTGATTCTGGAGCTGCACGAGCACCTCATCCTCAGATTCTGTGCATTACCGGCAGGAACAACTCACTGGAAGGCCAGTCTTAATCCTTCATGGGTGAATGCTGCTATAAGTTCGTCTTGAGTAAAGTTACATGCTACAGGATTATCCCTCGATTTAGCCAACGATTTACGTGAGGGAATATATGTACACTGACAGGTGATGATGAAGTAGCCTCCCTCTCTGAGGGCGTTACTCGCGCGTTCAGGATATAGCTTTAATGGTCCCCCTCAATAGTTTGATCTGCCAAGGCTATAGCATCATAGGTCCCTTTATCCAGCAAAAGATCCCAGTCCCCCCCTTGTCCAGCCATGCCCGGGAGTGGTGGTGGACAAGGATTCTCTCCTAAGAAATTGAAGGTCTCGAGCGCTATTGATTGGATTGGATTGCGCTTAAAGGCAATCGCGCGTGCAAGAGATGTTGAGCTGGGACTATTTGGGTTTCAGCAGGTGGGGATGAAAGGATACGAGTTCAACAGGCACCTGTAATCTATGCCCTGGAGCCTGTTCGGTTCATACCCGGCATCGGCAAGTGCGAACAGGAGAGATCCGTTCCCTTAGAAGACTTATAAGTTGGCTTAGTAGAAAAGCTGGTCGGATATATCTCTGGCTTACCTGTTCCGATGTCGAGGCAGTAAGGCAGGGACGACGGTGGGATATTGGCTAGACACCAATCCACCTTGACAATTTCATGAACAAGTTGTCACTTGTTGAGTGTCCTACAAGCCTCACTATTTTCTCCACGCTATCCCTCCCGAACCTAGAGAGTAATGAGAGCCATTTAGACCGATTAGTGGGTAGGTGACGCACCAAACTTCGCCTTCGTCGCTAAACTCTTCGAAATTTCTCAACTCACGAGTGTACACTTCCTCCCAGCTTCAACGATTTCGATCGTTAGCCGATTCATATTTCGTAAACGCATTAACAACCTACTGTTCTTTAGTCCCTAGCCTTGAAGGCTGAATCTCTGAGGCCATTGACGGAATGGAGCTGGATCGGGATATACTGTGAGCTTGGGCGCCAAAGATCGAGACCGGTTTTCCCACGCGATCCAAATCGGAAACGGCAACAAGCAGGCGCATGCTAATGCCACACCTACGGCCTAGGACGCCCTTAGCTTCGGCGTGCCGTCATTTTTTATTCAAGTCCCGCAATGAGTATATGTTGAACCCCAAAAAGAGGGTTGCGTTACATTCTCTGGCTTCCACAAGGCATATCAGCACATCCCATCCTTCGCAAAACGAGTCGACTTCAGATGCCCGGCCAAGGAAGAATCCAAATTACCCAGATCCCCGTGTGGTTTATAGGGCGCGGAATAGAAGTCTCTTGATGTACACCTCCGCCATAGTTAGTCTCGAAACTCATTCAAGGAACTCCATGTTCATTCCTGTCTTTCCACTGTCATGAAGTTCATTACTTCCTTAGGGCTGGCGTATGCAGCCGTCCCCCTATACCGAGCGTTTTGCTCCGCGACCGGTTTTTCGGGTGTTCCTGTAACAGACGCCAGATTCGGAGCGGAACGTCTTGTCCCGGTTGAGAAAGCTAAGCGAATAAAAGTCCACTTCAATGCAGACATTTCAAAGTCTCTGCCTTGGTCTTTTACTCCCCAACAAAAATTCGTTACCGTGCTACCTGGAGAGACAGCCTTAGCATTCTACACTGCCAAGAATACTTCGGACACGGACATTATAGGGATTGCTACATATAATGTCACCCCAGCCAAGGCATGTATGTCACTCGCTTCTGATACATACCTTCAATCATACTCTTCTGTCAGGTGGCGCCGTATTTTGCTAAAATAGAATGCTTCTGTTTTGAAGAACAGAAACTCCTCGCTGGCGAGGAGGTGGACATGCCCCTGTTCTTCTTTATAGATAAAGACTTTGCTGATGACCCTTTGATGCGTGACATCGATGACGTCGTGCTGTCATATACCTTCTTCAAGTGAGTTCAGTTATATTGTTATATGGTTGTCTCATTGAAATCATTTGTCAGAGCGAGGCGCAATGAACGCGGCGTATTGGAACCTGATGCTGATCAAGCAACTTTGGATAAAGCAACTGGTTTTTCAGAGATTCAAAAAGTCAATTCAAGCTAATCTATGGTGTACACATCAGCATTCCCAACTCCCGCTCATAGACGATGTCAATCTCCACCCCTTTCTTTTTTGAATTCTTCTACGTATTTCTCTTCTGCCTCTCCCTTGGCGACAACAACAAAACTTAAACACCCGTCTTTCGCCTCGAGACCATCCTGTACGCCATCCTTCACGACGCCAGCCTTCAGGAAAATCTCTGCCAGGGTAAGCTTCAGTCCTACTTTCAACAGCCTTTGCGTCCGTGTGACAGCATAGACTGAGACATTATCCCACTTGTACTCTCCTTTGACATCCCAGGCTGGAGGTCGTCCATCTTCAGGAAGAACTTCGCGCAGTTGGTCACGGAACGTCGAATGTTCAGGGAATTGGGAAATGAAGTCGGATTCTTTATATTGGTGATAAAGGAGGTATATTGGGAAGAGGATCTGTGTTGTCGGTGTGTATGGTCTGGGGCTACTCGGATCGAACTGAGGGACAATTCGGATTTCGTTGGGCTGACTGCTCTTGCTGAACGTCAAATGCCTGGCCTACAAAGCGGCATCATCTCACGGACGGGGCATGGGGTATTTCTGACCTGACCGTACTTACTGCGCATGCGAGCTTCAATAAATCCAACTCTTTCTTTGCTTCTTCAACCTTCCGATTTGCTTCAAGCTGCTTCTGGTTTCTCTTGTCGTTAGTTTTCTGTATCTCCCCGGATAAATCCTTGACAGCTGTGTTTGATGGGTCAAACTCCAAACATCGTTGACAAGCCTTCAGAGCGTCGTCTAACTTGTCAAGTTTCAAAAGCGCTTTCGCACATCGATACAGTGCCTTTGATGACTTTGGGTTGAGCTTCAACGCCTCGTTACAATCCTTCACAACCAGACCATAATTTTCTGTCACCCAGAGAGGACCCCAGGAAATGGAAAGAAAGGAGTTCTTCATTGAGACTTCAGCAAGGAATGGAAAGAAGTAAGGGTCTAAAAACGTACGAAATTCCAAATTGCAGGCTGCCCTGTTGCAATACAGCGCCTCCAGCAAGACAGAACTCGTGGGCCCCGCCTCTACCCCTTGTGAATAGAATGAAGCGGCTTCTCGATACCGCTTCTCCCTGAAATGTTCGTTCCCCTGATTCTTGAAATTCTCCGCTCGCTCTGATAACGATACCACCCAGGAAGCCCAAAACCAAACAGACATTAGATACGATGCGATGAAAGGGAAACAAATATTGCCCATCAGACTCACCGTCAGGCGGCCCTTCATGTACCAAAGCCTGTAGAGCAGCCAACTGTGGATTATCTTCATAATTTTTTGGAAGTTCTGTCATAAACAACGGTGTATCGTTCCATTTCTCATCGGACACCGCCTCTCGCTCGTGGGGACCAGAAGCCATGGTATGGTTCCACGCTGAATTCACAATAGCCTGCACTAGGCGGCAAATTCCCACGTTCATGGCTTCGCTCATAAATCATCGTGAATACAAACTTGCTGAGGGCGGCCTGACACTGCTGTGATGTCCGACTCTGCGACGAATCCGCCGAATGACACACTCCTTAAAAGTTGTTGCGCTCGCCATACATGCCGCATTTAACGTATTCATTGAAACTTATGTAGGTTTACTCGATCGTCCCGGAAATCTAGCATTATCAATGTAGCACGTTCCCGGCCAAGTTTCGTGCGTTTCAGGTCCATCACTTGCATGTATTTCCACACAATGTCGGTGCATGACGTTCGCCCTTGAACATGGAATAATATTCGAAAAAATGTCTTTTCCCGATTCATCGGTTGCATCCTAGCTGTGGCCATATGGAGGGAATCCGAGTCCTTTCGGATGGACTTGGGACGCAGGATTCCATCTAGAAGGAAATTGTGGCGGGTTCCACTAGAAACTACACGTCAAATCTGGGTATCTTGTTAATTCTCGCCACTTTTCTGCAATGACAGCACGCCATTCAAAACTGGATGCCTCTTCAGCCAAAGCTGAAGTTACTAATCATGCCCATCCTGAATCGTAATAGCAACTTTCAGGTCATGTCAAAGCAGCCCCTGAACCACGATCAAAGTTGGGCATTCTCCTGGGGGGGGAACTTGCTTTTGGAGTCTCGACTTAGTGCTAGGCCATCGCGCCGCGCCTATCCTGAACTATGACAAGCGATGACTCCAAAAGTCTTGACTCGGAGAATGAATGCACGCAACTGACTACGCTTTTTGGTCCTCTGACCCCAGGTCCATGATCAGTAGCCACCCCTTCACAGTTCCATGCAAACACTTAATGACGAGGCACTCAAAAGGTTTCAGTCAGTACAAGCATCCCCATGCTACGGATCTGACTAAACATGCTCTACATATATACGCGATGCTGACCTGGATGGGTTCCATTCAAGCATATTCGATCCTCCAGCCAACACTCCCGGGCCAACTCAATGCAGGATGCCGTCCAATCCACACACAATTAATTGTCTCATAACAAGCAATGTTAACGACACGGGGGACGAACCCAAAAAAAAAAAAGCGGGATGGAAGGCTACATATCTACGAATAGTCGCTAAAACAGTGCAATGCGTTCGAACGCCTCAGTAGCACCTTTTTCTGGGAAAGAAAAGAGAGCTTTTACAGCTTGCTCTTTCCTTGCCCAACGTAATCAGCCAACCTCGAACGTTTGCTTTGCCTAAAGAAGAAAAAGGATATCAATAGGAGACTAGCAAAAGCAGGAGAGGACACTACTAACCCAGAGTGTGCAACAGCCAAAGGTGTATTCTTCCTATCCACTTCTTTAGGTTCCTCTCTCTTATAAATCGGCACATAATCACGCTTGCCAGATCCGAGATAAATCTAAAAAAAGAAGAAAATACAAAGCAAAAAATTTGTCAAGCCCAGCAAGGAGAAAGAAAAAGAAAATCCAACCAACCTGACGAGGACGCCAAATCTTCACGCCACCTTCTTGGTGCATCATCTGTCTCCAATGAGCAAGCCAACCCACCACGCGCGGGACGGCGAAAAGAACCGGGAAGAAATCCATTGGGAAACCTTTGGTTGAGGAATTGGCAAGCAGCAACACGATCAGCGGAGGTTAGATTCTTCCAAAGCAACAAGCGACTTACCCATTGCGCGATAGATCAGCCCACTGTTAAAAACGAAGATCAATGCAAATGACGTCGTTTAGCCCATCGCAATGCCATGCCATGGCAAACGGGTGAAAAAAGGTGAACGCACCTCCAGAAATCAACGTTCGGGGCAAGTTTACGCGAGACGAAGTACTCATCCTTCATCGCAACGTCGTGAAGAGCCATAGCAGTTTCCAATAGCTCGTCTTTTCCAGTTCTATGTGTGCGTGTGGAAATATTTTGGTCAATAAGGATGACGCAAACGAGACTCCCCCCCTTACACGGCGAAAACCTCATCAGCAATGCGTCGAATGATAAACGACCGAGGATCTGACTATAGAACATAAAATCATAACCAGATAACCCAGTTAGGACATCAAAAACCATGAGCCGAGGAAGACGAACCGTCTTGTAAACGCTAAAAGAAGTTCATCCACAAGAGACTTAACGTTCTGCCCTCACCCTCGAGGATACCAGTTAGCACTCACCGGTGCCAAATCCTGATAGGACCCTCTCGCGTTTCTTCACGGCTGCGATGTACGCCGGTACGTTCGCTGGACTGCCAATGGCGACAAGCATACGGATGACAGCCTCATTGGCCCCACCTAAAACGCGAGAAGCAGATACATACATAAGAAAATCCGGTATGAAAAAAAAGCAGAAGGGCAGACGAACCATGAAGAGGGCCATAAAGCGAAGCACACCCAGCACTACATCCCACCAAAAAAAGCACATCCACCAATCAGCACCATAATTCACCCAAGGAGAATAGTTTTCCCTTGCTCACGCCACAGCAGAATAAGGATCCACCAATGAGCTCCCCGTCTGTAACACCGTTGTACTCGACGCGTTCAACTCATGATCCGCATGCAATATGAACAGGACATCCAACGCCCGTTCGAGGACAGGATTAGGACGATATCGTTCCTCTCCCAATTTATCTAATTGATAGAGGAATGAACCTGTGTAGGAGAGACCTGTTGGTGGGGTGACGAAGGAGCGACCTTGACGGACTCGGTACGCCATTCTGCGATGAAGATGGTTTATGTTTTTGGCACAAAAATTCCAAATGGGGAATGAAAAAAACGTACGCAGCGAGAGTAATGGCTTTACCGATGAGTCGGTATATTTGTTTATCCATATTGGCCAGAGATGCCTGATCCGTTTTTGTGAATAGCGCTTGACCTACCACCGGATGAAAGAGACGTCGATTTCAAGCAAAGGTCAGTACGTGCGATCACGCCCTACATTCTCGCGAGGTATGCGAGGGCAAAGAATTCTCACCTTGTAACGAAGGATTTGCCTAATTGAAGTGACGTGAATTCTTCCAGAACAAGCGTCAAGGACTGCGAGTCTAACACTACTCACCTCCTCATAAAAGCTCCCCAACGCCGCAAACGCACTGCTCAAAATCGACATCGGGTGTGCATTGTACCGGAACGATCGGAACAAGTTCTCCGCATCCGCATGGACGACGCTATGGTGCATGACTTCATGTTCGAACATTTGGAGTTGCGACTTGGGTGGTAACTCTCCATAAATAAGGAGATATGAGACTTCTAGGAAGTTGGAATATTCTGCGAGCTGTTCGATGGGGTAGCCACGGTAGCGGAGGACTGAAGTTAAAGGAAATGGTGACCGTTTCCAACTGAGGAGTCGTAGCGAGGCGAATCCTGCTCACCTCCGGCCTCGCCATCGATGTAGGTGATCTTGGAGGTGATAACAGCCGTATTTAAGAAGCCCTTGTCATGAACTTTAAGACCCCTCTCAGTCTCGTTCTCTTCTCGTTCACCGGCTTTCCTCGGAGCTTTGACCTGCTTGAACGCTGTCGCAGGAATGGCATTATTCTTAATACTATTGCATGTAAGTCGGAAAACCGGAATAGCCGGTGACGCCCCCGCGAAGAGGTAAAGGAAAGGAGCTTAGTACTCGAACGTTTCATTCGCAACGAACAAGCATGAACGTACGGAATAGAATACGTCTTTCCGGTACGCTCATCGATGACGGTGAGCGAATCGGAAGGTTGCTTATGGAGAGGGGCTTTCGTAACCATGATAGTATCGAGGAGCAGAAGCAAGGCGAGGAAGCACAGCAAACGCTAGGCAGGATCCCAGAGCAAACACTAGGTAGAAGGGAGAGTAACGACGCGTGTTACAGTAATTATTGTGGGGGGTGGGATTGATGTTGGCGCGGTAAAGTACCCGCGACCCAACGCTCGGCATACAAATACATTTTTCTCAGATCCCCAACTTTTTTGGTGACGAGCCACTCAATGGGGTTCAGGAAGGGAAGAAGCCGGAATTCACATGATACGATGTGATCGGCTCGGAAGGCTCTTGCACGCTCAACGACGTGCTTTGATGGAGAATGCCGGGTATCGATTTTGTCTATTTGTCTATACAAGTCATTAATTTGAGAACGCTCTGTTTTATCTGTCGCTGACGAGATTCACGCTCGTAGTTTGGGAAGAAAAGAGGAGAGTGGCAGAAAGGAAAAAAAGAACAAAACTGCGGCACTCAGGATTCCCATGTAGTCTCCTACCATGGTACTAACTGAGCAATACTCGGCTTAACTTCGCAGATCAGACGGGATGCGGTGCTTTCCGAGTCCTATGGCTGCAGATGGCACAGTCCATATCCCCACGTCTGATGAATATCTATACTGCTAGTGGCAGTCCGTTGTTAGCGTGGGTGCGGTCCTCAGGACAGCTGAGACGAAGGAGGGTTAGAATTCGTTGGGGAGACCTATATCTACATGCTTTTCAATTTTGTCTGTCAACCCCCCAACAGTATACATATTCATCGGACGTGGGAATATGGGTTGTGCCATCTGTGGCCATAGGACTCGGAAAGCACTGCACCCTGTCTGATCTGTGAAGTTAAGCCAAGTACTGCTCAGTTAGTACCATGGTAGGGGACTACATGGGAATCCTGAGTGCTGCAGTTTTTTGTTCTTTTTTTCATTTTTTCCCTTTCTACCACTCTTCTCTTTTCTTCCCAAACTGCGAGTGTGAATCTCGTCAGTGACACAATTCATGGGAATTCTGCAAATGTATTGACCTCTTCTCTGCACATGTCCTTTCTGGCTCATTTTTCCCACTACTTCGTAGCGGTGTAGGAGAAATAACGGTCACACTATGGAAACCCATTATGGAAATATGCCAGATAAATCACAAAACCTCATACGACAAGTAGATATGAGAAAAACAGAAGGACACGAATTTTTACGAATTTTTACGAATTATTATGACTATACGCGATAAATTGAAAGAAAGAAAAATAGCAAAAATACTTCAAGCTTACCATCAACGAGACGGAATTCCTGGGGGAATTTATAGCAAATATTAAAACAAGAATTAGGACAATCGACCAAGATTTGACTATAAAAACAATCAGAGAACCTCCACGGAAACTACTTTCCCACGTCTGCACATGTAGCCAAGGATGGAAGTACCACGGAACAAGGATTTCTCAGGAACTAATGCAAAATTCAAAGTCGTGTTTATAATAGGAAATGTAGATGTCCCCCAAACGGACCCAATGAGAGTAATTACAGGGGAAACTACCCATAAACGACGGAGATATGACTAAAACTCCTGCAAAACGAGGACAATATCTAAAAGGCAAGCGCGAAAATTAACCAGTAACGACCGAGACAAGCTTGATAGGCCATTAGAAAGGAAGGGATCTAATCTTAATCTTCCCAAATTTTCATAATAAAAGGATCATGCGTTAATGAGATATCCAATAACGGGAATAGCGACATCAAAAGTCCGAGCTCAGGGAAAAGACGATGTTTGCGTAGGATCCATAATTAAAACATACAACGAAATTTACACGGAAATTATGAAAAATGGGGAACTATAGTTATGCAAATTTTCAGCCCAAACGGTCCAGCCGTTGTGAAGTTATACCCATGACGGGAATATAGAAATCCGCATCATGTGTAATGACACGTGAGGGTGGCGATGCGCAGGGAACCGGCCGTTGGAACCGAGATCTGCACTTCGGCAGATTGCGAAGACCAATTTCCATCCAAATAAGGAAGAGCCCGGTCAAAACAAAGCACGGAAAGTGCAAAACAACCTTAGATCATGAGGGAAAAATCTGAAATAAATCACAGAAGCCCATATGAAAGAAATAAAAACCTGCGCATATCATAAATCCCGAACAATTAAATGGAAACGGCGCCCGCATACGAACGACTATGGGAATGACGCATGTGATTACCGAATGTGCACGCGAACTTTTGCTAACTCAACGAATACCAGGAAATAGGACACAACCTTAGTACCATTGGAAAGGTGGGAATAAATGAAAATTTATGATACCAAGAACGTGAGAAAACATCCAGAAATGAATGAGATATAGGGACATGAAGTTAGAAACCTGAAAACGCGCGGGAAAACAGCTTCAAGAGGTCCAGAGTCCTAAATAAAATACATAAAAATATGATATCTTCAAGGACGACCTACTACAACAATGAACAATACATATGGAGGATTAGGATGTGATAATACAAAGGGGAATCAGGGAATATGAACGAAATTCACGAAAACCACTAAACTACGACAGACCATGGCGGGAATTTTAGGGAATGATATTCTAATGAGGTGGAGAGCTATAACACATTCGTTTGAGTAATTCTTGACTACTAGCAACTTTTTCTTTCAGTTTTAATCTCAGTTTAATCCCATTTCACGTGACTAATCAGGTGGATCCGCGCGCGCCTCAGAGGAGGCCATCTTGTTCTGCACTGTCGCAGTGCGGATGGAACAAGACGGACGAAACCCTCCTCCGGGCCCAAACTTGGTCTCAGACCAGCTGCGGGAAGAGACAAGTTGCATCCGGGAGCGAGATAAATAGCGCACCTTATCCACTCCCCACCTGCCTGCGCAATCGTACTACAACGTCTAACTGGTAAGTTAACGGTAGTGCGATGAGGCTTCTAACCGTGTGTGCTGGCCCTGCTCCTCAGGCCTGCACACGGTTATCCCTGCTCTCGCTATCCACTAAACGCGCGCTTACTCTTACTTTCATAGTTCTTAACTGAATCTCCGCGCTTCCCACCTCCTTCCCCATCGCCTCCGTTGCATTACATCATTTTTTCACTTGCTACCCCCTCCTGCATTTGCTATTAATGTATTTAATTAACGTACAGCTCGCATCGCTGGCGCACAATCATACGCATTGCAGGTCCATATGGACCATGTCCACTAACTCATGGACCGCTCACGGAACCGAACTGATTAGACCTGAATAATTCACTCATTTACCATTTCAGTCTCATTTTAACTAAATGTCACTAAATAAAAATGGAATAAATCAGCTGAAGGTCTCAGCACAGCCATACGCATAGTAATGCGAAGTTTGAATTCAGAATCATTGAGTCATAGCAAATTTAATGGTATATATAGGGAATTTGAAATAGGTAACTGCGGCAAATGCAGCACAGCTGTTAGAACGCGGGGATTCGGACGACTCCGGAGTGGAATCGGAGACTTAGCATGGAAGGACCTCGGCCTCAGCGACTCAGGTGGAGCGCTGTGCCATTGCTGGTTGTCCTGGGGGTCCCTAATTTCGGATCTAGCAGAGGGAAAGTCTCTTGGGGGATTCAAGTCGATTTCGGACTGAGGTTACAAGTTACTAGGTACATTGTATATAAGGAGGGGTCCGGAATCAAAAGGAACAAGGGTAGGACAAAAGGAGACAAAGGGAGATGGAAAGAGGAACAACACCGAGGGTCAAGTGTTTGACTCAATGGTGTTTCCCAAAGGAGGAATGAAGGGCCAAGGCCCAAGAAGGAAGGAAGGAGGATGGGAGTCGGGAATGGCTAGCTGACTGAATAGAAAGGAAGCAGCAGCCCAAATAGGAATGAGGGAGAATAGCGGAATTGAAATGGACAATGCAATAGTTGCAAGGTCCGGAGTAAGTCCGGAAAGTCCGAACTCGGAGGTTAAATTCCGGAATATTGGCAAAGGTAATTAAATGGAATGAGCTAACCAATACAATGGGTATAAGCGGAGGTGGGGTCAAAGTCTGAGGTCGGAGCTAAGACCGGAGGTTCCGGAGACGAGACGTGAACGGGATACCGGAGCGGAGGTCTGGAGTCGGGAGCATAGGTTTTGCGTACTCATCTGGAAGGTGTCGAGGTTGGGGTCGGACCCGGAATGTTCTGGAGTTGGACTGAAGGTGGTGTCCAAGCCGGAGGTGGGATAACCTCTTGGGAGTCGGCAAGGAGAAGGTGACGGAAGGGAAGTAGGGCTCTGGAAGTCGGAGTTCGGAGTTCCGGGAGCCCGGAGCGGAGGTCGGGATTGTATGGATATGACAGCAGCCAAGTTCTAATTAACCATTAAAATAGCTTAGGCGAGGGAGGACAATAAGGATTCTAGGCGCAGTCTGACCGCAGTAGAACTGCAGTTCAGCGCAGCAAAAGTGCAGTAGAACTAGAGCGTGAAAATTTCATTTTTTATTCAGTTTGAGAAAAATACACTGTAAATAAATCCTGTAAATAGAAGGTAGAGCGTGAAAAAGGAAGGCGACCCAAGGAGTATAAAAGGGAGACCCTTTCTGCGACTTTTCACCCCCCTTAGAGAAGTAAGAAAATAGAGTATTATTTTTCTCAAGCATTTCTGGTTGTCACTCCAGTGCGAAAAAGTGATATACAGTTAAGATTGCCACTGTAGTAAAAGGCAGCAATTAAGGAGAGAAATATTAAGTAGATATTTCAACAGGAGAGCTGGTTAACACTCCAGATTTCAAAGTGTAAACACAAAACAGTTATCTTGCTACTGTTAAAACAAGCAATAAAATAAGACAAAAATAAAACAAACCCAAGGGACACTCCAGACACAATCCAAATTCATTAACTGAATAGAATCTTTGAAACTTCACCAAGTAGAAGATTAAATTCAAGTTTAAATCCAAATTAAACAACGCTACACAGAATTACACCTAGACAAATTAAGAAATTTCAATAAAGAAACAGCTCCGCAGGGCTTGGTTTATCTGTAAGTCAATTCCCAGGAACTTTAAAACTAACCCATAAAAATAGAATTAGCCAAAACACTCGGATTGGTACTATATTTACAATAAATAACACTAGTACACTTCCCCATCCTAACTAAAGAACCAGGGAACAGCTTGGTGGTGGTCTCGTTTGAACCTCCCAACTGACCTTCCTTCGTTCTCTCCTTCAGCGGGTTCTGCACATTTAGGCCCCACAAGTGCTGTTCACAGGATCCTTTGTGGCCTAGGGTCCTGTCACGGCCGTGCATTCCGGCCCGTTAGCTGCCCGTCCCGATGCCGCCCGAGCCCATTACCGCTATGCGAGCGTGAGCGTGAGCCCTGACCTCAGCCCTATCCTTCATGAGGACTCCCTGCTCACTCCCCCACTTGCCCCTAGGCTCCCCTGCACCTGGCCGACTCCCCCACAGCCCCACCAACCTTCCCGCCCCGAGTCCGCCTCCGGCACCATGCCCAGCGCAACTCCCCTACCCCGCCCACTTGGCCCCTACAGGGCCGCTATCATCCCCGCGCCCGACTCCGGCCCAACTCCGAGTCCAGCGCCGCTACGATACCATCGCCGCTATCGCGGCCCTACGCTCTTTCCTTTATTTATCTGTTATTGTTTGTTTTGACCCTCGGTCATTGCCGGCCACTATGCAGCCAACCCCGCTCCTTATCCTTGTTTGCTTCCGGACCCTTCGGCCTTTGGCCCGGGTCCGCTTCCATTCATTTCTTCCTCCTATATATATCCTGTATGATACTTTATTGTACCTTAGCTCTAATATCAATGTGACCACGACCCCTAAGTCCTGACCCCAACAAGGCAACCCCAGTGAGTCCGAAATGAGGGCCAAGAGACAGCTAGGGGGCACAGCACTCCCTTTAGAGTTGCTGAGGCCAAATGCCCTACCCTCGGGCCTTGTCTAAGGCATCGCGGCCATCACGGCCAATAGCGGCCCGCATCGGCGACCTTCGGTGCCGACCCCGGACCAGTGTCTAACAGATCCAACACACTGACCTGCATTTATTACAATGCAATCTGATGGCTCACGTCATGAATTACAACATTGCGACGCCATCCATGCTATCTGATCACCGAATACCCCACTGACACTCCTGTGAATATGAACTTTGATATCACTGGAGTTGTTCCACGATCAATGATTGATTCTTCACAGTAACTAGATCCTTCGGTCCTCCTGCATGCCCTGCAACACCATTCTCTCTTTGCTCAAAATGTGAATTTGCGTTCAAATTCCCTGCTTCACCATCTGACTCACAACCTGAAATAGAAAAAGATTTGAGATAACCATGAAGTCTCTGCATGAACGTGCCAACATGAAGACAATCACGAGACTTACATAGTCATACAACATAGGAGAGTACACACCCGAAGGCTCCCTGGCCTTGTTAACTAGAAATGGCTGCCGTGCAGCCCTGACCTTGCTTGTGATAAGGCTTCCGCATGTGAGGTTAACCGCCACAGTGGGTATGACCACGGTTTAGAGGCCGAATTGGAAGTGATGCAAATGGAGTTAGAGGAAGCCATAGTGTGTGCAGGAAGAGTCACATTTCAAACTGAGATTGGAATAATGAGTGAAGAAGAGGAATGTGCAGTGTTAGTACTCACAGAGAGCCGACTGGGTGTCTGAAGTCTGAGCTAACATAGTCATACGAGGGGTCAAGTGATTTGTCTCATTGCAGTGGTACTACAGCGGAAGTGATTGTCATATTGGGAAAAGAGGACCTGTTAGACACTGGTCCGGGGTCGGCACCGAAGGTCGCCGATGCGGGCCGCTATTGGCCGCGATGGCCGCGATGCCTTAGACAAGGCCCGAGGGTAGGGCATTTGGCCTCAGCAACTCTAAAGGGAGTGCTGTGCCCCCTAGCTGTCTCTTGGCCCTCATTTCGGACTCACTGGGGTTGCCTTGTTGGGGTCAGGACTTAGGGGTCGTGGTCACATTGATATTAGAGCTAAGGTACAATAAAGTATCATACAGGATATATATAGGAGGAAGAAATGAATGGAAGCGGACCCGGGCCAAAGGCCGAAGGGTCCGGAAGCAAACAAGGATAAGGAGCGGGGTTGGCTGCATAGTGGCCGGCAATGACCGAGGGTCAAAACAAACAATAACAGATAAATAAAGGAAAGAGCGTAGGGCCGCGATAGCGGCGATGGTATCGTAGCGGCGCTGGACTCGGAGTTGGGCCGGAGTCGGGCGCGGGGATGATAGCGGCCCTGTAGGGGCCAAGTGGGCGGGGTAGGGGAGTTGCGCTGGGCATGGTGCCGGAGGCGGACTCGGGGCGGGAAGGTTGGTGGGGCTGTGGGGGAGTCGGCCAGGTGCAGGGGAGCCTAGGGGCAAGCGGGGGAGTGAGCAGGGAGTCCTCATGAAGGATAGGGCTGAGGTCGGGGCTCGCGCTCACGCTCGCATAGCGGTAATGGGCTCGGGCGGCATTGGGACGGGCAGCTAACGGGCCGGAATGCACGGCCATGACAGGATCGAATGATACAGTTAGTACGTTTGTGTCATCCGAACTTGAGTCAAGGATGAAGTGCAAACCTTGATGATAAAAGAAATTCCATGTACCAGCAGTCTGGCGGCTGTCTGAGTCATTGTTGAGGGGTGAGATTTGCTTCTGATGTGAGTGTCAGGGCATGCCCCGACACGCCCCGCCCGATCCCCGCTCCGCCTCCCCGCTCCGCACCGCCTCTCCCTCCTCTCCCTCTTCCTTCCTCCTGTTCTCCTTTCCTCTTTTCTTTCTTTCTCTCTTTCTCTTACACGGACCACCTTTCTCTCTGCTCAATGTATCATCGGCGCACACGCCCATCTCCCCTCCTGTATCTTACATCCCTACACTGCCGCCACCGCCGCCGCGCTCGCCTTGCACCCTCAGCGGGCCCTCTCGGGATCTTCCATGGAAGCACCCGGAGAGCCGTGGCTGTGTGCAAGGGTGACGTGGCGCACCCCACGTGATCATTCCCGCATGTATATAATAACAGCTGGAGTGGGAACCGAAGAAGTAGCCTTCTTCTCACATTTCCACTTCAGGCAAGTAGTGTAGCATTCCCCTTTAATGATGACTCACATTTCCACTTCAGACTAAGTGGTCGGGGACGCTCACCCTGCGACGGGATCGCCGCTACGCATAGCCGTCATCCGTCCCACCGAGTCCCGCACGCCGGGACCTCACCGCTTTCGGAGCTGTCCCTGACAGTGAGGTGTCACGACCTGGTGTTCCCCAGCGTCAGACGACCTCCTCCCCAACCTTCTCTCTCGCCCGAACACTCCCCGCACACTCCGCTCGCCGCCTGTTGCCGCCTAACCACTTCCCACCAACCCCTCTCCTAATTGTCATTGAACGACCTAGCGGCGCAGAGTGCTGCGACCCCTTGTCCCAGTTTCACCGCACCTTGTTATCTCGCGGCGAAGGTCACGTTTGACCTTTGCTGTCTTGAACACGTGCTCCTTGTTTGTTTTCCTTCTTCTTTTCTCCGCCCGCAATCTCCGTGAGATCTGGTGACTTATTCCCTATTCAGTTCCCTAGCGCTTACTGTACTAGCATGACCAACAACCGGTAACGCGTAACGCGAGGGTCTTGGATTGAATTGAAACTTAATACAACTGAATTGATTGGCAGCCTCCGGCAACTCCCGGATGCCGTGGGAACCGGTTGTTGGTCGTGCCAGTACAGTATATACAGCTTGTAACTAATGCTTGTACTGTAGTTTGAAATCAACTAGACATTCACCCCTAAGCTTACTTCTGTTCCCGTAAGACCTCCGACCTTCTGAAGTATTGGGACTGCATCGAGAACAAGGTGCAACGCTCCTCCTTGAGTCATTGAAGCCGAAATCCTGGCTCTCTCACCTAAGTAGCCTCGGCCTCAAGATTGGTGAGGTTATTCCTCGCTGAAGCTCGGTCATGTATAGGACACCTGCATCACCAGCGGGCAATGTTCGGTCGCCTACAGCTACCCTCGGCGAACCTTTGCACGGTTCTGACATGAGGTCACGTCAAGTGCGCTCTAAAGCCACGGAATGATTGACAGACGAAGACCGGGGGGGGGTCTGGCACTTGCATAAGTGGTCGCTCGCAGCGCGGCTAGCCAATGAGAGAGCGAGAACGCACTTCAATGCACTGGTGAGACTCTGTATATTGAACGGTTCCAGGGCGTGCAGTGTGTGTGCCGTCGCAGTGCCATCGCAGTGGTATAACCTGGCAGTTGGGAACACAGCCAAAGTGCGAATGGATGTCAAATGAGCAATGTCGGGGACGTCAATCCCAATTCCGGCGAAATGGGAGCCAATGAGAGGAGCGCGTCGGAACCGACCCAACTCGGGGTTAAGGTTAAAACCTCAAAGAGCGAGGCTTGAGCCAATCAGAGGGCGAGAAACAGTCGTCCGGCTGGACCCGCGCTATTAGTATAAGTTAGATGAGCCCAACCCAATCAGCTTGGTTATTTTTAGTCGCAGTAAGTTCCGACTCCTCCAACAAACGACCTCATGTAGCGGGAAGAGTGAGGAAGGTAGTCAGACAAGGTAAGCAGTTAACAGCATTTCAATAACACCCTCCGTTCTTCCTACTCCACTGACCCTCCCATTTTCATAGACAACAACACCATTCTCCTACTAGTCCAGATTGCTCTTGGATCTCGCTGTCTTCTTCGTTGGCGACTCCTAAGTGTCGAGTCAATTCGATCTGGGGAGATCCGATTCTCCCTGACTTTCCCAATCTAGATCCTAGCCCGATGTACTGATTACAGTCTCTACATATATTCGAGTTTGGCAAGTGGCTTGTCCCTCGCCTTTGCTATCAACCAGGGATCCCCCTTAGTGTGAACCGGTGCGTGTTCCCTGGGTACATGAGTTGAAGATGTTCATCTCCAGTTCGTCTGAGCAATTCTGCCACATATTCCTCTGTTGTTAGGTTAGCTCCCTTGGGATCACACGTTGGGGGTATATGGCTACATAGATGGAACAACGGGCTCATAATCAGTGCTATCTATATAAGATAGTATTGATTATGAGTCTGTTGTTTGATTGAATTTAATATCCTGACCACAACCTGATTTTCTCATACTTCGTGTCGAATTGTTTAACCATGAGCATGTGGATTGTGACTAGAGTGGCAACAAAGGCTGCAGCTGCAGTGGCATTGACCACTTTTTGGACGATGTACTTTGCCTTGTACTTTTCTTTGAGAGGATCGCAACAGCTCCTACAGAGATTCTCCAAAGGCTCTCCACTGGTCCACGCAGGCGTTCGTTCTCCAACACTTGTGTGGATCCTGTCACGTTTATCTCACCTGGCATCGCACTGCCCATTGGAGGCATCACCGTTGAAACTGGAAAAAAAAAAAAAGACTCCACATGAAAGAATCCTGTTGCACGTTCTTCCGAATTCTACAACGGCGAGATTGTGGACGAATCTTTGTACAGAGGTTCCGCGGATTTCGACGGTCATACGTCCGGAAATCGGGCAATGGACAATGCCCTACCTGGGGCTACCTCCATCAAAGGCGATTTTCACTATTTCTGCGCTCTCTCTCAGATATATTCAGGAGATTTGGCACTCTATATCTCCGCCAGTCTGCCCTCTCTTTGTTCTCAAGGCTCAAAACCGACTTTCCGCCCCTATAATTGAGAAAATCGCACCCCGAAAACAATCACCCATCACCGGCCGCCACCCCATCGCCGTTTAACGGCGATTGAGAAAGATTTCTTGGCACAGTGCCACTTGTACCTGTCGCTCCGCCACGTCAAATATCCTGATGACCAACAGTGGATCCTGTTCATCCTATCGCATATGAAGGAAGGGACGGCCGCCTTGTGGGCCTCCCAAAGGATCAACGCATACCTTTCCCCAAACGCTGCAATCCCGACACTCGAGAACTTCCTCCAAGAACTGAAGGAAATGTTTGCAGACCTGAACCGCACGGTGACGGCGATGCAGAAGTTGTCTCTCCTCATATTCCCGAGCACCAAGCCACAATAATAGAACTGCCGGACTCATTGCTATTGCTTTTTAACTTCGAAAACTGAGTCCACACGAAAAGCGTCCGAGATGGATCTGAAATTGAACCTCTGCTTCTCTCACCAAATGGTTGTGCGCCACTTCCGAACTGCTACCTAGGATCTAAATGGGAGAATACTCCGTCGCTGCTGATCGGCAATGGTGGGCTCGGGCTCAGCACCAGCTCAGGCCGGCCCCGGCTTTTGCAAGGGAAGCAAATCTCTACACCCTGTACATTAACAGCAACCTAAGGCTACAACATGGTTGGTTACATGCTGGGGTAACGAAAGACCCCGTGAAGGAAATAGAAAACAAGCAGTCGGATAGCCGTAGGTCCATGCAGAAGACTGGGTATAATGATGCATCGCAATGAATCAGGGGTGTGTACTGTGATAGATGAAAAGAATACACGCAAACGGATGCAAGTCTGAAGATGTGGGGATCCCGGAAAGAGCACGGTAAGAGAAAGTAGAGGAGAGAAGGAATGGGTTGGCATCACAAATCCGGTCGTTGCAACGACCCCGTAATGCATCTATCAATCAAACTCCAGCAGTGCATACTGAAATGGCTCACGGATCTCGACGATCATACGTCCGGAAATCGGACACGGTCCGCCATGAACAATGCCCTGCTTGGTACTCCCTCCATCAAAGGCGAATTGGGCCTGAGTCATGTTATACCCCAGGTCCCGGGGATCTGGAGAGGAAGATGAATGCGATGATGAGGATTGCGAAGACGGGGTATCTGACACGGCAAACTGTGACGGTGTTGGGAACAACGATGAAGTAGACATCTTGGAGGGCCCAGGGGATGTCCTCCCCACTTTTAGTTCTTGCTCCAAGCTAGACTTCTCCCCGAATACTCTATCATCCTCCTTTTTTGTCCACAGCGACGCATAAAGAGGTTGATAGCCCATCTCAACTACACCCTCCCTCAGATCTAACCCAGCGTTCACAGCGACCTGCACAGCGCCCTGTGGTGGATTCATAGCATCATCCACCACTGCAACTGCCGCCGCGATCCGGCGCGAAACCTGCGGTGCCGGAGTGGCAAAATCACCCGCAACACAAATGAAGGTATCAGTCCCAGAGTCATTTCCAGTGACCCTGTCTATGGGAACGACAAACGATCGATTCGAACGCATCCGGTTCTCACTGCAGCGATAGATTACACGGGGAACATCGTCTGTTGAGTCGATCACGACGTATATTGGAGGACTGTTAAAACTCGGGATGAAGTCCAACTGACCAAGGACGCGACGACGCAATGACAATTGTTTCGCATCGTTGTACGAGATCCAGTGGTCAATAGGTGAATAGTTGAAGACATGCCCTGTTTCTGGATGTGGTGTGTGTTCTAATAGATTTAATCCAGTGAGAGATATTTCGAAAGTATGACTCTGAGCGGTCAATGTTTGGATCGGCGATTTAGTGGGCTGAAGATTGGGAAATTCGAGTGCAACGATTTGGTCGCAGGACGAGGGGATCGTGAATATGTACGGTGGTCGAAGCCAAAGCTCAAACCCTAATCCAGAAGCCTAAATCACAGATTGAGCTCAAAACACCTGTTCACGGGGAAGAACACTTACCCAGCTTTGCTGATGCTCTTCAGGATCGATGATGGCCCACGTCCGCGCTCTCCAGTTCCATAAGCAGATAGATTCGACGGAATGAATACAAACATAGTCGCCCTCCATCACCTCGTCATGAGGACCTTCAAAGCGGGGAAGGTGTAGCGTCGCTGTGAGAGTAAATCCAGCTGCAGACGGCCACGAGAGGTGATAAATGCGAAAGACACTATCCGGCGAAGGGTGAGCCCCAACAAAGCGAGGTGATATCGCCAAGAAGAGGGTTTCGTGGATAACAACATCGAAGGAAAAAAGGCGCATGAATAACGACAGAAACAGGGAGCGGGGTAGCTAAAAATACTCACGACTGATGATTAGGATAATCACAAAAATGTGCCAAAACCACCACCTGCTCCGAGAGCGGATCATACTGCACTTTGAGATCCAACCCGCTCACATCCTTTTTCTCCCGTACCTCCACCTTGGCAATAGGATGTATGGAATTCGCCAATATCCCTTCACCTTGCTTCACATCACTTAAATCCCAGAAAAATATGGCGTCCATGAAGTCTCTAAACGATCCCGTCGTGAGCATGTATCTCCCACCAGGGAACAGCAAGGGCAGTCGACGCAGTTCGGTCCAATCTTGGCCGTACACCAGTTTAAACCGCGTGAATGCCATTGGAATCCCACCATGGGCCACGGTAGAACCAAAATTATTGACACCGCCAGGGCGGCCCGGGCTCAGGTGATGGGGGGCCGAAGGATTCATTCGTTGGAATCCTCCACGTAACCGAAAAGGCCTCGTAGCAATTTCCCTCAGTCGCGCAATACGTCCTGCCTCAGGAAGCGAATCCGCTTGCAAGAGCTGAGATTCAAGCGACCGAGGCGGAAGACACTCATCCTCACAACTCTTTCTTATAGTCCTCAACCAAATATAACGACTCCCATTCAACTCTCTATAGAGCCGCTTGCACGTCTAATGAGAAACGAATGTGCGTGTGCATGTGTACGTGTATGTATGTGTGCCGCCGCGCGCGGGCGGTTTGACAGAAAAAAGTAAGCGTCAGTTATGACCAGCTGAAGGACAAAAGTAACGGAAAACGCACCATGCTGAGCCTGACTATGCTCCCAGCATCCAAGAAACATAAGAGCTCAAGGACAACATCCAAAGATCTGAGGAGCGGCGGCATAGAGATATGCGACGCACACAGAGGTCTGGACGACTTCATCTTGGACCACTTATCCTAGTCAGCAAAAAAGCCTCTCTGAGCAGTAGAGCGCGGCTTGTAGGGGAAACCCGTTAACAGGCCGGTCCACAATGCTGCTCACAACCGGCAAAAAGGCGCAAGCGTGCAAGGGGATGAAGGTGGGACAAAGGAAAGGCACAAGTCCTGACCAATACAATGCCAGGATTTTAAATTCAAATCGGGGACTTTGCTCAAAAGGGAAGGGACACGTGCATCCAAAATGGGGAAAAGTTTAAAAACCGTCGAAGTATTTATGACTAGATTCAGATTTGGTCAAGCTGTCATGAACGCAGGATCTATGACACTGAATCTCGCGGTGCCCCGCACTTGCAACATTCACACATAATGGATCGTAAAATTTGTACTTGAAAGTTAGGAATGAAATGACATTAAGTATGGCAAAGCGAGTTCGGACCAAAAGCTGATTATGAAGCCGTAGGCGCTTTATACTACTTGGATTGGGGAGAGGCGGACAGGAAAGCACTTTCGGTTCCATTCCAGCAGGCAGGAAGTTCGCCCGCGCTGAAGCCGCGTTCGAGTGGAAAGGCGTAATGGGGGAATTGCACAGGAGTGATGTAAGAAGACGATGAGATAATGGTCATTGACACGAAAATGGTGTGATGAAGTGGCCATGACAGAATAAATATGGTTGATGATGTGTATGAGAAATGCGGTAGAATAGGATCCTTCTGAGTTGCTTGCAGACATCGAGACTCAGGAACTGGCGTACACAGTAGCCAGGAGAATAAGAAATTATGGGGTATCAACGAATCTGAAGCCAAAAGAGAAAACCTATCAGACCACGAAATCGCAATACGAACTTAAACAACGGCTCACCTTAGCCAAACACTCCCCTTTACGCACCGATCCAACAAAACCCTCCACAAAAAGCTCTCCTTTCCCTCCAACGCACCTTTCAACTTCTTCATCCCCTCAGGCGTCCCCTCAGCTTCGAGGAACCACTCTCCAGCCCACCCATCACCCAAGTCAACCCTCCTACCATCCCCATCTCTCCCATAATCATCCTGGTAAACCTCAAACCTTGCAATCCATGCGAGCCGATTAACGATGCGCGCAGGACCAAGCGCTCGAGTCCTGACCACATCGCTTTTCAACTCGATGAAGTTGAACTCCGCACCCTCCGCATCCACTGAAACTGCTGCACCTCCAATGTTCCCCTCTAAGGAGACCACATCGAAGAGCTTTCCCGCTTCTGACTCCACACCATTCAACCTCGCAACCTTCCTCCTCCTCCACGTACTCCTATCGTCAGAGGAGGTGCCGATTCCACTGCTCCCTCTTTGAACCTTCGGAATAACAATCCGATGTAACGGGTCGATCATAGCCATCGATGCACTCCCAACTCCTGCCACTCTCCCTATCACATGCGAGTAATACGTCGGACAAGGTATCTTAGCTATCGAACTCCATGTACGCGGGTCATTATTGGGAGAAAGAGGTGGCGGCGATCGTCGAGGGTTGAAAGGCACAAGTTTCGATCCGTTAAAGATTAACCATATAGGGTCGTCAGGGTCCGACGCTTCTCCGTGTTGGTGTCCCTGGTGGTGATGACGATGGTCGATGTGATGATGATGATGGTGATGAGGGACTTCATCAAGCTTATCCTTGATCCCAGAAGGCAACGCAGACCGTCGTGACGCAATCGCATCCGCGAACCGTACTGCCCGCTCTCTAGTAAATCCCACTTCAGATGGGGATCCGCTGCGGGCGGGGCTCCCACCCCCACTTTTACTCCCATTTCTGCTAGCACTAGACCCAAATGCAGAGCTTCCACCAACCGCAGGCACATACCCCAAATTAATGACTAAATCTCCAACTTCCAAGAAATCCCAAACACCCCCAATAGCGAGTTGCCTCTCACACTTGCCCACGACATCTCCATCATTCACCATCTCCGTACAGGGTACATACACCCGAAATATAGGTGCAAAGCTCCTCATCGAAGCCGTTAATAGTGCATGCGGATTAGGGAGAATATTTCGCACAGTATGACCAGTGGAAAGACGAGTAACAGCAGTGAAACCACCAGAAGAAGCCTCAGAAGGAGACGAAAGCGATGATTCATACGAAGAATTTGATCGAGTACGTGAACGGCTTCCCCAAGATGCCCGTCTACGAAGACCAGTCCCCCCAGAACTGGAGCTGGAATGGAACTTAAAACCAGAACTGCTAGTCAAAGTGGGAGTGGGAGGAGTGACCGTGAGTGAGGGTGAAGTGAACGATCGATGATGATACATCCCGCTATGTCTTTTCCTCGTCGTGGTCGAACTCGAGGTCGTGGTCGAGGTCGAGGTAGTGGTCGTGGTCGTGTTAGATCTCGACGTGGAAGCGGAGTCATGCCCACTCATCACCGCCAAACTCCCATATTCATCCGCACCCCCCACAGATCTCAACCCACTAGACCACGTCACTGAACTCGGTATTCTTGGCCCCACACCACCAGCGCCAACCTGAGGAACACCCGAAAAGCCCAAATCCTTCCTGTGTCCCTGCAGTGGCTGCTGACGGTGAAGGTCCGAATAGGGATGCGTCGTCCACTTGGGAGGAGGTAATGGTTTCTTCCTACTACCCGGGTTCTTCACCAGAGTATGTCCCTTAGTCTCACCGCTGCTGCTGCCTTCTCCAAAAACCATTGAACTCAACTTCGAAGGTGGCGAAGACGTCTCCTCCCTACTACTGAGTCTTCCTCCCTTCCTCCTACTTCCGTTCGTAGAGCTGGACGCACTACTACCGCCAGGTTCTCTCAAAATCCACGAATTAGAGCTCAAATGCCCATTCACGACCAACTCAGCCCCCAATTTCTCGTTACGAGAGGTGGGGAAATAAGATAGCGGCACAGGAAACCTCAACTCGGGTAATCCTTTCCCTTTCGATGATCTCTTCCGACGCTGATCCCTTCTTCTCGCGCTTCGGACAGTTGCACCACCGAAGGACCCCGCACCAACACCAAAACCGACACCCTCAAGAGAGTGCCAATCCCATTTCTCCCCTCCCCATTCTCTCTTCCCTCGTCCCTGCATCTGCTGTCGCAAAACGACCACAAACTTGGAATGACCCCTTGCCAACCGAACGAGTGCCTTATCCGCCCTCACACGGTCTGCCCCACCGTCACCATCATGGATTGAGGTCGGATGAGATCGTGATAGAGCATGGATCGCTTTCGAAGGGTACGTTGCCAAACTTCTCTGCTGCGAACGGACTATAGTCATTCCCCAACCAAATCAACCAAATCAGCCTCCGTAAAATACTCCTGCGACCACACGAACGCAAACAAAGAAAAAACAAGCACTCACCCAACACATCAATATCCCAAAACCCAATCCCTAAAATATCCACAACATCTCCATCATATCCTCCGTCATACCCACTCACAAATTTCGCCAACAAAACATCCAGTACTTTCCTATAATCTGCATCCGCGTCTGTCCCATCCCCTTCGAATGAGCACTTCAATGTCCAACACGTCTCATGCAGTGCCTTTACATCATCCCAATTCAACTCAGACAACACCACACGGAGTAGTCTAGGATTGGAGAGAATGATTCGAAGGTACGCGAGAATAGAGCGGCGACGACGGCGGCGGGGCGGCGATTGTTGTTGCTGCTGTTGTTTTGTCAGGACCAGTGGGGGACTGGAGCTAAAGTTGGAACTGGAACTGGAACCTATCTTGGCATGGGTTGCCTTGGCGCCGAGAATGGGTCTCGTGATGGACGAAAGAGTGGCTGTAGTGGTGGGAGCGGTGGAAGCATTGCTAGAAAGGGAGGGAGGGCTCGGAGATGACCGTTTGGGGGAATTATGCTCTGGACGATAATGCTGGTCCCGACGATCGTTAGGTCCTTGCAGTTTCACTGATTCACCATACTGATGATATCCTTTTGATGGAATGGACGAGAGGACCGGTGGATGCTCGGAAGATGGTAAGTGGCTTTGGACATTTGCCGAAGGGCGACGAGCAGTGTGAGGAGCCAAAGGTGTCTGAATTGCCGGTGGAGGAGATGGCGATGGCGATGACTGGTTCGGACCGGGAAGAGTTTTACTGGTTCTTAGAGTCACAGGAGATTCAGCATCAAGTCGTGTTGCAAGAGACGGGGGCGAAGCCGCTGTTGATGCCTGAGATTGAGGATGAGCTTGAGACAAGAAAACCGCTCGGCGAGTCCGAGTCGCTTGTGAGGTGAAGCAGCGGAAGTCGAAGACTGGAATGAGGGTGATGATGTCAGAGCTGGAGAGTGTGATGGTGATACGATGGAAACAGAAGAGTGAAGAGACGGAATGGAGGGGCGACTGTCAGGGGAGATGCTTCCAGTAGGCACGCCAGTACTCGAGTCGAATAGCAACGAAGGTGCACCCACAGCGTCCCTGATGCGTACATCACGAGAAGACGAAGATACGGAAGGAGATGCATATCCGAGCAAAGATGTCTCATGTCGTGAATCTGGAGTGTGTCCAGCCAGCGGCGGGGACATATTCACCGACGCCATCAAGGTCCTGACTCGCTCCTCCCAGTTCAACAAACACCCTATAGGTCTCCTGGGCGCTTAATGGGAGGCTTTGATGTACAAATGGCCGGGAAAGCTTATCGCTCAACAAGACAGATGGCTCCCTTCGGAGTCTGTTGGACTCAACAGACTTTGTGCTCGGTATATGTGATGCGTGCGTAAAGTCAACCGATCAGAGTGGAATAAACTAGGCGTTCCCGACGCGTGTACGTGTACGTATAGAATGCGTGCTGGCGTACAGCACGACAATGAGGCAGACCTGGGAGGGGTAGTGTCACCTTTAACGAGAGCAGCAAAAGCGTAAGAGTCCTTTAGTGGAGACCAGGTGGAGTGAGTGTGAGCGAGACCTTTTGAAGGAACCAAATATTTAATAAATCCATTCTACATTATTTATGAATGGCGCTGGTGAGGAGAAGAGGGAAAAGCTGACACAAATTGATTCCCACAAAACTGATTCATCGACATCAACAACATCAAATCAGACTTGATGCCACTGCTGTTGCGACCCAATCCTGTTGCCACAATATTGCAGGCATAAATGAGACCATGGCTTGGGAACGACAACACGGGAAGGTTCTCTCGCTCTGATCGATGACCAATCGATTTGTGGTCATGCTTTTCACTACAAGTCACACCCCGCCACAGCAACCCACGTATGGCTGTTCCGCGGGCTCCATGCCTTGCCGCAACTTGAACGCTGAACCCGATCAAGAACTAGAAGAAGCTGCCAGCACCGGTCCTACCCTATCATGTACATTCCGTTCTAAGCCACCAATTTGGTTCTCAATATATGCCACCACACCGTAGTACTAAAAAGGGGTCACTCTCGTCCTTGATGCCAGGCTCATACTATATTACGAACTAGCCAGGGCTCCATCTCGTACCTTCCAGCGGACACGTCCCTAGTTCATCTCGTCAACGCATGTGTAAGCCATTTTACGTCGCCTAATTACGAGCTAAGAGCTAATTACCCTTTCAATCCTTTTCAATCACACACCAGAGACGGCGGAAATCGCAATAGCCAGGCCATAACCGCGCCTGACAGGGATAAACCAACGGATGAACCGCCACAAACGGGCAAGACTTGATTGCCAATCATGCACCCTCATTCTGCCGGCCGCGGCTTATCCAACAACACCGCACGAGAGCAAGCGTGGGAAAGACAAGAAGCTGCGGCGCGTTTTAGAGAGGCTGGCTTAATCCAGCACGCCGGTTACGAAAAGAGAGCCGAAATGTCTGCAGGATCTCTACTGACGCACTCTCCTGCATCAGGCTGGTTCCTAGAAGGAGCAACGTTATACGAACCCCACCCAGTCCACCACACATGGTCAGCAGCCGACGTCCCTTGCCCCTACATTTCTCCGGTTCCCTCTCCATAATGAAATTGCCCACCCTTCTACACCAATTCTAAATATATTGGTAGGATCTAGGCGGAATCCCGCACTACTTTGACTCGGCATCATCTCTGCTTCTGGAAACACCTTACTCTTGTCGATCCATTTAGCCCACTCGTTCTAGCTTCAAGCTCAGCTTTTTTACCGCTCCTCAATTACCTGGTTCCAGTATACATGCGTACAGCCGATTGATATGCACCTTCCGAGGATCCTGGGCCATCGATCAGTTCATTATCGCTTGACAACGTTGCAGCCAGCCTTAAGGCTTTTATATTAGGAGCCTCAAATTCACCTTAATACGGCAGAGGAGAGGAGGAAATGCATTTCAATACTCGAACGGTATTGAGCTTGGTCTCGCTGTGTGCTCACTGGTAGCGTGCTTGTTCTTGATAGTGAACCAATCACGCCGGATCGGGCTTACCCAACCCCATATCAACAACATCCGTGGCTGCAAGCGCCCATTAGACCGGTGTGCCTCAGGATAAATTCCGCAAACAGGCCTCCACAACATTTCCGTTCAGTTGACCTTACGTGGCGCCCATCCTTTTTTTGGGCTGTGAACACATGAAAGAAGATTTGTACCCTCCCTACCTCCTCTACAATACAACTAAGATGGCCGAAGCCTCGACCACTGAGTCTCAGCTGGGTTGGCAAGTGGCACGGGAGGAGCTAATAAAATGGGGAGTATGATTGCGTATAGTCCTCGTTCTGGATTCAGAAATGTTGCAAGCAGACTCGTCTGAACGCACTAATAGTGTATGTATGAGCTCGTGGCCAAAATGTTGACGGATTCTACGCCGCCCTTGTCTCTATCTGCGTCTCACCGCGTCTCGCTTCATCCATGCGAGCACTTCTCAAGTCAACACTAACTAACCCTCTCGGCCTGCGCCACTTGACTCTTCTGCCTTAGCAATCATTCTTTCCGGGAACCTCATCGTTTCTCATAAGATGCCATGTGATGGAAATAGGTATTGTCGCGTGCAGACAACTCGCCAACTAGCTGCGGGTGGTGCTCCTGATCCAGTGCCAACGGTATTAGGATGTGCCTCCGCACGTATAGTAAACGGTACCGACTGACCTCACGGTTAAGTGCTACACCTGCACTGAGCTGGCTGTCCGATGCATTCGATGAGACCTGGAGGCTTCGTCCTTGGGGATGGGCAATCAGGAACTAAGGGTGTGGGATAGGTTAGCACTAGTGAAGTACCTGACCAACTGGCTCGAATGCCGTGACGGGAGGGTTGGCGCTGGCATATGCAGGTCACCATACGACGTGGTTCTTCTCGACGCTTTCTTATCCCTAAACATTAGGTGACCGTTTGACCCTGAGGATAACACTACTCAAAAATAAACTGGATGCCTCTTGGAGCCTTGACTGCTCAGCTGCCAATCACGCCCATCCGAACCGCGACAGCAACTCACCAGTCAGGGAAGCCCCTGGACCACGACAAGGTGGACATCCTCCCAGGGGGTCAAACCACCACCACCCGTCCCCGTCGGAGCGTTGACCCCAGAGCCACTGTCGGTTCCGCCCCCCCCCCCCCCCCCCCCCCCCCCCCCCCCCCCCCCCCCCCCCCCCCCCCCCCCCCGCCCCCCACCACCCGTCCCCTCGGAGCGTGTTGACCCCAGAGCCACTGTCGGGTTCGACTGAACCGCAACAAGTGGGGACTCTTAGGAGGTCTGATCCCGGACGCGACCAACAAACTACCATGCACCTCCCCCCCTCTTAGAGCTGTGATCCCAGAGCCACCACTGGGTTCAACCGAACCATAGCGAGTGGGGACTCTTAAGAAAATTTCACCCTAAGCCGCGCTGGAGCTTCGGATCCCAGAGCCACTGTTGGATTCAACTGAATCGCAACAAGTGGGGACTCTTAAGAGATTGTGCCCCCGTGAAGCGTCAATCCCGGAGCCACTGTCGGGATCAACTGAACCGCAACAAGTGGAGACTCTTAAGAGGTCTTTTCTGTGAACGCGATACACAAATATCCCCTTGGAGCCTTGACCCCGAGCCACTGTCGGGTTCGACTGAACCGCGACAAGTGAGGACTCTCACCAACCGCATCCACCTTGGGCTCGACACCAGAGCCACCGTCGGGTCCAGCTGAACCGCAACAGGTGGGGACTCTTTAGGAAACCTTGCCCCGGACGTAAAAGCAACTACCAAGCAACTACCACACTAGATCAAGCAATGGATGTCTCTTGGAGCCCTCGACTGCTGAACCGTGACAAGTCACAGCCCTGAAGTCTTCATCAGGCAGCCCCTGGACCACGGCAAGGTGGACATCCTCCCAGGGGAACAACAACCGCCATAGATCAAGCAAGCAACTAACCCCCCCCCTTCCTCTTCCCCTCTTAGAGCTTTGACCCCAGAGCCACTGCCGGGTTCAACTGAACCGCAGCAAGTGGGGACTCTTAAGAAGTCTTTCACCCTAAGTCGCGTTGGAGCTTCGGATCCCAGAGCCACTGTTGGATTATTCCAATGAATCGCAACAAGTGGGGACTCTTAAGAGATCGTATCCCCGTGAAGCTTTGGCCCCAGAGCCACTGTCGGGATCGACTGAACCGCAGCATGTGGAGACTCTTAGGAGGCTTTGGCTGTGGACGCGATATACCCCCCCTCTTAGAGCTTCGACCCCAGAGCCACTGCCGGGTTCAACTGAACCGCAGCAAGTGGGGACTCTTTAAGAAGTCTTTCACCCTAAGTCGCGCTGGAGTTTCGGATCCCAGAGCCACTGTTGGATTATTCCAATGAATCGCAACAAGTGGGGACTCTAAAGAGATCGTATCCCCGTGAAGCTTCGGCCCCAGAGCCACTGTCGGATCGACTGAACCGCAACATGTGGAGACTCTCAAGAGGCTTTTGCTGTGAACGCGATATACCCCCACACCCCCCCTTCTTAGAGCTTCGACCCCAGAGCCACTGCCGGGTTCAACTGAACCACGCCAAGTGGGGACCCTTAAGAAGTCTTCGCCCTAAGTCGCGTTGGAGCTTCGGATCCCAGAGCCACTGTTGGGTTCAACTGAACCGCAACAAGTGGGGACTCTAAAGAGATCCTATCCCCGTGAAGCTTCGACCCCAGAGCCACTGTCGGGATCAACTGAACCGCAACAAGTGGGGACTCTTAGGAGGTCTTTGCTGTGAACACGATACACACACATCCCCCCTCCCCTCGGAGCTTTGACCCCAGAGCCACTGTCGGGTTCGACTGAACCGCGACAAGTGGGGACTCTTAAGAAGTCTCTGCCCCGGACACAAAAAGCAACTATCGCCTGGATTAAGCAACTACCACACTAGATCAAGCAATGGATGCCTCTTGGAGCCTTCGACTGCTGAACCATGACAAGTCACAGTCCTCAAGTCTTCATCAGGCAGCTCCTGGACCACGACAAGGTGGACATCCTCCCAGGAGATCAAGAACTCACCAACTTACCTCGAATTTTGTGCCCACTAGCCTGGCTAGAACCTTGCTACTCACTTCCATTAATTCCTCCTCTTCTCTTGCATTCATACTGTTCCTATCGAGTGTTAAGATTGTCGCTTGGAATTTCTTGTATTCCATAGCTCTGAACGAGAGACGTCCACATGTGGGCTTTTTGTCGCTTCAGGTCTTCTAGTAGCCCCGGACTATCCGTAACCTCGGGTCAGTGATGTGCTAGAGAATAACTATGATAGACTTGCCTAAACCCAAAATTCAGGCCAGATCTTCAGACATAAGATCGCTGCTTCAAACTAATCAGTAGAGCTTGGATCGCCATACCTTTGCTTTGCTTCCCTTGTTCTGGAGTACCCTAGGAGTAACTTGCCGGTTCCTCGAGATCTGACTAGTTTTAGGCTGCAAAAGAGACGTCCACATGTTGTGTTTCACTGATTCCGCACTAATGACGCTAAGAGGATTCAAGAAAACGCAATGAAAAGCGATGCTAGCGAGCAACAGTGGTGCTTACTTGGACCCTCTATCATCCCTTTCTCTTACACATAGAGTTCCAGTGGAGGTTCCAGTTGATAACAAAGTACTCGGGGTTTCAGGTAGCCTAGACAGGCGTCCACATGTGAGTTTTTGGCCAAACCGTGCAAATAGCATGATATCCAACTCACTTTTCCTCTTCTCTTGTTCGTATACTGTTCCTATGGAGTATTAAGATTGTGACTTGAAATTTCTTGTTTTCCATCGCTCTGAATGAGACGTCCACATGTGAACTTTTTGCCACTTCGACACCCTTCCTAATAACTTCAGACCATCCGTAACCTCGGGTCAGTGATGTGTTAAAGAACGATAACAACCATGATAGACTTGCTTAAACCCCGGATCATCATCGATAAAGATCGCTGCTCAAATCAGTACCGTATTACTCGGATCACCACACCACTGCTCTCCTTCCCTTGTTTGAGTACTCTGGGAGCACCTTGCCAGCTCCTCAAGATCTGACGAGTTTTAGGTACCAACAAAGACGTCCACAAGTGAGTGTTTCACGGATTGCGTATGTACACTGTTCAAGAAAACACAGTGGAAAGCGATGCCAGCTTGGGCAACGGTGGTGCCGATCCAGCGTCCGTCTAGCTTCTCCTTCTCTTTCAACATAGAGTTCCGGTGGAGGTTCCAGTTGACAACTGAGTTATCGGGGGTTTCAGGTAGCTTAGATAGGCGTCCACATGTGAGCTTTTGGCCAAACGCTGCAACTATGTAATGCAACACAAGCATCGCTGGAAATACCTAGTGCAATGCGGGCAAGATAGTGCCAGACATAGCGTCCGCCAATCACCTCCTCTTTCCTAGCGGGCATTCAAATTGACGCACGAACACATGTGAGTATTTGACTGAACCGGTCATATGCATGCCAATGCCAGGACCTAGGTCTGAGAGTGCGGTAAGAAATGATGCTAACGAGCGGCAGTAGTGCCAGATCTAGTGTCTGTCTATGCATCTCTTTCTCTTTCACTTGGAGTTCCAGTGGAGGTTCCAGTTGATAACTGAGAACTCGGAGGTTTCAGGTAGCCTAGACAGGCGTCCACATGTGAGTTTTTGGCCAAACCGTGCAAATACAACAATATGCAACTCACTTTCTTCTCTTCTCTTGTTCGTATACTGTTCCTATGGAGTATTAAGATTGTCACTCGAAATTTCTTGTTTTGCATAGCTCTGAATCAGACGCCCACTTTTCCCAATAACCTCAGACCATCCGTAACCTCGGGAAAGTGATATGTTAGAGAATAACTTACCCTGAACCTAATAATCACGTCGGATCTTCAGACGTAAGATCGCTGCTCAAACAAATCAGTAGAGCTTGGCAAGCATGCATTTTGCTTGAACTTGATTAAACTGAAAATCATCAGACTTACCGGCTAGTATCACCACAGCACAGCTCTCCTTCCCTTGCTTTTAGAGTGCCTTGGGAGCAAGCGGCCTGCTCCTCGAGATTTGACAAGTTCCACGTACCAAAAGAGACGTCCACAAGTAGGTGTTTCACCCATTGCGTACACTCGTAATGCGAGGATCCAAGAAAACCTCAATGAAAAGCAAGGCTAAGCAAGCAATAGTGGTGCTGATCTAGTGTCTGTCTTCTCTTACAACATAGGGTTCCAGTGGAGGTTCCAGTGGATAACTGAATACTCGGAGGTTTCAGGCAGCCAAGATAGGCGTCCACATGTGAGCTTTTGGCCAAACGTTGCACCACCCGCAGTAAATACCAAGGGGTGTGTAGATTCAAGGGAGTGCAAATGCAGGCTAGCGAGGCATTCAATCTAATTGACGCGCGAACACATGTGAGGATTCGACCGGGTCATACGCAGTGTCAACAATGCCAGGAGAATGCAGGTCTGAGAGTGCGATAAGAAATGATGCTAGCGAGCCACAGTAGGGCCAAATCTAGCGTCTATCAGTATCATCTCTTTCTCTTGCACATAGAGTTCCAATTGAGGTTCCAGTTGATAACTGAGTACTCGGAGGTTTCAGGCTGCATAGATAGGCGTCCACATGTGAGTTTTTGGCCAAACCGGTCATACACAATGCTAGCACCATATGCAGCATCCTTTTTCCAATAGGGTTCCAATTATTCGACGGAAAGTGCTCAAGAGTTTCAGCCCTAGGTAGGTATTCACATATAAGTATTTAACCAAAAATCGCTCATAGGCAACGATAAACTCCGTAGTAAGTGCCAGGGGAGTGCGAGAGGCTCAAGAGGGTGCAATGACAGTATATAGTACCATGACACGAAATATTGTCTATCATGGTGCCCGGTTGGAATGTTTGTCGGGAACAAAGAGAAATAGGACGTCTAGTGGATGCGATGGAGACCCATACCTCTCCATCGTCGATCCAATGTTCTCCCCGATATTGGTAGCCGGCTAGAGATCCTCAGTAATGTATCAAGATGGGAGTTTCATGATAGGCCCAGAGTGATGCTGCATCGTCACTGACGGCGCGACGGCACTCAGACAGACTCTACGCCTGCAACTACTTCATTGACATAGATAAGGGCCATTCTCTTGTAGGCATGCCATTCCATCTAACTTCGAATGTAAAGTTCCTGTATCGCCTCCAAATCCGTCATCCAACAAGTTTCAATGAAGCGAAAATATAAGCGAGCACAGGCTAGAAGCATAAGGGGCCTCAATTAAGAAAACCATCTAGTTTCGCGACCTCTTCGACGTTCCGCAGCAGCTCGTATTCCAACATTCCCTGGAGGTTTCCATCCGAAATAAGGCCCAATGACGTTCCTGGCGAAGATTTCCCCAAATCCAAGCATGACGCCGTTCACGAAGGGTAGGAACATGTTGATCGCTATGGAAGACAATAGGGCGAGTGCCCGAGTTTGGGGCGGAAGGTTTGAATTGAAGATAGCTGAAGTCACAGTTGGCGGGCTGGCAGCTTGAGGTGAGTGTGGGTGGTGTTGATGATGCCGAGAGTGTCTCTCATCCACTCGGTGAGGACGGTGATGATGGTGGTGATGGTGATGCACCGGTGAATCTGGGGGGTTCAGACTTTTATCTTGTGTGGACGGTGAGATATTTTCTGGAAGGGAGGGGAAGGAAGATGCGAGCGAATGAATTTCTTCCCATGTACCAATACGAGATATGTGAGCGTCTTCTTCCTCAGACGCCCCTGAGAATTCATCTTGAGTTTTGCTAGTCGAAGAGGCCTACAAAAATTGGGAACAAAAGCATTAGGGGGTAAGTCGTTCCAGGAATGCGTTCGGCTAGACGAAAAGGTAATCATACCTTGGGTCCCGACTTTGGCACTTCCCCAGAAACTAAGTCTCTCACATCAGCGGGACTAGGTAAAGAGTCTGGCCCATACGTACGAATGTGTTCCGCAATAGCAACCCTCTGTACAGCCTCTGCCGTATCGGAAGTAGCAGCTACGGCCCCTCCTGAACTGACACCCGCAACGAGGGGTCGCTTCGCTTGCTCATTCACAACCTTCTGCGATAACGTTTCATCGGCAGGACTGACAGTCTCCCACCCAGACAACGTCGATTCCTTTTTCTTACTCACAGCAGCCTCTTCCTCGGCTTCGGCTTTCCTTCGTTCCTCCCACTCAGCACGAGTCCTCTCTGCTTTTTCGCGTGCAATGGCAGACTCCGCTCTCCATTGAGCAACTTGACGATTGTACTGTTCCTGCCATGAATCTTCTAAGCCTGTACTAACTTCCGGCTGCTGCTGTGCCGGTGAAACAACAGCACTCGTAGAGGTAGTTTCTTCTGGAGGAGAAAGTCGCTCAGGCGCCGGTTCTGAGGAAGGCGGAGGCGGAGGTTCCGGGAGCCGCGTGAACGAAGTCGCAAGGGCCGACTTCAGAATAGAAAACATTACAATCACTATCATTACTAAAGAGGGACAATAGAACATGGAAAGAAATAGAACGCACCTGAAGGAGTTCCTCGTCTTTTTCGTCCAACCCAGGCATGTTGAACTAACAACAACAAGACGCTCAACAGAACAGAGTTGACGATCTGCAACTCAGTGTGTGCGCTAATCGCCCGGGTGCACGGCAGTGCCAAAGCATTGGAAAACCCTGAGGGTCAGTTCGTTCAAATCTTCTACCCTGGGCTGAGGCAGGGCTTACTTGTGCGTCCGTTGACGTTTCCCTCCACGGGGCCGGAAATTGAGTGCTTTTACGTAAGCAATTTAGTTTTTGCTACTCCTGCACCAACCTCACTAGTTGCTGAAGAGGTTCATAATGCTCGTCTCGGTTACATCATACTTGGTGCACGCCCTCCCATGTTGCACATAGCAGTGTTGCTTGATCCGCTTCCTTCACATGCCTTGCGCATCCCCTGCATGAGTTCTGGTGTTCCCAGTGTTCTGCCCGCGGGCCCAAATGGGCGTAGTTGACTCGTCTGATCTAGGACTCTGAGGGAAATGCATTCGCTAGCCTAGCATCAACTGAAGAAATGCATTCAGACGTGGAAACTCGCTACGCGGAGTTGTTACTCCCCCTTTCGCAATCAAGAAACTTAGGGAGCATTACGCCACTCCCCTGGATATATATGGCCAAATGACGCCAGTCAGGCAGCTCGAGATGAGTTCCCAGGCACGCTGACCGGTCCTTCTTCAGGTTCAATAAATCCTATGCACGTTCTCGTTCCTAGCCAAATTGCCCTCTGGATGACCGATCAGCTAACGGGTGTCTCATCCCAAAGAACCACTAGCCTGGTCACACATCTTTTAGGTTCTATATCACTCGGAAGCTCTTCAAGCATGGTTATGTCACAAACTCGACCGTGTAAATCAAATGATGGCGTGCCCACCAACAGTACTATTCAAGCCGGATTGTGCTTGATCGCGTTGGGAGTCGAACGACTGAAGAACTAGAAGCTCAGTTGATAGCTTCCACAACTCAACCTGGCCGGAATCGCATGTCTCACGTGCATTCGCCATGTGTTATTTCCAAGGGTCCTCCATCCCCTCGGCGAACGGGACAATATCAACAGAACAATTCTCGCTGCTGATCGTCTTTAGTCTTGCTTTGAAACCCATGCGACCGACGACCGTTCCTTGCGGCATCCTGGAAGCTCACAATTCAGGGTCAAAAAAAAAGGTTGAATGCAACCAAACTACGCCAAGCCACTAATGGTCCTATTCCTCCCTTCGTCATTACCGCGGAATGAAAGTACAACAACTTTTTCGTGGGCCCTTCGGCACTTACCGTTTATCCAAGTTGCTCTCCATCCCTGGCTTGTTTGCAGTGATTATCTCCTTTAACGGCCGAAACTTGTCGCTCCACCTCAATTCACACGGCCCAGAAATTGGCTTTCGGCCGTCATCCGATGCGCGCATTATTTCCACACACACTTGTCGAATTAGGGCTAGACCCTCCAGCCCACGACAAAGCCCCGTGGCCACGCCTCGTCATTCGTCAGAAGCGTGTGTTCTTGCTCGGTCCGAATGGCCTCACCTTAATCCATCGAGTCTTTTTTCCTTCCCTTTGTTTTTCTCACAGGAAACATGATAATTATTTTCCGCGGCTCAATCAAACTTCTCTCATCAAGCTACGTAACGTCTGAAAGGGAAAGGCGGCGTGTCCGAAGGATATGTTAGGAAACCAGCTTCCACGAAAAATTTACTTGAAAAAATCCAAAATCCAAAGATATTGCCTATCTTATCTCTTTGGTCCAATCGTGTGTGTTGCATTATAAACCGGTCCGTCGGTCCCTACATCCATTTCAGTCGTCTTCTCGATCTCTCCTCGCACTGTGTTTTTCGCCGTCCACACGCCACCCACCCTGTTCCTAGACTCTCCTTACTCCGGAGCGCGCTTCGGAACAAGTCGTTTCCCTGGAACTAAGTCTGACAAGTGTTATGTCTTCTCTATTGACTTCAGGTGTCACTGACCCGTCACGCACAACTCTATAACCACTCGCTGCTCCACGTTGCACCCGTTCGTATTTTCATCTTGCTTCGAGGGAGAGAGTGAACATGTCTCGGGGTAATTTATCGTTGCTGTTCTCCGATGAGACCTAAGAGTCCGAGGATCGAGCCACAAATCCAGTGGGAAACTGGGGACTGACGCCGAAACTTCGTCTCCTTAGTCAAACTTTCCCAGGAAGCGAAATCGCACATCGCCCGCAAGTGCTGGAACCTTAGCTGTTATTATATTAGATGAAATTCTCCATTTCTTAACCCCCTACGTGAGCAATCAGATAGATAAATGACCCTTAACTTCTCAACAACGATTACTTACAGCCGGGCATCGGCCTACCCCACATACACATTACACGTACATACCTGACAAACTCCCATTTCATTATCCCACAACGTCCTTTTTTTTTTTCTTCCTTCGTTCCTCCACTTCATCTCATCCTTATGAAACCCCCTCCCTCATTCATTTTTATTGTTCTCCAATAATTATTTAACATTCGGCGTTCCAAGGGCTAAGTGCTATGTTTAATGTATCGCCGTGCACGTCGATGAAAATAACCAACGAAACCAACGCGCGAAATATAATATTGCATATAACACACAGCTGCACGCACCGTATATATAATTAATTAATTAAAGCCCGAGGGGCAAGTGATGTCCGTGCATACAGTGCTAGTCATAAGGTCCAGCAAGCACCCAAGCTCGTCATGAGGCCGAGCTATCGACTAAGCATGCGGTCATTCTTAAGCGAACGACCTACCCGTACTGGTACTTAGCCACAGCCAGCTATGTAGGTACGTCTACATCATATGCCAACCCCAGCTATCGATCCACAATATTGATATTCCTCTCACGTCATCTAGCTTATGCATATGATGCATGAGGTATATAGCACTCTCAGACGAATCATCCTTCACGGTCATATCGGGGAAGGGGGGAAGGGGGGAAAGGGGAGATCGTAGATCATATCATATCATATGTGTTGGTATGCATACACGGATTGTGCACACCGGCCGGGGTTTATGCAATAATTTGACCCAGGCGACCAATTTTTAGCTTCATTCATGTCCTTTTCTAGCTAAGGCTGGGTTTCTGGTTCCGGCCTGGGGCCCCATGGTCATACATAAACCTGCCCAGCCTAGGCCTGGATCCATTAGTAAATCCGATCTCGAGTGGTTCATCCCAACATGCCACCATCATCGACTCATGCACAAGATCGAATTAATGTATAAGCCACCTCCCACATGAACACACCTCTCTAAGCTCTAGTGCTCTGTCCAAGCGCACCTTAGGGCTAACTTTAGTCGCAGCTGTAGTAGAAGAATTCGATTCCTTTTTTCGTTTGCTGCAGCCATTGGAAGTTGATGAGAGTGTCACGCATTACTTTGAACAACAACAATTATGGTACAAAAAAGTATGCCGTTCGTGATGAATGGAAGAGACCAGAGCGAGAGAAAAGAGAGAGAAAAGATGTGATGATCGCGTGCGTGCATATTACATTTGCTTGAAGCAAGAAATTATCAAAAAGGTTGTTAAAAAAACCTCGTCGTTGATCAAGAAAGAAGGCAAAAAAAAAAACCTTCATTACCGCACGATTATGATCATGCATCGACCAAGTAGAAACTAGCTGTTGAACGACGAAAGAAAAGTATGTGGCCCCAGCAACAGAAGTGGGGGGGAATAATAAAGCATGCATGGCCAAGCTCGAGGCGCATGATGACAAGACCCAGTCAGGACAGAAAGAAGAGCAAATTGCAGGTAGAAGAAATAAAGTTAAGTATGTCGGAACAAGAGGTTGGAGAAATGTGAAAGCCGTATGAAGGAAAAGAGAAGATAAATATAAAATTGCAGAACGGATGTGAATGACGGAGTCAGAGAAGGAGAAGTTATGGTTATCGGTACGCGCGTGGTGCTTGAGTTGTGTGTAATGCTGATGGCAGTGGATCCAAATTACGAAAAAAAGAAGAGAAAAAATCGAGTGTCGTAGAGCCCAGAAAGCGTGCGAATAACCCGTAGCCCAAAAAAAAAACCATGTTCCCCGCATTTCATCGCCCAACCTCCGATAGTCGCTACGACTAAAACTCAACCCCTGGCAAAATGGAACAACTGTTTCCTCTTCTCCCCCGGCCTAACAGGAATAGGATTCAATGGATATGTGGGCACATAACTCTCCGTGCTGGTTTTTTTCAAATATGCGATCGCCCCCCCAGGTATTGTTGTAGGTCCCATCACATTAATATTCATCGTAAGCTCGGCCGAGTTGACTCGGCTGTGGGAGGGTCGAGTTTTACTGCTACTCAGAGGCATGGCTGTCGCCATAGAATCGGTGGGGGGGTTCGAGAGGTGGCTTGGGTGGTGTTGTGAGGTCGAGGGGAAGTAAGACGTCTGTGGGACGGAGGAAGAAATGGCATTGACGGTGGAAAGGACAGCCTCAGCCGTCCTCTTGCCAAGGCCATTGATAGGGGCACTAAACTGGCGAGAATGACTATGACTATGACGAGAAGGCGAGCATGAAAGGGACTGGGCTTGGGAGTTTGAATGAAATGGAAGTGCAACTTTGAGCAGAAGTGAAGGCGTGCCGTACGCGAATGAAGAACGTTTGGAGGTCGAGTGAAGGGGTTTCGCACCGGCACCAGTGATACTGATACCGTGGGTGCGTGAACGGGAACGGGATTGGGATTGAGGTGACAAATGAGATGCAATGGGAAGAGACATAGACAACTGTTTGGGTGAGGGATACGAATGGGGAGCAGGTGATGTCGGACTTCCCGGTGTCCCTTCAGCATCGGCACCCGCACAAAGTTCATCATCCGCAAGGAGCGGACCTTCAAACTCGGGCTCGAGACCATCGAATCGACTCTTCATTGGCTTGCTGTGTCTCCTAATACCCATCTTCCGCGCCCCATGGTGGTTGTGGCGATGGCGGGGTCGTCCTTTCCCATTCGAACTCCCCTCACTAACGGTCGTCCCTTCACTACTTTCCTCCTTGCGCAAGCGTTCCCTTTCAGCCGCCAGCGCCTCCTTTTTCTGTAACTCCCTCCAAGCCCTCCCTATCGCACCGGAAGACTTGCTCCTTTCAAAAGCGAGAGGATAAGCCCCACCGTAAAGCGCATGAACAAATGTGTGCGGAACAGAAGCGGAAGAAACATGCGTAGGCGAGGGAGGTGGTGGATGTATAGAAGATTGCGTCGTTGTCCGGGACACAGGAGCCATAGCATGGAGAGCAAGTGTATTCAACGACGTTCGTGATCGAGACGTATAAGAAGGTCGTTGTGGTGCCTGCGTCGTCCCTGTCGATAAAGTGTGATCATCCTCGGCAACAGCGTAAATGTCTCCACTCATGCTCCTCGACGGAGGGACCGTAGTCGTCGTCGCGGTGGTGAAATATTTCCTCCCATATCGAAGGCTCTCAAAATAATCCGCGTTTGCCTTGTCAGCATTGAAATACTCCGATCCATCGCCCATCGGTACTTCGCCCGGTGAATCAAACACAATGTTACTCCCCCTCCTCCCATTTCCCATTCTAGGTGACTTGCTCCTAGAAGTAGTAGAAGTAGTCGTGGTAGTCGTAGAGTACCCAATGGCACTGCTGGAGGTAGAGGTCGTAGCAGTAAAGCTACTCCCTTCACCCCAGGAGTGTCCATCGTCGCCCACATAGAAAAACCCAGCCCCTTGCACCGTTTGGCTGTGTAGGTCTTCGAGTCTACACCGCTCTGAGCAATAAAGACTGGGCTCCTGAGTGAGGATAGTGCGTTGTTTGAACATCGTGGTAGGCTTTTCAGGAACAGGCGGTGGTGGCGGTGGAGGTGGGAGGGCCACAGTGGGTACATCTTTCCGTTGTCCTTTTCTCGTGCGGCCAACAGCGGCAACGTTTGTTCGTGGCTTTGTGCCTTTTGATTTATTTGTCGTTGTGGTTGGGTTACTACCACGGTTTACGGGGGGTTGGGAGGGGTTGTTGTTTCCGCCGAGGATAGTGGAATTAGACGGGTTAATGGGGTCAGCGGTATTGCTGTCCTCAACAGGAACTTCGACAAGGACCTGTTCCCGGTTAGGCGGGATGAGCCGGTTACAGACTGGACACCAGGAGGTATCCATTTCTGGACTGTTTGGATTGATGTGGATGTTGAGTTTCCTTTGTGATTTAAAATCACAAGGGTGAAACACGTTCAAAAATGCGAATCTCCCTCAGAGTGGTATCGAGCGGGGTAGTGTTGTGAGGATTATTTTGATGTGGTTGAGGTGGTTGTTAGATTTATCAGCTGCTATTTTGGACGTGAACCGCCGAATGCGAAAAGCCGAGACGACGAAGAGTCAGAAGTTGGAAGAAAGATTGATGACAACACTGTCGACCACAGTCCACAAAGCCGGTGAGGCAGAAAGCAGCGAGAGAGGTCAAGTAGTGATGCGAAAGACGCAAATTAGAAAGAGGGAGGAAAGGAGTAAGCACATCGGAACCTGGAAGGGGGGGGTTATATAATGGTTGAACGACGGACGTACACGGATCTATAGCCCTGGAGACGAGAGTTAAGAGAGGAGGAGGGATGGTCGTCACAGGAGATGAAAGTCCTCTTGGCCTGCGTGGAGATGGTCGAGCGTTTGTGAAGGGCTCAAAGCGGGGGAGGGCCAGAAAGCCCGTTGCAGATTATATTAGGGAAATTGAATAGCGTCTGGACCGAGGGGACCGAGGACAGAGCCTGCGACAGGGAGGTAGGCGGCTTTAACGCTGTTGAGCGCGATGAAGGACGCGACTTGCACGATGAAGGAGAAAGATGGAGAGAAAGGAAAAGCAAAGAAAAAACCAAAGGAGAGTGAAAAGCAGCGCGAGGCCAATAAATAATACAACGATCACTCAGGAAGGTAAATACACAGTCACGTGCCACGATCTAGATGCGGACCCATAAATTGAATTTCGGCTATTCCATCGCGCAAAGATTCAATACAATTAGGACGATATCGGGATCGGACCGATAACACACGAAACAAACATACAATTAAATTAATAAATTAATAAATTAAATTTAAAAATAAAAAATATTAAAATGAGTTTTGAAAGAATAGCTTTTGTGAATGAAAATATGATAAATAAAATAAATGACAGTTTATAAAAATGGACCCCCGGATTTGACCAACACGTGTTATATAAAGTTGAAATCGATTCTCCGTGCCTGCCCCGAGGGGAAATTACAAAATAACCATATGTCCCTTGCACAGGTGACACCTATACACATCGTCAAAACAACGAGGCGAGCGCTTGCAGGGGCGTTAATAGCGGTCCAGCTTCACCCCGCCTAACCTTTTTACGTCGAAAGCCATGGATCATCCCTCCCGAATATGCACGCAGCTGTGCTGCTGGGGAGCGAAACTCCGAACGGGGATGGCGAGCATCCGGTCTGTGAAAGGGTCCCATGCATGTACATCTGTTTGCTATGTACTGTCAAATGATTTACTGATAGCGACTGTGCTGTCCGATGCGAGAGATCAGCGAACATGAACATTGAAACCGTGGGGAAATAGAATCCAAGATCCACCAGGAAGGGTCCGGGTCCGGCAGGTAATTGCATTATAGACGCATTGCTCGAGTTGTTGCAGGTGCTGGCAGTACGTGCTCACTAGCGCGAGCTCCCTGCATATTGGATCGCGCGCGATTTATCCCCACTACCTTCGACTACTCGCGATCCCTGAAATACTTGAAGCTTCCTGCATCTCCCGCATTCAAATCCTGTCTTCTCCGATTCGCATGGGCGCGATGACGATTTCACGCTCACTAGTCGACAGAGTACTTGACTGGGATCTTTAATCCGCTCAGGCTACTATCTCATTAATATACCCGAGCGGCAATTCGCTCCTTCGTTTGATCTAAGAGGCTGGCGCTTCGAAGATATTGCAATAATTGGCATCTCATATCCTTCCCGCGTTAGTGATCGCAAGCTGCTCGTCAGCGTGTGCAGTTGGGACCTGGGTTCCCACACTTCCCCACAACAATATAATCAGTATATGCTGATTGACGACTACACTATTCTCGTAACTAACAAATGCTGCACCACCCAACTGGACTGCGAACCCCAGCTACTAACCCATCACCAACGTGATGACCAACGAATCCCAAAAAAACTTCATTTTCTTTTCTCCCTTCTCAACCAATCACAATCACTGCGCCGACCTACCGAATCCGCCCGTCCAAGTAAAGAAAAATCCCTCTCGTGATGATCATCATCATGAACTTCCAATAATCAAGATCGCTGCAGACAACTGGTTTCATGCAACAGCTCAGCACGTAGCCAGGCTTAGCTAGGTTTCATCATCTTTTGAGTTTTTTCTGCTGATAAATCCCTCGGTCGCGGTACATGTCTCACCGCAGGTAACAATTTGGAACGGAACAATAATTGCATTGCACATGGTATCACCATCAATCCAATCCAATGAGCATCTCCTCTTGCCAGTATATAGATCATCATCAAGAGCAGCAAATACGGTAGGTGGTCAAAAGGCTCGTGAATTTCGATCGAACCGACAAGTTGAATTATTGTGCTACTTCGAGTTCTTCGAGACGGCCTCATATATATGTATGGTAACTCTACCCCAGATCATGCACCTCTACGAGCTGCAAGTAGTGGGGCCTGGGATTTCGTCCGGCTCGGCCGAAACATGTCCTTCAATCGACCACGACCCATAATTGATCGATCTAGCCCTTTTGCGAGACATAGTACATACTATAGCGAACATTCAGCGGTCAGCTGGCAGCAGCAGCAGCAGCAGCAGCAGCAGGAACAGAAGATAGTTTGAATAGTTGCAATATCAGCGCACACTAGCACTGAGCTGGATATGAAAGCGAAGTTTGGTTCGGCATATATAAAATATTACCACCTCAAGATCAGTAACTGGTTCTCTTTACAAATTTCCCCCAGTTCTTCGTTCGAGGAATCCGACGGAAGGTGACATATATGTCCCGTACTACGCGCGGCCTGAACTTTGAACTTCCTACCTGATGCCCAAGTGTCCAAATGAGGAGCTTAACGGTGGTAGTCAGTCAGCAAGACCGCCGCGGTGTCCGGACATATGCATATATCACATACTAAACATGGCCATGGCCACACACGCCTTCATCCACACTGTTGTCCTTTTACGCATGCGACAAGGCACAATACTTGGTAACAGAACCCGGGGCCAGCGCCATAAACGGAAACTTATTGTGCAGGATCCTATGACCACCCCTCCAATCATTGCTCACGCGGACTTTGGTCCACGCGCGGTAACATAGCACTCGGTAGCAGATAGCTATATTAGCGGTAGTGCGGTAGTGCGGGTTCGCTGTCATCTCGCTTGCTTGCAATTGTCACCCCTCGCGCTTTCGGTCATTAGCTCGTAAGAGTAGCCGGTGCAGCATACATGCTATGTACCGCTTGTGATTTAGGTACCTCGTTATAGGAACGTGCGGTACGCCTGCGATATTTAAGCCATGCATAGCTAACCGCAGTACTGAAGGGGACATGTCGAGTCGTGTGATCGCGGTCACTTATATCGGTGCAAATGCTCGATCGCGTTATGAATATAGATCAAGAGATAAGCTTTCAGCAGCATGGACGACTGGATATTTACGTACACGTACGATCAGTACAGCAGGCTAGCTGTACTCCGGCTATATCCCCAACAATGCCCTGTACAGCTGTCCTTATCTCGTACATAGACCATTGGCATGGCCTTGAAGTGCATGGAGACACAAACACCGATCGCCGAGTGCGCACGGCAACTTCCTCAGACAGATCAGGAACTGAGCCCTCGGATCGATCCATGCTGCTGATGCATGCGCACGCTCGCTGCTCCGGCTTTTAGAGTTTATCGGGCTTCGGCTAATCGCATCCTTCATATCCTTACGTGGTCCCTTTGACCGAACACCAGGGCAAACTGCACCACAACTCCGTTATAATCACCCTCCGCTGCGGTGCAAGCATACCGAACATAACGCAAATTCCTAGCACAGCTAGCTTCGTTCCA